ATAAAATAATAGGTTAATTTAAAGACTTTATATTTTTTATTATTAATAAATATATTTTTATTATTAAAAGAGTGCTATTATTTATTACGACTTAATATATATAATAGACTAAGGACCTGCCCCGCTGCTCTACGGCGGCTACCTCGCTATATATATAATCGAATAATAAAAATATATATATTACTTTAATAAATCGGAAGAATTATAAGGAAGTTACGTAATAATAAAAAAGACCGACGGACGATAAGCGGTTTTTAAATATAAATTAATAAAATAAAAATCGGTTTATTTTTAAAAAACTAATTTTATAATATTGGTTTTAAATATAAAAAAACTATTTAATAATATATAGGATTTATATATAATATAGATTTAAGCTGGGCTTACGTTTATAATTTTTATAACTTTTTTAATAATTAATTTCGTATTAAATCTTATAATCGTTTTTAGTTATTTTTATTAAGAATTTATTTAATAAGATTATAATTAATTACCGAAGCCTTATTTACTTTATAATTTATAAATAATAGTTTTATTAAAGTTATTCTTATAACGATTATTATTTATAAGTATTATAGCCCCGACTTCTATTAATATAAACCTTATTACGACTAGCTAGCCGTAATACTTTTTTAATTTGTTTAATTATAATATCGGCTTTTATTTATTAAAAAAACTAAGTTATTAATTATAATAAAGTTTTAAAAAATAAAATAAACAGTTTTTAATATATATTATTAATCAATAAAATATTACATAATGTATTTTAATATAGTAATTAAACTTAAATAATAATAAATCTATTTCAAACTTTTTATTATTTGTATTAATATAAAAGCGTTAAAAAAATAATTTAGGTTTAAATTATTTTCTTAACGTAAGTTTTAAAACAATTATTAATAAAAATTATTATTAATATTTTAAAATTATTATAGCTTTTTATATAGATTTTCTTTTGAATTAAAAAGATTTATTTAGTTAAGGACGTTAAAGTCTTCACTAAAAAGAATTTTTATCTATATATTCTTAAATACATAAGCTTCGAAATATAATTTTATAATAATAATCTTTTTATTAATTTAGCTACTTATTTTTTAACTTTTTATTTATTTAATTTTAATAAATAATTAATTTAAAATACGGTTAATTATATAATTTAATATATAAAATAAAATACTTTTATAAATAATTAATTATTTACCTTTAAAATTTATATAAATTTATTTTTATAAATTATAAAAACCGAAGTAAATTATAATTTTAAAATAAATATAACGTATTTATATAACAAATAAGCTATTATAATAAACAAGCTACTTTTTTTATTATTTATATCTTTTCTTTTATAATAACTATTTTTTATATATAATAATAACTTTTTTAAAAAAGAAAAAGCTAAGTTATTTTTACATTTTAAATTATTAATAAAACTTTTAGATTATATATATAAAAAGCCGTTATTATTTATAATATTTTAAAAAGGAATTTAATATTAATATATTAATTAATAATTATAATAAAAAGTATGTATAGGTTTAATAAAAGAAGCTTTATAAAAAAACCGTAATTGTTAAATAAATTCTTAACTTAATAAATTAAAGATTTTAATTATAATTTAATAATATATAAAATATAATAGATTATTTTTTAATAAACGTAATATAATATATATTAAATTATAATAAATAAAGAATTTTATATAAAATAAATTATAATTAAAAACATTTTTTTAATCTAAAGTTAATTATTTAAAGGTATTAACTTAAGGTTTTATAATTATTTAAACTTAATTTATTTTTATATAAAATATAATTATAAAATACGGAATATATAATAATAATATTTATAATTTTAATAAAACGGGCTATTTAATAGAAAATTCTTTATTTATAAAAACTATTATAATTATTAATTATTATAAAATATAAATATTATATCTTTTTATAATATATTAATAACTAATTCCCTCCTAAATAATATTTTTACTTTAGTAAAAATAAATAAATTATAAATAAAATTAATTTAAATTAATTAAAATATTCTAAAAAGATTTAAAATTTTATATAAAAGAATATTAAATAGTTTTTAAATTTTAATAATTATAATAATTATAAATTAATTAAATTCGAAAATTATTATAAGAAATATAGTATTATTACTTTTTATACACCTTTTTATTTATTATATAAATTTTAATCTTTTAATATAAACTATTTTAACTTATTAAAAATTATATATAATAAAAAAATTAAAAAAGTAATATATATTATAAATCATATATTATTAATAATAATTCTTTTTATTTTAAAATAGCTTTTTTTTATTTTACTAAATAGAAAAAACGTATAAATTAATTTTAAATAAATTAATATTATATTTTTTTAATTTAAAAATAATTCTTTTATTTAAATTTTAAATTTAAAATTTTAATATTATTTAGTTTATATTTAAATAATTAAAGTTTTTAAAATTTAAAAATATAAATTATAATTTATAATATTATATAAAGCTTTATTTTATTTTAAAAACGGATTTATAATTATTTATATAACTTATTAATATATTTATATAATATTATTAATTTATAAATTAAAAATATTAATAAGTTAATATATAAATTAGGTTTTATTAAAATTAAATACTATAAGTTTTATATAATAAATAAAATATAAAATAAATATTAAAAGATTATAAAAATATATTTATATTTTAAAAAGTTATTTAATATTATTAAAATTAAATTAATTTAAGTAAAAAAAATTATTAATATTAAAAATAAATATATGTATTAAAAAAGTATTTATATTAAAAAAGTTAAATTATATAAATAATAATATTATAATCATAAAAAAACTAAATATAATATATAAATATATTAAATAGTTTAAAGAAATTTTAAAAAAAAAGTTAATAAATAGTTTTTATAATTTCGTATAATATAGTTTAATTAATTTATATAAATAGTAAGAGGGAATTTAAAAATAGTCCGCTTATTATAATAGCCCGCTCGCTATATAAATACGTTATTGTTTTTTTATAAAAAGCCGGTATATTAAATAAAACTTTATATTAAATTTTATAACTTTTTTTTAATTAATTTAAAATTTAAAAAATCTTAATATTTCTTTTATGAATAATCGTAATAATGTAAGGGTTTTTAAATAGCTTTATAAAAAAAATAAGAAGGTTAGTATTTGTTATTAATACAAAGGGAGTCTTTTTTATTTGCTTTAATAATAACCTTAAGTTATATATAATTAAATTAACTTTTTAATAATTATTAAATGCGATACAAAATTACGTATAATAATTTAATTAAGGGTATTTTAAATAGTTTAGTTATTAGTCTTTTTAGTTATTTAGTAATTAATAACCTATATTTTAAAATATCATATATATAAACTATAGCTACCGCTTTATTAATTTATTTTTAGTTTAACGTTAATTTACTATTAATATTTATAAAATTAAAGTGGGATGTTTATTAATGCTAAGGACGTGAATATAGTAAATATAGTATTTCTTAATTTAAAAGTATTAGATAATATTATAGGCGAAGATTATATAGATATATTTATAAATATATTTATACATAGAAAAAAATTTAAATTGAAAATATTAAAGAGTTTTTAGTCGCTATATTAAACTATAGTAATTCAATAAACGGCGATAAATAAATTTTTAAATTTACGTAACCTATTTAATTCATAGTTTGGGTATAATTATTGTGAAATTTACTATTTAATTATTAAAACATTAAGCGGCTTAATATTTTATTAATTAAACTAGAATTTTAATATTATTAAGAACGTTTTATTTATAAATATAGTAAGTTTAAAGTTTAAGAGCTTTTTAATACAATATATATAAAATCTTTTTAATATAATTTAGGCTTTTATTTAATAATATTTTATAATCGGTTTTTATATCTATATATTTATATATATTTATGCTTTTTAATTTTGTATTTTACGTAAGTTAAAAAAAATTATTATTATTAACTAAATATTTCTTTTTTTTAAAAAAAAAAAAAAACTAGAACTCCGGGAGCCGCTACGGGCTATTTTTAATTATCGCTTACTTAGGTAATAAGACAAAACTCTTAGTCTACTCCAATATTAGTTATTTAGTCTTATGTCTTAGCGTTATATCTACTGCTCCTAATTAATGTTTCTCTAAAAGATCTACTTATCTTTGTTCAATCTTTACATTTTCTCTACTTTTTTAAATCAATCCTGCTAAATGCTCTCCTTTTAAGAATATTAATTATAGTCTGTTATAGGTAAATTCTTAAACGAGTGGTTAATTGTCGGATTAGAAGCCTAATTCGACCTCGAGTCAGCGCTGGCGCAGGGGCCATCTGAGGGTGTCTATATCAGCGTTCAACTGAGTGTCCAACCGTAGGTTGGAACCTTTCTTTTCCACCTCACGCAGAGATCAATATATAGTTAATTGACCCTTCGTCACCACGGTTCGACTCGAACAATCACACCTGTGATACTTAAATCAACATTAATAGATATCTGATGCTTCCAAATATCATCATTTCAACCGCAATGACTCTGCTACTACCTTCCGCCCTACAAAGACCCGCTATGCCGGCGGCCTTTTTTTCCTAGGACCACCTGCTTTAAGATCGGACCCAGTTCTTTAGTAGCACACTTAGGTGCGTGATTAGTGGTGCCGCGCTTTCTAATACCTAGGTGTTCTACTCGTGTGGCGAAAACTATACGGGGAGGTCGAGTTGAGGAAAACTGATACCGTCAGAAGTTTAACTATTAAGTTGAATAGCTTGATGTAGTGGAAGAGAGTTCAAACCTTACGGCCTTAAAATGCAAGTTTGCGCCTCCATGGTTGACGGAGTAGATGACTGATCCAAACTCTAGGACAAACATTGGGTCCGCCTCGAGCCACTCTATGATACGCATATTCTCATCCCGCTTGGAGCCTATGGTCTCTATGAAGATGACGGTAGAGAAACCCTCACCGGTGTACTCGCCTCATTGATTTAGCTTCCATAAAACCCAAAGTTCCTGGCCAATCTTCCTGGCCGCGATAAATAGAGTCTTGAGCGCACTAGCTAGCTCCCTTGCGTTGGATTCCTCATACGTGGTATGGGTTCCGAGGTTGGTATGAACCGTCGGCAGCTTAGCCATCCGGACAGCAAGGCCAGCGTCAGCCTCCTCCAAGGGCTTCGTGGGGAGAACGAGGGGGCCACAGGAGACAAGGTGATCCGGCACAACAGACAAGGGAAAGTCGACTGCTGTACTGCTGGGTAGGATGATCTTCAGGCCGTCGGGGGACCATAAGGCGACACGCTCAGTCGGAGAACTCAGTTCCAATCTTTTCAAAGATTTATTTGGCGTGACTGATAACGTACGGGTTGTGAGCGTTCTCAACGTACTGATAGAGCTGGTAGATGGAAGGTGGTATGAGGCAAAACGGGACAGGGTAGGAGATGGTAGATCAGGGGCTATGTTTATTGTGCTTAGTTCATGTGTTTCATGGCGCAACAAATGCAAAAGGGTGGGGGAGCCTTACGGCGGGTGTTTCCATATCGCCTCGTTCCGCCATTGTGCGACCATGACGAATTCTCGATAGGTGTTGGGTGACAACACATGCCAGTTTTTGCCTAAGTTTCCAGCACACAGTGATGGCGGGGGTGAAGAGGTTATTCGCCAGGACAAGGTCGGCATTGACTTCCGTGAATACCTTCATAGTCGATTGGACTACGTAGACATACTCTTCGAACCGGTGCTCTGAGCAGTCGAAGAGCGCTTTTTCCACGTCGGCCCCTTCAGTTTGTGGGACGTGGCACTAGGAACGGAGGAAAGCAAACCCTTGTTTGAGGTATGCAAACAAGCAGAAGGGTGGGTCAAGTATAGCGTCGGGGTTTAGGAGCTCCTGGCTCACTGCTAGATGGACATTAACCTGACCAAGCTTCGAGTTAGTGATGAGGACTATGCGCTTACTTTCCGACATGGCTTCTGGGGCAGCGGTGGAAGATCCTTGCAAGAGGCGAAAAGCATGGGCGTAAAAACATGAGTAGACATCATCATGAAGGCTGTCATCGTGCGGGACTGGGCTAATTCATATCGCGCCGCACGTTATCTGATTGCCCTAGTATCGTCATGGCTTACATTCTGAGCATCTCGGAGAAGCTCGACTGCAAGATCTTTGTCTGCGACGGCAATGGTAAAAACGGGATCATTATCGTACAGCAAGATCTGCACAAGCTCGTCAGCGTGTCCGATACGCAGCCGTCTCATTTTCAGAAAATGATTTGACTGGACACTGTTGACTGACTGGGCATACAAGCTATCACAGAGTTTGCACTGGACAATTCGTCCAGATTTGTTTAGTACAATGCGCTTCGAGCGGTGAGGCTGGACAGTCTCCAAGTTGCCGTAGCTGTTCATAGTATGACAGCCGGAACCTGATCCCGGGAACCCCGTGTCAGAAGAGATGTTGGGCTGGAAAGACCAAAGCCCAGTCAGCGCATCTGCTTAAAGATTTGTCTGCCGCCTGTGCGCGTTGACTGTGCCGAGCGAGGCATGATATGTATGGCAATAGGACCACCCGGACCCGGTATGCTTGTGTAAGCCGGCTCGAAATGTCTTGGGCCCAGATGTCTCCGCACTTGTTGAATAGTCACAGGGCATCTTGGAGCCTAGATGGGAAAAGTGGCTAGTACATGTGGGAATGTTTTTCTTGTTGTGCTGAGCACCCCTTGCCGATGCACGGCAAACCCACTTCCCCTCGGCGGAGTTGAACACGCTGCTGACATTGTCAACATGAGCACATAGATCTCTTTGATGACAGTTTGATACTTTAGTGTACGTGACTCGGGCTCGAGTTTACCTCCGGTGGTGGTGCTTGAGCACGGTAAGTTGTAACATACTTCTGTGAGGTTCTGTTGTTTCATAAAGTTGTAAGGCTTATTCCCGTCGTCCTGAGAACTTAATTACTTTGCAGGCCCGAGGGCAACCCTTGATGGCTGTCTCAAGTCGGCCTCATGAGTTCGAATTCAAAAAGTCTCTTGCTCAGCAACTCTAAATTCATCTGGGAGGCGCTATGCCTGTCATCAAGCGCCTTCACTGGCAGGATTTTCCTCAGGAATTGTTATTTTTTAGTCGAATTGGATTCAGCAATTGCAGCCTGAGTGAGAGCTCTATGAGTGCCAGATTGTATTTGAAAAATATATCCTATCCACAGCCGTTACCCAATTATCTACTTTAAAAGACAAAGTTCTCAGCGACACCCTTGACCAAGTTCTGAGCAAGAAGCTTGTGGATGGCCAGGCTGGCGTGGTAGTTGTCAGCCCAGATGCAATCGCTGGAACCGTAGCAGGTGGCATCCTTGGCGCCGTACTGCGCAAAGTTATCGACAACGGTGTCGAATGAGGGCTTGGTGTCAAACACAAGACCCTTGACGCCGCTATTGGCTGACTTGAAGGTGGCGAGACGGGTCTCGAGGGCATTGTTGTACGAGGTGATGTCGGAGCGCAGGCGGGCCAGGTCGGTCTCGGACTGGCCGATCATGGCGGGAATCTGGTCAGAGAAGGCTGGTGGCGAGGTCTTAGGGGAACATGTTTTTAACGAAGAGTTGATTTTTGGAGAACACATACGAGGAACAGAGAGCAGAACAAAGTTCTTCAGGCCATCGTCGGCAAGAGTCTGAAGGAGCTCAAAGTAGCGGTCCATAATCTTGGTGATTGGTGCAGAGACCCTGTCCCAGAACGGCTCGCCAACGTCGTTGATTCCGATCCAGACGGCGACGAGGGCGTCGGCCTTGTTAACGACGCTGGAGACGTACTGCTTGTACTGGTCGACCTGGTCATCGACGCAGTACTGGGCGTAGGTGTCGACGATGCTCTTGTCGGTGGTGGCGCCGGTCACGGCAAAGTCATAGGTCAAGATGGTCGAAGTGTTGAGGGTGCTAGTAAGGTGACCGACCCAGTTCAGACCGCCAGAGGTAGTCTGGCCGGGCAGCGAGGGGTTGCCGAGCGGGTTGCCGGCAGCCGGGAGGGTGCCGCCGGGCCAGAAGCCGACAGTGGAGTAAGAATCGCCGCTACGAAGTAGTGCGAGTCAGATGGGGCCCTCCCAGATGTCACTCTGCAAGTACACGGGACGGAGGTGCGTGTGACTTACAAGACAATCAGGTTCCTTGAGCTGTTGGTCTGTCTCGGGAAGACGCCCGGGGTGGGACTGGCAAAGGACAGGGACAGGCCGGCTGCCAGGGAAATGGCTTGGGTGAAGGACTTCATTTTAGGCCAAGGATGTCAATGTAATGTACCAGCAAAATATCAACAATAAGAAGGATAACAAGTAGAAAAAACGAGAAGCGAATGAGAGGTTAAGAAACCGAGCAGGGAAGAGCAACGAGAGACGGGACGAATGTGAACGGAAACAGTTCAGAGTTCAGACGGCCGGTTCGCGTGGGACGCGTGCTTTACATACTGTACTGGCGGCTTGGCTCCCCTCCGACTGTTAATCAAGAGGGGGGGCTCTTGATCAAAAAGACTTCGTCACTCTGCGTTTGCAGTACATTGAGTTCCCCATACTCGGCCAACGTGCTATTCGATGCGATTGGTGGAACTCCCAGTTCAAGCTCGGGCCTAGGCAGTGCAATTCCCAAAAGGAGCGAAATTGCAGGCCGCTCCGCTGGAGCATGCGGGGCCGAAGCGCGCCATCGGACTCCTTTTTGGTGTTTGAGCTCGACAGATGTTGAAGTTAGCCGCTGCATTTCGGTCTCTTTTTGGTCTGCTGGTGTCGTTGACTTTGTCGTCCTAATTCGGCGGGTTTCCTATTTGGACGACTCGGCTTTTTTTTTTTTTTTTTTATCAGGCTTGAGGAGACTTTGATAAGAGTTGGAGAGACATTATAGAAACTTATTCCCCGTTGAAGTTGTATTCACTTTTAGGTCTCATAGGGTCAATCTCAACAAGTCCACGTCAGCCACGAAGCTTAGGCGTCTGCACAAACTTCAAGTGTGATAGAAAAAACCCATCGTTCTCGAAGCCTCAGGAACATTGTGAAGCATTGAAAAATCTAGTGGGATTTCATTGCGCTTAAATCTTGGATCCTATTGATCTACTATGAAATTGGAACAGAGCAACAACAACACCCTGCAACCAAGTTCCTCGATAGTCACATCTAGAATGCAGGGTTGGCATTCTGCAACAATTGCGCAAAGTAATCCTCGAACCAAGTCCCAGCTTCCGGAGCCGGAATAAGGGAAGACGCAGAACTACACTTCTCGTCATAACGGGCTGAGGAAGAATTGCTTGTTCCATCAGCTTCGCCGCCTGGCTTGACCCAGACGAAGGCGTCCAGGGTATCAATGCCAGTCTTGACGTTCGGCCTCGTGCCGAAGCCAGTGTCCTTTACGTTGCACCAGTCACCCCAAACCTGGCGGCCCCCCGGCTGCTTGCCACTGCGGCTTTGGTCGACGAGATAGTTTGCCGGGTACCCAGCCTGCTTGAGGAGCGGGGTCAGCGCGTCGTGGAACTTGGACTCGTCCCACTGCTTGTTGCCCTGTGTATAAGATGGCGCGGTCGTCAGGTTCCAGCCGTTGTAGTTGGACACGTTCGAGACCAAGCCTCGAACCGCCTTTGGGGAGCCGGCCTTCTTGTATAGTTGGCTGTACAAGTCGGCGGTGGGCTTCAGATTGGCTTCCCAGCCCAACCAGCCTGCGTGGCCCACGTCCACGTAAATGGCGACATTGTCGAGGTTGAGGGTCTTGAAAGCATAGTCGGTGCCCTCCTTGTACGCATCCGCTGCGCCGGCGCACTTCGGCACATTCAAGTTGGTGATGAGGTTTGGCAATCCGTCAGGTTCTGGTTTCGTCATTAGCATGCTGCGAACATGGGGTCTCCGGACCTCGTCCCAAAAACGTACCGTAAACAAACACCAGGCGAACATCCGAGTACTCCTTGGCTAGCGCGGCGATGGGGTCGATGTATTCCTTCTTATACTTCTCGAGACCGCCCTCGGCAATGACAAGCTCGCCAGCTGAAGCCTTGGCGGAGCAATCGCGGTCGGGGAGGTTGTAGATGACATAGGTGCCGGCGTACGGCGGGTTGGCGCCGGCTTGGTTCAGCTTGCGTATCTGCGCCAGAGTGCTGTTCATCAGACTGATCTTCGCGCGGGTGTCACTGCGGTTGTCAGCGGACGCTCATATAAGGGCACTGACCCAACCCAGGGCGTGAATGCTGCTCACAGCCAGGCAAAGGTGGGCACCTCTGCGACCTTGGCGGCCTTGGCCGCGAGATCACTGGTAAGTTTGGGAATGGCGAGATTCTTGATCTCGTCGGCGTAGAAGGGATTGGCGAAGAGTTGTCTGTCCGCCAGCGGATTCCCCTGGTAGGATGCGACGTCACGCGGCTTGAGGGGGGTAGCTAGAGCAGCCGGCGCAAGCGCTGCGGCGAGCAAAAAATGAGCAACAACCATTTTGAAATAACGAGTGGAAAAAAACGGGTGGAATGAGAAAAGAATGTAAGACCCTGGATGGATGTTGTGTGATGAGCCACGATACCAAACAATATTCAACCAGGCGGACATATCTCTCCTCTTATACCACACCAGCTCTTTCGCCCAGCTGTCTCAACTCCGAACTTTGTCATTCTTTGAATCGCGCCGGCGAGGCAAAGTCCGAGGACTCCGTGAATGCACCGGTCGTTCGTTTTCGGCGTGATTCCTCCGAGGACATCGGGACGATCGCTAAGGCTCTCCGTACCCACATGCAGCTTTCTGAGCCTCTGAGGATACTTTTTTCGGCCGTGTGAGATACAAAGTCGCCGGGTCTCGTCCGGCGGGGATGATGCTTGGAACACGGACGAGTGCATTGGCCCCGAGCCGTTGGGACCTGGACGTCTGCTCGATCCGGCAAACTTTGGGGGTTTACTAGCATTTGACCCCGGGCTGGATAATCTAGGCTATGAAGATCTCACGGAGAGTTTCGCACCAAAGCATGACACCACGTGAAGTCGGCTCATCCCCTCGGGGCTGCCGGCAGTGCTGGCCGTTGCTGTCTACTTAGTCTCCACTTGGTTTGGATGACAACATTCGACTAGGGAGTTTATTGAACTTGAAAGGGTGAGCTTGGGGCGAGGCGGATTGATTAAGGGGAGAATTGCGTCTATTATTAAGGTACGCAATGTGTGCCGTTTCAGAAGGGTGCCCTTGTTCAAGATGAGATAACTTTGTAAGTTGGGGAAAACCTTCTTTTGCTGGAATAGAGTAAGGGGCAAAGAATCATCGGCTATAGGGCCATGAGTGTGGGGGCTTCCACAGCACTCGAGTCAATAGCGGGCGGCTACGTTTGCGATGTCGGTGCCGAAGAATTAAGCCCAAATCTGTCCGTCAGGTAATAATGACAGAGTAGCGTCATGTGGAAACCATCCAATCTTCCTCACTTAGAATCGCAGAGTTGAGCTGGCTTCCAGCTACTCTATAGGTTGGAGACATTCATCCTATGATAGCTGAGTTTCCTATGATAAGTTGACCTGCAACCGTCTTGTTTCTGGTTTCCACTTTTCTAGATCAGCTCGTCTCCCTGTTCGGATGACTACCCAGTCCATATTTCCCATGCTACATCGATAACGCCACAGAAGCGCACGGGACACAAATAACGCCGTGCGGTCTATCCGTACCCGTGGGCAAATGGACAACCAAGAACTCGAGGTCTGTGTAGTTCCTTGTTGCCATGATTTGGGAGAGAGCAGAATTGTTAAGAGCATCAATTTTGACGAGAAGGGAATACGGCGGAGATGGCAATAATAGTTGGCGAACTCGCAAGGTTCTGAGAATGCTGACAATTTCACTAACTATATCGATTACTCGTTGAGAATAACTCGTTTACAATCCTTAAACTCCGCAAAATTCAAATGATGGGTGATAAAGCGCTGAAAGAATTCTCGACTTTTACCGTCAGTAGACTCATGGCCGTGCCTTCTGTAAAAGTCAGAGTCTACTTCGTCATACCATATCAAACTTGAGCGAAGGAGAACCATAAGTGTTACATACACACTACCGATAACACTGAGCCATGAGAATTATACAGACCTCGACTGGCCCGTGAGAAGTGAAGGACACCATTAAATGCCGAAAGCCAGGACGAAGCCTACAAGCTGCGCGCCTTGACAACATGAGCAGGGCGAGGTTAGCACTTCAGTATTGAATCGAGCTTTTTTACCCCAGAGATCTTCGGGATATCTCATGTTCATATGAATCCACTCTATCTCGAAAAAAAAAGCTGATCTGCAGTTTGCTTCACCCACAGTCCACGGCTTTTTGCACCCAAGCGAGGGGAAACTAGACCAACATCGCTGTTTGCATTAAGCATCGAATAATGCCGCTCGGATTTGATCGCACGTTTCTGCGGAGTTCCTCCTGCATAGGTCAAAACGAGCAAACTCCTACCCTTCGACCCCACACCGGCCATCAAATACCACAGGGTATGTTGAAGATGATTTTCTCCAAAACGACTTTCGGGGCACGAGGTTGCTTACTGAGATCCATGAGAACAAAGGTGGACAGATCAAAATGAAATGGGAATATGGCCTTGTCTCGCTACGGTTTAAACCCTCGAAAGACTTGGTTAAGGGGTTACTCGGTGGCTCAAGCGATCATCTGGTGTGTATGACTGACCATTTACTACCAACACTAGTAATAAGCTTGTGGAAAGCGACCGAGCCCACGGTGCTGGACCTTTGCCTTCGCAGGCTACCGTGTAGGAGCATCCTACGTCGTCCCACCTGTGACACATTCACTTTGTCGGGTTTTTCTTCGGCCCTTCGAGATTTGTTCCTCGCCGCCGGCCCGCTGCACAAATACAACTACCCAAACGGCTAGCCTAATGTTAGTCCCGGAGTTCCGCACCAGGCCTGTCTCCGCCGGCCGAGTTCACTCACTCACCATGGTAAAAGGTGAGATGATGGCCCCATCTGATTAGATTTGGGAGAAGAGAGGGCGTAGCTAGCGCTGATCCTTCAGCCCACACTATCATGGGATTATTGTACTGCCGTGGCTGTATCCGTAAATCTTTCCGCATAATCTCGACCTAGACACACCACCATTGTCGCGGGGTTCGATGATCCCTACCTCTCTGGTTCAACGACTGCTGCGAATTTTCTCACTCTATACCAGAATCATCTGCCTAGGTAGTCATTGGGCCAGCTCGAGCAACACATTTGATCGGTTCGCGGGTTTGCATAAAACTACATATACCTCCTACGACTCCTGCCACAATGCCCAGTCTTCGCTTCCAAGCAAGCCGTGGTCGCTCAGCCATCCAGTCAAACTGTCGTGTTGTGACTTATCACGATGAATAACAACAAGGAGTCGGGCGTCTTCTCAGACGACGTGCACTTCCCCAAAGATGGCACAATCTCCCCTTCAACAGACCGCGAGGAACTTCAAATCTTTTCCGTTGGCGAGATCCTACAATCACAGGGCGTCACTCGCATAGAGGCAGTCTATCGTAAAGCCAAGCAGAACCGCATCTCCCTCTACCTCGTTGGTCTATCCGTCCTCGTCTGCGCCTGGGCCTACTCCCTCGACAGCTCGACTACCTCTTATTACAGCATGGACGCCTCTTCCTACTACAAACGGCATTCATCCGTGCTATCGACCCTCTCCATTGCCACGAGCATCATCTCAGCCATTTCGAAGCCCTTCATCGCAAAGATCTCCGACACCACGTCTCGTCCATACACCTACATCGTGACGCTGTTCTTCTACGTCCTCGGATACGTAATCGCCGCTTCAAGCACATCAATCTCCGCCTATGTCGTCGGCGAAGGCTTCGTCGCCATTGGCTCCTCCGGTCTCGACCTCACCAACGATATCATCGTCGCCGATCTGACACCCCTGGAGTGGCGCGGCTTCGTCAGCTCGCTGCTCTCGGCCCCTTTCATCATCAACACTTGGTTCGCTGGGAAGATTGTCGACGCGATGCAGGCTCGCAACCAGTGGAGATGGGGATACGGTATGTTTGCCATCATTATGCCCGCCGCTCTCGGCCCGGCGATCGCGACATTGCTGTACCTCGACAGGAAGGCGAAGAAGGACGGCATCGTCAACCTGGCTTCCGCGAATGCGGCGCGTCGTGCTGCAAGGGAGTTGGCAGAGAAGAAGGGCTATGATGGACCGCGTGGAGCTATTGTAGCTCCGGCTGCTGAGCCAGCGGGCACTTGGACAGAAGGCCTAAAGCGCAACTTGATCGAAATCGATGCGCTTGGTCTGATACTCTTGGGCTTTGGCTGGAGTTTGCTGCTTCTGCCATTCAGTCTCAAAACTTATGCCAATAACGGTTGGAGAAATCAGTCACTCATTGCCATGATGGTTGTTGGAGGCATCTTGCTTATCGCGTATGTGGTCTATGAGATCAAGTGGGCAAAGGTACCCAGCGCACCGCGCAGACTGGTCATGAACAAGACGTTCCTTATGGCCATCGTCATCGACTCATTCTACATGCGTAAGTCTTGAATTTCGGTGCTAGTCGTTTGAACAGCGCAGTCTTGCTAAGAACATTTTTCAGTGGCAGGTAATATGCGCGGCTTATACTGGTCATCTTACGTATACATTGCGAAGCCTTGGTCCTCGCAAGACTGGGTGTATTACAACAACACCCTGACACTTGCGCTTTGTGTCTTTGGCATGGTCTCAGGTCTGCTACAGCGATGGACCCATCGTTACAAGATGCTTCAGGTCTTCGGTCTTTGTATCAAGATCATTGGGATCGGCATCATGATCGATGGTCCCCGAGCCACCAACTCCACCGCGCCCATGGTCATCTCGCTGATCATGATCGGTGCCGGCGGTGCTTTCTCCGTCGTAGGCTCACGCGTAGCGTCCCAGGCCTCCGTCCCTCATCAGGACGTTGCCTTGGCCATTGCCTTGCTCTCTCTGTGGTCCAAGATTGGTAGCTCCATAGGCAGTGCCATCGTGGCGGTTATTTGGGCCGACAAGATGCCCAAACTCTTGCGCCAGTATCTACCTGCGACTGCGACTGATAAGGACGTCAAGACTCTCTTCGGCAGCGTCCGCACCATTCGGACCAAGTACGCATTCGATGATCCGATGAGACAGGGTGCCATCGAGGCGTACCGCCGCACATTGTACTATTGCCTGGTGCCAGCTTTAGCCCTGGCGTTTGTCCCTCTCATTGCCGCGCTCTTCCAAACCAACTTCTATCTGGGCAAGCAGCAAAACGCGGTGACCAACGTCGGCAACGATGGTCAAGTTCTGAAGGAGGAGGACCACAACTCCAAAATTTTACCCTCACCAAAAAGCAAGAAGGAGGCGTTCCTTAGGTTCTGGGCCGGGCAGAAATGATGGCCATACCTTTTTCGCGGGGTTCAGAATTGACTTTGCTCTACATAAAGCGTTTGACAGGATGTGCTATCATTTTGGGAAGATCAACCTACTAAGATAGAGCACGTTTCTTAGCTTGAGAAACTTGGTGTGACCTCTCCATGCCTAGAAACTCGTAAGAACATTGCGTCTTTCCTGTTTCTCGATTTCAAATGTGCCTTATTGTAAGACGGATAAATTAAACCTTCAACCCCGAACTACAGAATCGTACTTCCAGAGTATCATTACGGCAGAGCCACACTCGTTCGTCTCATATCTTACATGGCCAAGCTTTGGGCGCGGGTTGCCAAGCGTTTGGCTTAAGGTCAGAAGGCTTAGTGAGATAAGACAAATTTACCCATAGAATCACCCGCTGTGCCGTTGAAGATAACGTGGTGTTAAGCAATGCGAACAGGGACAGGTAAAAATTGTTAGATTAGCGGGTGCCACCACTCTGGGCGGCACTCCTACTGGACAGTCCCAACCCGTTGGTGACCAATCTTTTCCAATTGAGCCCAGCTTGTTTAACTCAAGCTTTTCTATTTGGTGCAAAACCCTCTCCTTCATTGGGCTACCACAAGCGTTTGTGGAGGGTCGCCTTCGCCCGACTAGATTGATGTGCGACCGTCCACGTGCCGTCCAGCTCTTGGGACCGTCCCAGCCGCCCGGCGCTAGCTGTTATTGTAATCGCCTACGCCCGTCTTAATGCATAGCATTTGGTGTCTTCTTGTCTCAGTCTGCCTAGCCGCCCTGTAATGAAGCGATTCAAGGCTGAATCGGCGACTGGCCGCCAGTTCAAGAAGACGGAAGAGTCTTATGACGTGGCCTGGGTATCCGCGAGCCTAGATAAGGCTTTGCCAAATCCACAACTGCCTCTTTCAATTCTTGGATACATGATAGGAAACTAGCAATAGAATGACATGATCCTCCCTGTATGAGGTCGAGCATCCAGGCTGGAAAGAGAGTCGAAGAGACTCTACCCCGCATTCCCCGATATCCATCTCGGATCTGATCAAAAGCGCACCACTTACCATTGAGAGATACCACCAAATCAGCGATGCCCTCCTTTTTCAAGAGGTCCAAGGCCAAAGAAAGGGAGGCAGAGGCAGAAAAGGCCAAGGCAGATCGCCCAGCAACACCTCCCCCCGCCTACGACGCGGCACCAGACGAGCCTCCGCCATTCGAAGACCAACCACCACCATTTGAAGCTCACAGCGGGTCCAAAGGCAAGAGGCCCTACACCGAGCAGGATGTCGCCAATCTTACGAGCGCCTTCGGCTCGCTGCGACTCGGCACCCAGAGAGATCCCGACGTGGACTCCTGTCTCGCTCATCTGAAGCTCCTCTACGCCATTGAGACGCTGAAAGAGGATGTAGGCTACAGCGATGGTCTATGGGACCTGTGGGATTCGCGAGCCGGACCCAAGGACGGCGACGACGGTTCCAGCAAGGGTAGTCAGGACCGGGTGAAGGAGTTATTGGCAATGTTGCGCGAGAAGAGGTGGGCTGTCTACTTGGCGCGGGCGGCGGATCGATATCAGACTTGGTGGAAGATGCTCTCTGGAGGAATTCGCCTGCGTGAAGAGGAGATGAAGGACGCCGAGACGTTTTCAGATAAGTATTTGAACTTCCCTGAAGGAGGTGAAGACTATCCCTGGACGGTCGATAATCTGCCACCCCTAGGTGAGCGCAGCATCCCTGTCAACGCGAGAGTTCGATAAAGTCTAACGAGGGCCAGATGTTCTCATGATCTGGCATGCGCACATGCTGAATCCCAGAGCCTTTCTGGAGGACACTATGCGCTTCAACCTACGTAGATTCTGGACGACGGGGATGCCGTGGGGTCAGGTCAACCAAGTCATTGACTCCAAGTTCAACTACGAGGTTTCTGATGTGGCTAAGGCGAAGTGGGAGAAGGCAACAGGAAGGACGTGGAACAATCTTGACGAGCCACAGGAGAAGCAACTCGAATGCCCAGCATGCAAGCAGACTAGTGTAGTCCCTTGGACCACATGCGGCTTACCAGAGCTGTACAAGGGTGAAGAGTGAGTTTCATCATGACGGAGGCTTGGTACTGCTGTCTGGGACGTGCTGACCTCTCTGCGAAAGGCGGCCAGGTTTGGCTGGGAAAGGATACGGCGATGGAGACTTCTCTCAATTGTGCACAGGCTGCAACACCCTTATTACGCATCGTCTACTTTGCGTCGCCAAGATGGTCAGCGACACGGAGCTATACCTCAGCGAGGGCATCACCCTCCCCAGCACCGTCCTCGATCCAAAAGTGGGCATGCCGGTCGCCACTGAGGCAAAGCTCAGGGAAGTTACGTTTCCCAACAGGCTCATCGGAATAGGAATTTCAGAGAAGCTCTTGCAACTCGTCGAGCCTGGCCAACCAAAGACGCCTACGATGAAGGATGTTCGAGACCTCGTTACTGCCGCACTGGCCGACGACGACACTTTTGCAAGAATACAGGAGGTGAAGCCAGCCCTTTACGTCAAGAAGGACGGGACAGGCGGCAAGGTCATTACGCGAACGGAACGCTTTCAGAGTAGCAAGATGATGTCGAGGTACTGGGAAAACAGCTCAATCTTTGCTCTTGACCTCGTTGGAGCGACCGTACGCCAGGGAGTGTTCATCGGCAAAATGTTCAATGTCAGTTCTCAACATCCCATCTCCCCCGGGCCCTCGGAGCGCGGCTTCTGCGCAAGTTGCTCACAAGAACCATTCTCAGATTGACTGGCTACACAGCCCCAACGCGCGGGCAACCATGGATCGACTCATCCAAAAGTACCAACGCTTCATGCTGATCATGACAGAGTACCCCTTGTCTTTGACAGTACCTACTCTGGATGTGGACCTTGCATGGCACACTCACCAGTTGGCCCCGAGAGCTTACTACAAATTTTCGACATTCAACAGCGCAATGAGTGCCAGCAAGGAAGCCAAGTTCATCGACCACAACGACAAGATTGACGAAGACCAGCTCTCCCAATCGTTCGAGTCGACTAGCAAAACATACTTGGAGAAGTTCAACGAGGTCTATTCGGAATGTACATGTTGGTACTGCGAAGGTTCGTATGAATCGTTTTCCCGTTATCCCATGTTTTGCTGTTCAGTGAAGGAAATAATACTCATCAATGGTTGAACAGCCGTTCGCGTAAAGATCACAATCGATAGCTCCTCCGTCTTTGGCAAAAGCAAGCCGCAAAAAGGCATGTGATGGAAATTCTGCCCTGCCCAGAATCCAAGATATTGACACTTCTTACCTCTAGCCATCGACACGTTTGAGAAAGCATCAGCCTCGCAGATCTGTAACCCATCCACATCAGTCCACATATCCGCCCACAACGCCGTTCGCTCGGATGGGTCAGCTACTCACAACGCAACGCATCGCCAACAACGCGCAGTCTGGAAAATGCGTCTCGACGACGCCTACGAGCGCGCAAAGAAGCGTGCGGCGAAACGAGGAAAGACGCTGCCGCCAAAGGAGGAGTTTTACGACAACTGGGGAAAGACGCATCACAGAGACTCCCCTTACACGTATCCCGCGTACCTAATCGGAGGGGTCTATCCCGCTGGACACCCTAGCGTCATCCATGGATCTTGGGCCGACTGCGCTCAGGGACTTTGTGGTACGAATGAAATTGCTGCTGGAGGGTGTGGTGGCGCTGGTGGATGCACCAACCTGGCTGTGAGTTGCATGTCTTCAACCCACTGCCGAGTTGAGTGCCTAACAAGGTTCGATATCAGGGTTACTGGTCTGGAACAAGTCGGCAAGTTGGCGGTAAGTACAGGTCCATCCAGCCGGTCTCAGTTAAGGTTCTAACATTTCATGATCGATAGCCTGTGCTTATGGCGTGGTCGCCATGGGTTCAGGAGGAGGATGCGGTGGCGGCGGCGGCGGCGGATGTGGTGGCGGATAAGCAATATCTCGGCAGAAGTTGAGCCTCGTTATCTCAGGCGGTGATGCCCTCTTACTGTTGTAGCTGAATCATTTACAGTTTATTGAATCAAATATCGTCAACGTTAAATTGCTCTCCAACCAGCTCAATGCGTCTAGGCAAGCCACTAAGTTGGCATCACCAGTATTCCGCTTTAACAAGGGCGACGCAATATAATACATAGCAAATCCCTGTAATTAAAATTTGCCAAAAAAGAGATCGATAGTCAATTGACCAGAGGGTGTTTGCAAATATTTATCAGGCTCATAGTACCGAAACCGGATCTCAAACGCCCGCAGCATCAAAGGCTTTGGGCACAAGAAACCACTACCAAAGACGCGGCCTGGTCAGATGCAACTCTGTCCTAGATACGCCAGTGGATTCGATAGTTTTTGCGCGGCGACCGAGAATCGAACCGCTGTGTATCGATTTCTGTTTGACAGATAACTAAGAGAATCACCTCCAAGCCACCCGGCCGCCCTGATGGAAGATCGAAGACCTTTCCGCCCTGAAATAGGCCACGCAGGCGTCAGGAGGTAAAAGGAAGGAGCGAGGTGAAAGGGGGGGGGGGGTCAACGGAAGGTGAAGTGAGGGGCTTTTCTTTCTTCTCATTGGTAAGTGGCGGGTGGTGAAACGCGAGGTGGTTTGTTGACGCGTGCTTGCCCTCAGTGGTGATAGTTCACTCTCACCGACCTTCACCGAGAGCCGCCTGCTTTTTTGCTTCCCAAACCAGAGTACGGTAACTCCTTATTTTCCCACCACAACAACCACTTTACATATCCAATTTCAAACCTAGAAAACTCGCCCTTTTTCTCTTGGCTCTTGACTTTTTCACATCATCGATAATTGCACCCTTTTTTGTTCTACTTCACATACAATCCGACCTCACACCGTACCCAAGCGCGTCCTCTCATCTCTTTATGGCGCAGGTTCAATAATGTCACTCCTCATCATCATCAGGATTCTAATTTTACTCCAAAGCATCACAATGTCTCAGTCTCAACTTCCCACCGTCAAGCCGCTGATCGACGGCCACGCTACCTCAGCCATCGGCGGTACATTCAGCGAGGAAACCAAAAAGGCAGAGAAGGACGAGAAGGGCTAGACCAAGACCTTCAAGAAGGTCCTTCCATTCCGCCCAGGCTTCCAGCTGTACCAGAATGCTGCCTGTAAGGATCTCAAGGTTCTCGACGACAAGAACGAGGGCATGGCCTTCAAAAATGCTCTGCGCCTCGTGTCCCCCAATCTCGAGAAAAAAGCCATCGACAACGCCATCGCCCAGCTCTTCCTCACTGCCGATATACTCTCCTCCCAAAGATCCTACGTTACTGAGAGTGTCCCCAGCCTCCTTCTCCTTGCCGCCAGGGAAACCCCCTGGGGCAGAAAGCGGCCGAGACAGAGCTTCAGGAGGCTCATGGGCAGAAGATGAGAGAGCTTGGAATCACAGGCACCGCCGGATTCTTAGGTTAGAGTGTTTGGTTTGGTCTTTGCTGGTTCAACTCTGTCTGCCGTTGTCGCTTCCGATTTTTCCGCCCATATCAGCTAGCAAAGGGGCGATTGATTCTGGTCGCTTCGTGATTACTTTGATCACGAGTAATTGCTGGATGATGAACAATATTGCATTCTTGACTGATACTGACACTATGAATTATATCGAATAAGCCTGAACCCGTCAGTTGCCTACCTACTTACGAGATCATGGTGGTAGGCTGTTTCCTTTTCACGTGAAGCGAGTCAAGTGTACAAAGGTCAAGTCTTTCTTCTAATTCCACTGAGAAACGCATATCAAATTGGTCATCTAGAAGAATGATTCTTACTCCCATAACATTTGAATGCAGCAGGAAGTTTTGCGGTGTCATCATCTCCAAATCCAATAAGTAGAACAGCTATTTCTTATCCTTCGTTGCCGATCCTGAACCCGCAAGCAGTCTCTCCTGGACCGTGTCTTTGCTCTTGATGTAACTATCCAACTGGGGACTCGGCGAAGGCTGAGGAGCTGGTGTGCTTCATTTCATGTAAGCCGACTATCTTCAGTATGATTCGGGAAGAAGACTTGCGAGTTGGGCATTTTGAGAGATGGCCGTAGAGAGTGATATCGTAGTGTGATGGGGCTGGTAATTTGACCAACGTCTGCGCAGAATATTTATTGCAGGGTAATTGCTTTGATATTTCAAAAGTTTTCAGCCTCTTGAACCGTCCTTGTGATGTATTCTTCATTGCGTTGTGGCGTTTCGATCGGCATTTATAGTTTTTGTGACAGTTACTTGTCTCTTGACCACCAACCCCCCCTGGAATTCCTTTCCATGTTGTTGATTCCGTATTTAATCTACCAGATAGCTGATGAGCTAGCTCCTAATCACTGATCACCTGCTCATCTTCAGGACTTTTGTGTGGTCCACCCCACGGCAGGACAACCTACCGAGGTTGCTCAACTCCACCCCTCTGCGGCCGGGACAGGGCCAAACCGCCGAGCACGACCGGACCCGTTTTGCCGCCTCCAACCGCCAACTATTACTCGGGTTGCGTAGCCAATGATAGCGCCCCAGACCCCAGTCTCGTGAGGCTCTGCGACTATCCCTATGAGTTGGCGCGCCGCTCCATGCTCCCATCACTCTATCATCATCCCCCTCGGCGGTTGGCCGCTCTGCAGTTACCCCCACCCCCCTTAGTCCCACATAGTTCATGATAGGCGCCATGGGCCGGCACGAGGGCGGACGGCGGACGGCTCGGGTGCAGATGCTGTTCGGCTGATGTCTTTCCTGACTACACCGTAGTATCAGGCTCTCGTCTTTTTTCACTGCGTTTCGAGGTAACATCCGCCCCTCCTCCTTTTCTGACCCCCTTGTCAGTTCCCTCGTTTTTCTCACTTGCTCTCCCCTCTTCTCATTTTCAGTGCTTTGTGCATAGTAGGAAGTCTAGTTTCCAGAGATATGCTGGTTCAGGTTTTATGACGCACAGACGACAGCAAGGGAAGGCCGTGCGGGTGGTAAGTACCGGTGATGACAACCACAATCGAGGGATCAGTACATTTTGGCCGCAGCGAACAGTCCTGTTCAGATCTTAAGACATGGTTTCAGTGTCAAAGCATCAAATTACTATGGTCGGTATACTGAGTAAAATCAGCCGCGCTGCGGTCAAATCGTCAACCCCTCATCACTCTCTCGCCCATGTCCAGCAGATCCCAATCTCAAGGGCAGAAAATGGGGGATATGTTCCAACTCCAAAACAAGAGGGTATTAGAAAATTCCACGTTGCTCCCCTACTTTCTGTTCCTCTTATGAAGCCATGCTAGAGATTTGCCACTGCAGCCCTCATCGTCGCAGGTAAGCTGCCTCATTACTTTGCTGTTCCCCCCCATAGCAATGTACTCAGATACGCTTGTGGATTCGATGAATTCATCAAGTTGGGAGGTGGTATCGCTGTTTATCAATGGTTTAGTTTGAGGTTCCACCCGTGCTATATCAAACCTGTCGTAAAATAAGAAAACATACTCAGGCATGATGGATGAAGATTGCGGGTCTTAAGCTGGAGTAATGGCCCAGCCACAGATTTCGTGAAGAAAGTTGAACAAGATTGTAGGTCTGAATATTTCAGGAAGCCCAGCTTCAGAAAGTTTGTTTGGTTTGCAGTGAACTTTCATTCATCAACGTGGGAGGTTTCCTCGGTATTTATAACTTCACTTCTTGAGCAGCATCTCTCCAAGACAGATGGGTCACTCTTGTCTCTTCTCGGATCTTATTCGATATGAATCTATATGCAGTCCATCGGGCAGCATAGCTTACAAGCTAATTCCTAATCTATGGATCCGGTCATCTGCTCCTCCACAGTGTACGCGTTACGTTTCACTCTCGGAGGGTATAGATGCTGGCCACCCCACTCCCGCGGCCGCAACGTGAGACCGCAAGCCGCAAGCGACCTCCACCACATGCCGTTCAGCCGCCGTCAACCGACAGACTTCCGGACAGGAGATCCGTAAAATTGTCCAACCACAACGTCCGGAGTCCCGCGGGCTGAGGCTCTGCGTATCTAGAGTGGCTTGAGACTCCTTCTTATTTATCGAATCTTACTCGGTATCGGATCCCTGGTTGGCCGGTCATCATCTTGCCAGCCCTTCCCTCCTTCGGATACGGTCCTTCGGATGAAGCCACAGGCCCACGATAGGCGTAGGCGCCACGGATAGTCGATCGGATCATGGAACAGCACGACGACGGAACTCGGGTAAGGGCAGACTGGATACATCGCCGGCCACCCTTGCCATGACATTCCATAACCAGCCCTTTGACCTTTCTTATACTGGTGTTAGCGCCATACTCCCCGTTCCCTCCTTCTACATCTGCGCTGTCTTTCCCTGTCTCTCTCACTTTCCCCAATTCCCAGTGATTACTACCTCCGGGGTTAATGTACTGATTCAGTATAGATCCACTGTTGGTTTGTACGGCATGCATGCATGTTTCCTGCAACCCACCAACAGCCATTCCGAACGCTCCAATCAAGAAACCTAAACGCATAACGAAAAGAGGGGGTCTCTAGGGTTATGATGTGCTTCCTGCCATTATTTGTTCCATAGCCTTGCTGAGGGCGCATGGATGGCGTATGATGTGCCACCCGATGTAGTCGAGTATTATCCCTATGAGGTAGGTCTTGTACGACACAAACCGCTCTGAGGTTCGGCGAAGGATGGTCAAGACATTGCAGATTGCGGAGGTGGGTGAGGTGAGTAGCTGAGTTCCTTGTGTATTCGGCAAGTGAGGACATGACATCGAGAGGAGTTGATGATCTGCGATGAAGAGTGACAGCTTTTCAGGGATACGGTTCAGCACTTCACTCGTCAACGTTGGCAGGAGGCAAGAACGAGACTATAGTGCCGGTTGGACGACTTGATTTGTGGTTTTGATTCCAAAAACCCAGGTGTGAAGGCAAGGACTGGTGTAGCAATGCGGGATGAAAAGTCGACCAAAGATCCAATCCTTGATCCACGATATACGATTGGACGCAAACCAATTCGGCACTGCACTCGAGATAGATATTTTGCTTGGCTTACCGTCTCGAGGAGAGAGACGGACGGAAATTTCATCAAATCATTCAAGAAAACGACGGGAATCAACGTCATGATGGTTCGATCTGCGTCCACGAGACCGAAGCCTTCGGAGCGATAGTCGTTCCAACTCCCCGATGCCGCGTATGGGGGTGAGGGGGAAAGCCACAAGATAATGGCCCGTCGTTTTTGGCGACCATGAAGTGACGATAGACCGACGAGGATCAAGGATGGAGCAGAGGGCGCGAACGCGTACGCGATGCAATCTTGAGCGGTGACGAACCCTCGCCCTCTCCGGCCACAGAGCCTCAAAGTTCGAGTAGAAGACCAATCATTGGCGGAGAAGGAGGTTTACGCATAATCATTGCGTTTTAGGCGTTGGGGAGCCGTGTTGGCATTGGCTCGACAGATGAGGGAATATGGACCAAGAATTAGCATCACGGAAACACATTTCCCATTTCCCCACGGCTGGTAGATCTTGGTACGAGACACCAGTAGAGTTGCTCTGGGCCAACCACAAGTTCCCCCACGAGCACGGCGTAGCCGAACGTGTGCTATCAGATAATAGCTATATCTTGAGCCAATGATCAACCAGGCGGATAACCACAAAGGAGGTTGGGGCGTAGGGAAAGGAGGGTGGTGTCCTCCACTTCTTGGACAGCAGGGGGCACAGAGGAAGATGGATGGTTAAGCTGATGGCCGCATGGCGGCGGCCCCAAGGCAAGGATCACTCTGCGTTCTGTTCACCGTTCCAACAGCATGTCCAGGATATCTGCATCTCGTGTGGGGTTGCACATACTTGGGTTCGGCGCAACAGGCCTCTTTGAGAGATGAGGCTCTGCACTAGAGGCTCTCTTTTGGACCGACGAGCGTTCAGGTAGGAGCGCATTCCCCCCTCTCGACTCTCTTCTGGACTATGTTTGCTGTGAAGGCCCGGAAGAACTCGCCTGGCAGGGCGGGAAAGGGTTAAGGTGTGGCTGCCATGGCTCGATGAACTCCTGCAACGGCACTGCCCTGGATGCCTTGTTTTCCTGCACAATAGCTATGCTCGTTCGCGTTAAACGTCTCAGATTCATCAGATCTCATCTTCCCATCGTCGGAATGTGCAGTTCATATTTTTTTTAAGGTTTTTCTCGATGTTGTGCGGTGGTAGAATGCCAAAAGCGTTTGACCAGAGTTCTGGGTGAAGAAAGTGAGCTGACCATCCGGTCGGGTGCTGCAGCCCTGGGTCGTCTGTTGTCTCTCCTGACATGTCCAGCCTCAGACCACAACCACACAAACCACAAAGAGGTAAGAAAACCATCCTCTCATTCATCAACTGATCAATATCTAGGCTCTACGATGATGACCAGCTTCACAGCTTATGTCTACCCCCCTCCTCCTCCGCTTCCCTCGCCCTCTTCGCCTCCTTCTCCTCTCTCAACACCTCCTCGCGACCCCTCACCTCGACCTTGCGCGGCCCGTCCCTCGTAAACTTGACCAACACGACCCTCTCCCAATCACCTCCGCGGCCCGACCCCTTGAGCTCGGGACCAGGCTTGTCCAGACCGAGCACGACGCGGCTGTCTCCCTCGCGAATGAACAAGTTGTGCGGGCTCATGACCTTGTCCGCCCACGGAATCTCCGACGAGGGCTGCCTCCGCCCGGCCTCGGACACGGCCGTAGGCGCCCTCTCAAGGAACTCAATCAGGCCCCGCCTCTGCGACGCAAAGTACGCGTCCCCGTGGCCCTTACCGGGCGCCGGCGACGGCGCGGCGGCCTTGCAGAACTGTGAGACCAGGTACAAGAGATAATACTGCGGCGGGAAGAGGATGATCTCGCCTTTATCGGCGCGGTAGAGCCACGTCCACGCGTCGTCAAACTTGGCGGCCGTGTGCTCCACGCCGCCGTCCGGGGTCGGCACGATGATTTCGTTCTCCGCCGCATCGGCCCCGGTCGAGGCGGAGTGCGGGAGCATGTAGATGTACATTTGCGTTGTGAAGCGTTTGGACACGTTCGTGGGCGTCACCCACCTGGTGAACGGGATGAGGCGTCCTATTTGCGAGCATGAGTGAAACAAATTCTTCCCTGCGGCTCTGCGGTGATGTGCTTGGGTGCATTCAATATTAGCTACTTACCAGTATCCGGGACGCCGCCCACGCTGTCGACCCATTCGCTGAACCGCAATTTGCCGCCGTGAATCTGCTTGCGGGCCCTGTCCCTGTCTGCAGATGGAACGTGAATGAGCGTGGACTTGCCGTCGGAGCCCTTTCTGGTAGCAAGGAGGATGCCCGTCTCCTCAAAGCACTCACGTATGGCACCCAGCCGATACGCGTGGCCGTCCTCGTGCCGTTCTCGGGCATCACTTGGCGGGATCTCTCCATCGTGGAATGAGTCCAGATTTCCGCCAGGGAACACATGGGCCGATGCGAACGATGTTGAAGTCTTCACGCGGTGCAGCAGGAGGACTTGGTTTGTCGGTGAGAGGAGCAGGATGCTACGGGCCGGCCATTGTGAGCTGATGGCAACGAGCATGCACGCTTCTTATGGGCGGAACTCACCTGGCACTGGGCCGCGGCTCCATGATCTCTCTTTCGCGCTTCGGCGGCGACGAAGATGATGAACGCTGTTGTGGCATACTGATGTTTGGCGCGCCTGCTTGTTGTCGGGCTGTGCTTGAAAGAGGCGTTGCTATGAGTGACGTGTTTGGCGTGAGATCCCTGCTTGAAATGCGCGTCGCAATCGAGCGTGAATATGAGTGTAATGCGAGGTTTGGGTATCGAATTGATGGTACCGAATAGCTTCCTGGAAAATACAATCTACCTGTACGGAACACTGGCGATAACAAAGGCATTGAGGACCTGGTGGTGACAGCCGATTAATAGCTCTAGTCAAAAAGTCATGAGGTGTACGGGACAAGATCACCGACCCGGCGGGGGGCGTTGGCGTTTTTGCCGAGGCTCGGTGTGCGCCCTGTGACGCGCCCTGTTGCGACCTCTTACAACACCACAGAACACAGTTCATTGCACACCTCATTTCCTCTCACGTAGGGGGGGTAAGTCATATATCACAGCTTCTCGATCGGGATCATTCTCGTCTCAAGGACAACGTTATTTCATTTGAAGTGTGGCTTGACAGTACCAATAGTGTCAATTGGCGCCGGGCATCTTATAGTAATGTCTATGCCTAACAGAATGCAAGAATATTCAATGGGTATCGTAATTGCATGATGTAGACGCCGAATCAATACCTCTTCCGCTCCTTTCCTCTTAAGCTCTCGCGCCACAGACAACAAACGCTCTTGGACTCGCACCATTGCTTCACTTCAGTCGGCGACACTTCCCCGTCATATCCAACCCTAGACAGCTGTCCAGTGTTGAGCCAAGTAGCAAGATCTTCAAGCACGATCGGATCATACATCAGCATCATCTCGTGGAAGGACGGCTGCTTGGGGTCCGTCGTGGGTGGTGCCGAAGTAACAGCTGCAGTGATGCGCGCAAATAAGACTTCCGGCTGCTGGCTTTGGGACGCCGCGAGTGACATTTCCGTGTCGTCGCCGATTGACACTGAAGCTTCTTCTGGAGCTGGCGAGAATGTAGACTCGGGTGAAGAACACGGTGATGGCGACAACGAAAGTGATCCTTCAGATGCCGAGTCCGGGATCTCAATAACCTCTGACACTTTGGTCTTCTTCCGAGGCGGGGATGCCACTGGCGAAGCCGCCTTCAGAGGCACCTTGGGTACATTTGATGCACCAGGATTTGGTTTCGAAGTGCCCTTCTTGCTTGACTTCGAGGCAGTAGCTTTCGCCGGCTCTACGTTCTTTCTCGGTCGACCACGGCCTCGTTTAGGAGACGGTGGTGGAGGCTGAGCAGATGGCGGCGGCTCGCTGGACGGCAATTCAACTTCAACTTGACTATTCTTCCGCGGACGACCTCGCGGTCGCTTCGGGGAAACGGTTGCTACTGATTTCTGTGACTTTGCAGCAGCAGCTTGCGCCTGGGACGTCGTCGAAATTGGATGGTTTGTGGGAAGCGGCGCAAGGGCGATCCTCTGCTTACCCACCCAGCACTGGTCCAAAAGAGCAAGCATGGCTTGCCTTCGCTTGACCGGTTTGAACCCAAAAGACGAAATCTCTCGCGCAAGCTGGTTGTCCGTGTACAGGCTGAAGTCTGGTTTCGCGATTTCTGGGGCCGCGTCACCCACCACCGAGGGCTTGGACGCTTCCGATGCTTGTGTTGGTGGTGACTCAAATGGCAGGTTGCTAGCCTCGTCCCCCATGTTTGGTCCAGATCCACTAGAGACCAACAGCACTTCAGCTCGGTGTTCTTCCATTTTAGCTGGGCTGGCATTTGGCGAGGACGGCGATGCTTCTTTCTGCGACCGCAGCATGTCATCGTCGCGGGTCTCTTTACCCAAAAGATCGTCTATGTCTGGAAAGGACATGTCCGACAATATGTGAGCTGGCAATGGCACCGTTACTTTCTCCTGCGTAGAAACGATAGGCTGTGGCGGCAACTTGATGGCTGCATCGTTGCCCAGTAGGTAATCAATATCCGGGAACGAGACATCTGATGGAATGTGAGCTGGCGGGGGCGCCATTATTTGATCGATACCCGCGTAGCCAAAAGGATTGAGACCATTTGCAGCGTCTGGTGCAGCCTGTGGAGTGTCTGCAAGATTGATGACGTCCAAGTCTAGCAGCCTGCCGTCCTCGTCCCTCGCGCCTACATCCCAAAGCTTTTGCTTGGGTTCTGGCTCAACCGCGTCGCTGTTAATCGGGGTCACGAACGGGTCTTCTCTCAAAGAGTTCGATGCCTGCAGCGCGGACTGGAGATCCCTTAAGAAAGTCGGCGAGTGTTCCCGTGCCAATTGGCTCGAAGTCCCGAAAACATAATCTTGTTTCGCAGCTTGCCTGAGAGCTGCGTTTGGTGACAGCAGGACTGGCTCTGGTGGGGGAGCCTTTTTCGATTTCTTTGCTTTGGATGCCCGCGCCTTGCCCTTTGACTGGACAGTCTCACCGCCATCATGAACACTATCAACTCGGAGCCCAGAGGCCCGTTCCTGTTCGGTCGGATCTGGAACCGCGTAGGCTGCGGTGGCCAGTCCGGTAATTGTACGCGGCTTCTTCCTCGGCGCCTTTACTTTCAAAGCCCCCTTCTGCGGCGGCCCCATTTTTGACGATTGGTTGACGGGCATTGTCTCGATCAATTTCCTCTTCTTCAATACCGGTGTGTCACCATCAGATGGCTCAGCCGAGGGTCTCTTCGGCTCCTCATCCGGCCGACCAAACTTTCCGAAAAGATTATCAAAGGTATCATTCAATGCGGCACGGCTCGGGCTTTTCGCAGTCGAGGAATGGAGGTCGGTGGCCTGGGAAGGTTTCGACCCTAAACTCAGGCCATTGTCGGCTGGGGGTGGTGTCCAGTCCACGCGACGTCTCATAGCCGCCTCTAGCTCCAATGGACCGCTTACATCCTCCTTTGGTGATGGTGGAGAGGCCTCTTTGCCTTCATTCTTGGGCTTCGCGAAGTGGCGACTCTGAACCCCACCCTTCTTCGCCGTTGTCTTGGGCTTCGCAGTCTTGGATTGCCTTGCCGCCTTCGCAGATGTTTTCTTCGGTTCTGCATACTTCTTCCACGGTGGACTAGCAGAGGCATCTTTGATCGGTTTGGGTGGTGGAGGCGGTTGGTATGCCTTCTTCTCCAGAACCTTAACGCCTCTCTTGCGTTTCGGCTTCGGCACATTCGCAATGGAAATCACCGTAACCTCCTCTTCCTCGTCTTGGGGCCTCGGTGGCGCACCCTCATCTCTGCAAGGTGTTGTCAAGTCGATTGCAGGTTGCTCCTGGCGCAGAAACCTCGAAGCACTGGTGAAGTGGTGGCTCGCGTGACTTGGAGAGGACACGGCAGCAATGGGACTTCGAATGGGCGGTTTCTTTGGGAATTGAGACTTGATCTGGTCTAGAGATGGTAGGTCAGGCGAAGAGGGGAGGTTGTAGACATCATGACGGGTGCTTCGAAACGGCGACCCCATCGTGAATCTCGGCGAACGCTGTGCGATGCGCAAAGCGCATGTTTTCGACACGACTCGCAGCAGATTGAAATGTTTCAGGATTGTACCGGCAAATAAATGATTGCACAGCTAGAAATAGATAAAGCGCGTCACTGTTTCCCTTACGAAGACGGGGGAACTGGTGGAAGGAGTAGAGAGCGCATTCGAGTGGCGATGACGGTTTAGAAGGAATTCACGACGTCGACTCAAACATCAACAAAGCACCCACGCGCGAAGGAAGCATGGAGGGGACCAAGTTCTAGGCTCGGGTACGTACCGTGCCTGCCTGCAGCAGGGGGGGAAGACCATCCTGGTCAGGTTCACTAGACGGAAGCACAGACCACACATTCACAGTGACAGCTCCGTCTATCTTATCGCAGCCATGAGGTAAGCAGCGTCGCTAGATCCACGTGATCTCAACCCTTTCCTGCCGCTTCGGCCCGCCCACACGAAATTTCGAAAAAAGAAGGCAGTCTATCACAGCTCTCCCGCATCTCGACCCCGCGAACGACAACATCCACGCAAAACACTACCTACTTGCTTCTAGTCAACCCCGAACGCAAGCAGCAACAATGGAGAACGACAAGGGCGAGATCGTCGATCTGTGAGAAATTCCCCTCCCCATGCCGAACCGTCCACGAGAATTTCCGCGCGACGAAATCGAAAAAAGCAGCTTCGAGGAAAAGCCCGATTACACAAAATTCGAAGTCCAAAGTCTTGCTAACCTGTTGTCTTTTTTCCTGCCGAATAGCTACGTTCCGCGCAAGTGCAGCGCCACCAACCGCATCATCAAGGCCAAGGACCACGCCTCCGTCCAGATCTCCGTCGCCAAGGTTGACGAGAACGGCCGCGCCATCCCCGGCGAGAACCACGTCTACGCCCTCTCCGGTTTCGTTCGCGCGATGGGCGAGAGCGACGACGCCTTCAACCGTCTGGCCCAGCGTGATGGCCTCGTCAAGGCTGTCTGGTCCGGCCAGCGATAAACGCTGAAAAGCTGCGACCTCGGGGGAGGATGGTACGTCGGGAGTTTATTTTACGGCTCGCGAAGGGTTGTTCAACAGCCGGACGGATGGGCTGACTTGTCAAAAGGGTCTAGTCGTCTGGTCTGGTCGGTCAACATCATGGATCTAGAGTTGGTTGCATGGTATATCGCCAATTCGAGGCGTCCGGCTCTCTGCGGAGAGGAAAATGGCATAGGAATGGTTCACGACTACCCAACAAAATGAGAATTTCCGCGTTCGAGATCAAGACAAAAACCAAAAGTCCCCAGTGACCTACCGCCCCGCCCCGATGCGATCGCTTTTCCTTTTCCCCTACGCCCCGGCTAGCGAAGGATTCTCGTGCCACCCTCGATGGTCTCCATGGTCGAGGATTCTGGGGCTACTCTGATAGCCTCCGTGCCGCAGATTGATGCAGGCCTTGAAAAAGCCGTGGCCGTTAAGGTGTTCGTCATGGTACAGATACGGGTCTCACATGTCTAGGCGCAGCCGCCAGGCTGTCAATACGATTATGACTTCAATCCCAAAACTTTCTCCATCGCGCGGCGTCTTCACGCCAAGTTATGGATTGACCTGTCCCGAGACTACATGTATCATTCGTGACCTTCATTCACTGTGAGGCGGAGCTTGCTATTAGATGCGACATCAGAAGCAATCATCCACATGAGCGATGACTACGGTGAGTCTCAAGTGAAACGGACGATGGCGTTGGAAAGTAATGTATGAGCTCTTGTTGCTGAGGAGGATCCCTGATGGCACTCGGGGTCTAGTGCCCAGCCACATCTACACTATGCGCGGGCGATCCCGTTGACCACTTGTACGCTTCAATATGCTTTATGATTCTAGTGATAATCTTGTTTCGAACATGGTCTCATGAATGTCGCTCTTCTAATCAAATTGTCGTCTACAGTCGTCTCTACAACGCAAAACCATCTTACAATACATAACGGAAGTTGGGGTTCTGGCCGCGTGTTAGTCGTCAACCTTTCTTGATGATCACAACAGCTTGGATAACTTACCTCCTTGTCAGTCAAATCAACACCCTCGTCCTCGTGCTCAGCATCCGGTGTGACACCTGCCGCCGCCGCCGCCGCATCTCTCTGCTTGTTGCGCCGAATCAGCAGCATACGCAGGCCAACGGCGATTGCCACCTGCGAAGCCGAGCAGGCGAGAATAAGTTTGCACCCAGTCTCATACAGCGGCGCCTCCTTGGCCAGGAAGGCATGGGGCCCAATGATATTACCTAAAAAAATTGTGTCAGAAAACTGTGAAGCACTCTGTGTCTGGGCAACTGGGGAGACAAAGTAGGTCATACCTAAGCAATATGCCGTAAATACGATGGCCGACGCCGTGATGCGCTTGGTATATCCGCCGAGGTTCGTCGCCGGCATCTGCAGAGCGAGTACCAGAGACGCGACGTAGCAGCCACTCATGTAGTATCCGAACAGGACGCCGACCTTGTAGTGGGTTCTATCGAGCTTCCAGATCATGCAGCAGCCAATGATGGTAGGGATAAGCCACAACGCCATGACGGTCGTGCGTTGGTTGCGGAGCTTGGACGCGGTGAAGGCTCCCGTGAGGATCCAGAAGACCTGGAAGGCTCCCTGGGGGATTCCCAATGCCGTGGTCAACAAGGGGTCAGTGACGAGTCCCTTGATAATGAGCTTTCCAAAGTTGGCCACGCCACCGTTGATGACCTCGTTGAGCAGGACGAAGAGGGTCAGAAGCCAGACCTGGGCGTCGAGGCAAGCCTCCTTGACCTGGTACCACTTGATGGTCTTGTTGAGAACGCCAGTCTTTGCGAGACGAGCACGGCCGACCAGGAGTGCTCTCTCCTCGAGAGAGAATCTCTTGGCGCTCAAGATGCTGTCTGGGAGGAACGCAAAGAGCAGCCCTCCCCAGATGACGGTGATGCCACCACAGATCAGGAAGACGGCCTTCCAGACTGGGAAAGAGTCGATTTGGCCGATTCCGTAACTAAGAACACCGCCGAGCATGCTGCCAACACCGTTGCAGCAGTAGAAGAGTCCTGCTCTCATGGGCTGTTCCGATCGCACATACCTTGGGCACGACGAGTTAGGACCAACATTGGCGCAAGGTTGGGGGGGGGCCGATTCATCTAGACTCACCACATGGACACCATCATCATAAAGCAAGTCGTGATGGGCGCCTCAAAGACTCCGAGCAAAAATCGACATGCAGCAAGTCCCGGGAAGTTGGAGCACGCAGCCGTGATCATCAAGATGGAACCCCATGACAGAACACATCCCGCCACGACCTTGCCCATGCGCGTCTTTTGGGCGATGTAGACCCACGGGTACTCGGCAAACAGGTAGGCCAGGTAGAAAATACTCGCAAACCACGAGTACTCGGTCTGCGTGACGCTCGTGCTGGAGAAGAGGTCAAAGACGGCCGCGTAGGACAACGCCTGCTTGTCAATGTACTGCAAGACGTAGGTTCCTGCCAGGAGCGGCAGGATCATGAGGTCGATCTTGCGGACCAGGCGTCGGTTCTTCTCCTTGTCGTTGACGAGCTCGGCGAGATACTCCTCGGTGATGTTGTTCTCCTGGAGAAACGCCTCGGACTCATCGAGGTGCGCGACCTCGCCCACCGTGAAGGACTTTGTCGGCTCGAGGCCATTCTCGGCGACTTTGATGTCCTTGGAGACCTTTTCCGCCATGGTTGTCGATGTAGGTGGACTTGAACGAGACTGGGACGAGGTGAGCGTGATCCGGAGATGAAGCCTCTCTCCGGTTTTCCCAAGGGACTCCCATCTCTGTCAAGAGCGGGATACCTCCTTTAATGTCTCATGGCCAATTGGTCATTATCTCGACAACCCTGACCACCCACGCAACCCATTCCGGGGTAACTTAGATAGGTTGATAACACGGAGGCCCAAAAGCTCATCAATGGGACGTCTTATCTGAGCCCAGATCCATGAGGAACCACAATTTACGGGCGATGTTATCCACAACACTGGAAACGCAGCTGACAAACAATGGCAATAGTGGCAGTTGGTTATCGCGGGGAAGTCATGTCGTGGGGCATGAGTCGGGGGGCGTCCGATAGCACAAGTCGGAGGCTGATAAGCCGGGAACGGGGGACGTTCTTGAACTTTGATCAAGGGGGCCCGGCACCAGATCTGGGCCCGGGAGCACGTCGCCCGCCGAGATCGGCCGTTTCGTCCCCGCGGGAAAACCGCTCGGTATCAACACGTCTGTCATTTAACGCCAAATCAAGTCTGCCGCCAAGCACATTGGACAACTACTCGTCAGGCCACTATTCGGAGCTTGTCCGAGAACGCATCTCTAAGTCGACTGCAATTGAACGGCAAGCCGGCACGAGCAACCGCCGATTATCGATAAGAGCTTCGTTGCATAACCCCCCCGGTTGAGAGTTGTGAACTGCAACTCGAGTCAACTGAACTCAACTCGACTCAACTCAACTCAATCACCTGTCCCAACACATTCAAGACAGAAAAGACTTCACAGCCGCAATGGGTTCAATAGTTCAAGACACCCGTCCTTCAGTAAAACTCACGCAAGGAACCGTCATCGGCACTGTGGTGTCAGATGGTCTCCCCCGGCCAGTTGAAGCTTTCAAGGGCATTCCGTATGCGCTCCCTCCAACTGGAGATCGCAGGTTCCGCGCGCCGGTGAAAGTCGAACCATCAACCAAAGAAATCGACGCCTCGAAATGGGGTCCCGTTGCGCCCGGCAAGCAGCTCTTCCCCGGCGGTCCTACATTCGAATACAGCGAGGACTGCCTGACAGCCAACGTCTTCCGACCCATCTCGTCATCTCAAGATGAGACGAGCACCTCACTGCTGCCCGTCGCCGTATACATCCACGGCGGCGCATTCAACAGAGGCACAGCTATGATGCACAACACTGCTTCATTCCTGGCAAACTCGGGACAGGCGTTCATCGCGATTTCTTTCAACTACCGTATAGGCGCCCTCGGTTTTCTCCCGTCAACCAAGAGTCTTGAGGAGGGTTCGGTGAATCTCGGTTTGAAGGATCAACTCATCCTTCTCGAGTGGGTTCGCGACAACATCACCGCATTCGGCGGAGACCCCAACAACGTCACGCTCTTCGGTATCTCCGCCGGAGCACACTCTGTAAGTCCTCAGAGACTGATTCACCCTTCGAAACAACCCCCTCCCGCCCCCTCCTCCCCAAAAAAAGGAAAATTCCGAGTCTAACAGAAAACACTAGATTGGTCACATCCTAATCAACGACGAGGGCCAATACAATCCACCCCTCTTCCACAAAGTCATCCTCGAATCCGGCGCCCCGACATCCCGCGCAGTCCGCCCCTACAGCGCCCCGGTCCACGAAGCCCAGTTTGCAGACTTCCTCGCGGAAACCGGCTGCCCGCCCGACCTCTCCGCCGCCGACACCTTCGCCTACCTCCGCGCCGCGCCCACCGAGGTCGTCCAAAGAGCCCAGATCGCAGTCTTTGATAAGTACAACCCCTCCCTGCGCTGGGCCTTCCAGCCCGTCGTCGACGGGGACATCATCCCGCGCCCGCCCATGGAGTCGTGGCGCCTCAACAAGTGGCGCAAGGTGCCCATCATGACGGGCTTCAATCGCAACGAAGGGTCCATATACATAAGCAAAAAGGTATCCAAGTCGGAAGAATTCACATCCTTCTTCGCCGACCTGCTACCGCTGCTGTCAAAGGAGGACGTCGACACCATCGACAAGCTCTACCCGGACCCCCTCACCGTCGCAGACTCGCCCTACAAGGAATCCCTCGACGGCACGGGAGCGCAATACCGCCGCCTGGAAATCGCCTACGGACAATACGCCTACGTCGCCCCCGTCCGCCAGACGGCCGACCTCGCCTCGCGATCCACCGCGGAGCCGGTATACCTCTACCAGTGGGGCCTCGAGAGCTCCCTCCTCGACCGCGCGCGGCACGGCGAGAACATGTACTACGAGGCCTGCGAGCCCGCAAAGACCAAAATCTCGCCGACGCAAAAGGCGCTCTGCCTGACGCTGAACGCGTACCTCGCCAGCTTCATCGTCGCCGGCGACCCCAACGCCGTGCGGGGCGAGAGCGCGCCGGACAGGCCCGTGTGGGAGCGGTACGTGGCCGAGGACCCCAAGGCGCTGGTGTTTGCGGAGGAGAATAAGGAGCTTATTGGGGGCCCGGCGGGTGTCCCCGCGCGTCTACATCCTGACACGTGGGCGAGGAAAGAGTCGGAGTTTTGGTGGACCAAGGTTGATGTGTCGCAGCAATGAGCACATCTGCAAGTAAAAATAAATAAAAATAAAAAATATGATGCCAACTCGGGTTTAGCCCAGTTAAAAAGGCCCTGCTGATAATTGCGGATAACTACTATGATCACATTTTCAAAACTTCTTCCACTGCCGAAACCACTCATGTTCTCTCGAGGTGGGAGTATCGCAATGAACGATATCAATATCCGAGTGAACTGTGCCGAGCCTATGAACGAGAATTCGGCTTCGTCATTTTGTATTGGAGCATTCACATGTAAAGCAGTGCAGCTCACTTGACGTTGAATCAAGATCAAGAAAAGGGTGCTCATTGGATAGTGCTTAGCTTATGTCCAGATCCAGAGATGATTGTCACGGCAATTCGCAAACGAGAAGAAACCGTTATTGACAACAGGCACCATTCGTTAAAGTGTACTTGCATTGAGTGATTGAATGCCACATTGTATATACAGACATGGAACAAAGTTGAGCCTTGAATCTGGGTATCTTGAATCACGGTGATTGGTGAATCGGCTACATTGCTGGAATATGGTACCATGCTGACAAGTTTCGAAGTAAACGACTACGGACATTCCTCATCGGTGGGATTTCTATTTAGATGAAGACTATTTGCAGTTCCTTGAAGCAATCAATAACTGACTTCTTTGCAAATTTCTTGGTTGTTGCCGTTCCTATGGGAAGTGTTTTCCTTCGTCTTAGTCACCTAAATTACGCGTAATAGATCATGGACCCTGAAGAATGAGTACAATTCTGATGTTTCTAAATCTGTTATTGATTTACAGCGATGTTCAGAGCTACTTAAAATTCTTCATTCGTATTGAAGTGAGAGTAATGAGTGAGTTTAGTTGAGGACGTTTCAAAGACCAACGCGATCGGAGATTGCGACTCTCTTTTCCATTTAAAAACAGCATTTATTTGCCAATTTAATTCATAAAACAACAGCACATTGCAATTCTTCCCTGTTACTTACAAAGATATCTCAAGATGAGATTCCAAGGCTATTGTCAAAATTATCCGAAGGATTTGGTATCGGAAATCTTTCAATGACCCCAAAACGAGGCTGAAAGGCCTTTCTACAGAGAGCCTCACGATCAGCCTTCCGCCTTCAGCATCCTCGTTTCCGAAATACGGCACATGCGACCACACCCACTGGAGAACTCGGGATCCCGTCCGCTCTCCCATCGATAAATCAGTGAGGGCCGGAGTAGTAGTCGGGTCGGTGACGACCGGCGAATGCCCGGTGTTGCATGTAAAATTCATTTTTGCCGTCTTTACTTCCTAACGGAAGAGGCTCTCTATTCAAGGACACACACGTCCGTCCTCTTGAAGAAATCGACCTTTATCTACCAGCTGCCGACTCTGCTAAAACTCCCAGCAACCTTCATCTCCCCCTTGGCCTCCCTACTCGCTTCGCTGAACTCAACAAGCTTCAGCGGGCGGTACTCGGGCGACCACATCTGCTCCCGGACCCACTCGTCCAACTCCTCGTCCCCCTCCGGAATCCCCTCTTCCGTCGCCACGCCCTCCTCGATAGCCGCCTTGATCACCGCCCTCGCGACCCTGACACTAACGTCCCTCACGACATCCACTCCAGGCAGCAGCGGCGCCGTCTGGTCCTTGAGCGCGGGACTCAGCGACGCGACGCCCTCCACGGCCGCAACGAGCATCTTGTCCGTCACCAGTCTCGCCCGGCAGAGCACGGAGCCGAGGCCGATGCCCGGGAAGACGACAGAGTTGTTGCACTCCGCGACCTCGATTTCGATCTCCTTGCCGCCGTCGCCCCAGGGGCCCTTTACCGGTTTGAAGGGGGATCCCGTGGCGACGAGGGCCTTGCCGTCGGTCCACTTGTAGATATCCTCCGGCACGGCCTCGTGGAGACGAGTCGGGTTGGAGAGGGGAAGGATGATAGGCCGCTCGACGCCGGCCGCCATGGCACGCACGATTTCTTCGGTGAAGGCCTTGGGCTTCGTCGAGGTCCCGATCAGGACGTTGGGTTTGACATTCTTGATGACCGACAGGAGGGACCCGTCCTTGTCTTTCCAGTCCGCAGGGTCCTTGGCGAAGCCCTTTTGGGCAGCGGACACCTCGCTGTCAGTGGTCAAGAGGCCGGGCTTGTCGATCAACCTGTGTTTCTGTCAGCGGAAGTGATACATCTCATGGGGTTTGCGGACATTCACGTACCAGATCTGCTTGGACGCATCCTCCTTGCTCATGTTTCCTTCTGCGGCAATGGCGTCTCTAACTTGGTCCGCGATTCCAACGCCAGCCGAACCAGCGCCGAAGACCACCAGGCGCAGGTCAGTGAGTTTCTGCTTGCTAACATGCAGAGCAGCCGTGATGGCTGCCAAAGTAACGCATCCCGTTCCCTGCACATCGTCGTTGAAGCATGGGATGTGGGGACGATATTGATCCAGAATTCTTCTCGCTGAAATGTTCATCGGGCGTCAGCAGAGCCTCGAGATCAAGCTTCGCACAACGTGCTTACCATTGGTGAGCCCAAAGTCCTCGAAATGGATGTAGGCGCGGGGATACAGCCTCCTGGCAGCCTTGACGAACTCGTCAACGAAACGGTCGTACTTGTGTCCCCGCACACGCTTCTGTCGGAGTCCCAAGTAGAGATCATCGTTCAAGAGCTCCTCGTTGTCGGTGCCGCAGTCGAGCACCACAGGTAGGGTCCGGTTGGGGTGAACGCCGGCGCATAGAGTGGTGAGGACGAGCTTCGCCACGGAGATTAAAACACCACCGACACCTTGGTCACCGATGCCCAGAATCTCTTCTCCGTCTGGTGCAGCTAGTTAGCAGGCTTTTCGGGCATCACAGGTTCGGAGAACTGGGGGTATAGGCAGGGATCGGGGGACATGCCGGTAACGACAATGTAGTCGATATCCTCTGGTCGCCCCCACTGGGCGAGATCGTGATACACACGGTCTACGTCATTAATGTTCAGGAAACAGCCGTCGGGCCTTCTAAACAGCCTGGAGAAGTTCTGGATGGCGTCTCCTTCAGTCGGCGTGTACACGATGCTAAACATTTCCGGAAGATGCGCTTGGAGCAACTATCTCGCTGTCTCAGAATCACGAATGCCTTTCAAGTCTAAACTGACCAGGATGATATGCAGAAAACATACCCGATAGTACAACACCTCATTCTGCTCCTTCAACGACGTTAGGAAAGTATTCTTGGCGAGATCATCCTGTCGGCTCTTGTACTGCTCGTAAGCGCGGTGCATCTGCTGGTCCAGGGAGTGGATGCTCTGGGGAAGTAGGCCGGTGAGGTTGAACTCGCGGCGCTCGTCCTCGGGGAACGCGGTGCCTTTGTTGAGATACGGCGTGTTCAGCAGCGCGCTTCCGGTGACGGCGCAACTGATGGGGCCGCTGGTACTCAGAGGCAGGTGGGAGAACTTGGGCTCCTTGCGGTCCTTGGCGGGAGCCATGATGTGGGATAGACGGGATGGATGGTAGCGGCGGGTGATGGTGTTACGCAGAGGGTTCACGATGATCCTGGGTAGCATCGAATTCTAACGAGTCTCAAGGGAAGTTGAAGATGGCTTGGGCACTGAATTGGGTGTGGGTGTTTGCACAGTCAGGTATATGATGAGTGCGCGGGAGTCGAGATGAACTGATTTGAAGCACATGCAAGGACGAGAGGTTGTGATAAGACGCCGACTTTGGATGTGTCCCATTTCCTTGGCACAGAAACGCTAAGAGCGGCTACGTACATTTGGGGAAGGGGGGTAAAGCGAAGTAAGGTAGAGAGGAAAGAGCGACGTGATGGCGTTGCCGTCGTGCCGTTTGTGAGCGCTGACTGCCAAGTGACGTCAGGCGTTCCTTTGTGGTGACTGGTGACAGAAAGGGCGGCCAACTGGCGAGGTGCTATTTGCAAGTGGGTGGCCCAATGCGGTGGAGGAATACCTACACGGGAGACTGGCAACTTGGACTGGGTCTCGGCCAGCATGGTGCAAACCTTTGCTCCTCTGAATCCATGGTTCTTTTCACGGAAAAAACGGAACCGGGAATGCGGGCACCATTGACCACAGTTTTATCTCGTGACAGTTCTCAATCCCAGAGGACATTTGGAGGTTTTGCCAACTGGCAGATTTACTGGCGGCGGCAAAGTAGGTGCTCTGCAAGCCTGGAACTAGCAACTCGCAGCCATGCCACGACTTTGCCCAATTTAATTTGACCGGCAAATTGGTAGCTGGCCATCGAATACTGCTGGTCTCTTCACATTCCAATCACCCATTCAATACACATAACGTCACGCGGATAATATATGTCGGTACGCCTGGAGCCTCGCCCATGTAGGAAAAGTAAGATGGGCATGGACTATGATGGTCCTGTTTCTCTCGCAGCCCGGCAAAACGAAAGAAGAGAACGCGACACCAGAGCCGAAGCCCCGACATCCCGCCTCCCCTCGATTCGCCGTTCATAAAAGTGTATTTCCAGTCCTCTCCAGAGTGTACCGCAAAACGCGGCACAAGAAGGAGACCCTCGCCGAAGCGAAGACTCGTGAAAGCCCGAGTGACTGGGTAGACGCTGCTGTGGGTAAGGGAGGTGGCTGCTGAAGCTACCTCCTCCTGTTCGTTTGGCATCGCCTCAATGCTTGACGTGGATCTTGGACACTGCAGATTACAGGTAGGCAGGCAGACAAAATAGTGCGCCGGTTTCTCATAGAGGTGCGAGAATTGCCCCTGTTGGCTCACTTGACCCGTCTGCGTTTGTGCGCTGCCAGTCTTTGCACGATGTGGTGTTCAGCCTGCGAGTTTGAACCAAATCAAGAAAGCTAAAGGAAATTTTCTTGACGGGTTTTACGGTGAGCTTCTAGATTATGTAATCAGAGTGATCCACAACTACGGCGGGGTGCCCGGGACGGGAGGTTGGAAGTAATGTGGGCCTCGGGAGAGAGAGGTGGTGCCGCACACGAGATGCAGCTGGCACCGGCTGCTCTCTCCCGCGCCGTGTAAGTCGGTTTCAGCGGACACCTCAATGTCTGGGGGAGGTCAATGAGAACCGTGGTTTAAGAGCAGATTGACTTTAGTGATTCCGTTGATAACGTCAATGAAAGAAGATTTGATGAATCATTGCTTCGTCGCCGAGGTAATATCACCGTTATCCAAGATACGGGTGCTGCGGCTACCTTATCTCAGCTTAGCAAGTTGATGCGCTTCCAACCCAAGGCTATGGCAAGGCAATCGAACCCATGCTGAATTAGTGCTTTCGTCGGCTTTGTCCACTGAAAACGAACCAAATATTGCATCAAATCTCTGTGCCGGAGTCTTCTGATGTTTGTTACCTAAGGAAGCACATTTGACAAACCATTACAACATTATGCATACTTCCAGTGGCTACCACTAAAGGTGCCAATTGCTTATTGATAAGGATAAAGAAAGCGGTATACCAGAACACCTAGATGAATCCATACAGTCACTATTACTCGACATGGCTTAGATGAGACCAGCCCGAGCCGCCTCGCCACCGCCATCCTGAACAAGCTCATCCATGCGTCTCTTGCCCTTGCCGATGCCTCCCTCACCGACGCCCATCCTCCTGGCAACATATCTCTGTGCCACAACACCGACTGCGAGACTCAACAACTCTTCAATCCACTCGGCAACCCACTCGCGGGGGTCAACGCCGCCGCCCTCGACAATCTCACGAATCTCGTCCGGGATGGATTGGGCCAGAGAAGGCTCCTGACCGTCGTCGCCGCTGGCGGGAGTCAGCGGGTTGGAGGCGTCCAACCAGCGAATCCACTTGGCCGGAATGGACTGGCTGATGGCCGAGTACTCGATCTCGTGGACGGGGTCAAGGCAGAAGACGGCGAAGCACACCGTCTCATCTGCCTCATCCTGATCGGCCACGGCCGAGGCCTCCTTCTCCTTCTCGACAGCCGACGTACGGGCAAAGAGGGCCGAGTCGGCCGTGGTACCCACAGCCTGGATGGCAAGGAAGAGGTCGGAGCTGCGAACCGGATTGTCTTCGCTTACCGGCTCAGTGGCACGTACCCGGGCCAGCTCGACGCCACCATGGGCGGCGAAGTACTCGCTGGCATAACCCTCGGCTCCGGCACGGCAGAGCTTTGTGCCCTCGGTCAGACCCTTAATCAGACCCAGGTCGCGCGGGGAGTCGGATTGTCTCCACCAAGGACCGTCCCTCCAGCCCGCGCCACTGTCATTGGAGTATCTGCGGCTCGTGGTCTCTTGGCCTCTCTGAATCACCATCAACTCGCCGCCCTCCACCTGGGACATGACGCGCGAGAAGGTGCCGTAGATTAGGGGATCAAGGGAAGGGTATCCAACCATGTCGTGAGCGATGTGGATGAGGAGCCGCTCATGGGAGCTGATGGGAGGGGCAATGGTATGGAGAATGTTTGTGAATGTCGGGAGTGCTTGCTGGCGAAGGTTGTCTCCTGTAGACGCACCATTAGCAAACATTTACTCAGTGTACCTATAGCAACGCGTCTAATATGCAGTGAGACGAATGCGCAACAGCTTTGGAACCTACCAAGGGCCCTAAGGCCACCAACGTTTCCTCGAACCTGTTCGGCCCACTTCTTGGCTTCCTCGTTCTTCTGGATCTCCTTGACAGCAGCCTCGGCTTGCTTCATAGCAGCAGTCGCCGTGTTGAAGATGCCACCCCACCAGCCACCGCCAGCAGCAGCAGCAGGGGGCGCGGCTTCGGGGGCAGCAGCTGACGAAGAGGCGGTCGTAAGATGCTCGGCGGGTCTCTTCTCGGGTTCTTGCAAGTCCGAGCTCGTGGCGCTAGGAGTGAAGCTGGCGCGGAGAGATCGTGCACTGTCGGTAGACTTGCGGGGAGCGGTAGACCTGTCTTCGGTGGTAGGAGTCGCAGAGCGTTTGGGAATCCCCTTCGCTACCGTCTCCTTAAGACGCGGCGTATGCGGACGGGAGGGTTGCTCAAGGTCCTTCTCGAGTTCGGCCAGAATATCGTTGTCGGCCATGGCCTTGGAGGCGGCGGTGGTGGGCTTGGGCTTCTTCTCGGGCGACTTCTTGGGGGGAGCAGCATTGTCTCCAATGCCCTCAAAGAGATCGTCAATGTCGTCGCCGGCAGCGGCGGATTTTGTCTTCTTGGAAGCCATGGTGGGCGATGGAGATGTTTTGGTGCTGGTGCTGGTGATGTTGCGGGGCAGACGTCACTAGCTGCGAGCGCCTCGAGGGCGGTTAGGTAGCTCCAAAAGGGATGCTCGGCAAGCTTAGTCAGGCGACGCTAGGTATCAGGACGCCTTGAAACAAGAGCTCAAAGTAGCAACGATAGCGTGGGGTAGTGACTTGGACGGTTCAGGCCGGAGCAATGCAGTGGATATTGGTGGTAGTGACACAGAGACGCCAGCTTGCTGTTGATATGATGACGGGTGGTTGAGAAACACCGTTGGACGGTCAATAATTTGAGTTCCCTGACTGTGAACCAAACGGGGGAACGTGATGCACCAGCGCAGGCACGGCACCGCACATTGGCGACAGCTGCTGGAGACATGCATCACCAGGGACGGGACATGCATCAAGCGGAGAGAAGGGATGCGCTAGCCCGGATCCGGTGTGGATGAGAGCCGTGTCATCTCATTGGCTCCGGCTGGGCATCTACCCCCAGTCGGAAATGAAAAAAGCGTGTCTTGTGGGTCCCGTCTGAAGTCGCCATCTGGCCGGGCGGCTGGGTTCCCATCCAAATTCTTGGTCCGTTAAGGAATGCTTACAGCGGCCTGTTAGGGGGTCCTCGTCACTACTTTTAGCGGCATGTCCGCTAAAAACTCCAATAGACGCAAGATCACAGGGGAGGCCAAGGAGGCTCGATGCCGCTAAAGTAATCTCCCTAGCTTCCACTACAGCACCCGTAGGGCAGGGCTGCGACGGGATCTTGGGGCGGGCGGGAGTCGAGGTACGTATCTCGCTCCCGAGTCCCCTTGTACCCACGTACCGTTTTTTTCCCTCCCATTGCCTGGTCCAGGCGTGGCTGGCTCGGAAGACTAACAGCCAATGCCAGTGCAGGAGCGTTCCCAAGGGGCCCAGTCGTGCCTTCCCTTTCTCTCTCGGCCCCTCCCCCAGCCAGTAACGGAACGGAAGGAGTGGCAGCCAGCCCAGCGAGAGGTGGACGTGGACAGGGCCCCGGCTGGCAAAATTGAGAAATGCAAGTCAACGTGAGGACGGGAAGGAGCCATCTCAGCAACAAGACAGGAAGGGGCCACCAACAGCACAAATCACTGCTTTTTACACGCCAGATATTCCACCCTTACAACTTCTTCGCCCTCTTCAAATTATCGTCGCTATTTGCTCTGGCTCTCTGCCTTTCTCCAGAGCCTATTTTTGTTTGCTCTAGCTATCGCGCAAGCCCTTCCTGACAGGTCCTAACTTGACCTGTTACTGGCACCAGCAAGGCCCGTTTCCTCAGCTCAGGTCTCGGTCTCGCTCACTCACTCACCACACCTCTCACTCAGTCGGGTCCAAGTCAAACCACCACATCACCACTTACTTGCATCAAACCCGGTTTTTGCCAGCACCTTCACCTTCAACCTCCCCCTTCCGACCGTCTTCCACTCCCATCCGTCAAATCCACGGCGAGAGAGAGATCAAGGGACAAATTTCTCCTCATTCACACCACATCAATTATTCAGAGCAGTCGCCTCCGTCTCATTGAATGACTCCTCTGCCTTTCCCGCCATCTTATTGCGGCTCCCCTTCTTCCCCCATCATCTACAACCCTATCTCCGTAAGCCAGGCCACCTCTTCACCTGGCTTATTTTAATCGCACCATTACACAACCGCTGCCCTCACCAATATGGACCAGCGCTCTCGTGGTGGTCGTCCGAATCGCCGGAAAACTCTTCCCACCTCCAGTATCCAGTCTGATACCAGCGCCGGCGGCGAGTCAAACTCGAGCATCATGACGCGCTCTCCTCCCGTTGCTGCCTCTCGCACTCCACAGACGGCACCTCCAAACCGCCGCAACGCCAAGCCCATTCCCATGAATAACCCCTTCAGCGTTCGCTCATCCCCCAGCACAGGCGGACCTGGCCCGGGCAAGGCTCTTAGAAAGAGATCTCGCACTAGCGGCTTTGACGGTCCCGCCGACGAAGAGGATGAGACCTACCGCAAAGGCCCTCACACTTTGAGAAAGCGTGCCAAAATCGACTACTCCGCCGCTGACTTTGAGGATGAGCTGCCCGAGATCGCAATTCCGGCTCCTCGCACTGCTACCCGCAAGAAACGGGCAGATAGTGAAGTCGTCGACGACGAGTACTTCACTCCCACTGCACAGAAGCGCCGCGCCAACTCGAGAGAATTTTCCGTCGCCAGCATCACCGCCGCTCGTCGTCGGACCCCGGCCCGGAAGAATGTCGTTGAACAACAGTCCTTTTACTCCCAGCAATCAGACGAAGATATCGTCAAAGACACTATTGAAGTGGTAGGCGACTCTTCTGATCTCATCAGCTCCGACGATGCCTCGGATCATGAGGACGATAACAAGGACATCTCCGGCCACATCTCTCTCCAAGAAAACCTTGACCAGCCCTCGTCACCCATTCAGCGCAAGACTCAAGCAGTTCTTCAGCTGGCATCCCCCATCGACCACCAAATCATCAAGCAAGATGAGAGACAGTCGAGCCAAGCACAAAACGTCGCCGATGGTATTGTTGCCGCTGCAGATATAGTGTCAGGCCCTATCATTGCCCACCCGCAGCCCATCCGCGTCAACCAAGTCACAATTATCGAGAACACTGGCCCGCGCCCGGACACCGAGGCGACAACAACTCATCACGGCGGATTCGCCGAAGATTTCTCATTCCAGCCCAAGAGAGAGGCCAGTTCTCCCGTACGGCCTGCCGAGAGCTTGCCGCAAAGAACGGCCCTACCGGAGGCGGCTGAGTCGGCCAACACCTCGGCCAACACCGACTCTGCTGTGGTTCCCGGCGCCCAGGAAAATTCCGCACCACCCGTCACGCAGATTTTCAACGCCACCAACAACGACCAAGTCAACGTCGCACAGCCGATTGAGCAACCACAAGAGTCTATTGCTCCAGTGTCAAGCGAAAATACAAAAGTCAACGGTCATGTTGAAGCAATTGAAAACGAGCTTCCGCCTCACAATGAGCCGTCAAATTCACAATTTACTGCCGCGTCGCATGATGCCGACGTCTCGGTATCATTCACTACCCAGTCCGAGGAACTGTCTCGGGCTCAAGATGAGATGGACGTTGATGTCGCAGAAGAACCCGATGCAGAGACGCAGGATGATGTCCCTGTTCCCCAGCCCAAAGCTTCGTCCCCGCAACCCCAACCCGCCGCTACTGAAGCGAAAAAGAAGCGCTATGCGTGGTCCCACCTGACACCTTACATTGATGGCGAATATGTCACTCACTCCATCTATCCCGTCGCGGTCGAGGCGTCTGCGCCCACCTCGAATGCCGACGCCGCTGAAGCTTCCGGCGAGCGAGAAACCGCTGAAGAGACGCCTGAGCACGCTGCCGCGAATGCCGACGCTCAAGGTGCTGAAGGAGATGTGGAAGATGGTGCCAATGTCGATGCGGACGGCGAAGTCGACGACGCTGAGCGCGATGCTGAACACGACGAGGATCTCGCGCATGACAGCCAAGGCCAGCAACTTTCTCAAGGGTCCGCTTACAACTCGGCCGCCCCTACTCCCGCACTTACGCCCCGCCAAGGCTCGCCCGTCTTGACCTCGGCCGCAACTGGAACCAGCACACCAGCCTTGCTTATGCCGAAGCAACGCTTCAGAAAACAGTACAAGTTCAAGAAGGTCCGAGATCCTGCCGAATTCTTGGCCTTCTTGAAGGACTCCGAGGACCTCCCCCAAGAGCAGCTCTGGGACCTCTTGGCTCAGGCCAATGAATGCCTCCTCGCCTACCAAGAGGAGTACAAAGAGTGCAGCAGGATTGTAGACGATCAGGAAAATGCGCAGCGCCGCGCAATTCAAGATGCCGCCTACGAAAAGAAGACCGCCGACTTGAACGCCTTTGCCAAGGTAGACTCATATATGGAAAAGGAGTTCGAGGTGCAGGGCTCCCGAGCGACCATCAAGGAGAAAGACGCTGGAATCCTCGAACAACGCTTGCAAGACAGGATCATGGCCGCCACGTATCACTTCGAGTACGATCCTCACCCCAACAAAGTCGGCAACCAGGATCCCGGTGCCCAGAAGGGTGGTGGAGGAGAGGGTGTTCGACAACTTCGAAGCCAGCCACAGGCAAGCGCAAAGGCAGCTGAGGGCGACGGAGTCATCGTCTCTGGGAAGAGAACCCGCAACCCCCCGAAGTTGTTTGACGGCGTGTTACAGGACGACCACCGTGCAGCAACTCCGGGAACGAACAAGCCGGGTCCGAAGAAACGAGGCAGGGCTGCTGCCGCAGACAAGGCGGCATCTGCCCAAGACCATGAAGAAGAGCCAGAGCCAGAGCCGCAGACCGTATCACCCGCCAAGCCCGGTCCCAAGAAGCGAGGACCGAGAGGCAGGAAGTCTGCCGTGGTGATCTCGGAGCCGAGCACGCCTGTTCCCGAAGAGGAGGCCATCGCCTCGCCGCCGGAGCCAGAGCAGGCACAGCCCCCCAAGCGCAAGCGTGGCAGACAACCAAAGTCGGCCGCCATTGTCGAGGAGGCGCCAGAGGAACCTGAAAAGCCGACCCCCAAGAGAGGTCGCGCAGCGAAGAGACAGAGCAACGGCCATGTCGCTATTGCACCCGAGACAACCGACGAGTCTCGCCCTACCTCGTCATCATCGATGGCCACTATCTCGGACGCTGGGTCTACCTACGGACTGCGCCAGAAGAAGCGACAGCGGAACTGGCAGGACGACGATGAAGTCGACGAGGAGGAAGTGGAGGCAGAGCCTCAGCCCAAGAAGGCCCGCATCATTCGCATCAACAGAAAGCAAAGCGCACCAGAGCTCGCACCCAAGCAGACAATGTCTGAACAAATTCTCGCTGACATACACCGCTTCTCGGCGTCTCTTGATGCACCCGACTCGCCTCAGCCTCGGCTGATGGTGTCTTTTAGATTGATTGGCAATCGTCAATGGACCATGAAACCCGCAGCCTCGCCGCGCCAAACATCGACCGACGTCAGTGAGTACAACCTGTCGACCTCTCGACCAGCTCCGATGTCTGCGCCTACGTCGGCCAAGTCCTCGGCCCCGCCGAGCCAGGCCGAAGGGGAGGAGAAGGATTACTCCACTATGACAAAGTCGGAGAAGATGTCGGCCTCGATGAAGAGTAAGTTTACATAAACCCATCGCTGCTTATCCGACCAGTCACTAACAACCGTCCCAGAGCGATGGCTCAATGGCAGTATGCAGGGTGCTGTCAATAAGAGAAAGGCCACTCTCGCCGCGAAGAAAGCTGCTGCTGCTGCGGCCGAAGCTGAAGCGGCCCGAGTCGCCCAACAGAAAGCGATGCAACTCCAACAATCAGGACAGCCGGCACCGTTTCCCATGGGACAGGGCCAGTAACGTAACTAACACAATTACCCTTACATATCAGTCCGTCAAGAACGGCATGTGGAACCACCACGCAGAGTAAGATGATGACCATACGGATCACATCAAAGTACAACCAACCATGGTCACGAGACCCACGAATATCATTACCAGCATCATGTGCTTCTCAGAGCATCTTTTCTTTTCAGTCTTCCACGATTAGCATTCTATACTCATTCGCATGTCGCATGTCGCCTGACAAAAGTCGCATTCGGATGACGTGGTCGGTTCGGGCAAACAAACACCCAAGACCCGCGTCGACACACAACTTTAATCATTTTTCTTGTTCGAGTACACATAACGGGGGGGACACCATGGGAGACTTTTTCTCCCTTGAGACTTTTTTTCTCTTATACATCAGCATCGGGAAGCGAGGGCATCCGATTTTCATTTTCGCTTCGAGTGTTGGAAACCAAAAAAAGAGGAGAGAGCGTACGGATCTTTGCATTGATGGACCGACGGAACGGCATACCACCTCACCTGCCCAGAGCTACTGAGGATATTTTTAGTGCCGCCGTCTCTCCGTCACTTTTTTCTCCACTTTTCTTACTATCTTCGGCCATTGTGTATTTGCGCCAAACTTTTCCTCTTGATTCTGTGCGACGAACACGAAACTTCGTCGACTTGGTACGGCTTGTCATGTTGAGCGAGCTTTTCAGAGACGGCACTCCAACTACGTCTTGTGTCAATGGAAGCGAAGAGTCAAGTCGTGTACTATCTGGCACTCGACCTCGCGGTAGAGAGAGCTTCGCATTTCTGAGCGGCTCATGGATGAGGGATAATGGCTCTGATTTCCTGTTGAAGGATCTCGTTGAGACGCCCTAGGAAGTGGGTTGGTGATGGATGGGTGGGGTTTTTCTTTTGATACGAGGGTGGGCGAGAGATAGGGTCGATACTCTCTGATGACATTGAAGATGATGCCATATATACGCAACGTTCTTGATGTGACCCGATGAAATTTCTGTGATGTGTCTCTCTTTCTTTCGAGGGAGGTAGACCCGGATGCTGCTCTCTACCTGACCTGAGAAACTCTTCTCATTATGTGGATGTGGTATCTAGCGAGTCTGACACACCTGATGGCTAGAATTCCCCGAAACTGACTGAGCCTCCCCTCTTCCGCAGCGGACCAGAAAGACCACGGCGCCAACATGATGACGCTTATGGATTCAACGCAAGACCTCATATGCAGCCTCACTTGATCCATTATACTGGTGAAACGGCCGGCAGACACAATTTCACCAGCCGCTTTCTCCACCAGTAGCCTATGGCTTGTGCACTCGAGGTTCCGGGGCTCATCGCAGAGTCCAACACCGCCGGCTCCAACAGCCCAACATCGCCGCTACCAATCTAGAAAGCCGCAGGGGTACTGGTGGAGAGGTGCCAGCCTTCTGTCGAGTACGCCGTCTTCTCGAGAAACCACTTTCGCCGCTGGCCTACGAGATTGGTGATTGGGTCGAGAGGCGTCAGCGCTGTGGGCGGCTTTCCCGGGAGCGTCGGCGGAGGCGAGGCAGCTGAGGATGTAAGATGGACGCGACGTGCAGGAGGACGGGCGTCTTTTGCTGACAGCTGGGTTCAATGTGATAGGTCGATGCGCCCAGCACGGCCGATTCAGCCTGAGTGAAGTTCTTCACGGCATGCAAGTCTCTGCCTCCGAAATTCACTGCGATTTTAACCCCCCCCCCGAGGCCTTGCCAGTAGTCACTCCCATATGGGCGCGAATGGCTTCACCTTCGAGGTATGGCCACCCGTGCAAACATCCCACATCGACGGTCTCCCCTTGACCAACTCTACCAAGTCCAGTCCTCGCCAACTCCTTGTCTCGCACACGCAGCCTTTGGCTCGCAACCATGACCGCGTCCACCCGCGCCGAGACTTTGAATCCTGCTATTCGATAACACTGGCTACCTCAGACATATATGTTGGTTCCAATTGCAAACGGGTGATTCCAGTCCGCCACTCGCCTCAGGGCCGACAAGTAGTTGATATCTCCTCGTCACCACCAATTCTTCAACTTTGAGTACGGGTATTCGCTATCAAATTCAATGAGAGACGCAAGTCGGCGTTGATCATATTTTGTTTTCCCCGCGCTTATTTTGCATGCGCTGCAATTCCACCCCCATTTCAAAAGTTTCATTCTCCCATGGTCAGGAGTCGATGTCGGGCCTCTCATGAACGCTCCTGCGAGTTGGTTCGAGATGATTTTGAAGCGGACCCGGTTTGGCTTGCTTGGGTGATTCCTTTGCTTCCGCGCGTGCAGCAAGCTATTCTAGCGCTCACGTCGCTCCTGCCTGTCCCAGCAGCAGTTTGTCCATTGATCAATGTCATGCGTCAAAATGATTGGAAGCAAGACAGAATTGGAATTTCATTGAGGTTTCAATTTGTGGCGGAGTAGGAAGTTGTACTATCTACCTTAGTCGGGCACTTCACTGCAATTTTAACCCCCCCGGAGGCCTCGTTGACCTCGTGTGCTTACATCGCTGACGTAAGCGCTCTTTTCCGTTGATGAAATGATCCGTCGTCCTGGTGCATCGCAGGCATGATAACCGCTTTTTTTTCAGGCAGTGTCCTAATCATTCCCTGTGCCACTACTTGGACGTTGTCCATTGTCTTCACCGGGGACACATCACAGGCAGTCTTGATTCAAACAGACTACGCGTACGCCAAATGGAAATCATGGGGAAAAGAGAGGCCGCATATGTGTGAAACGTGCGCAAAGAATCGGATTTTTGTATCTCTCCTGTATGCGAAATGCCTGGTATGAATTTCTTTCCCTTTACACGCCACAGCCGAAATGCAGAGCCTGCCAGTCCAGCGAGGAAACTAAAAAGAAAAAACCAGGCCCACAACCCTCTTTCAGATGGTGTTTTTGTGTCTTCCCATTCGACCTCGCTCTCCTCATGACGACAGGGGAGGGAGGTGTCAAGGAGAGGAGGGGGGCAAATGGTGTGATGAATAATGTCCCATGGTTCGCACCGGTTGACCTAATCCGTAGCCATAACGTCGTCCTTTTCGCCCTTTTATTTCTTGACTTGTGTAAAAAAAAACTCCTTTACATGACGACACCAGAGTTGCTGGCAATACGCTGTGGGCGGGTGTTAGTCAAAAGCATCCCAAGAATGTTCCTGATGTTGGATGTCACTTACGGGCCAGAGCTCAGCAGCCTCCTTACCGACGGGGCCGGTGATGGCGGAGCCCTTCATCTCACCCTTGGGGTTGACGATCTGTGAGAGGCGCGTTAGTAAACAGTTCTTGTTGGTCCTCTCCGCGAGATAGCGAAGCCATCTTTAAAGACAGGCCTTGCCCAAATGGCATTGCCAGGTCCCGTCCGACGCGTTCAATCCCCCCACATATCGGAGAGTACTTACGACACCAGCGTTGTCCTCGAAGTACAGGAAGACACCGTCGAAGCGCTTCCAGGGCTTGGACTGGCGGACGATGACGGCGGGGTGGACCTTCTTGCGGAGTTCGGGCTTTCCCTTCTTGACGGTGGCCATGACCATGTCACCGACACCACCGGCGGGCAGTCTGTTGAGGCGGGCACCGATACCCTTGACGGAGATGATGTAAAGGTTACGGGCACCAGAGTTGTCGGCGCAGTTCATGACGGCACCACTGAAGCAGCAAAGTCAGCGACGGGGTTCCCATCAGAGAGAGGATTTCTCTCGTTCGGGAGAGGAAAAGTTCGTACACGGGGAGACCGAGGGTCATCTTGAGCTTGCCACCGGGGGCACCACGCCTGTGATCATCTGGTCAGCGCTTCCGTATTGATGGATATGCCAGAATTTTCTCTATTCAAGTCTCGTCCAGTGTCGGCGCAAAATTTCGGTTCTCGTGGTGGACGGGCGGTAGGCGAGGGGTGTCGTTTCGCAGTATTGAATGTTCCATTCGTGCATGCCGTCAACCGTCGCGTCTCTCGCAGTCGAGTCCCAATCCTACACTTCCAGCCTATGCCTGATGTCGGCAGTTTTCCCCCTCCTCTTTCCCTGCTTCAGTTGTTGTTGTTTTGTATCGAAATTTCGAGCGCCCGCCCGCATCCGCCGAGTGCATCCCACCAAAACCTCCGTCGTCGATGGAGGAGGGGTGATACGAAGCCGAAAATTTTGCGCCGTCGCTGGATTCGAAGAATAAAATGACAATGACTTACGAGAGCTTGGCCATTGTGTCGGTTTGGGGGTGTCGGATTCAACTACGGGGCTGGCTGGAGGGTTAGATGGCGGACGTGGAATCGTGAACTAGGCTGGAAATTTCACGACTTCGAAAATGTTTTTGGTGAATCGCTGGTGTGGAGCACCGAACCCTACGCTCCTCCCTTACCCGAGCCAGAAATCCGGGTCACGTGGAGATTAGATAAACATATCAAAATCCTTTCTTTCCAGGTTGGCTCGATGCGTTGAGACCAACCCCTCTATAATTCTTGCCCCACCAATTCCCTCATCGCCTTTGGGAGAGTTTAAATTGCAGTGAAGGTCCACTTTGTGGAAGTACACTAGCTTATCGATCCCTACCTATCGCAGGATGAGAACACACCGGTCCCTTCCCCCCCCCCGCCCGTAATCATGTACCATGACCACCGAGAGAACAAATGATATCCGGTGATAATGATGAGGAAGTGGATTGATCCGGCGATTGTCGGTAGGCTAGACTGAGGGAGTTCGCGGCTGAGATGACCCTGGCGAGCCGTGAGAGACCTCACCGAAGTGGGTTCGCTGTCCGCAGCGCTGTTTTCTCCCATTTGATCGAATGTTTGACGCGACCGTCGTTCACATCGCGATAAGTTGTTTGAGGCGTGGGTTCACGAGAAGTCGTCGGTTGAAAAGTAAGCAGTTGTAGATTTTTGAGAAAGATTCGCTGGCAAGAATATTTGCCGGATGAATAAGGGAAGAACCCCGTGGTTGAGGACCTTTAGTCTGATCATTCTCTGATTACCTGCGCAGCTAGTCTATGATATATCTGACTTGCCGAGTCTCAATACCAGTATTCTCAGCGTGAAGGAGGCTCTTCCAATAATCACAGCAAAGTCCCTTTCGAACCCTCCAAAGTCGCCGCCCAACACAGCATCAACAGCACCATCCTCAACGCCAGGCCACACATCTAAACAAGCATCGTCCATATCCCCTCGCAATCACCTTCTAAGCCATCTAACCCCCTCCTCCGCCAAAGACCCTCCCACAGCCCCGACGAAACCCCACGCAAAAACCTCGTATGCGAAAGCCCAAATCCTCCTCGCCACCATCCACCGCAGCGCCCGGAAGCAATCCCAACGGGTCAGCTCCACCTTCCAACCCGGCGGATACCAGCTCGGTACCGGTGGATCCTCCGGGCACCACATGTCACGGCCGCCGGCCTCGAAGACGAGGTAGCCGAGGCTGCGGAGCGTCAGAAGCGCGCAGTAGGTGATGTAGGCAAGGTAGATGCCAAAGACGACCTCGCGCGAAGTGAGAAGGCTGGGATGGTGGAATATGTGGGTTATTCGTGTTGCTGATTCCCGGGTGGTGTAGGCGCGGTGGGAGAGGCGGCCGTCGATTATGGATGGCATGTTGTGTGGGGTTAATCTTGTAAAGTGATGGAGAGCGAGGTTAGAGAGGATGCTCCTGGTTCTCTGGGCGACTTCTGATGTGGTATTCTTTTATCATTACCTGGTCATTTCCTGAAGGTTGGCAGCTTCATGAAACCCAGGTATCAAGGAACGATGAGGGCTGCTGAGTCTCAAATTGTTGGTGTCGGTTGATGAAGAGTGTTGGTTGACGAGAACGCGAGATTATGGCATGGCCCCCACCAAGTAGCGACCGGGATCGCATGATGGGTGCCTGTGAGATTCGCCGTTGCTCAAGTCAGGACTCTTCCGCGCGTACGGCATCAACCGCATTTACTCAGTTGCCTAACACGCTTCCTTGCGCATCCACAGCACATCGATGACTACCGACCCGCGTAGCCAAACTAGGTAAGAATCAAATAGAATATGCTTGAATTGATACCGGGTATCTTTGACAACAGAGTCGACTGCCTCATGATCTACCGCTACCGAGCCAGTCCTTCACACCAAGAAGAGCGAGGATACCAATACCCAAATCGTCGTAAATGCAAGTGCCATAAGACCATGTGAATGCCGGGTGTTCCCGGCCCCTTCCTAGCTGTCGCCGCCTTTGGAGCCGCTATTGTTCGATCCACCACTAGCCGCGGGTTCAACGTCCTTTGCGCTCGCGTTGGGCCGCACGCTCTGGGGATTCGAGAACAAGTCCTTGGGATCCCATGTCGCCTTGATGCGCTCCAGGGCCGGGAGGTTCGGTCCCCAATACCTCTCCTGCGCGTTGTCGAGCGTCGGGTCGACATACCCAGCGTATGTGCTCAGCTCGTTCGGACTCGCTTTGCGGATCTTGTCGGCGACTCCAGACATGAAATCTTTGGTCTTGCCGCTCAGCGTCGGGATGCCGACGCCATAGCCCTGGAAGAACATGACCTTGTCGCGGTGGCGGTAGGCGGTAGCGTTCATGGGCACGTCGTTGATTGCCCCGCCAGTGGAGTCCAAGATGAGGAACCAGATCAGCGTACCACGGTCGACGCTGTCCACGTAGTCCATCATGGTTTGGATGCCATCTTCGCTGATAAGGTCGTTGTGGGTGAAGGCGAGACTTTTTGAGGTGAAGGCAGACTGGATGTCGCTCAACCAGAGCGCTGCATCTTGTGCCTTTTGAGCAACGTCGCCGAGCCAGTTGTTAATTACCACAGAGACCTTGCCCTTGGGGATGCGATCTGGGATACCCGTCTTCTTGAACTCATCCTCTGTGCCGTAAAACGTAGCTGTGATGGCGACACCGAGCTCTTGCATCACGAATTCGCTGCTGAATCGACGGTCCAGGGTTGGGTCAAAGATGAGTTCTTGCCATTGCTTGAAGACAGGGACAAGATCGCGGTGCTTGGCAAAGGTGATGGCGTACGAGTACTGCACAACGTCGCCGGGCTCCGGATGGGTCCGCATGACGAACTCGGTGATAACGCCGAAGCCGGCGCCCGCGCCCTTGAGAGCGAAGAACAGGTCCGAGTTCTGCTTGTCATTCGCACGCTGGATCTTGCCGTCTGCCGTGACCACCTCAACTTCGACGACATGATCTAGACAGCTTCCCCACATCCTTGAGCTGGGGCCGAGACCGCCCTAACGTGAGACTTGCATTAGCAGGGCGCGCAAAGGTGCGCTGGATCGCCAACTGGGGGGAGGGGAGGGACTAACAATTGTGGCATGGCCTCCGATGCCTACGCCGGGACACGTGCCGTGAGCAATGGCCCGTTTCCCATTGTCGTGCAACTTTTGCGTCACTTCGTGCAGCTTGTGGCCTCCACCGAAGGTTGCCTGCCAAGTATTTGTGTCCATGGAGAAGTTCTGAAAGTTGACGAGGTCAATGACCAGAGCGCCGTCGGTGCCACCGATGGCAAAATTGCTGTAGAAAGACAAGCATGTTAATGATGGAACAGAGAATGAAGACTTTCTCAGAGACTTACCCATATGAGTGACCGCCCGATTTGGCTTGGACCTTGACATTGTTTTCTGCAGCACACTTGACGAAACCGGCGACATCCTCCGCCGTTGATGGACGGGTAACGGCGATAGGCTGCACCGGGATGTCGAGGTTGTACGGCTTCACCCAGTTGATTTGGAAGAGTGGATCGTTTGGATACCCAACGCAAGAGGATCGGCCGTTGCAGACTTTGTCGAGGCAAGTCGCTAACGGGCTGCTGGGCTTCTGTCCCATGATTATCGGCACGGAAGGGGGGTTATCGAGGGCGACGGGACAAGATATTACATGCGCTGAACGGAAGGGCGAGCGGGTGAGAGATGTAAAGGGCTGCGGACAGACTAAATTTATACCTGCCAAGGGGACTCATCTCTTTTTGGCCTCGCAATCCCTCTCGTTCTCTCGAGGCCCCCAGCAAAGAATAATAAGCGCGTTAAACAGGCAATTTCCAGCTTCCTGCAGCGGGATAAATCGAACCTTAAGCAAGATCCCCCTGTGTGTGGGTAGTAGCGACGGGATAGAGTTCCTGGATGATCATCCCATTGCAAGGTTGTGTGTGTTGACGCCTGCCACTCTGGCCATCCGCCGCCGTCATCCCCTTCTCGCCCATGGAAGAACCCGGGTCTATCCTACAATCCCACAATCCAAAGCAAAACCAGCGTACGGTACGCATGGCTGAGGTGTGGCGGGCTGCGAGCCACGGGCCAGAGAAAAGATGGCCAATGGTGCGTTGCCAGCGGCGCGGAAGATTGCTACCGCTTTCCCATATTGCCATGCTGCGCTGCGAGAAATTGAATTGAAGACGGCTCCCGGGCTACCCTCACCAGGGGGACGTCATCTGCCATGCCCCCATGTCCCTACTTTTCGTCAGGCCTGCCGTTGGTGATGTGTCTTGTCGGACCAGTCAGCGTGTTGAGAGAGGCTCGCAGGAATTGTAAATCAAGCTTGTTCAGCGGGGGTGGCGTAGCGCCGCTAGACGTCAAGTCAAGTCAACAGGCTCGCGTGGAATCTTGGCGGTGGACGGGGGATTTTCATGCAGTGACGCTGGAGCATAGAAGGTGGCGGATGGGGGAATTGAGTGGCGCATCCAGCAAGTTGCGCACCCGCACCGTTGGCGCCACGACAGTTGGAAAAAAAAGGGGCGCTGTGGCGGTGCAGAGCTGCTCCAATCACAGACTTCGGATGATGATTGAGTGACGGCTTTCTCAGGGAGTCTGGCGAGGCCCAGCTCCACGTTGATGGTAGCATTGCAACGGTTTGTCTCACTTGATCATTTTGGCTGTTGATCACGCAGCGGTCAGTGGCTACCGATAACAAGGGCATACAATACATTGCAGCTGGAGTCGTAAAGGCGCTTGACTTGACTTCAAATGTGCAAAATAATAGCAGTGTCTGCAGAAGAATGTTTGAAATAAAGTGCCCAGGCCCTGGAGCCACTTGGGCAGTCCACCGCCATGATATCAGGCGGACTCGCACGTGCCGCTCATGATGAACCACGGCCATCTAGTGAGTTGAATAAGGTACTGCAACTCATGAGTGAGTGAGTGAGCGAGTGAATGAGTGAGTCAGTGAGTAAGTGATTGAGTGAGTGAGTGATTGGCTTGGAGAAGCAGGAAAGAGAGTGACAAGAAGTCGCACCTTTTTGGCTGAGACAAATGCCTCGCCAATTCTTGAAATGACCTGGCGGTGCTGCCGAATGTCAGGATGCCCTTGCCGCGTGTGAACTCGTGCAAACCTTATCTAAATTCAGCCTCAAGTCATCCAGATCACCAACCATCCCGAGTTGGACCAAGGTTGCTTCTGCGACACGTCAAATTCAGCCGGCTGCAGCCTATATCAACATGGTACGAACCCAGCATATCTACTCGCAGTCAATGATTGAATTTCTGCGAGAGTGAGGCCACGTAAGAAACCTTCACTGGCAGCTACGTTCACACGGCCAGGTAAGTCGGAGTCACATCTACTCGTGACATTGCCAGTCAGTGTCATGGGAACAACCCAATGCTGTGGTACACCGTCCTCGACAGCCTCACTTGAATTGAATACAGGAGACGTACTGATGCTGCTACCCGGCTCTTCACGTTGTCTTCATGCTCATTCTCACGCACGTTCTCATTGTGGTACTCCCATGTGCCCTACAGTGCAGAAAGTGCGGATACCGCCCCACAACGCCTGCCATCCTTCCGCCCCAAAGTGGCTCAGCCAGGGACAACCACAGTTTTTTACCACTCACTCTCACTGTACAAGGTACCTCGCTGCCTGATTGATGCACAGCAGCACAGCACGCCAAGTCTACGGTGATACCTTCCACCTCCACCTCCACCTCCAACTCCACCTCGACGTCTCGCTCTCTCCCTACCACATATTCCATCCTCGCTAACCCCTACCAACCCGTCCGTACTGCGGAAGTATCGTTGCTTCCTCGTCATACGTGCCACTGCAAGATCATCACAGCGTTTCTGCACCCGACGCGGGGCAACTCATCCATGCCGCGACTGGCACAGCCGCCGTTTCCTCCGCCGCCTTCCATCTCAATCCATCATTGAGGGCTGCATCGAAACGCTGTCTCAAGAGCGGTCAAAAATAGGAAACCCACACCCTTCCTTAAGGTCGTACAGGAAGCCTCTTTGCTCAACCTCCAATTTGCTGCTGCAAGGCTTCGTCTGAATCGGCTCTGACGTGCCCCCGATGCAACGGCCCTCCAGCTGCGAGATAACGCCGCTTCGAGCCCTCAGACGGTCAGCTGCGTCGCCGTTTTTCTTCTAGACCACCGAAATCTGTTCGTGGGTGTCGAGTACACGGGAAGCCTGCATAACCATGACAACGCCGCCAGTCTGGCGACGGCTGCCTGTGCCCCCATCAACCGACTTGCCTAACCTGTTGGTATCGACAACGTTTTTGAACACATCGTATACAATCTATGTCACAGATCTGGCCAACATATGGTCTGAATCTTTGGATCGGCGTGCAATTTACAAGCGCAGCCTCAATGAGTCTACCAGTATCGACCCGACGGACAGCGACAGCAACATGCGAGCTTTCCTATCCAAGATCCGATCCGTGTTTGATCCATCCCATCGAGATCATGACAAAGCATCCATGTCAATGTCAACACGCCCTAACAAGGAAGCTGGGGAACGCGGACTGACTTTGAGTATCATTTGCGAGCTGGAAAACATGAAACCTTTGGAATGGCCGGTGTATCTACAGAAATGCCCCCAATCGGAGCTCACGACCGAGCTTGTCGTACCCCTCGCACAAGCAAACTCTGTGGGCCGAAGACGAGTCGAGTTTCTCGCAGAAACCATCAAGCAGAAGGACGCGATCATCATGAAGCTTCTTGACAAATTAGAGGCTACCGGGACTCGCCTCGAAAACGTCTTTGCCGCCTTGTCAGCGAAACAGAAGCCTACGAGAGAGATGGCGGAGGAAAAGGTCAAGGGTCTGGCTCCCTTTTCACTCGAAGATTGGAAGGGTCAGTCGGATAATGCCCCAGAGGATGTTCTCAGTCTAATCGAGAGCGTCTTCGGCGGTGATGGACTCGAGTATAATCGCAAGGTCGTCATGAACGCCACTACTCCTCTTGACGACTGGTGGTCCAAGTCGGAAGCGTTGTGCATCCCGATTGTGGGACCCAGGGCAAGCTCCCGTTCAAAACAGCCGGCAACGTCGTTATCCGAGTCCGAACAAAAAGGGCACAGACATAGCGAGCCGGCAAATAATGAGGCAGTGGGAGAGGATCAAGACGATGACTTCCAAGTGCAGTCGACGCCTCCCCATCTCATATCCAATCGAAAGCGTTCTGGACAGCCACCCCCCGCATACGACGATGAAAGCACCGAGGATGAAGATGTTTCTCACATTCCTGATAGCGTGCCTGTACTTCCTGAAGAGCCCAAGGTTCATACCAACCGCTTAGGGACGATAGGGAGGAAACGAGAACCCACGCCAACAGCGGAGGCTTTACCACCGAAGAATCTGGGGCCAGATGGTTCGGGTTTGGATACCGAAACGGCGTCTGAAGACGATAGCGCCGCCTCTTTAGCGAAGGTCTCACCGCCACCAAAACCTGCGACGAGGACCACCAGAGGGAGTGTGGGTCGCATTAGTGGTGGTAGTAGCAGTTGCTCAAATACTCCTGATTCTCCGAAAAAGGGGACTTTAGGTCGCATTGGCGGAGAACGTCAACGTTCCAAATCACCCGAGCGCCCTAAGAAGACTGGCTTAGGCCGAATAGGCGGAGGAACGCGCCCCTCTAAAACACCAGAGCCGATGGTCGCAGATGCGGAGACCCGAGGAAGGTCTCGAGCGCATAAGGAGTTGTCGATGGAGCCCAGAGAGACTTCGCAGGAGCGGGCAGATCGGAAACGGGATGAACTCCAGAAGGAGTTGCAGAAGAAGGCCACGTCGGGACCAGCACGGAAGAAGCGAAAGTTCTAGATCTACCCCATTTCCAAATCTGACACTTCTGACACTTCGATCTCGCTCAGAGGATATCCCATGCTACACCTCATCGCGGGATCTCTCCCTAGTAACCACTACAGCGAGTGATTTTTCGAGATTATCTCTACTTCCATACTCGGACCCGAGGATCTATCAACTGAGTCCTACTGAGGAGAGGGCCAAATATTCATGTCCGGGACTGCTCTCAAAATAGACATACACATGTCGTCGGATACGGGTGTTCATGTACACGAAGCATTCCGGAATGTATCCGATGCCGACTGCCTTACACATGAGACCCGTATTCGGCTTCTGTTCGATACTTATTCAGAAACCTCAGAGATGTTGTAATGTGGCATTCGATACTCTAGAATACCACAAGACCCATGCAAGGACGCTTAAGGACGGCCCGAATCGATTTACACGCCGATGACTTGCTTGTCCAACGTGGGATGTTAGTTTCCGGAGCCCCGACGTTGAGCAGCAGGATCTCGCATACGACTATGGAGGCAGCGTTCATTGAGGAGCCCGCAGCTGCGTCTTTCTCCGAGATGATACCGGAAGTTGAGGCGAGGCGAGGCGAGACAGGCCGAGCTGGTACAGCAGCAGATATGGGATTGGCGGCGTCATGGAGTCCGTACATTGCTTCTAGAAGAAGCCTGGTGGTCGATGAGAATTGAGTCCGCTTTCTCGATGTCGAAAACTTCGCCTTCTATCGCGACACCCAGCCAACGGCAAGTAACGTCTTTTGGCAAGGGATGCAATGGAAGGATGGAACGTTGCAGCCTCATGCAAGAACTTATGTGAAAGGAATGATGCTCTTGGAGCTCGTTTCACTTCACCACCACCATGCCATTCTATTTATGACTTCCCGTGATGACAAGACGGCCGTTGAGTTACACATCTCCAGTCGATCCGGAAGATTCTTGTCCTTGGGAAACCTAAAACGATGCTATTCTATATCTCAAAATATTTTCCCCCACAGGGCACTCGAAGATATTTGCAATCGACGTAACATCCTTCAACTTTTGGTGCAAGTCACTGACGGCCTCCGCCTTGTTCGACGTGGCACTGTGCGACATCAATCCCTCAATCCGACAAACCGCGCCAGTTCTCAGGAAATCTACCTCGCGGCTTGACGGCGCGGCCCACCAGCGGGAGCCGAGACTCGTTGTAGAACGGAGGGCACGAGAGCTCTCGCCTATCTCGTCTGTCGGCTGCCGCGTCACGCTGCGGTTATGGGATATTGATCAGATATTCGATGAGACAGAGAAGTCTATATCCATCAGCAAGTCAAGCAAAGCCGCTCGCTTTGATGCATTGCCTAGAATCGAAATCGGGCAAGGGACGGCACTTGGTCTGCATTTCGACCATCTGTCCGAGGCAGCGGCCCGCCATGCGACCTTGCAGCATTGCGGGCCATGTTTCCTTTTCATATGTCTGTCAATGTAACAGGTAGCGATAAGGCTTCGAGATTTTGCAACTGGGCTTGGCCGTCTACCTCCGCCTTTCTGCAGAAGCGAAAGCCAGCATGCACAGATTACCACCTATGCCCCCTCTGTTGATGGCTTCTCGGATGCCTCGAGATCCGACGGGACAGATGCATCATTACCATGCTGATGCTGCACCGGGTTCATGTCCCGGTGGTTTGTCCCATCGATCGGGCAGGACATCTCCGGAGTCTGCACACCACGTTCTGTTCTTTCGGACGTAAGATGACGGGACACCTCTCGCAGCGGGTGGATGACTGCTTTAGCGAATCCAGACGTAAGCTCATGCTACATCCTAATGACTGATCTTGGCTTGCTTTACGTACGTGATGTTTTGACAACTTGTTGCAGGCCGGTGTGCAATACTTTCTCTTCCAGAAGTTGAGCTCAACGGGCGACGCAGAAGCCATTGACTGGTGACCATTGACTTTGCCGACCGAACACAAGCTCGCATGGTCGTTCCGAGCCTGCCAACTCAGGCCTGCAGCTTAGCGAAGGCGGAAGCTTAACTGAGCTCACTGAATCATTGCTATACAGGTCGATGGACATAATAACTTGCGCAATATCATCGTTCGAGAAAAAGAAAGCGCCTCATCAACGCTCATCAACCAAGTGTGACTCAGAATAACTAGCGAAACAACATACAGACATGCCACCGAAAGTTCGATTGAAGCGTTGAGTCGAGGTTGACGCCATCACGCCTCGCGAAAATCGTAATTCAACATCAAGATGTTGCTTTGTCGTCGAGCATCAGATCTTGGATTGAAGGACCCCCATAGTACATCAAGCAGCGGCTGTCCGGGCGGGTAACCAGAGGAACTTTGCAGGTTGTTCAAGCATACCTGGCAATGTAATTGACGCCGACGGGCGTTTGAGTACTTACTTGCCTTGCATGCTGTCGGTTGACGATGCTCATCGGCGTGAACTGGGCATCTGACGGGAAGACGGAGTCTTCAAACGAAAATCATAGAACTCGACCAGAGTCACCAAAGCCATAGATATGGGCCGAGGAGACTGCGGGTTGCCTTCGGGAATGTCGATCCCGCGGCGTTGTGGAACGCGATGAAGCATAATAAGGGCCGTATACCTGTTCCTTTAGGGTTGCACTCAAGGCTGTCAAACGGGCGGCAGCATAGAGGCTACGACTGCCTGGTCTTTACATGCGAAGATCTCGACGAACCGACTTCACCTCCTTGATTCAAGAGCCGGTGATCTCGGCTTTCTGAGAATGCATTGGGCCTCTGGGAACATGCACTTCACATCAGACCCAGACCACCCACCACCAAAGCCTTGGAAGTATGAGGGAGGGCCGAATGGCGGTGGGCGAGATTGCAGGCACACTTTCTGGGCGCTGGCTCCTCCCACATCATCACCAGTGCCGTGCGATGTGTGACAGACCATCATCTTACGTCCGTACTTGGCGAGGACAGCAACAAAGGGGTTGGGGACTCGTCAAGACCAGCATCTCGATAATCATAGATCCAAGATCTTTCACAAATTTCGGCCATCGAGCTCAGAAAATTGTGACGAGTCGGCGGTCGGCAGAGTGAAAACCTGGCAAGCCACGGTGGTGTGCGATCATCCAGCTGGAGGCCTGGATCTGTGGAAGCACCCCCTCATGGATGAGTGCAGAGGTTTGGCGACCTGGCATCAGTACCGCGGGCCTCGGATCGAGGGCTACCCCATCTGACTTGTTGGAACCAACGAATACAGCTCGAGCCCAGAACAGACACTGGTGGCTCCACAGGCGGGATGTTCCCCTACCGAACCCAACAGCCAGGGTAGACTTGCCTGTCTCGCAACCGTCTTTGCAATAGGTAAACCGTTGGAGGTGACTCGACTGTCGACGAGGGTGGGCTAGCGACACGAATAAACGGCGTACTAGTTCGCCCGGCAGGACGGCTGTCAAATCTGTCAACTGCGCGGCCAATCACTACCACCTTTATTCGATGCAGGCATTGGGATGTGTGGGGAGATTGGCGAATATGAGCGAATCAGACCGGTATCTGCAAGCCCCCTTGGTTGGGATATCGTCGTAATTGTGCTCCTCCCATGGCGTTTTACGATCAACCAACGAGTGCCGTCTGGCGGGTTTTGTCTCCTCCGATCATTTATCCGAAGATTCGAAGCCGTTGGCGCGGGGATCTTCGCACATTGGAAGATGCCAGGGCCCAGAGATGGATGGTTGGAAGCCAACCCCCAGGAGCCAACCTTGCAAGCGTCATCTGTCCATCACTGGCCCTGGACTAGGCTAGTTGTCTCTTCAGCCTTTTTGAAAAGACATCAACACGAGAATCAAGGACTCGTGGTTTAGCGACCAAGATCTCCTCTCTAGAGACTAGGTTTCGACCCGTGGGGCCCCCTCTGAAAGAGGGCAAAGGTAACGAGTTGTCGTTGGTCGTTACCAGTTGGGTTTTACCAGTGACAGTCTTCGCCCTGGTGATCCAAGCCTAGATAGGCCAGGGTTTTCATTCGAGGGAGCAGCGGTCGCGGTGGGCGGGCGTCTTGGATGGAGCAGAGGAGATGTCCGTGGCGTTTCCGCAAGGAGGGATGCAAGGGGCTGAGGGGGGTAGCAAGGATTCCACTTGTACCTGGCACTTCCAGGTTCAAAAGTGGACGAATTATGGACCTTGTCCCTCGGACGGTTGCCCGTCTCCCCGCCGCAAAGAAAGGGAAAAGAGAAACGCCCCCAAGAGAGAAAAGACAAGTCTGTTTCAACGACGTGCGTCTTCTTGGTGAGCCGTACACACCATCGTCGGCGTCGGCGGACGCTCATCAACTCCGACCTGGGGCAGCGACGGCCTCTTCAACACCTCAGACGCCTATTTTACCTTTGGGGTTTCTTGCATGCCGCCGCAAACAATACTGGCGGTCAATCAAGGCTTTATCAGACTCGCGATCCTTTCGCCTGCATGTCATGTGCCACAAGATGTGCCCCAGACACTGGACCTACATCAAAGTAGCTGGATCGCTCAGCGGCATCTAATTTGAGCGTGGCTTCCTTGGAAGACTGGCCCCCCTTACTCGCAACTCGTCAGTGCTAGTCCTGCGCCTCAGCTGCTATGCCGGCCATGAACAGCGGCACATCGTATCACGGTGCAAAGTATCTTGTCCCAGCAGCAAAGTGGGACAAGTACCCATGACACCCTCGACCATTAGCCATCTGACCGTGCGACTGCGGGTTTTCCTTTGGCAAACCAGCCACTCGAGAGTCCTGCAAAGCCAAGCCCGCCTGCCGGACGGCTTCCGGGGGACCAGTCAGTATCTCGTGCCCAGCATCGTGGCTTACCGTTTCTCTTGGCTCAACTCCTCGACTTAAAAGAAAGACGGGGGCCATATGGCCTTAGCCAGGGATGCCGTCGCGACATCCCTCGACGCTGTGACATGCCATGCCGTATTGCGCTGCGCCGCTGTCCTCGGGTTCGGTCAGTTTCTCGTCGCCAGTATCTTGATTGATCGATACGTTCGGCGCAAACCCGGCTTAAAGCCATCAAAGTAATATCGACTGGCCGGCGACAGCACCCCCCGCCTTGATCACGCCTGCAGAACATGATGGCTTCTTTCAGTTCCAGCTGTGAGTCTGGTCCCTGGCCTGATGCTGCGAGATTAACACCAATCCGCTCTCCTAGCCCTTTTGGAAAGAGGATGCTTGTACAGGGTATAAGCAAACTAAGATGACGGCAGCGGGACCAAGTAACCTCGTCCCCAACTACCTGCACCATGGGCTCATTAGCTTAGGTCTTGTTCATCCCAGGACCTTGGCATGGCCACACCTGCCAGCTCGAACGAGCAGGAGTCCTGTCTGGGAGACGCCATATACCAGGACCAAGACGCTCCTCAGTGCCTAGCCCGGTCCCGAGGACTCGGTAACCAATGGCAGAGAGAAGAGAGCCAGAGTCACAACTCTCTTATCATCCGTCAACGACAGGCTCTGATAAACAAGCATGACATTCACCCAGGGCGCGGCAGGGTAAGTGGTTCGCCAGTTATTCGCCATTGTTGCATGGCCAAAAATCCCCGGCAGGTTTTTACGCGGCTCGCGGAAGTCGGGGTCGCAGAGCGGCTAGTCCTGTTGCATTCAAGCGTCTGTCATACCCATCTCTTCTGCTCCTCAATGTGCTGCAGATGAAGCAGGAAAAAAGTGAACACGTCTTGCAGGACTTGCTTCTCCAACGGTGCCTGTGTTGAAAGGGAGATGGCCTTCATCTCGACAAAGAGGAGCCTCCTCCGCCTCCTCCCCACCCCCCGCCATACGACATTTGGAAAAGGCAGACTGGTTGACAATACTGTGGGAAAAAGAAAGCGGCAGACATTTGAAAAATTGACGCGAGATTGGGCTTTGAAGAACCTTCACCTTGGGAAGGGGTGTGGACTCTATTCACCGCTCGCATGCACCGTCAACGTTAACCTTGTCGCCGCCGCCGCTGCCGCCTCCGCCGCCGCCGAGCCAGGCCGCCCAGTAGTCCAGGCTGATCTAACCCGGGGCGGCCGCCGCCATCGTCGTCGTCGTCTACGGGACCTATCAAGTCTGAACGCTTAACCTGATCACTGCCCGCCTGCTTTACCCCTCCAATGCCATGGAGGCTACTCTTCGCGAGGCTTTGATCACCGCCCCTCACAGGGCGAAGGAAATAGGTTGGGAAATATACAACCCCACGGCGTGCATAGCTGTGGAGCGGCAGCCCTGGGTGGGCACATCGAGCTCCATCCTGGCGATCCCCAACACTGAGGCTTGCTGTTCACCATGTTCCCACGACGGTCAAGGAAATCCGGTGTGCTCTTTCGTCACAAGGGCTCCCGCACCCCGGGGCATTCGTTCCATGGCATCTCCACATCTCGAATCCTGTAACTTTACCACGGTAGGTCATTCCCGCCCGCCTGGCTTCGGTTATCCAATCATGGTCAGAGATCTGAGAGCGAGGGCGGCACGGCGGGCGAGTGACCTAGCACGAAAGGAGGACGAGGGAATAGAAGCTTTGTGAACATACCGTCGTCTCACTCGAATGCTAGGTCTGAAAGGGCCCGCAGCTGGTGTACGGGTACTGTTACCTTGACCTTACCTTGCCATACCTTATCCTACCTTGTTTACCTGTGCCCTCGCTGTTCGTCCTTTCTGCGCCTTTCATCCTTCCGCGAATTCGCACCGCCGTCCAGGTCTAGACTGAACACCTTGACTGACGGGAGGGTTCATCGTCCGACCTTCAAGATTGGGGCTCCACCCGGCCGCCCACTCTAGATTACTTTGGCCTCGATTACCAAGTTGACATTTGTGACATGCCACTCAGCCTGGCATACCCATCGTCATTTCGACTCCACAATGGGCGGCTGCGTCTAGTAAGGTAGTCTAGAGTTGTTCAAGGGGTATCCATCGACCTTGCTACATATTGTCCCCTTGAATGATCTTCCTACAGCCCTGTCAAAGACTCAACTCGCGGCCCTCCCCCTGGTTCCTTCAGACTTACGCAGTGTCTACCTACCTCACATGGCCCCGCAGGGTGTCCCAGCCCAGTCACAGAGACGGGAGACGACACACGCTTCCGTTGAACTCTGTATTCGTTCTGTACACTCTATGCTGTCACATTCTCTTTGTGTCCCGTCTTCGAAGACACACCGATCTCCCCTCCCTCTATCCTGGTCGAAACTTGTTCTTCTCTTCCTCCAGCCCAGCCGCCATCTCCGAATCAAGTCGACCAGTCACCAGTTTCCCCCCCACCCCTTCCCAAGCCACCCCGCTGGCTATCTTTATACGCACGATCACTCATCGTCCGTGCGTCTCTGTAGACCAATGGACCAGTGAGGCAAGGAACAAAGTTGCTTGCTTGCTGATCGATCGTCCGCTCCGTCCTGCTCCCCGAAAGTCTATCTCTATCTACGCACCACCCCCCCTCAAGCGGGGTCCCACGCGGGCAGATTTTCTCGGAAACACCTCCCCTGTTTCTGCCCAAAGATCCACTCTGATTGAAGGTGACCAGGGTGTCGGAGCCGATCGGGGAAGGGGGGGGAGGGGGGAGGGGGGAGGGGGTGGGCTCGAGGTGAGCGGCCGCCTGTCTGCACGCTGCCTGGGCTCTTTTTTTCCTTTTACCTTTCCGATGAACTGGTAAATTAGGAATCCCCAATTGAGATGAGATGGCACGAAAAGAGGGGAATGGGGGAGGGGGGAGGGGATGGAGAGCGTGAGAGTTTCGCTTGACGTGCAGGTTGGATGCAACAGCGCGGCATTATGAGCTGAGAGAGACTATTGGAACATACATGCATCATCATCATCCTCTGTAGTCAAATTATTGTTCATCACCATCAGAGGAGGGAAACCCTTTGCAACAAAAAAATCATGATACTCATAATTCAGATCATAAGCCAGACTACATTATTTTTTTGCCCTTCTAGATATCAAGACATTTTCCACCGGACTCATACCAACTCACCAAGCTGACAACGTTGAGGCTCGCCTGTGAAACTGTTTCTTGGGAATAAATGCAAAAAAAAAAAAAAAAAAAAGACAGGGTAAGAGAGACCAAATCAAAGCAAAAAGTTCCGAACCGGAAAAGAGAAAAGATAGCTAGTCAAGGGTGAAACATGGGGTATTTTGCAGCAGCGGCTGCACGCGCTCTATGTTGATGATGATGATGATATCGTTGTTGTCGTTGCTGTTGCTGTTGATGATTTTGGCGACGTTTGATTTTGACGACGATTTGCCTGGCCCAGGTGAAGATGATGATTGATGACCGTGGCATGAGATTGGTTGTATTCTTTTGCATCGAGGCCGGCCCAGCACTTCCATCGGTCATGAAGAAAGGAAAAAAAGTATGAGAAAAAGGAAAAGTGGAAGAACGCGAACAGAAAAGAGTTGGTCGTTTCCGGATATCCTTGTTGTTCTCAATTCCCTATGCCCTCACATCGTGTCTGTGTCGTCTGCTGGTGTGTGCCGTAAGAAAGGAAAAGGGGAAACCATAACAGAGAGGAAAAGCGGAAAGAGATAAGCGGTAGATGGAAGAAGGGGATGGAGAAAAGTCGCCACCCTCTTCTCTTCCCTCCTCTCTCTCTCCCTCTCTCCCTCTCTCGTGCGCACGCGCGCTATGCTTCTCTCCCATCTCATCTCATTCCCCTTCCCTCCCCTCGTTTCTTCCCCCCCCCATGCACACACCCCAGTCTCTGATCGTACGTTCAGAATTGCTTTTTCCAGACTTCGCGGCTACTGCTTCCTACAGAAGAGCAGCCTACACACGCCCGCCGCGCCGCACCACCCACCACTACCAGCGGGCAGGACACCAAAAAGAAAAAAAGGAAGAATAGTAGTAGTGAAGAGCGCCAACAGGCCTCGAACCCTGCAGGTGTCAAAAGACGGGCACTGTACTCCCTAGTCCACGCAGAAAGAGAGGGGTGAGGGTGTATGGAGGGGTTCGGTGTGGGAGGGGTGGGACTGGGAGGACGCGGGCGTGTGTGCCTGGATCTGTGAACATAGTGTGGTGTGGTCGGCGTTGGGAGGAGAGGAGCATCGAGGTAAATCTCTCTCGAAGAGAGTTGTTCTCCACCGCCCATGCCCCACGCCCCATGCCCCATGCCCATGCCTGTCCCGTCTCATCGTCGAACGGGGATTGCAGACCACAGATCCCCGTCCCCTGGATCGCTCTCTCTGCCCCCGATATGCGTCGACCCTCATCCGAATCTGTCCCCGGACCCAGATCTTGGCGGAAAGAAACGTAGGAGGACAGGGGTGAGAGGAGTGACCGGGTCCCGTGAACAGCTAGCTAGATAGCCAGCCGTTCGCTCTCTCTCATCCAACGGAATAACCCGCTGGTAGACCTCGTTGTTGATGCCCCCTCCCAAAAGAAAGGCAAAGTAATCGAGCGCGAGATAGGCGTACGTAGACCAACGAGATAGGGAGAGGAAACACACGAGGAGACAGTGGAAAAGAAATGTCCAGAAGCTCTTTCCCTTTTGGAACCGATCTTGATCTTTTTTTTTTTTTTTGCCCTCTTTACTGATCCCTAAGATCGAAAGGCGAAGTTTTTCTTGGCTTCCCGACCGTCCAACCCGCAGTAAATAATACATCATCGCCCTAAAAGGCGGAAAAGCGGGAAAGAAAGCCACCCGCCCACTCTACACGTCTGGTAGGGGGCTGGGGGGGGAGTAAATCGCCATCCCGGTAAACGCCGTAAAAAATAAGATAGAGGAAAGAAAGAGTCACAGACGGCCCCCGCAAGAGCCACACCACCCAGCTGCACCAAGCCTTCCAATCATGAAGTGTGATATGCCAACAGCTCACAACTGGGCGGTGGAGCCCCAGCCGTAGATGGCACCGTCGGTGGGTGTCGAAGGGCTGTACACCCCAGAGACATCAGCCATGGCGTAGGCTTGGAACTGGTAGGGCTGGGCCGCGGCGGCCATGAAGGAACCGGGAGCGCTGGTGGGAGTCGTGATGTTGCTGCCGCCGGGGTTGCTGCCAACGATGACAGGACCGGCGGGAGGAATGGGGTTGAGGTTCAGAGGACCGCCGCGGGCCTGGACCTCACGCTGCTGGAAGCACTGCTCGTTGGCCGCCTGACTCCGTCGCATCATCTCCTCGTGCATCCCCTGGATATGCGGAGGGAGCTGCTGGTGATGATGGTGGTGCTGCTGGTGATGCTGCGAGGCCATGACGGGGCTCATGGAACCGGTCTGGGATCGCTGGCGCCTCGCGTTGCGGGAGTTCGTCGTGGCGCGGCCTCCACGGCGTCCAGACATGGCGCGGCCGGGCATTGAGCGGTTGGGGTAGTCGGGATTCGGGTAGTGAGTAATGGTGGAGGAACGGGGAGGGCTGTTGCGTCTACTCATGCCCATGGGACCGCCGCCGAACGAGTTGGCATTGGCAGCTGCGTTGCAGGCACGGCGGCTGAGGAGGCTGCGCGAGGAGCCGCCGCGGTTGCCATCGCGGAAGTGCGTGGTTGGCAGGATGTCGTCAAGGTACTTGGGGTTGAGATACCACTCAGACACGCGCTTCTCGCTAGACGTGTGGCCATCTGGTTGAGTGTAGCTCTCCTTTTCTCTCCTCTGGAACGCCTAGATGAAGGTTGTCGTATTAGCGAAGAGGATCATTATGCTAATGTGGGGGGGATAGGGACAGGGAGGCTCTTCGATTATGATTATGCAATGCAAGGTGTAAATGCTTCACTGGCCAGGGGTTGGAAACCAGGCGCAATATGCATGGGGGGCTTCCTGAGGGATCATGATCCCACTGGAGTGACGTGGGGCGAGAGAATAAGCAGGGTACTCACGTCGTTCATGCTGAGGTTGTGGCGGATGCTATTCTGCCACCCGTTCTTCTCGGTTCTCTGGGGTTTGTTGGTGTTGTCTCTAAACCACTTGTAGAGCTCTTGGAGAGTCATGGAGTAGTCTGGCGCGTCCTTGAGGGCTTTATGGATAAGCTTGGCGTACGGCGGGCCGTCGTTGTTGCTGTTGGCAGCGTCTGGTTGGGGGTTGACCTTGGGAGGGGGACTCTGGCCACCAAGATCCTGGATACCATCGGGCAAGTCGCCGCCGTGGAATTCGGTCGGGGACCCGCCGTAGGGGGATCCAGGGGCGTCGGTGCCGGGCGAAGACGCATGGTGAAGCCTTTCGCTCTCCAGAGTGCGCTGCAAGGGCTCGGGGTCGAAATGGCGCTGGTCAAAGCCGTGTGAGTAGCCGCCGCTACCATAGTGGAGAGAGACATTCAGGTCCGTTCCGCGCAATGTTTCTGGCGACATTGTCAACTGGTCGTTGACGAGCCCAAATGGCGGTTCATGAGAACGAACGGGCAGCTCGTACTGAGAGGCTTGAATCGGTGGCGGAGTCTGGGTTGATGAGGCCCAGCTTCGCGGCGAGAGAGAGGCCGAGTTGTATATCGAGTGAACGGCTTGGCCGCGGTATGAGTAGTTGTCAAATTCATCTGTCGTGATGGACTGTGGTGAGGACCAGGCCGTCTGGTTCATGACGGGCGACTGGTATTGATGTTGGCTGACGGCGGAGAGCTGGGTGTAGTATGGTTGAGGATCTTGGACGGTGAAAGAGCGTTGCTGCTGCTGCTGCTGCTGCTGCTGCTGCTGTTGTTGTTGCTGTTCCGGAGCCATGGTGTTGAATGTTTCCATCATGTCCGTCCTGACGCCCAAGGTGGCTGGCGATTGTGTGGCGTTGGTCCGTTGTTGATGACTCAAGGTAGCGCGCATGGTGTGCTGAGGTGAGTTCTTTGCCGTCATGATGCGGGAACAGTGTGACTGAGGAGGTGTAGAGGAGGAGGATGTGAATCAGGTAACGTTGCCTAGAGCAAAATGGGGAGAAGTTTGCGCGGGAAGACGTTTTTAAACGAGGGAGAGATCAAGATGTCACAGACACCACTTGAAGATGTTGTTGTAAGGATGAAGGGAGGGTGGGGGGAGGAGTCGAGGTTGAACAATGATCGAGGTGAGACAGCAGGTTGATGATGGAGAGCTTGCTTCCGGATGAAGACCGTCTCAGGAAGGCGTCTCGAGAAAGAAAGAGGAGACACGAGAGGTTATTAATGAGGCGACCACAACGATGTTGGTTCAAGAACTGAGCGCTGGTCGCTGTTGAGAGAGCCTCCAGCAAGGGGTTGACCCCGTTGTGATTTAACGAGACAGAGGCCCATCCTATCCTCCAGATGTTCCCATGTTGGTAGAAGAGCGTTGTGTAGGTAGTGCAAGGAACATGTGTATGTCGCCCAATTTGGCCCCATACTTGTGTACAAGAGATACGTACAGGATCTGGGATGAGCAAGAGAGGCGCAGGGCCGGGGTAGTTTGGGAGATGGGGGGGAGTGTGGACTGTCGATAGAACAGACATTGGATGGAGGGGGGTCGGCCTAACATGGCCATGTGGATATCGGGGGGGAGAGAGAAACAGAGAGAGAGAGAGAGAGAGCAACGTGTGCCAGCTCATTGCTTGGCCTGTTTTAGCGTTGTCTTCCCGCAGCCGCGGCGGCGCCATGTGTGCGTGTGCGTGCGTGTGCGTGTATGTGTGTCTGTCTGCTTGTTGTGTATATGCTTGTGTGCATATATGCGTCTGTCTGATGTTCTTCTGTATGTCAGATTGCTGGTCTGCGCGCCCTCTCTCTAATTCCGTCTGCTGCCTGCGTCTCCCTCTCGTCTTTGCCCATGTATGTGTCGACTAGATGGAGGTCCCCATCCACGTCTGCGGCAAGCTCTCCACTGCATGCACAGATCCGTTGCAGCCTCTATTCTCCAAAGTGGATGCAAACGGAAACAGATGGAGGCTTGGTTGTGGCTTCTGCCATCAGGTCCGTCTGGGACAAGTGCAATTGTCGACCGGGATCATGGAATTTTTTCCCTCCAATGCTGATTGAAGGAACGTTGGAGAAGGCGTTCCCTTCTGCATTCCCATGAAGGGACCAGGTGAGTAAATCTGAACAGATGAGTTGCCCTGTTGCCAAAGAACAGGTATGTGGACAGCTGAAGCTGGATTGGGCGGTACGGAGAGCCTCCAAGACGTTTCTTTATTCGTCTTGCATTTCTCTCTCCTCCCTCTTCTCACTGTAGTCTCTACCCTGAAGGTCGAGCAAAAACCGTTGGAACTAACAACGCCACCGACTTGGAGCCCATTCGTTAAGAGCCGTCGACCCATGATCCAGGTCGTCTGCGTGCAACCATGGTTTGATAGCAGGAGCGGAACTCTGCCCCAGTGACCACAAGGGACGACCATGGCGGCCATGCCAGTCCAGTCCTCCGCCTCATGCGGGACGCGGGTGAAGAGGGGGAGTGTGGGAGGTCAACGGCAGGATACCAGCATGGTACACGCTCTGAGCCTGAGGCTACCTCAGCACTAGACGAGGACGCAAGAGGAGAAGAGAGAGAGACATTGAGAGATTGTTGCACACATCCACAGCCAGGCCGATGTGGGTAGCGGGTCGTGGCGGGGCTATTGTACCAGGTACAGCTTGACATGAGATGTACAGACGATGTACGCCTGTCATTAACATGGTTGGAGTGAGGCCTGCCGGCCAGGTAGACAACCAACCAGTCAACCTTTGAGCTGAGAAGCATTTCGGGCAGAACAACAGCTTCTCGGAGAGCAGCAGCAGGTACACCGGACGCGTGCATTGACTTTGGCGAGAAGGCCAATCATCCGCAGCCGTCTTCATGGGCGCTGCCTCCAAGTCCTGGTTTGTACCAGTGTAGAGGAGTTACAAGGCAGGCGGAAGATCGGTCTCTTGATGCCAGCCCGCGGACACGTAGATCATTGTCGAATTCTAGAAAGTCCATGGTGCTCCTCAAAGTTCTCGAGACGGATTTAGAGTAGGGACTCATGTAGTCAAGGTGGAGGTTCAATCCCGCCTAGGCCGAAATGTGGCCGCTTGCCCAGGAGTGGTGTTTCGGGTTTCTTTGCCTTTACATCTGTGCATCACCGGGGAAGACCGATCGTTCCAGGTAAGTAGTACCCGGAGCTCTGCTGCTCGTCATAGTACCCCATCTTCCACCGTCAATGCCCAACAGCCACGTCGGTGAAGGGGTTGGATCGCCAGCCCAGAGATGAGAGGACAGGCGTGGCAGGGTCGTGAGTGGAGTCGTCTGCGGTGGCGTGGAGATCAGCAGTAGCTGCAGCCATTGTACTCCGACTCCAGTCAGGATAGCTTCATACAAGACTGCTTCGGATCATGTCAGTCGCCCGGGGATGGCAGCACTTGGCGTCGTGGGGGCCAGGCAGGCAGCTACACCAAAAAAAGGTGCAGCAAGAGACCCAAAAGGGTTGCCCTGGCGTCCTGCTACCCATTGTTGCACGAGAAGATGGAAAGGAGGTATTTGATTAGTTGGAGACGAGAGCTACGGTCGCCTGTGTGATTGTGCGTCATTCTCTTGTCTTCCCAGAGGTCGGCCCGCGGCCAGCGACGGTCAGTTACGGTCGTCGGCGGGTGTATGTTCCGAACGATGGAGGGGGGAAAAGAGGAGGGAATAGTACGTGGTACCAGCGAAAGTGAGAGCGGCGAGTGAGCAGGACAAGAAGATGAGGCGGACGCGATCCGGAGAACAGACACCAATCTGTTCTGGCTTCTGGCCAGGCCAGAGAGAGAGAGAAAGAAAAAACAACCTTCCAACACCAAGGCGTCCCGATGTATCCGCCCACACGGTTGATTCTGTCACATCGTGACATCGTAGATGCATCGTGACGAGACGAGCGAGCCTCCTTTCCAACCCCCAGCCCGATTCTGGGGACAATCACTTCCGGTAGTAGATCTGCGGAAGGGGGGGGGATCATGTCAGTACGGTTGCAATCAGTGAATCAAACGTGGGAGTGGGACTTGTCCCTTACCTTTTTGAATTGAAAGTGCAGTTGCAGGATACCCTGCAGGGAGTATAAGATTAGCTCAACGCCATGACCAGGATGGTTGGTAACAGTAATATGACAGAAAAAAAGGGGAACTATTTGGAGGCGCGCGTGTAGGCGGTTGGGTTGGGTGGGATGGCGGAGTCGGCGGTGCTGGTGGAAAGCAAAGACGGTTCCCCCTCGTGGCCCGCCTTTCTCGGCATTGGAGAACGGGCTTATGGACATGGAGGGTTGGTTCCTTCGACATGACGGCAGATGGGGGAAACGAGGAAAAGAGAGAAAGTTGAGGGGCACAGTTATGCAGGCGCTCTCTTGCTTGCCCCCCCATGAGTGACTCTCGTGCTCTCCGTGCATATGCACCGCGTCGACTCCGCCACGAGCAGGATGAGATGGGGGGAGAGGAACTAGACGCAAAGGACGGCGCGAAAATGGTGTAGAGAACGCCACAAAACATACCTTATCGAAGGAACTTTTGAAGCCGCGATCCTTCTTTGCACTGTAATCCCACTCGCGGTCCACGATCCTGAACGCAATGTCTTCATATGGGGGACCTGCGATGAAACGAATGAGGCACGTGTCTTCCTCCCCTGCTGCGGCAAAAGACTCGCCCCTTTTTCTACCGTGTTCTCGAATGATCTTGAATGTGGGCGCCTTTGTCTTGTCGATGAGTTCGGGGTAGAAGATGTTGAACTTGTAACCCTGGACAACCTTGGGTGGCGGGTTGTCGTGGTCGTAATGTGTCTGGTTGTACTTGTTCCACTCGTAGCCCATCTGAACGCGGTTGAAGTATCTCGGCTTTCTTGGCCGATGCTTGTCGGCCCATTGAGGCTTAGACCCGCTGGCAACGGTTTCTTCTGCTGTAAATATCTCCTCGTCTTCGCCAATGCCACGCGCGACTTCGCGGTCGTAGAGAGCTTTGGTGGCCTGGGAAAAGTCTTCGTCGCCCGTCTGCGTAAATCGAGCTGTTCCTGGGGGCGCACTTGAAACAGGTACCGTCTTTGTTTCTGTCCTGCTTGGTTCAGATGACAGGTTCCTGACTGCTGCAGTAACCGAAATAGAATCGGCATGGTTGGCCTGGTGCTGGCCGAGGGCCTTTGCCTTTTCCGGATCCTGCAGCTTGAGCAATGCAGCTTTGCTGGCACTGATTGCGTCGGAAACCTTTCTCAGCTTGGCCTTAGCCTTCCACACCAGCAGACTGCGGAGAAGCTGCTCCCAATAGTCAACGTCTATATCGTCGTTGGAGTGGAGCTTTGCCTTGATCTGGGACTCGAGGGCCTCGAGCTGTTCGTACGTCTTGGGGCGCAGGATCTTGTCAACGTCTTCGGATACTGTGCTGACAACCCGAGCGTCTGGGCCTTGCGGTTTCAGCTTCTGCCGCCTGTCGGCACAGATGGTTTGCAACGACTTCCAGTACTCGCGGTTGCGGTCGTTCTGCTCGAGGGTGTGGTAGGACGTGATGTCAGAATCCAGTTCTCGGAGCTGTGATTCGTCGAGCCCCTGCAGGACTTGCTCTGGAGAGGCCACATTGAGGTGCAGGTCTGCATCGTCGTCGTCGAAGACGTCCCGGTCGTCGTCGAAGAAGCGCAGATTGAAGGCCAGGAGATCAATAGGCTTGGCTCGGCCTTCCCGAACTCGAATGTCAGCCTTCTTCTTGGCTTGTTTCAGAACGAACTTGTCTTCGTCGGCGACAAACTGTCTAGACTGTTCATCCTGCGTCATATAGCTCGAGCTGTTGTTCTGACGTGGCCTTGAGAAAGGGGGCGGGTTCGAGGGTTTGGTGATGCGATTATTGGGGTCGCGTCTTGGGGAGGCTATGTCCCGGTCCCTTTCGCGATCTCTGCGGCTGGGTGATCTGCGCCCAGAGAGCATGGCTCTGCGGCCCGGGTCCATGTTTGCTGTCGTATGGAGGGATCGGCAACAACGGTTCGGGTGTCAGGGAAAATGTCGTCTTTGTCGTGGAAGTCGCAAGTTGTGACGATCTCGACGTCGCCAGTTGCCTTGCGACATGAAAGAAGCTTATCGGACACTGCGTTACGGGGCTAGCTCTTATCGCCATGTGACATGCGAATGCTGCGTGGGTCCGGCTGATCTCCGGGTCCCTTGGTCCCTCTTCTGGCACAGTACGTACCTGCATGGTGCTTGGCAATGCTTGGCCCTACCTTAAGGTACTATAGTAGGTAGTTGAGCTCACCGAAGACCAGTTTAGCATACGGAGCCCCTCACTCGTCCCTCACCGCGAGCCGCACGGGCGGTTCCGGAGAGCCAGTCAGCTTGGCTCCTTGCAGTCAATGCCCCCATAATGGACTCAATCGGGCGGGCCCCCCGCTAATCCAGGGCCCTGGGACGCTAGAGCTGATGCATGTCCAGATCTCCCGATTTCAGGAACATGATGACGCACAAGACATCGGCCGATCGTGGACCAGTCTCTAGCTGGATCCCATCGATCCCCATTCCGCAAGCTGAAGAGCTTGATGGGAGGGCCGATGGAAGTTAGTACTATGCAATAATCAAACAGCCAATTCAGAATTCGTCTTATGATTGGGAACACCTCGCTTTTCGACTCTCTATGCTCCTGTGTCGCGTCTTGCTCCCCGGCAACGCGCACTTACCTTTCGCTGCTCCGGCTCCTCCTCCCTTCGCCTCGTCCTCCACCTTGCGTTTCGCCTCGCTCTTTTCCCAGGTCTGCATTTCTCACCAGCCGAACCCAAACCACTTCCCAATAGCGTACTCCCGCTATTTTACCACGATGCCACCCAAGCAGAAGCGCAAGGCGGCACCCGCCGCGGAATCCAGCGACTCTGGAAGAAAGAGAACAAAGACCGAGCAAAACGGAGGAGATGCCTTGCGCAAGCCGCACCCTTTCCACGAGGACGCCGAGAAGCATGGAATCGTCCTCCGGAAGTTCTATCCGCACGAAATGAGCAATGACCGAGCACGCGCCTACAACGAGAACGAGCTTCCCAGACCCATCGAGGAGCTCACATCCGCCTTGGAGCAGACTTCCAAAACCAGGAAGGCCGTCGAGACAAAGAATGCCGTCGTCCACTGGTTCAAGATGGATCTCCGGACGACAGACAACAGATCGTTGTCTTTGGCAAGCGAAAAGGCCAAGGAGGCAGGGGTTCCGCTGATCGCCATGTTCATTGTCAGCCCCCAGGACTATGAGGCTCATCTAACGGCCCCCATCCGCATCGACTTCATGCTCAGGACTCTGCATGTTCTGAGAAAGGACCTCGCCAAATTAGATATCCCACTCTATGTCGAGACCGTTGAGAAGCGCAAGACGATTCCCGACAGAATCGCCGAGCTCATGGATCAGTGGGGCGCCAGCCACTTGTTTGCCAATATGGAGTACGAAGTGGACGAGCTTCGACGCGAGGGAAAGATGGTCCGCATGTTTGCCGACAAAGGACTCTCGTATGAGGTGCTGCACGACACGTGCGTTGTTCCTCCCGGGCAATTGACCAGCGGAGCAGGCAAACAGTACGCCGTCTATTCGCCTTGGTTCCGGGCCTGGGTCCGGCACGTCCACGAGAACCTTGACCTGCTGGAGCTATACGATCCGCCCGCGAAGAACCCGCCCAGCGCCAGGGAGAACTACAGCAATTTGTTTGACACGGAGATCCCGGAGGAGATTGTGGATCGGACGCTCGATGACGACCAGAAGAAGCGCTTCCGCGCCTTCTTTCCGGCAGGGGAACACGAGGCACGAAGCCGTCTGGAGAAGTTCTGCGAGGAAAAGGTTGGCCAGTATCACAACAAACGCAACATCCCTCACGATGCTGGGACCTCGAACTTGTCAGTGCATCTTGCCAGTGGGACCATCAGTTCGAGAACATGCGTGCGTCACGCCCGGGACCGCAACAAGACGAAGAAGCTGGACGCGGGCAACGAGGGGATCCGCGTCTGGATTAGCGAGGTGGCATGGCGAGACTTTTACAAGCACGTCTTGGTAAATTGGCCATACGTGTGGTATGTCGGATAAGGTTCCCCTTGCGTCGCAATATGAGCCATGATCACTAACGAGCCCAACCCAGCATGAACAAGCCTTTCAAGCCCGAATACGCAAACATCGAATGGTCCTACGATATGGACGACTTCAAGGCCTGGAAAGAGGGCAAGACCGGCTTCCCCATTGTGGACGCTGCGATGCGCCAGATGGTCCACATGGGCTGGATGCATAACCGATGTCGCATGATCGTCGCCTGCTTCCTGGCCAAGGATCTTCTCATTGACTGGCGCATGGGAGAGCGGGTGTTTATGGAAACCCTCATTGATGGCGACTTCGCCTCCAACAATGGTGGCTGGGGTTTCTCTGCCAGCGTCGGCGTCGATCCCCAGCCTTACTTCCGCATTTTCAACCCGCTCCTTCAGAGCGAGAAGTTTGACGCCGACGGGGACTACATTCGCAAGTGGGTGCCTGAGCTGAAGGGCATCAAGGGCAAGGCCATTCATGCTCCATACGATCGCGGTGCTGGCGCTCAGGCGAAAAAGGCAGGCTACCCTGAGCCAATGGTTGAACACAAGGGATGTCGTGAGCGGGCGCTCTCGGCATACAAGGCCGGCCTAGGAAGGACTGACTTGTGAGCATTTACTCTTTGACTAATCGGGTTTGAAGAGCAGGTCTATGTAGGTAGGTTAGTATCGCAAGTGCTGTTGGAGTTTAAAAGCAAGGCATGATATCGAACAGGGTGATATTGGGGCAGTATGAATCCCTTCGTGAATGCCCGCCCTACCAGTACCTGTCCTCGAGACTACAACATCCTTGGTCACAATGTAAGAGATGTCACCCGTTTGACCACTAGCCATCTAAACGACATATATGACAAAATCTCTGCAATAAAGAAACTATGATAGAGTAGAACGATGCTGCCTACCTCGAAGCGCGCTGGCCGTCCTGAGATGAGGAAAAGATCAGCAAGTATACATTTCCCTCCTGCTTATCTTGCGCTTGTCCCGAGTAAATGCTCTATTAACGCTTTCTCTCTTCCGAATAGAAGGCTATAATACAGCACTATGTCTGCGAATTCAAGTGTTGTTTTCCGGTGTCCTGTTTCGCAAGTGGCCATATACATCCTCATCGCCTTTTAGAGGCCAAACACAAGTCTGAGACTATGTGCGTTCAAGAGGGATCTTCCGTCGCACAGATCTACGACAGTCTCGGCAGTACTGTTCCGTCACCTGCATCTGGCATTGATGGAAAGACATTGTTCAAGTAGCTGTTGGCGGTTCCGCCAAGATGCCAAGCCATGAAGTTTCCGAAGGCTTGCAGCAGGTTACGCAAGTCAGTACAAAACTCTCGACCACATCGCCAAATAATCTACAACTCCAGACTCGGCGCCAACTTCTTCAGTCTTGTGTTTATAGTATTGTGCTAAATGTGGATGAACAGAATTCGAGGCAGGACGGAGACGTACCGACGAGCCGTGACGGGAGCTCCCAGCGGCGGGAACCGGGCCTTCTTACCCCTTGTGCCCACTCTCAACTTCATTAAAGTCGGATTCGTCACTGGTGGGTTCGTGAATGAGGATTCGTCATATTGTGCGTTACCGAAAATTGCTCGAGTCGTAGTCATGTGCTGTAAAGTGCGTTCCGATGGCCCGATGCAACCCCGGAGCCAGCTACTCCGGCTCGACCTCCCGTCTAAAATCACAACTTTTCCGACATTGCAGCACCTGTTCTTCCACTTTAGGAAATGAAACACATTCTTACTGGTACCATGTAGTCGCATTTCTTCAAGGTCACCTGCTCAACCCCCCGGATTGTGTGATTCCAGTGAGCCGGTCCGACGTTGCTGTCGTCCTCACCAAGGCTTGATGGCACCTGCGGCTCTATACATGCCGGCCCCCAAGGAGAAACACACTGGGGACCCTTGTCTATATCCTTCTCCTCAGAAAGCACCTGCGATCCTACGGGGGTTCGTGAACTCGATGGCGAAAGGGGAAAGGTGCAACGGAATAGAGGGCCCTATGGGCCGAGGGAACTGACTCTAAGGATTAACGGAAGCATGGTCGAAAACATGCCCATTCAGTTTTCAGACGTATAAGAAGGCGAGCAAGGCCAAGGGCTGAGACATACCTTTGATTCTCTATCCAGATACCCAAGAGAAGAGAATCCACGCAGCTCACCATGAAGTATCTTGTATCTCTCGGAGCCCTCATCGGCGCGGTCTCTGCTCAGGCCGGCCCCTGGGCGCAGTGCGGTGGATCTGGCTGGACGGGTGCCACGACCTGTGTATCGGGGTACATCTGCATTATTTCAAACCAATGGTACAGCCAGTGTCTCCCCGGCTCCGCCACGCCCTCGGCTTCGACGACGCTGGTCACGGCTTCGACGACGCTGGTCACGAAGACGACTTCCACCGCCAGTCCCACCGCTACATCGACTCCTCCCCCTGTCAACTCTCTCGGCTGGAAGTGGTTCGGTGTTAACGAGGCCGGCGGCGAGTTTGGAGAGAAGACGCTCCCTGGTACCTGGGGCACGGATTTCATCTTCCCCGATCCGTCTACTATCACGGTGAGTTTTCCACGTCACCTACCTCGGTAATACTCCGCAAGACTTACAAGCAAGCAGACCCTTCGCGGCCAGGGCTATAACACCTTCCGCGTACAGTTCAAGATGGAGCGCATGACTCCCAATTCCCTGACGGCCGGCTTCAACACCGCATACCTGCAAAACCTCACAAACGTCATCAACCACATTACCTCGAGCGGAGGCTGGGCTATCCTGGACCCCCACAACTACGGCCGCTTCTACGACAACATCATCACCGACACAGGTGCCTTCCAGACGTGGTGGAAGAGCTTTGCTACTCAGTTTAAGAGTAACGATCACGTCATCTTTGACACGAACAACGAGTATAACACCATGGACCAAACCTTGGTCCTCAACCTGAACCAGGCCGCCATTGACGGTATCCGCGCCGCAGGGGCAACCCAGTACATCTTTGTCGAAGGAAACCAGTGGTCCGGCGCCTGGTCGTGGCTCACGGTCAACGACAACATGAAGGCCCTCACGGACCCGCAGAACAAGATCGTCTACGAAATGCACCAGTACCTCGACTCGGACAGCTCCGGCACCTCCACGGCGTGTGTATCGACGACGATTGGTGTCGAGAGGGTCACCGCGGCCACGAATTGGCTGCGCCAGAATGGCAAGATTGGCTTCTTGGGCGAGTTCGCCGGCGGCGCCAACAGCCAGTGCCAGACTGCCGTCAAGGGCATGCTCGACTACCTCAAGGCCAACTCGGACGTGTGGACTGGGGCAGCATGGTGGGCCGCCGGGCCATGGTGGAATAATTACATCTACGGCTTTGAGCCCCCGTCCGGCACGGGCTACACCTATTACAACTCCCTGCTCAAGGGGTATGCTGCGTAAGGGGGTGGGAGATGTGGCGCACCGTCGAGTGTGTCGCGGGTCGAGAAAGGTGCTTTGGGATGGGTTAAACTGATTTTCAGGTTATGCTGATATCTATACTTCGCTGTAAATATTCATTTCGTATATACTATCCATTCTCACAATTACATGATCAAAGCCGACCTCAAAATGGGAACCTGAGAGCTTGCTATGGTCTTCGGGTGCCAGGATGCTTGACGTGCTATCACTTTCGGTTCAGCTTAGAAGATATGATGTGTGGGATCAAGCAGACTAAACTCGTAGAGCTACTATTACTAAGTCCCGATGCCCCCGATGCCTGGCATCGCCAATGGTGCGACCGGTGGATCGGCCCCACAGGCGGCGGAGGAGTGGATAACCTCCGGAGCATTCCCAGATGGACCTGCTCTGACAGTTGAGCTGTCATCATGATTTCACTCGTTTGAATTAACAACACTGAATAAAGGTAGAATCTGAATGCCGCAAAGCCTGAAAACATCATTGATGCCTTCGGCAATGTGTTTACGAAACATCAGTGAGATGAGATTTCGAGTATTCTGGAGCTCATGATATTTATTGCGGACGAGATGGCATCCCTGGGAAAAAGGTTGGAAGAGGAGGATAAGAAAAACATGGTGATTTGTGTTTATTTACTTTATATGTTCGTGACTTTTGCTGACGTATCCAATTTCCCGTCGCAGAATGCCCTCGAACTGATCAAGGGTCTGCCAGAAGAATTTCAAACCACAAGGTTGCTTTCGAAGGCGACCAATGGGCGAGTTGCTCACCTGCGCCACCAGTCTTCAGATTGATCTGCAGATACGTAATCCATTGGTTCAAAAGGAAGTGTTGGAAGTTTTGGGCATGTGGCAAGTTAGGAAATCCGAAGCCCCTGCATAATCTTGCTCAGAAGCACAATAAGGCTCCGTTGACGAAGTAAGATGGGTCATCGTTGATTCCATTTCATAGGTAGTCCCATAATGGCACGTAGTATTTTCGATGCGCACCCTGCGCGATGAGTTTAGACTACACGGCTCTATTGTAATTATGTGTATCATCCACTGGAGCACCTTGCTTTGGCCATGGAGTCCACGTACAATAAGCCTCAGTGCCTGAAAGATCATTCTGGAATCTATTTGCGACCTTGCAAGTACCGAATTTCGAATAAAATCCTCTCAAATCACAGTTCTCTGTTTCGCGGGGGGAAATTTTGGCGTGCTAGGTTCGCTTGTGAACGCGAATCACCAGGGGATCTCCTGACCGGTGATGACGTTGATAAATTTGCCCGACGTATTGTCACGGGTTGCGTTATCAATCTATTAACAATTCAATCAGTCAGCCAAATTAAAAAGGGATTAGAAGAAATGCAAGGTAGCTCACCAACTGCACCGTCTTCAAAGTGCTCTCTTCGATTGTATGCGGTGCTTCTTTGAGTCCCACCATCTGGGCACCGATGTTACCCATGTCCGTTTGGACGTGGCTAAGTCTAGTGTCAGCATATTCTCGCCGCCTCAATTTCTGGAGTGACTTACCCGGGGTGAATGGCAAAAGCGACCAAAGATGGATTGCCAGCGTGGATGGCCCTGATTTGAACGAATTGTAAGCCATCTGATCTCTGAAGCCCGTCTCCCACCCAACGTCGCATAATGACCTACACGGTAAACCAATCTTGAGCGGCCTTGGACACACCGTACGCACCGGCGTAAAACGCCATGTACTTTTCGCAGTTGGTGATGGATCCAGCACCGCTGGACACCGATACCCATTTGGGCGAAGCGGACTTGTCGAGAAGCGGTTTGAACGCCTGGAAGAGACGGATGGGCCCCAGAGTGTTGACCTGCAAGGCCCCCTCCACGGTCTCAATTTCGGCGGTGTCCAACTTCTTGGGAGGCAGCGGACCCATGCCGGCGTTGGCTATGATGAGGTCTACATGCCCAACTCCAGCTGTCTCGACGTCCTTGAGGGCCTGTAGCGGATCGGTTGGTGAACTGCTGTCGATGCCCACGAGAAGAAGCCGCGAGCCTTCTGCCTTGGGTAGTTTGTCTAGGTCTTGCGATGCTGGGGCCTTGGTGTCGCGTACGCTGCCGATGACCGTGTGATTCGGCCGGGCAAGGTACTTTTCCAACAGCCCCTTGCCAATACCTAATGGGTTGGTTAGATGCGACATGTTGAAACCCCGTATCGAGATACGGCATCAAGATGGGGAGGTCAACTCGCCTTTATTGACTCCGGTAATGAGAACAACAGTTGCTGCAGACATATTTCCGTCTTCGTTGAAATTTCGAAACTGATGAGACTTTTAAATCTAGAAGCTCAGAGTGTCCAGCGTGAGATGAGAGTGAAGGAAGCCAAGATGCTGAGCGTACTGTATGCAATCTGAGTGAGGTCAGGTCTCATGTGACGACGGAAGCCCTTTTATTAGTCTCTTTATAACATGTTGAAGCACTTACAAACCGTTTGAAGCCACCAAAACAAAAGATTTGTTCTAGTCCCCTCTTGGACAAGTGTCGTTTGGTTCCGGAGTAAATTGCTGCCTAAGGTACGTAGTGAGGGGGAGGACGGCTGGTTGGTTGTTGGCTGATAATGCGGCATCGGAATACTTGCTGCCTGTTTATCTGAAAGCATACACGAACCAGTCGCGTTGGGGAAATGTTCGAATTATGCGGGTCCACAAACAGTCCGTCGATGTGTTAATGGCGCACATCAGTGGATTAATGCTGCATGGCATATGCGGTGGATGTCAGTCCGGCTCACGGCTAAAATCTGGGCCCACCAAGTACACATCAAACAATGCGGAACTCATGCTGATTCTGTTGATCAGCCAATTGCAATTACTTGAATGATATCAAGAAGCTTATTCCAAAACTTCTGCCTACTGAGAGCGGGGCATGAGGAGCTAAGTCTCACTGAGGCAACAATCTTGACGCATTCCTGGCCCTCACCCTTGCAAAAACATTGACCATGATTACTAAATCCGTAGAAGGATGGTCCGAGTGATTGGTATCGTAGGTAATGCGATAAGTTCTAGTGCATCATCTTCGATTCGGGGTCAAACGATCATGGCTTTGCGGAGCTTCATAATAAAATCTCACTCATCCTCCAATGCCTTGTAAATGGCCTTGATATAAGACCTTACAGCAGTGTTTCCCAAGCCCGTCATGGACATCTTATTCATCACATATGTGATGGTGAGTTTCCTGTCCAGATCCATGACAACGAACGAACCGCCAAGGCCTCCCCAGAAACAAACACGTCCGTTGGGCAGGAAGTCAGAAACGGTTGTACCGCCCTCGCCCGTGATGCCAAATCCGACACCAAAGCGAATGGGCGCGCCAATGACAAGGTCAATCCCGTTGGACTGTTGCTCAAAGATGAGGTTGATAGTCTCCTGTGAGAGCAGACGTTTGCCGTCCACGATGCCACCGAGACTGAGTGTCGAGAGGATCCGCATGAGTGCGCGGGCGTTGGCGTGCCCGCTCCCTGCGAGAATGTCGCCACGGCGCCAGGCAGGGCCGTTGCCAAAGTCCGATGGAAAGGGCGGGGGGTTCATGGTTTTGAACGTGATGGAACCCGGCTGGGGACCCATGCCGGGACTGAGGGTAGGCATGGGTGCGGGAATGATATTGGTCGTCCGGAAAAGCTCTTCTTCGGACACGCCAAAGTGGAAGTCTGCATCCAGCGGCTTCACGATCTCGTCCACGACGAAGTCCCTCAACGTTGATCCCGTCGCGCGACGGACGATAGCTGCCAATAGGTGGCCGAATGTGTATGAGTGATATCCAGAAGCGGTACCAGGCTCCCACCACGGCGCTTGCGTAGCTAGCTTTGCTGCGGCCTCGTCGAGGTTGGATATGTCGTCGAAGGAGAGCGGCCCGTCGGCATCCCAGCCAGAGACCCCCGACGTGTGGGAGAGGATATGGCGGATTTCAATGTCTCCTTTGCCGTTGGCGGCGAATTCAGGCCAATGTTTCGAGACCTTGTCATTAATCGACAGGACCTTACGGTCGATGAGGATGAGGACCGCGAGACTGAGAACGGTCTTCGTGGAGGAGAAGATGGTGACAATCGTGTCATCGGCCCATGGCCGGGTGCGTTCCTTGTCCGTGAACCCACCCCACAGGTCTACAACATCTTGGCCATCGATATTCACAGCGATGGCAGCGCCGACTTCTGCCCCTGAGTCGATGTTGTCCTGGAGTTGTTTGCGTACCTGTTGGAATTTGGGGTCGCAAGTGCCGTGTGCTTGTGTCTGTGCCATGATTGCGAAATTGTTGATAGGGAGTGGGTGTAAGACGTGATCGAGCTGAGAGATGAATGGCGGGGCTGGAGTTGCTCAAAAAGCTGATGATGATGAAGGCTGAGCCATTGTGGACATACTGAGATGCCCTCTCGTTATATACTTGAAGACCATTGGTATTCACATTATCGGTTCTTCTTCGTTCCGAACCATCACGGCACTGAAGGCAAGCTTGCAAATCCATAGAGCTTGTTAGCGGAGGTCGTGTCGCATTTGCGGCATCGGCGACCACCCCGCCGACTCGCCGGCCGTCGGAGCGGCGCCTGGCGCCTGAGATGTCGGTGCTTCAGCCGCCGACTCGCCGGGTGTGCGTGAGACCAGGGGCTGAAGAGAGCATCAGCGCCTCTTAGCGAGCTGATTTTTGTCCATATCTCTTGGCTGACTGTCACGACCCCCAGTCTGCGGCGCAGAAAGCCGGGCGCAAGGCATGGGAAGAAGAATCAACTCCCGAGACCTCCCGGAAATAACTTGTACTAGGGTCAGTCAGCCAGGTTGCCATCCGATGGCTGGACGTTTCGTTGCATCTTTTAGCCAAAGGTGAGAAAGCGGCGTAGGTTTGGTGGTGCCTGAGCACTTCAAGGATGTGGATGAATCATTATGAACCAGAAGTGTTCAGAAATAAACGAACCAATCGAATGCTTGCGCCCTTTCTTTTGGGCAGGCTCATCCCCGCTTGGCTACATTGCTGCTGCAGTGACTTCATTCTCGTTCATCCCTACATACTTAATGCTCCATGTTTCTTAGTTCTCAGTAAGCATATAGCCATAACGCTATTGCTCCTTCGTTGACTCTGATTCCAGAGAATATCATCTATATCATCTCCTACAGAGTTTATGTGAATTTCGGCATTCCTAAGGCCTCCTATTTGAGAGTTTTCAGAGCAGCTTCACCAATTACGACCACCATAGCCCAAGTCACAACGAGCAAGATGAACGAACCGATTGAGATCCTCGGCCAGCAGCCAGGTTTGAAAATATACACGCAGATAGCGGTGTGCTTCTCTGTCGAAGATGACCACTCATATGCAAACATCACAAAAACCCTTTCGATCGGTCTCAAGCGGCTTACTGCAAGTTTTCCCTGGGTTGCCGGGCAGATCGTCAATGAGGGCGCAAGCGACGGCAATACGGGCATCTTCAAGATCGCACCACATGAAGCAACCCCGCCCTTCATTATCAAAGATTTACGAACGGATTCATCAGCACCGTCGATGCAGGATATGAAAATTGCAAACTTCCCTTTCAGCATGATAGACGAGAGCATCGTGTGTCCTCGCCCGACTCTGCCGATCGACCCGACGTTGGTGGGGAAACCAGAACCAGTCTTCATCATCCAGGCTACTTTCATCAGGGGCGGGCTCATTCTCGCATTCCTCGGCCACCATCAGGTATTGGATGGCACCGGACAAGGGCAACTCATCAAGCTCTTATCAAAGGCGTGTGAACATGAAGGATTCACCGAAGAAGAAGTAGCAACTGGGAACCTGACACGCCACAACATCATTCCCCTCCTTGAAGGATATAGTGGAGGGCCCGAGACCGATGCGATGATCATTAAGCCATCAACGACGCCATCAAGGGCGCTTGCCACGTGCAGCTGGGCCTATTTTGACTTCTCATCAGCTTCGCTATCAGCCTTGAAGTCATTGGCTTCAGAAACTGTCAAGTCGGGGTACATTACAACAGACGACGCAGTCACCGCGTTCGTCTGGCAGTCCATTTCTCGTATCCGCGCAAAACGTCTGTCGCCCGACGACGAATCCAAGCTCGCCCGAGCCGTAAATGTGCGAGGCTACATGGGAATCCCTCAGACTTTCCCGGGACTCATCCAAAGCATGACGAATAATTCCATGACGATTAAGAACCTTGTCGAAAGGCCCCTCGGGGAAGCGGCATCTCTACTGCGATCGACTGTGGACCCCGAAACCTTGAGTTATGGTGTGCGGGCACTGGCGACGCTCATAGACCAGGCCGTTGATAAGAGCATCTTCTCCTTCACCGGTGCCCTTCGTCTCGATAGGGACTTGGCGTTCAGTTCGTGGGCGAAACTCGACCTTTATGAGCAGGACTTTGGCTTGGAGCTACGGAAGCCAGAGTCGGTTCGACGACCACAGTTTACACCAGTGGAAAGTCTTGGATATCTGCTCCCCAAGGCACCAGATGGAAGCATAGCACTTGCGGTGTGTTTGAGGGACGAGGACATGAAGGAACTGAAGAGAGATGAATTATGGTTGAAATATACCAATTACATAGGAGAGTGATTATTGGGAATTCGAGCCCGGTTTAACGAATTTAAATTTGTATGCCAATCTCCATCTAACGTGAAAAAAGTTTTTAACCTTCATGTACGTAGCAAAAGGGTGAACCATCATGCCCCTTGAGTTGAACGCTTGTCCTATTCGTGGTAATTACTCACACGAGACATGGGGCAAGCACAACGCAGTATTGCGAGTTTTGACCGACTCTCTATATGCGAAAATTTGCATCGATGGTCTTGCGCACTAGCAGTTTGAAGACAAAAAAGGTACTACTCATTTCGCGAGAGCTTGATCCAAAGGACAGTTTTTGGTGATTCAGGATAGCCAATGAGAAGGTTGATTTTTTTCTGGGAGAGACTAAAAAGCGTTGCTCAATAGAAAATAATTCCGTTTGTTAAGTACACATGACACACTGAGCGAAATTGAACGGGAGTGCCGACAAAATTGATTTCAACAGAACACTAACAACCCGCCCCTTGATGAATTATGCAGCGTAATTTCCATCCGGCGCTTGCTGTTCTCGCTCCTCGCTCTAATGCTTTCCCCTTCCGTACTTAGCCAACCACTCTCCAGATTCGAGATGGCATTCATGACGCCCCCGGGCGAGTAGATCATAACAACCGAAGATATCATATAAAGGTACTTATGTATGCGCTCATGGCTCAATCAGAAAGACTCTTCATTCTCCTCGCCGAAATCCAGTACGCCTATCATCTCCTCTAGCACCCCTATCGTGTTGTTGTAAACCGCCTCCTGCAACTCCGGTTTCGTCAAGTCGTAGCCGTGGCCAAAGTCACAACGTAGACACTTTCTTGTAATCTCGCCGTACTGCGGTCCGAGGGAAAAGCGACACCTCGACATCCGCCGGACCCCAACAATGTCGTCGGGCGTCTCGATCTCCAAGCTCTGCCACCTATCAATCTGGAGCAATGCCACGCCGAGGCTGTGCAGGCTGAGGTTATCAACGCCATAGAGCAACTGGTCATAATCCGCCCCCGCAGTCTGGTGGTTCGCTGCCACCTGAATTTCATCCGTTGAGTCTGCTACTTGCCGGCGTGTGTCCTTCTGTGCAAGGCCAACACCGACATGTAGAGTCCCGAGGGTTTCAGACAAATCATCTTGGCTCCGCGAGAAGATAGAGAGATCCTGCAGCCGCCACACGTCATTAAGCCAAGGCGTCGAGTGAAATCTGAGTATCGCCAGAACGAGAGCCCGCGCAAGCTTGAGCTTAGTCACAATAGACACGGAGTCCCATGTTGAAGAATTGAGCATCTGTGAAAGTGATACCGCTTGGTTGCAACAGGCAATATCATGGAGCCTTGGGAAGAACGAGTACCTATAGCCTGGGTCCGTAGTGATGTCGAGGTGGCCGATACACACGGTAGCGGCCTTTTGCGGAAGTGGCTGAGCCCTCTGCGTTAATTCCCAGCAAAAGTCTTTTGTAGAACGAAGATCATAAGATATATGTGACTGAGGGTCTGTTCGTGGAAGGTCGGTGTCGACCTCGATTACTCGGTTGGACGATCTGAGCACATCCTTACCGGTAGGCAGCCTGATAGACGGAAGCTTGGGATGTTCCAGCGCCTGAGACCGCACGACCAGCTCTACCAGTGTGCTGAATCCCGTCTCATGAGCATTGTCCTGGCTGGCGAAAGCAAGGCTAAGCTGGATCTCGTTGCAGATGAGCTCACTTTCGGTAAAGAGCTTGACGAAATGTCTCTCATGGACTGCCTGTCCACAGTTCCAAGCCTCTGACAGCGCTTCATGGAGGGCTTGCGATGCGCGGCGGGTTTTCTGTACGCTTGCCCATTCGTTGGGCGGCGGTGGTCTGCTCTTCACGCGGATTGCCGTCCCCCCTTTCTCAAGATCCAGGATCTGCGTCCTGAGCAAGATGAGGGCCTCGGTCGACTCTTTCAGGTTCGCTATGACTCGGCAGTATTCAGCCTCGTTGATAGCAATCTTGAATCCTTCTTGTACCTTGCGGAGGCGCCGTACGGTGTCCTTTAGCCGTTCGCCCTAAGTTGATATAGTGTTTAGTGAGGCATTTGGTCGGTGGGCAAACCTCGATCCATACCGTCTTCTGTTGGGCATACACAGCCTCAAATTCTTTGCACTGTTCCCGGAGTCCCTCGAGCGCCTCCGAGCACGCCTCTACAGTACACAGGTACGCTTCGCGATTGCTGCCCAGCCATACGGTGATATTTCGGTCCAGGTCTACGTTCATCCATTCGGGGTGATCAGGGTCGTCCAACATTTCATCGACTGCATCATCTCCGCGGTGCGCACGCTGCAGTAGTAACTGACATTCGTTCTTGAAGATCCTCTCCTGGTACGTGAGAATGATCCGGGTTCTCTTGACGACGGTTGAACAGTGCCGGAAGTCACGGAACGTCTTGGAAATGGCCTTGTAGGACTGGAGAACAAATCCAACGATTGGCACTACACCGACGACGCCGAGGGCGAGCTCCGCCATGCTTCATGAGATGTTGTAGAAGTTGCCTGAAGAGAAAGAAGATTCAGACCCTTGCCCGCAAAGAACACCTCCAATCATATGGGGCCTCCGCCTCATCTGCACGGCTGCAGCCTGATCTGGCCCCTATGATTCGTTGTCCGTAGCCAAGAGCGCATTTACCCCTCTTTCTGATCACTTTGCTTCACTATCTTGTCACTCGATGGACAGACCTCATGAGCAGTTCCAATGTCACTGTACCAAGAGAAGGACTCGGTCGAATCGACTCCTGGGCCTGGTGAGAGCGAGCTTACCGCGTCGCGTGTTAGCAAGTGGGATGTCGACGCCTCCGACAAGGACGCCCGGAGTGTCGCAGGCGTTCTCTGCACCGAAACCATCCGAGCATTCAGAGGCATCGTGCGAAATATCGAGCGGCGTGACGACCTCCCTCAAAGTAACCGGCATTGCTTGAAGAAGACCTGTGATACTTTGATCCTGTGGGCCTCAGGATACGGTGTCAATGAAGGAGATCTGGATGAGGCCCTCGCAACATCATGGGTATTGCAGCGGTCTATGCTTGAGTTAATGGTATCCGTTGGTAGTCTGCTTTTGCTCAGTGCGTGTCCTTTTCCCCTAGGTTCCAATGCGTGCGCTCTGCTGACTTTGAAGAACTCATTCCCCTAATATCAGAGCAAGGAATCCCAGGAGATGTCGACCCCTTCGCCCTGAAGACAGCCATTTCTGATGCATCAGGCGTTTTGTCAGAAGGCCTCCAAAGCCATCTTCGCAGGGAAACCGAGAATGATAACGACAGCGACAGCAGCAGTGACTTGTCGGCAACCGAGGGCGACAAGCTCGAATGCATCATACAGGACATCGACCTCTCAGTGCAGTGCCTTCTCGACCTCGGACCTCTCATCAACAGTCAAATAAAAGATCGCAACATCATCGAGGTGCCCCGTTCTGGAGCCGCTGTGGCCACATTTAATCCACATCAGTTCTTCGCCGACATGCTGTCACACCGATACCCGAGAGCAGAAAAGGACATGAGAGACCGACTTGCTAGAGCCAACTTTGACCGCTTTCTCAGGACGAATGAGCTGAGGGCAAAGAATGCTGAGGGTACTCCAACAGAAGATAATGCCGCTGGTTCTACTGAATTCAATGACTCGGGCATCGGAACGTCCATTCACACAGGAGCTCCGTATGCCGCGACACTCATGTCTTACCGTCAGAAGGACAGCCACTCCGTGAAAATTCCACCGTTATCCACAGCCGCAAAGCAGGGGGAGCCTTTTGAATGCGTGGCCTGTGGAGGCAGGGTCTCTTTCAAGAATAATTCTACCTGGAAGTTAGTCGAATTCTTCCGCGATAAAGAATCGAGACTGACGTCATATTCGCAGGGAACATTTATTCCGGGACCTTAGACCCTGGGTTTGCCACGACACTACCTGTCCTCGAGGATGCAAGCCCTTCGTGAGCCGTCAGGAGTGGATCGGTCACCTCTCAAACGGACACAATGTTGACAAAAGTTGCCAACCCAGGTGTCCGTTCTGTCAGGAGATAGTGCAAAAGTTGGACATTGTTGATCATTTGGCGGCGCACCTCGAGGAAATATCACTCTCAGCCCTTCCTGCGACAATCAACTCGGACGAAGATGTATTGGGAGGCGAGCAAGATCATACCACACTTGATGAGTTGGCTTTTGATGGCGATTCCCCCAGGTATCGCTTTCAGACCCGGTGGAGCCAAGTTTTGAGTCCACGCAAGGAGGCTGCGGAGGGTCTATCAACAATTTCGCCCGCAGACCAGCGGACAGTGTCAAAAACGCCCATAGATGGCTGTGTGAGTAGGGCCAGTAAAGATTGGCGTTTTTATACCTGTCCAACGTGTCTCAAGGTATGGTTCAAGTAGCCTTCAGTGCGGACAAAATCAGTAGACTCGCAGATGCTAATGCAACTTACAGATCTACACAAGAAGAGATAATTTAATGCGTCATCAAAACAGACACCACAATGGTTAAGCCTGTGGATTTCCTGGTTGTGGCAGGCGTTTCCATCGCCAAGATCTTCTCGATAGTCACCAGCAAGAACAGTAAGATGCTCTCTCGTCGTAAGCTTGAACAAGCTGATATTAGATATTAGTACGGATACGGGCTTGGCCTCCTAGGAAATACCCGAACTAATTCATTGCAACTAGGCTACAAATCGAAGACTGATGTTTACGTGCCTTTTGGTGAACAACGTATGGGTGGGCGACCCAGTTAGTTACCTTAGGTGTGCTAGTTGCCAATTTAAAACCGAGGAGTGGCTAAGCCTTGCTCGGGGTAGCCCGAATGTATTGAAATGTAGCACTTGGAAGGTGATGATTGATTTGATACATCCGACCATCGAAACGAAGCAGCCATCTTATGAATTGCTCCTGCGCCAGGCTGTACGTCCCGTTCACAGTCTCAAATAGTAGGAAATTATAATCTAACGCGTGTTTTCATATTTGAGCTTCAACGTCTTGCGTCGATTCGCGATCTCTGTGGACTGTGAGGGTTGCTCAAGATAGGTACTTTACCTAGAACCAAGGAATGCGATGTCTGATACAAGGTGGGCTGCGGGCCAGGAGAGCCCGAAACTACGGGCGCCACTTCAGAATGTTTATTTGACTTGCCGTAAATTTGACCACAATTCTGAAAGGACTCAATTGCGATCGGCTTGGCCATGGGCTGCTTCCGTCGATGCGGACAGATCGGTCCTCCAGGCTAAACTACTTGCGACTCTGGCCCCAGACAACCAGACTAGTCACCAACTCTGGACCCGATGCATCTCTGTATGGTCTGGTCTCATCACCAGAAAATCCATACATATAGATTGACCCGTGCAAAGATACTGTGGAGATCGGTTTCAAGTATCAAAGAGGCGTTGAGCGGCCCTATCCGCAGCACCAGAAACAGGCGTCGCTTTTATGGCTCGGCAACATATAATAAACCTCCATAGCATGGCGAATAGACCGAAGGAATCCCACCTCACAAGCCAAACTCGTTCACACTCATTGAAATCATGCGGTCCAACATTATTCTTTCCTTAGCGGTTGGCAGCCTTCCCTTGGCCGGATCCAACCCGTTGCCCGAAGCAGCAAGCAAGCCCGGCACATCCAACAACACAGTCCAAGGCTGTCTCAATGCCGCCAAAGCACCGGTTTCCGTGCCCTCATCCTCAGATTGGTCCGACGACATTCGGCCCTACAACTCTCGCTTGCAGTATACTCCGGCCGTCGTCGTAACGGCTACCGACGTCAGCCACGTGCAGGCGGCCGTGAAGTGCGGAGCGCAGTATAATCTCAGGGTCACGGCGCGGGGTGGTGGCCACAGCTACTCCTCCGCAGGGCTCGGTGGTGAAAACGGCCACGTTGTTGTGTGGATGGACGAGATGTACGAGGTCACGTTGAACTCCGATAACACTGCAACTGTTCAGGCGGGCGCGAGGCTCGGCCATATCGCGACGGAGCTGTTTGATCAAGGGGGCCGGGCCATCTCTCATGGCTCATGTCCTGGGTAAGCATTGGAGTACTTGGACCAGCTGAAGAAGAGGCTAACACCTAATCGACAGTGTTGGAATGGGACATGTCTTGCATGGAGGCTTCGGCTTCTCATCTTCAATGTGGGGCCTTGCGGAGGACTGGATCATCGAGGCAACCGTAGTCACGGCCGACGGGAAGATCGTCAAGGCATCGCAGACCCAGAACACGGATCTCTTCTGGGCCCTCCGTGGTGCAGGATCTTCCTTTGGTATCGTCACCGAGTTCAAGTTCAACACCTTTGAAGCTCCCTCCGTCGTCACATGGTTCAAGGTCCCATTCGCCTTGAAAAAGGATAAGCTGGCTTCGGCTCTGGTGGCTCTCCAAAAGTATGCCCAGAACGATAAGCCTCTCGAGTTGAACATGCGGGCCGTCCTCACCCACGACATCACCTCGTTCGACGGTCTCTACTTTGGGACCGCAGACCAGACACGCACCGTGCTCAAGAAGTTCCTGTCCCCGCTGGTTATCGACATTGGTGGCGCCAACATCACCCAGACTGACTGGATCGGTCAGCTGGAGCACTTCGCTGGCGGGACTCTGGACCAGACTGGACCGCAGAGTCTAACGGATACGTTTTACGCGTCAAGTCTCATAACGAAGACGGTCTCGAATGTGGGCTTCTCTGCCTTTGTCGACTACTACCAAAACACGGCAAAGTCGACAAACACTGACTGGTTCGTCTTGATTGATGTCCACGGCGGCAAGACCAAAACAGCTCAGGTCGCGAACTCGGCGACAGCATACGCGCATCGCGATAAGGTATTCATGTGGCAGTTCTACGACTCCTCTGGCTTTTCCACGTACCCTAAGTCCGGGTACAAGTTCCTCGGTAACTGGATGTTGTCCGTCACGGACACGATGGCGAAGAGTGACTGGGGTCGGTACGTCAATTATGCCGACTCTCAGCTCAGCAATGCAGATGCGCAGGATCAGTACTACCGGGATAATCTGGGGCGTTTGAAAACCATCAAGGCTAAATTGGACCCCAAGGGCTTGTTCACCTACCCGCAGGGTGTGGGCTCATAAGTCAAGCGCATAAATGTACCTACTGCCTAGGTTACACACAGGGGTGTGCAGGTGTGTTATTTAATTGAGACAAAAAAGCATCGGTACCAGCATAAACATCAAGTATTGATAGAGATGAATTTCGAGATTAGTATATCAGGAAGTTCTCGTCGGACGTAGTACATAGTCCATGTTCCGGGCCACTCCCCCTAGCCTTTGTGGTTTCTCCGATTTAAAGCTGAGATTAACCTGTGCTATGTGAGCCGGCGATTCATCATTTTCGCTGAAGAACATTGTCAGATCATTGAGCGCGCCATCCCATTCTCCTTCAACTGCCTTCATTCCTCCGGTCGCCAACAGAGCCATGCGCTCCACAGCTTTCATGTGCTTTTCGGCAACTTCAGGTTCTCCAACCAAATTCTTGGATGATGATGTTAGTGTCTTGTGTTTGTACTCTTTTGATGGGCATGTGATCTTGGCCCTTGAGGATATATGGAACTCTTACAGCGTCTGATGCCAAGCAGAGGCTCTTGGCCATGGTGAGGTTACTGATGTTGTTCCCCTCTCTGGTTATTGATGCGTTGAGCTGACGGATGGTCTCCATCTTGTACATCGTCATCATGGGGTCGGAGTAGCCCTGCTCGCGTACGGTGGCAAGGTGTCGCATTGACCAAAGAAGTACCAACGAAAGCATTCCCGGGTCAGAGAGGGCTGACTGCACCCAGTAGGTGGTCATCGTCTTGCAGAATGCAGTCCTTTCGCCTTGCACCATCAATTCCATGTCTGGCAAACGAATCAACTCTAACAACGCCATGCTATGAAGAACTGCATCCCGACAGTGTCAGCCATTGGCCTTGGCCCGATCGAGGAGAGTATTATAAGCTTCCTAAGGTACAGAATGCGGTCCTGTTATATAAGCAACCAGCGGAACGGATCCAAAGGAAGGGGGGGGATCACCCTTTCCCGCAGCCCACCCATTAAGACTCGTGAACACCGTTCCGCAAAATCTGCAAGCTGGTACACATGTTGTGCTAAATCTTCGGGTCGCATACTCACAGTGGTCAAGAAGCCCTTGCTCCTGGATGGTGACCCTCCTAACGAAGGTATTGAATGGATCTGTTCTAGCGGCGCCCAGCATTGATATTGGGCTGTTGGCGAGAAGGGGGGTGTGGCCGGAACGCGAGCCGTTTTTGAGGGTCGTGACAAGCCATGACCTCACAGACTGGATCGACGGGCGAGCCGGGGAGTCTTCTACCAAACCTTGGCCGAGGGAGAGTTGACCACCATGAGGGGGTGTGGTTGACTGCTGATAGGCGGCTACCCGCTGCTGACGGGCCTTTGGATTTCGTGCGGCATGCGATCTGACCTTTTTCTTCCAGGCCTTGGACTCGCTCGGGTGGGTGATGGGTACAAAAAGGAACCCATCCTCCGGGGACCTGCCCTTGCTTGGGGACGGCATCGCGGGCAGGGCATATAGTGCGTCGAGAGAGGGGAGGAGTGACGGCCGGACGTTGGACGAGCCTGGATGGCGTACCCTTCGTACCCTTCCCAATTCACCCTGGCAAGGGAGCGACGGTCTTCGCTACCGAATTGCCAGAAGACGAGAGGAAGCCGCTAATCGAACTGAACCGCAGGGTCGGGACGAGATGGGTGACTTGAACGCGCCTCACTGGCTCAGGAGACGTCCGTGGTGATCTGAGAATAAGGCTTGCATTTGCCTATTCCAGCAAACGCTCGGGTCACAACACACAACGTTCCTGGGGTACGATGAGAGGAGTAGGTAAGACCCTGACTAACGCGAAGGCCGTGTGGCAGAGTCGACAGAAGAGGAGGTCTGGAGGACGCACGAAGCTGACCGTGTCGTCGAAGTCGGGCTATGAATCCCTCTCCGGCCCCTCCTCGTCCTTCGACTTCCTTTGTTTGTTGGTTCTGGCTGTGATGCGGAACTTGACCAATGATATGTCTCATCGTCTCGACCTGATCCCAGCATCAAAGGGCAACCGATGGATAGCGTCAAGACAATCCACGAATCGGAACCTCGGACGATTCAACCGTCCCAGCAATGGTGGAGAATGCCCAGAAAAGCATTATCCCGAATCGGACGAGAACCAGGGAGCAGTAACGGGCCCATCCGAACCCCCACTCACCTTGGCTCTCCGCCCCTCCGTCGGCTTCGGCATCGGTGTGCGGGTTGATTACATGAGCAAACGTGGATAAGTGTCCGAGAAAGGAGACGTAGGCCTTTATGCCTAGCAAATGATACAATGTTACTAGCACAATGAATCCTTCGCGCTGAACGTCATAAGTATAGTGACAAGGAGCGGAATCAAACTCAGTGGTTTGGTCCGGTTCGAAAATTTCATGACCGATTTGCTCCTTGAAATTAGCTTCAATTGAAAGTCAAAAAGCAGCTCAAGATGTCCAGCCAGTGGGATCCCCTCACTGACATGCCTAATCTTGATGGTAAAGTGGTCGTCGTGACTGGCGGGAAGTACGCATTAGGGCCATTCAAAGGGAGCAACGAATTATTCTGACACACCCACAGTGCAGGCATTGGCTTGTCAACCGTGAAGTACCTCGCCCTTCGCGGCGCAAAGGTCTACTTTACGGCGAGATCAAAGGACAAGGCAGACGAAACTCGCACCGTGCTGACGACCGAGAACCCGGCGATAGAAGCCGACAACCTTCATTGGCTTCCGCTGGACTTGGCAGACCTAAAGTCGGTCGCGTCCGCAGTCGAAGAACTGAAGAGCAAGGAGACCCAGGTGGACATTTTGAGTGAGTTGCCATTGTATCTTTTCGATTTGGGGATGAAGCCTTGCTGACGGGATACCAACAAGTCAACAATGCCGGTGTAGCTTCCAGCACGACGGAGACGACAGGGCCCGGGTGGGAATGGCACATGGGGGTCAAGTAAATACTCCTCAAACCCCCAGAAACATATTGGCTAATATGACATTAAAAATAGCCACGTAGGGCACTTTGTCTTCACCAACGGCGTACTGCCGCTTCTCAAGGAAGCAACAAAACAAGACGGGGCCGACGTGCGCATCATCACACTCAGCTCCAACGTCAACTACAAAATGCTGCCGTCCAACTACGGATTCACCTTCGACTCTGCGTCGTTCTTGACCAAGCCCGTGCCATACTACCCCTGGCACTGGCGCTTCCTCACGAACCGTATCTTCGTGGTCGACATGATCCGTTATTCCGTCTCCAAAGTCGCCAATCTCCTCTTCGCCCAAGAGTTGCAGCGACTCCTGGACGAGCAAGGCCTACCTATCCTGTCCATCTCGGTGCACCCGGGTGGCGTGGCCAGTCCTGGTACCAAGAACATTGGGAACTACTTCTTCTCGCTCGTTAGGTCGGTCTTCCTCACGGTCGACCAGGGCGCCATCACGTCCGTCTTCGCAGCCACTGCCACAAAGGTTCGCGAGAACGCCGACAAGTACAAGGGTAAGTATATAGAGCCATTTGGTAAGATCGTGACGCCGAATCCAGTCGCCAAGGACGAGAAGCAGGTGAAGGGCATGTGGGATCATACCACAGTTGAGGTGAACAAATACTTGTCGACTCTCGGACTCGCGCCCCTACAAGCATGGTAGTCACCACCTCTCCAGCGATGAGATCGAACCATGCTTGCCAACGTCGCGAGAGCTGGAGAATATGTAATGACCTTTCACAGACTAGTAATAATTACACCGCGTTTCACCAAGGATGATCTCCCGCACAATAACCACAATCTCACAAGAAGATGCACACTTAGCGCCTTGGCCATTACAATATGCCACGCTGATCTCAATAGCAGCTTTCCAGATGAACGTCGAACTTCTCACAGATGCCTGTATCCCACGTGTTGGGACTGCCGTGATATCACATCGAGACGGTCCGTTCCCGTCAGGTGAGTCGCAAGTGAAGAAATTCGTGGACCAGGCGCCAGTGCACTACGGCCTAGCCCCCTCCCAATCCGGGGCACTAAGTTGTTTATGGTGAGCTAGTCGATGATTCTTGGGGGGGTTTATCGGTCTAATTTGGGAATGCTAATTTTGATCTGGCCGTGCTCCCCGTTGAGAATTGGAGAGGGAGGCCTTGTGGCGGCCTCTTGTCGATTGGCGCCGAGATAAGCTGTGCCGTTAATCTTCTTTTCATGTTCCAAAGAGACATGCCCTTCATCTTTCTTTCCTTCGCAGTTTCAAACGAACGCGTAGAGTTGACTCTGGTAGTCACTCTGCTGGACACTTTCCTCGGCTATACTCACTGAGAATGATGTCGTTTCTCATACAGAATCTTCTGGAGGGCCGTGTTGTATCGCCCTCGATGAACACGAGTATGCACGCACACACTCGGGCTTTTTACAAAGACGTTGCACGGAGTAGTGCCCTTGGGAGATGTTGCTAGCTCGCGCTGGTCGACGCGGCACTCGGTGGCATTTCCCTTTGATCTGCTGGTCTTAGGCGGCGCCGAGGGGAAGAGGCGCAAAATGTCACTCGTGAAACCACCGTGGCTTGCCGATGCTCATGACAACGGCCGTGATGCATGTGCGTTCGAGAAGACTGTTGCGTGTGCATAGAAAAGTCAACCGTCTCCCGCCACGCGACGCGCTTTCGCCATGATGTCTGATGTCTCTGTTAGCAAATTTGTTTCTCATTCTTTTTTCCAGCACTTCACTTCAGTTGCAGCCGCCGACATTGAGTGTCGCCATGATTAATCGATGACAGTTGTACGCCTTTCCTAGTTTATATACACCAAACATGAACAGCGAATTCGCCAACGGGTCAGAGCTGGAGGTGGTTCAGACCGGAGAAGACGTCGGTGACAAGAGGAGTCTGGTAGCAGTAGTTTGGGCAGTCAACCTGACGGCTTTTGTCCTCGTCGGTATAATAGTGCTTGTACGGATTATCGTCCGCTGCACGGTAACCCGCAACTTCTTCAGCGACGATGTGCTGGTCATTATCGCGGCTCTTTTCACATTCGCAGTATGCGCATTGCTACCCATTGGTATGTCTTTCGTGCGCCGAAAAGTGTCATTCTAGCCCTGTCACTTACAATGATGTTAGCTACCGACCTCGGTCTTGGTCAGCACTACTGGAATCTCGATGCTGAATTTCTCCCCGACAACACCAAGAGCTTGCTTCAGGTAAGGACTGCGGAGAGCTCATGAGATTACAATCTTGCATGGAAATGACTGACGGACCTTGTAGCTCATTTTCATCGCTACTACTCTATACCCTTGCGCAATCGCGTTCACACGTCTCTCAGCCATCTGCTCCTTTCTCAGAATCACGACACATCAAAGTGCGCGTTGGGTTATGTACAGTGCGGCTGCCATCACTGGAGGATTTGGGCTGGCGTCCATCTTTGCCGTCATCTTTCAATGCAAGCCTATTACTGCGGCATGGGACTCATCGATCAGCGGCGCGAGTTGTTATCCATTCATCGACTTCCTCCATGCCAGCGCGGCGTTGAACATTGCGATCGATATGTTGCTATGCACCATGCCTCTGTTGTACATCTGGAGCATGAAGATGGCGCTGAGCAAGAAGCTTCTGCTGACGATTCTCTTTGCATTTTCTGGACTGTGAGTTTTGACCGGGATGGCGTTGCTTGGAGAAGAACGTTCAAACTGACCAAAGACTCAGTTCCTGTGCTGCGGTGATCATCAAACTCATCAATCTAGAGCCTCTGAGTGACTCTGACGTTACCTGTAAGCTCTCCTTATATCCAAAGACAAGAGGTCAAGCAATGAGGCGAAGTATTAACTTTCAAATGTAACAGACAACTGGGTCTCCTGGGTGCTCTGTTCCATCGCAGAGTGCACCATCGGTATCGTCTGCATGTCAATACCGCCAATCATTCCTCTCTTCGCCAAATGCTCCCGCAACAAGCCGCCCGCGCCTCGAAAAGAAAGGAGCAAGTCGTTGCGGTATACCTTGTTCGCCGAAAAGCCAACATTTGGCCGCGCCGTGGCGCCGCGAGTCATAAGGCCGATGGCGACACCATGGAAGGATAAACCGCTCGAGAGAACCGTCAACCCGGATTTCAAGCCAGATTTCCATTGGCTCAGGCTGGAACAGGAAGAAGCCGGCCACTGTTGGGATAAGACGCCTCAGTCTACCAAGGCGGACCAAGTTCTTGGGATTGCGTTGTAGAAAGTCCCTTTGTGTTATACGTCACTTTCGTATTTTACTATTCGATTCCGAGTTATTCAGCGACGGAGTTTGGAAGATTTTCACATAAATGTACGGATACATCCAGATTGACGGACGGATAAAAGACGGTTGAGAACGGGCTTGATTAAACCCAAAACAGTCGTAATTATGTTTCTATCGATCGGGTATCACGAGTGCCATCGTACAATAATACGAACGCGAGTCGTTCAGAATGTAATCAATACCGTTTCATACATGTAATCCAACCTGGTTATCAACTGCCGAGCTGCAGTACGAGGTAAGCTCCGCCGAGGCTCTCACGCTTCGCCTCGCACGTCAGTCAGCCGGCGATGGCCCCAGCGACAGAGCATCGCCGGTTCTAAAGAACAGTTCCCAACCTGATTGGGTGAGCGTCATCGCAGCCAATGGGGATTCCATCCGCGGCCGGCGGCCGCTGGTAATCAAGTGTACGTCGGCAGCTATATTTCCGCCTTATATCCCATGGGGCTGGGTCGTAAAGTTATCCGTCCAGGCCAGAGCTTCTGAAACCCAAGCACCCGCCATGGGGTGATCTTCGAAGCTTCTGTAGGCTCTCGTAGAGACAGCAATGGCCCGGGTGCGGTCTGGACTCAGGCTGACATGGTCTCATGCCTGGCCCCGTGCATGTGGTTGAACCGTCTGGTGGTCGAGGCAGACCAAACCTGGAAGGAATTCTGACAGCTGTGTTCTTTTTCTGCTGACTCTGCAAGACTGCCGATGCGCAGGCCCCCGTTTCAAGCTGTCTGGGAGGATTTGATAGTCAGACTACGCGGCAACGAGGATCTCGAGCAGCACAGAAATCCGTGACATTTTCCATAGGAAGGACCTCGGAAGCTCTAGACTGCCCACGAGACCAATCATGTCTGGCATTACGTGTCTCAGTATCGTGTTGACCTAAGCTCGTCATAGATCTCTCGCAACGAGGCTCACAATGTGATGCATCAGGGGGGAGAACCGGGAGATTTTCCGCTCCCTATGAAGTTCCCGAACCTCAGATGGAGATAAAATACGACTCTAGCAGGGAAGGAACTTCTAAATACCGGTTCGACCACTAGAAAACTGACATCAAGATTGAACCAAAGGAGCCTAGGCGGCACCGCAAACCAGGTGATAGAGGCGAAAAAATCTATACTGCTTTTCTGGAGTTCTTCTGACACTACATACTCACTTCCGCCTCGAGCCACGTCCCTGCTTCATTCCATCTACGCCGCGCGGACAACAGGGCCAGACAGTGGCACGAACACCGGCAAGAAGAGCACACGGGACAAGAACTAGGGGCCGCGCCTATCTCAGTCCCATGCCCCAACTACGAAGGCACACCAACCTGGTATCTGGACCTCGATCATGACGTGCAGCATCAAAAGCGACTCAGAAAAGTCCTGCCACTCCGAATCAACAACATCCCCCCCACCGAAACTTTAAAAAAAGGGAAAAAAAAAAAAAAACGGATAATCCACATGGACTCGGCTGCAGTTGTTTTCCGTCCGCCGCGCCCGTCCGCTCTCCCCGTTCTAATAGCTCATTACGAGGTAGTAAATCGAGTAGAAGAACAGCAAGGAACACACAACCACCCTAACCCAGTAAAACAGTCCAGGCGTCGCCTAACCCAGGCGCCGGGAGAGACTTGTATCTGCGGAGCTAGCGCCTGCTGCCTGCATAGCACTAGCGACCGGATTGGAACAGAGTTCGGCCATGGTTTGATATGATCCTTCAGCCCAAGGTGTTCAAGGGGGCTGAAATCTGCAAATGGCAATGAGAAGCTGTGCGCGGTGACGCTAGAAGTCGCTTGGAATCTACCTACGTTTAAGGGTTCTCGAAAGGGACTGGACGGTGCTGGAAAGGAGGAAGACGTACATCCTCGGTCACAAAATTAGGTATCGATCTTTTGGTTAGATTGGGTTCATTCTGTAATGGATGTTGGCTTCAAGATTCTTTACGTCGACACCAAGCTGTCAACTCTATCTTAGTGATTCGACTTGCCGAGTTGCCATTCGAAGGGAAACCAGAGTTGTCATCCCTGGTCAGGCACAAAGTCAACTTGAGTCATTGCTTTGCCTCATCAACCCCAGTCATGTGTCATTGGACAAGCTGATAATTCGACGTCTTGGTCAGACCTCTTTTCCCGAGATTCAGCCTGCTTCTATCCGCTACCCCTTGCCTGAGGTGGCAGCGACTTAGTAATTATCAGTCCGAAGGTTGGCGAGCCAGTAAGCGACGAGCTGCCCCTGAGGCGCCCGAGCGGCATAAGATTCGGCGATGGGTAGCGTCCGAATCTCTGTCTGGCAGTCTGCCTGTCTCTTACCCTCCCTCTCTCACCCTCCCTCTCTCACCCTCCCTCCATCTTCTCTTTTCTCGAACGAAATGGTCAAAGGATGGTGGTGGGGGGGCTTCCCCTTTTGGCATGTCGCTGATCCAAGGTTCTCATTCCCCGCACTGACGGGGCTTAAAATGTGATAAATTTCCTAAATAGTGGTCTTTCCATCGGGGAGATCTCCCCGATTCACCGCCCCCAACGCAACCTTACCAACTTGGCCGTTCGAAGACGTTTCGGCTTGGCTTCGCCCATTCTAGGAATTGTTCGCTACCCTCTTTCTTCAACAAGTGTGTCTGGTCATACAAACTGTATGAGTTTGTATGGCCGATCTAGGGACAATAACACAAGTTACACGAATACGGGAGTAGGCGGCGGCCTACGCAGCCACTAATTGCCAAAGACTTGGAGTATCTTTACACGCATTGACGGCCCTTCTTTTGGTCTAAACTATCGTCGGCCAGGGTTCATGCAGAAGCGTGTGTCAGGAGAATAGTTCACGCCATGTGTACTTCCCTGTATTTCACCCTCTGTACTGGTGCGTCACGCCTTTTTCCTGCCCCGGGCAGCAATTCTGACCTCGGTGGGCTAGCCCGCTTCTCCTCATTACGCTCGGAAGTCTGCCGCGTCGACGCAGATACAAGCGTGTGTGTGGGGAGGGGGGGAGGTGGGTGGGTGTGCTGTGGTTCAAGATGGGCTCGTACGCTCGCGCGATGAGGTCTTGGCCACAAGGTAGGATCAAGAAGTGTGAGGGGGGTCCCAATGCTGCACACTGCGTAGCCTTCTTAATCCGTTCCAGTCTCTCTCTCATGTAGGGCAGTGGGATGAAGGGCCTTGCATCATATTAAAGAAGAAGGGCGTGTCACACAAACACCGTAGAGAATGGAGGAGGCCTTTTTCCCCCTTCGCTTCTCATGTCTTTCTCTGCTGGTTGATCCTGGGTTCACTTGTTTCTGTTTATGATTTCCCCCAGGGTATCTAGGAAATGACTACAAACCCGGGGCAGTATGGCCAGCGCTCGCTACTACTGCTTTTGTTGTGCTTTATCGCTTCGGTAGTCGAGGCGCAGAGCGTCGCCGGGGTGCTTACGCAAATCCCCAATTGCGCCGTAAGTCATCAAGATGCCAGTTTTTTTTTGTTCTTGTTTCCCCAAGTTCTTTTTTTTGCTCTTTCATAATTATGCCCCTACATTCCAGCCATGGAGCCTGGTCAATCATTCTGCCAAGGTACAGTAGGGCTGACTGGTCATGTTTTCCCACGATAGCTTCCATGCTTTACGCAAGGTCTAGAGGACGGCAATTGCAATCTGACATCGATTGCTACTGTCACTGGTTGTCTCTGCCCTAATATCAAACTTCAATCCGATTTGTCGACGTGTGCACAACTCAAATGCCAACTCGAAGACCAAGCCCGTAAGTATTCCTGAGCAGCAATGTTTTGTTCGGCATGTTGAGTAGAAATCAGGCGCCGCAAAACTGGAGACAAGTCTCTGTGATACATACCCAAAGGATTTTAGAAGCGGAGAAGTCAAGGCCATCGCCATCGCCCTGTCGGTCATCACACTTCCCGTTGTTTCGCTGCGGTGCATATCGCGATGGAAGATCACCAACAAGTTGTGGTGGGATGATTGGACGGCCATCTTTGCAACGGTGAGTAGATTTTTGGAGTTGCGTGGGATGATGGCTGACAGAATCTCAGATGTTGCTAGCCGGGTTGACCAGTATAGAAATTGCGAGCACCAACTTGGGATTCGGAACACACTACTGGAACATCGGACTCGACGCCGGAATAAAGCTGCTGAAGCTTTCTTACGTCGTCCAGCAACTCTACATCCTGATCCAAGTCTTCGCCAAGATCTCGATTCTCTTGTTCTTCTCCCGCATCTTTCACGCAAAGCGGTTCCAACTCACTGTCCGCTACTTGATCATATTTTTACTACTACACGGCCTGATATCCCTTTTGGTCGTCATACTCCAGTGTACGCCAGTCTCGTCGACCTGGGACAGAAGCAACACGAGCCGGAAATGCCTCAACGTCACCGCTATTGAATACACCGGAGCAGTCTTGAGCATTGTAGAGGACTTGGTAATCTTGGTTTTGCCCATTCCCGAGTTGGTCAAAATACAGCTCAACATGCGGAAAAGAATTGCGCTGGGGCTCATGTTCAGCCTTGGCTCATTGTGAGTTTCATTGATAGCATCACTGGTATCCTTATGACTGGCTAACAAGACTTGCAGTACTTGTATTGCAACCATGGTCCGTTTGAAATACCTAGTCATGTTCTCGAGGAGTTTCGACACTACTTGGGACAATGTCGACATTGTCATTTGGTCCATCATCCAGGCATTTTGCGCCATCCTCTGCACGAGCCTCCCAGCACTGCGGCCGTTGCTGCAGAAAGTACCGCAACTCTTTCCCAGCAATAACATCAACACCAAAAATAACAGTAAAGGAACTGTAAACTCGAGACACTCGATGCTAAACACTGGCAAAGACAAGTTTCGCGAAATCCCCGAGGCGCCGTTGGCGCCAGAGTTGCCACCCACGCCAATCGACATTGCGGACGAGATGGCGGCAAAGGCAGACGGGAAGCGTCAAGTCCTCATCACCAAGGACATCAAGGTTAATTTAGCCAATTTCGAGTTGCAAGATGTAACGTCAAGCAAGAAAGTGCAGAAGAACGAAAACAGAAGGTTCTGATTGGTCAACGAGGGCAACGAGTAAGGGAAAGAGAGCATCCAGCATTATGGATAAAACTTTTGTGTATTACATTGGCATCAAAGCGACGGCGAACTTGAAAACTTGATTTGGGAGCGGCGGAATACCAATAACCAGGATACCATTTTGTTTTAGCAAGGGTATAGAACACGATCAAACTTATGGAGTGTACATGGAAGGATGAGCAGATCAGCCGTCGCGCCCTTTGTCCAATTCCTGCGTCTCTCGTGCCGCCTCTGCCTTCTCCAAGACCAGGTCCCAGTCTTCATCCAACTGACGATGATACTCTGCCGCCGCCAAGCCAGTGGTGACCACCAGATCGAGGTCAAGATCGGCGAGAGCGGCATGCAGCTCAAACCCGGGCCCCCACCCCGCCTGGCTCATCATGTTTGTATGACTTGCAGGGGGAGGACTGTTCCCGTCTTCTCCACCCTCTCTTCCACCTCTTCCTCCTCCTCCGCTTCCAAGACCAGCATTCATCACATGCAGCCTCGAACGGAAAAAAGCTCGAGTTTTGCCGTTGAAGTCGACGAGCCTCATGCCCTTGCCATGCTTGCCCAGCACCTCCCACCGCATCTCGCGCACGCCCAAGAAGCGGAAGCTGAGGGTGCTGGACAGGGGGTGCTTGCGTGCCATTTTGAACTTGACACCTCGGACGATAGCGTCGACTCGCGGGGGTATCTTGCGGAGTTTGAAAGCGCCGACGGGGCGGTGTTTTGCGAATGTGGCGTCGCAGTCTACTCGTCGGATCTCCAATTTGGTCATTTTTGAATTATGACTGAAGGAGTATAATGGGGCGAGACACCCTTTGTGTTTGACAAGGTTGACCACGATGGCATCTTCGTTGCCTCTACTTAGGACGAGGATATGTTGCGGCTCTGGGGTTGTTTCCATCTCTCATGGTCTGGCTTGAAAGAAACCAGCTGCGTGAGCGTTCGTAGCTATGTCAAGTCAATTTTGGACAGAGGTCCTACTCTAATCGCTGGGAAATCGTGTAGCAAATGTATTCCGTGGATTCTCGTATCTCCGTTGACGTCCACCAAAGTTTTCAAAGGCACTGAGCGAGACTGTCTGTGGGCGGCATCCCACGGCTTTGTGTAAGTAAACGGACCGAAGACGGGATGGAGAAGCCCATAGAAAGCGGTTCATCCATGAGCCTCGAGCGCCATGGTGAGACGGATAGGCGAACCAAAGTCTCAGATCTATGAGAAGAGCTGCAGCTGCCACACTTGCCATCTAAAACCCGCCCTAGGCGCCCCGTTACCCATGGATCTTTGGGCCGTAGGCATGCTGCGTACGTTTATACGGTGACGTACGTCTTACTGTTGCTTTCTCCAAAGCTGATGTGAAAACTGACCGGCGGATCCCACCCACAGCTAAGCTCGGGCATCTTGGCAGCGATTTAAGGTTTCGGTGAGGGCGGGGCGATCGGAGTGGAGACGCCTTGCAGCCGTGATGCCGGTCCTGCCGGGGGAGGGAATCTCGATACAACGGGGGTATGCGGCCAGAGATTTTGTCATCTCGGTTCTCCTTGATGGAGCGACGGCTGGATAGAGAGAAGTATGTCTAGCCGGGAACAGCCCATCTTCTGGGGTTGCTGCAAGAAACCACAAGTTTTGGTTAATCGATGGGGTGGTAACCGTGGAGGAGAAGGTTCCTTTCTCCATCCTAGGTTGAAAATATATTGAAGCTTTAAATACTGTCAAGATGATTGAAGGGACGAAAGCTGAGGAAGAGAGATGTGGAGAGGACATTAGAATCCATACGGAGTACGGAGGTATTGTTCATCTCGTTTGTATCAATGGAGGATATGTACGTATGCACTGATCAGTTGCTGGATTGAAGCTTATGAGATGTAAGCAGTAAATGCATCTAAACAGCTATGACGATAGTGGGGCTAATTTCATGGGCAGGAGCTCCTGCCTGCATCAGCGAGGCACCTTCTGTCAGCAAACCGCCTCGGCAGCAGCAGCAGCAGTGGCAGTGGTAGGAGCAACGTGGACAGCAACGGTGAAGCTTTGTCCGCCTGGGAACCCCAACCATCACCACATCACGATCCTTTAGCAGACTTGGCGTGCGACTCTTACACAGCACATCCTTGTCATACACCATCGCAACTGCGACATCCAGTCCCATGAATCTTTGAAGCAAGCCTCTCCGCCAGCCATGAATTGAGTGGCACGTCAAGATGCCTCCGCCCGAGTCCCGCCCCCTCCTTGTTCCTCAAAACCGCAAGCTTCGTCACCTGCGCGGCATCTACCTCCGAAACCTGAGTTTCATTCGCCCTCGAGGCCACACTATTGACGATACTGCTCTGAATAAGACGCCCTCGAAGCTCGAATCTCTTCGCGATGCCCCTCAGCTCCAACATGCCCTCTCCAGCGGCAATCTGCGACCCAAAGCTCCGCGCCGCCGCAGCACTGCCCTCGCCCAAGCCACTCCAGTGACGCGACAGCGCATGCTGCAGTTGACCGTCGACGGTAGAGCTGCCGATGCCTTCTTCTCGCTGCATTGCGAAGGCGAGGATGAGCCGGTCTATATCAGCGAGATGCAGGAGCATGCGACGGTACGTCGCATTCCCACCCGGCTGAGGTTGTCGGCCTGCTGAACTGACATGATGATCATCAGAACTTCAATTTCCAATTCTTCGATCTCAATCATCACGGTCCCTCCGTCACTCGCTCACCTGTCTTGACGATCAAAATCTGGGCGAAACGAACATCGTGGACCCTCCTGCTCCAACACACAATCGATCTCCGAAGCCTGCATTTCATCGGCAGCCTCCAGAATCGCAAGTTCCCGCCCAACGGCCTCATCTTCCACCTCGCCGACGGTATATACTCGCTCGATGTTCCGGCTAAGCCCACACAACCAAAGGAGCTGCCACCCCTCCACACGTCGTCGTATAACGCCCTCATGAAACTCGCGACCCTGGACAACTCGATCCAGGACGCCATCGCGACACAGGAGCAGCTCATGTCACAAATCAACCAAATCCTCGACAAAACCCCGCACAATGAGACACCGGCCGCCGAGGAAAAAGTGAAGCTGGCCAATAAGTATGTGGCGCAAGAGCTGCGATCCTTAAAGGCAGCTGAAAAGCGGCGAGAAGAGCTACGCGCATCTCTCAAGTCGCGCCGAGAGGCCATTGCCCAAGGCCGCGCTCTTCAAGACAAGCTGGCAAAGGATATCGTGGACGCCACGGAGAACCTGTCGGCATCCAAGGACGTTCTTGCCCAGACCAAAGAGACAATTCGCGGTCAGCGCCGCCGTATCTGCGCAGATCTCGGTAACATTTACCAGATCACCCCCTCCCCGACGGGTGCTCCGCTCTCTTTTCAGATCTCGGGTTTGCCGCTCCCGAACACAACTTATGACACCGCTACTTCTCGAGGGCCTGACGATGACCTTCTCTCCGCCGCGCTGGGTCATGTTGCTACCCTAACGAATGCGCTGCAGTACTACCTCTCTGTGCCGCTCCCGTATCCCGTCACCCCTTTCGGCTCACGATCCTCGATCCGCGATGATATCTCTCTCCTCACCGACCTGAACTCGGCGCAGGCGGCTCGGCAGCGTGATTTTCCTCTGTACCTGCCACGAGGTGGCTCGACCGCAGCCCAGTATCGATTCGACTATGGCTGGTTCATTCTCAACAAGAATATCGAGGCCCTCTGTGCAAGCCAGGGATTGAAAGTTGTCGACATCCGTCACACCCTGCCGAACCTCAAGTACCTTTTATACGTGTGTAGCGCGGGTACTGAAGAAGTTCCCGAGCGGAAGCGCGGAGGCGTCCGTGGCCTCTGGGCAGGACGGTTCAAGGGTCGCATCCCGTCGTCGGTTGCAGGCGTTGGCGACGGAGACTCGAGCAGCGTCGGTGGCAGTCGCCGTGGTAGTACCGACAGCGAAGTGCTCAGCCGCCAGCGTGACGAGCTCCGGAAGGCTCTGACCATTCGCGATGGAGCTAACTCCCCAGTCGACTACGACTTCACTCATAACGGCAACGGTGGATCTGCGGGCCTGCCGTTCGATGAATTCAAAGTATCGTTGAGAACCAAGGGGATGAGAGAAAATGCTGGAAAGTGACAACGACGACCGGTACCAGTTTGCTGCTGCTGCTTCAATGGAAAATTCAGGATGGTGGAAGTTGGTCAAATTACGTGGTTTCATTGTTGAGATACCCCGGCGATCCATCGCCGCCATAATAAAAATTTGCTAATGTTGGGACCTTGATCAACCAAAATCCGGGCGGAAACGTCTCCGCGCACCCATCGCGCCCATGCCCTTAGATTTAAAAAACAGCAGCTTTGTAATGAACATGGTCAAAAACCCAAATGCTTGTGACCACAACGCCGTAGAACCTCACCTGAACCAACCCGATCCCTCCCTCCTCCCTTGAAGTGATTACAGCGAACGAAAAAGACGGCCAAGATGCCACTAGCGCTCCGTCGGCACAAACTTGACGCTCTTCCTCCTCTCGCGCTCCCCTGGTCCGGACCTGCTCCCCGGGCTCGAACTCAGTATCCCCGACGTAGGGGTCCCATTCGCCAACGCCTCGCGGACGCTCTCCACCGCACGGCTCTGCGGAACTTCGACGCTGTCCCCGCGGACATTGGGCGGGATCACGGGGCTTCGTCCGCCCTCGGCCTTTCCCCCGCCACCGACGCCGCCGATACCACCGGCGCTAATGCGTACCTTTTCAACAGCCGCGCGACCCAGTTCGTCTGACCGCGTCGTCGACTTCTCGTCCCGCCATTTGCCCGGAAGACACGCGTGTCCGCATCCGTCGAGGGGACAGCACCCGTCGCTGAGCTCGTAGCTGCCGTCATCCGAGAGCGCGTGCCAGCCTTGGAGACAGGTCGCGTGGCCACCGTGAGCACAGCCGGGACAATACCACCATATACTCATGACCGGGTCCGAGGACGCCTGGGTACTGGCGCCAGCAACGCCATCGGCGAGGGAGAGCATCGTGGCCGTGGTCTCGCGGTGGCCGCATACGGCGCAAGGGGCCATTGTCGTGCGGCAGCGCTCGCATTTCCAGAGGGCCCTGGAGCCGAGGGACGGGTCTAGCTCGCGGGGCTTTCGGCAGCTGGGGCAGATGAAGCCGCCCTTGACGCCTTGTTGAGCACGGCCGAAGATGGAGGTGTAGTTGTCGCCCCAGTCGGGGATGCCCTCCGGCCAGCCCTTGATGCAGAGCTTGCGGAGGAGGGCGGCTTCGATGAAGAGCTTCATTCCTGTGAGGCGCGAGTGGTGTTGGCGGAGGATAGAGGATGCGCGAAGGGGGTCGATGACGGATTCAGACACGAGAGGCTTGAGAAGCAGTACCATGGCGGAGGCGTTGAGTGCCGATGTCCGCGTTTCAAAATCCAGGGCGCGAGCGAGGAGGGTATCAGGGTTGAGAGGCGGAGAACAGTCTGCCTCTGGATTCGATGCTAGAGGATATGGGTAAGGTGGATCTTCTGGCCATGGAAGGTAGTCGGATTCGAGAATGCTTGGCGTTGAGTCATGTTGAAGGGCTGGAGAGATCCTTGGAGGACTCGACGAGGCAACACCGACATGAAGAGGTGCGTGATCTTCGTAGGTTGCAGGTAGAGATCCCAGCTGTGAATGTGCCGACGGTTCATCCGTGGCTGTATCAGAAGCCATGGTCGTCTGAGAAATCATGAATATTTCTTCAGGAGAATCCTCCGGCCCGCTCTCGCCAGGACCATGGAGTGATGTCAGGGCGCCATGTTCGGGAGAATCTTCGATTTCTCTGCCACGGATGCGGCTCTCATATTCACCCTGTTCTTTAGCATTACTTTGATGTGCGAGTTGTGCAGGATAGCTTGTGATGGATTGTGCCGACACTGACGTCCCACCTTCAGAGGATGATGCCAGCCCTGAAGTTTGCCGGCTGCTCTCCGACATGGAGAACATTTGGGAAAAGCCATCAGAGTCATGTCGCAATGGGCGTCGGCTATTCGGCGTGCGGGGGCCATAGTCCAGGGGCTTCTGCTCCTTTTTCTTTGGCTCGGGCACATCTATGGCTTGAGACAGGGCGTCAGTATCATAGAAGTCGTATCCCTCTGTGATGGAGGTCTGCGACTGATCGCTTTCATGACTTGTGGTAGACAAAGGAACCGAGTCCAGTCGCCTCCTTGGACTAACGTTAAACGTACTGTGGGCAGCGGGGGGCAAAGCAAAGCTATCCAACTCCTTGACCGGTGGCAACTGAGCCTCCGATGGGTAATCAAACTGGGCCGCGTGTTCCTCGTTGATGGCCCGAGCAATTGGGGTCGCAACGTTGGATGTACTTTCGATCTCTTCGGAGAGCAAGGACCGCGGCCCCAGAGACTTGCTGTCTACGCCGTTCGATAGGAGAGCTGACGGTCTTCTGGGAGTTTCCTCCCCATTCACTTCTACAACAACATCCAATGCCCTCGGTACCCTCAGCTTGGGAATGTCTTTGGCTTTGGAGATGGACGGCCGCTTCTGAAACCGTCCGAGTCGAGTCTCGAGGTGAAATTGCGCTCTCCTGTACAACAGCAGGTTCATCGAGTACGCCAGGATTCGCCATGTTTGTGCTAGACGAAACAAATTAACGTGCTCGGCAGCGCGCGCGTAGTTTTCCATGATTCCGGCAATTCTATGAGCCAGAGGCTTTCCACCCTCAACGAACGGCAGTTCTCTGTCCAGCGTCTCGAGGTAATAGCTAGACAGATATTGGTAAATGTCAGCTCTCGCGGCCGCAGGTACGTGCCCGACGGCCATAGACTGCTGGGTCTTGTAGGTGCCAGTGACTTTGATGGCTTGCTCGAGACCCAAGACGAGATCGTCGCCGAGACCTGGGCCTGAAGAAGGGGGAGTGGTGCTGAGGATAGGAATAGAGCGCAGACTATGCCTCCGTTTCCTACTCACTCTTCGACGAGGACCTAGGAAGCTACCTACGACATCTTCTTCAGAGTCGCTGCGGCTGATGCTCAACATTGGTGTCGTTGGGCTTGAGCTATAGGATGTCCGAGGGGGTGCAACACTCGGCTGATGATGAACGATGGAAGGTCGTGGGCGGTCGTGCAATCGCTCGTCGAGGAACATGACGGCATCACCTCTTGCAGAGAGTGCCATTGTCGACACAGATTGCCTGTCAAGGACTTTCGGGGCGAAGGCGACATCGCATTGGTTGAAAAAGCCGTCGTGGCTGACAGTCCAGAGAAGGTCCTGATTCTGCCACAACAGACCCGAGGGTGAGATTTCGAAGCGCTCGATTTCCTTATATGGCATGGAGGGTCTAGCCAAGTCCCAAATATGCACAGCATTGATGCCGTACCGCTTATGGCTGCCGTCGTCGTAGGAAACAGCAACCTGGGCGGCACGTTTTCCCTGGGCGCTTGCAGACCAGAGACCAGGCCGCCAAGCCACCGCAGACACAGGGGCTGGTGTATAGATGACCCATCGAGGTTTCTGCCGCTTGTCGGCGTTCTTGGACATATCCCACACGAAGCATTTGCTGTCCCAGCCACCGCTTATCAGATGGTTGCCGTCCGGATGCCACGAGATGGAAGCGCAAGCCTTGTCATGCGCAGCTATCTTGAGCAACGGCTGAGCAATCTTGCGTACATCCCACTTGAGCACGACGCCAGACTCTGTACCACAGGCAAAGTAGAAGCCATCTTTGGGTGACCATTTGACCTGGCGAACGCCGTCCGCATTGCATTTGTATGCTCCTCGAGGGCTGTAGGTGAGACCCCCTGACCTGCTCTGCACTGGTGCGCGAATGTCGAAATACCGCACCAGACCGTCCTGACTTCCAGAGAGCAAAGTTGTCTGCCTATGGGGATTTATGTCGAGACTGTTGACCTGGCGTGAATCCTCCCTCGTCTGTACGAACTCGAGCGCAGCGCCGCCTGTCGCAATTCTTGAAAGGTCATAGGAAAAGATTTTGCCGTTGGCGCAAGCCGTGAAGATGGTGGAGTCGCCGTGCCATTTGACGTCTCGAATGGAGAGCTGGTCTGCCGTTAGAGAGCTGGACGCGCCCTTGCTGGAGGCCGATTGGGCTGTGATGGCGGAGCGAAGGTCGGTGCCCTCGCTCACGGACAGCTCGTCGAAGACGATGGTCTTAAGGACATGTCTTCCGGCGATGACAGCGGCTTGGTGATCTGGGGATGTGTCGAGGCAAAGGATGGGGGCGCCGGCGGAGTAGACGGCATTCTGCGAGGCGCTGGGCCGGTACGAGGTCTGGTAGTGTGGCGCACTGGTGATGCCGATGGAGTGGGTGTCGGTGCTGCTTTCGGCAGTTACTTTGCCGAGGAGTTTTCTCATGATCTTGTTCTCGCGACTATACATGGAGCTCAGCCGGCGCCATTGGCAGCGCCGTTATGTTGCGGTCGGTATACCGAAGGGGGTTTGGGGGGTTTCGTGGATGTGATACGAGGATGTTGAGTCGAGTCGCAGCTCTCACCTGCGAAAGCGATGGTGACGGTAGTCAGTCACTCTGGGTGCGTTGGTGCGAAGCTCGGCGCGCCCAAGCTCGGGTCAGTGGCGGCGTGTTTTCGATAAGCAGATAGCGATAAGACACCTTCCAGGTTGATTGTGGTGTGATTAGATAAGAAGCCGATGGGAGAAGGTACCTCGAGGTATCCGTAAATGCCTTACCCTACCTAAGGTACCTAGGTATTTACCTGGTGTGTAGGTAGGTACCTGGGTGCCTACGCGCTTACCTACCATAGGCCCCACCTCATCTTTCTTTTCAACATCCCGTCGTCACGGTTGCCTCGTTTCTTCTGACCTTGCCAATCCATTCCTGTGATACGCAAAGAGGAACAGGTGTTCCGAAAACATACAGAGGATTTTCCTGCCAAGAGAAATAAGAATACAGTCGGTGCTAACGAAACAGCGTTCGGCTCGTGTGCCACCTTGAGTCGCTAGATCTCACTACATGGAACGGCTTACACCCAGGCATTGGAATACATTCAACAATTCAAAGGACCTTGGCCTCTGCCGACCCCTTCGTGGGTGGCTTTCCACCATCGAAGAATTCACGATGCTATTGGAGCGGTTCTTCAATTCATCTCATTCACCGTAATCGCACTATTTATCGCCTCGGCGCAGACGTCGCCCAGACTTCTAGTCGATCTACCCTTATCACCCCAAGTTTCAGGCAAAGCCAATACACCTAGCACAACTGCTTGCCCTCGGAACCGCGTACGATGTCTCGCAGGATAGCCGATACTCCTACAAGCAAATGAAGATGGCGCTGCGAAACCCTCTGCATTTGTCGCCGCCGACGACGATAGTCGGCTATCTTGATGGCCGTGCAGCTAGTTCACCCCGGGCGCCTTGCCAACGGAGACCGCCGGGATGCCCATAGTCCCTCCATCATCTCCGAGTCCTCATCCTTTTCGGCCTTTCGACTCTTCCTTTGGGGGTTCTTGCTGGCTGGAATGTTCTGGTTCTCCCCGCCTCTCTAGCCCGACGGCCTTCTGCCCTGCAAAGCGTCAGCAAACAGTCAGTCGACGATGCTAAGTCTTTTCGACTTTTCGACCTACAAAAGCTGGTACAGCTCCGCCGTATCCAAGTCTGATATAGCCGAATCCGAGCCATGACGCTCATATCCCACCTCGATAGGACCTTGTGGTGCGGGCACTGCGGACATGGCGGGCGATGGTACCGCAGGTGCTGGTGGGACATCGTCTGCCTTGTGACCGGCCTCCAAGGATATTGAAGGGTTCGAAGCAGGCATAACGTTCTCCCGCGATCTATTCATACCCATTTCCAGGCATGAGTATCGGTTGCTGCCTTGCAGCGTGCTCTTAGACTCAAGCTCCCACATCTGATACGCCAGCACTTCGTGGGGATGGATTGAAGACAGGTACTGCGTCAACGGTTGCCCGATTTTGCCGTCTTTTGTGCCCTGAGCAGTTCCAAACGGCGATGTGTTGCGTTTGGGCTGCTCGTAAACGCCAGGCACTCTTCCCTTGCCAAGGACTACCGATCCGCAGGTCGAGGGGTCTGCGTCTCGCTCTCGATCGTCATCGTCGGGAGGCAGCCAGAGCGCCCGTCTCTCATGTGAATGGGGACATGCCAAGTACGATTCCAAAGGCCCAGCATTTTGTGGTGTTGTTTCTGATACCAAGCTGCCGGACGAGGAAGCCTCGGGTGTTGCTGGAGTCCCGGAACTCGACCGCGTTGCTCGGCCTGCGTCGTCGTCTCGCGCGTTGGGGCTCCCGTCCTTGTTTTCATGCATGTCTACGAGAGACTCGGGAGATGGGGCTGACGACCGACGAAATTCTTGTTTCGAAAGCTCAACCTTTGGCCTGTGTGCAGTTAGAACACCATCCTCGTCGGTTGCGGCATAGGAAGAACGGTACCGTAGCACATCTTTCGCCTCTTTCCTCGGTTCTAGGCTGATGCTAGATCCGTCCGGGGATTTTGATCCATCACGCCAGATACCAACTACGTTGATCTCCGAGCTCGTGCCAATGCCATGGTATTCGATGTCATCCAAGCCGGGCAGGAAGCCAAGACTTGATATGACCATGCTGAAGAACGAAGACTCGACACTGCGAAGGCGTTATCCCTCTCCCTCTCTGCCGCGAGGATTCGACCTGGGGATTATTGCAAGGAGGCTTGGGATGGCCAATGGTGTTAGCAGCCGAAGCTGAGCGAGGCAGTGAGGAGGATGGGAAAAGCAAAGATTGCATAGAACGGGTGCGCCTTAGTGTCGTACGAATGGTGTTATCTTCTTCTCTATTTTGGACCCTCGCGCAGGCCAACACAGGACGAGCGAGTCCCAAGCTAGCGGCGCAGCAAGGCGACCACTATCACGCTTTCCGAAATCCCGATGCCAGAGCGTTGGGTTCCCGCCAGCGTGAAGTTCTGCACGTTGGCGGCGGGACAAGGAACCGCCACTCATTTAACCGACCACCTCACATCGTCCCAGACTGAAGCCTCTCCTCCAGAGAGACCGTCCTGCATTCCTAGGCCAAGACAGGAGAGACCGGCAGTAGGATGGTGTTACGATCACTGGCGGAACACGGTGGGGCGCCGCAGGGTTCCCGACAGAATGGCACACCAATTGAGAAGTTCCTGGGCGGCAATAAGCAGTCATCCTTCCCTATGGCTCCCACCGGGGAAGCCCGGCGGGGAGACATGAGGAGGGCTTGACCGGGGCCCTGGTCGATATTGTTGCTTTTCTGTCTTGGCATCCCACCCCAACTTCATTTCGAGAAGCAGTTGCCTCGTCTGAGAGGGCGCCGTTTGGCTGGAAATCGCGCCGGTGGTATGGATAGATGCCGCTGTAACACCTCTCCCCTGGCTGGCTGACCGGGTCTGCTCCTCCCATCCAGCCTCTGCATGTCTCTATCTGCGAGTCTCTACTCGTGGATGGACCAGTGGATTGTTGATGATATGATTGACACGCACACACACAGCTGTCGACATTGGGAGACAAAAAGCAAAGCTTGCTTGGTACCGAGCGAAAGCGGACTCGGAGCGTTGCAATGCAGACTATCATTTGCCCATCCGGGAGAGACATGCATCCGTCATAAAAGCACAGAGCCGAGCGTCTTACTGACTTATTCAAGGCTTCATCTTAGTGTTGCAGTCTTGCAGACCTTGCATACCCATCGACGGGATTCCCATCCGGATATAAGACTTCGGGATTTGAACATTTTCTCAGCCCTCAACAGCGGCCCACCTCGTATCTCATTCTCGCTCTCTATCGTTGTGTTTGTCTCTCCCGTCACTTTGACTTCGGCTCGGCATTTGTTCGCATGCAGGGGGGGACAAACCGCTGGAACTGGAAAGAGATTCGTCAATTGTTCAGGGGCTGCCCGGGCGTCCCGTCGCGCCCGCTCCTCCTTACCATTCGGTTGGGTCATCCCCGCCATCGCCTGATGGGTTGACAGATTTTCCCGCCCAGGCGGCCCTGGCGAACCATTCTTCTCCTTCACATCTATACCTATCTCCTTCCAGGCCTTCCAGGTTGTCAAATTGGATCCTCCTCCCTCATTATCGGGACCAGACTGCAGATCCAAATCACATATCATTCACGCCATGGAACTGCAAAGGCCAGCCAGCCCTTGACAAATTGTGTCCTCGACGCTGCGATTACGGTCTGCATGCATGCAGCTCCCTCACGCTTGGCACCGCTCATCTGTCACATTTCTTCCACCTCCTTCGCATGCAGTATCCCATCACGATCGCCGCGCCCACAGGCCTGGCCTCAGCGTTAGCAACCACGCTATTGCCGGTCCGCAGTCATGTACCGAACTCACAGTAACAATACCCGGAATACGCCCACCGCCATGCCCATCCTCAGCCCAGCCCAGCACTCCGACGCCCTGTCGCCGTACTGGTCGCACAAAGCCTTGTCCAGGTTGGTCTTCATCGCAAAAATGAGATAGGATCCCGTCGCGGTGGCATTGAGGCAGAGGAGGGCGGCAAAGGCAACGGAGAGAGCCATCCCGACGCAAGAGCACGCCACTAAGGTGGCCATGATCCCAACGCCAACCTCGACGCACATAGATATCAACGATAACGTGCTTTGTATCTTGATGTCAGTCCTGGATTGTTTGACTCAGCGACCGGGTGGGCCAGAACTCACGACACAAAATCGGCCCTGTGAACGAGCCACGAAAACTTCTTTACCCTTTCGAGGCTCTGTGAGGAGATGACAAGGGCGATAACCTCGAAGATGACGAGGACTACATGTCCCACAAATATCAACGTACCGCCGTTTTCTGGGTTGTACCACGTCCACGACGACGCCGGCCGCACTTGCGCTCTCACCGGTATAAGATGACGGTTCGATGAACCATTCGCCGCGTTTCTTGACGTTCCAAACAAGGTGAACCTGCCAAGTGTCCAGTGCCGGGTCATGCTGGTATTGGCGTTGTGATATGTCCAAGGCTGTGCCGTGTGCGATACCGCCGAAAAACCGGCCCCGTTGGTTCCAGGGCTTCCCCATGGTGACTGCGGAGCGTTGGCGTACCCGATCGGTGTCTCTGGATCGGCATCGGTAGCCATGTTGATGAACTTGAGTGCGACGAGCTTCTCTTTTGAAAGGATCTTATTCTGGTTAAAAACTCGAGTCTCGGGAGAAGACACTCTAGCTATGAGAGGGGATTCCAACTGATCACTTATTCACCTCACGATGAAGTGCTTAGGCACTAGGGCACCAGGGCGCAAAGCGAGGCGAAGACCTCCCGAAGTTGCCAAGCACGATTCTGCCTTATTGATCTGCAAACACGCGCGACTAACTTGGTCAGCTCAACCTTGGATCCGCTTAGCCGACTGACAGCATGCTTAAAGCCTCACCCTGGGCCTTCAGTCAGTCTGTAGTGTAAGGTTTCAAGTGGATCATTGCTGCCCGCTGGCCAAGGCGCAAGCATATTTCAAGGTCACGATGTACTGAAATGTAAACGGACGAGACCCAACAGTGTTGCATTTGATTGACTGGATGCATCAAAACAGATGCATGAACCCTGGTCGCAACCCCACAAAGCGCTGTGTCATCTCACATATTCCCCTCTCAACTCTGGAAAATGTCCAGAGGAAATCTGTCCGCGATCTCCTGGTACCCAGCCACATTCGGATGCAAATGATCACCGCTATCAAACTGCGGCTTCAACTGGTCCCCTTCGCCAATAAACGACGCAAAATCAACAACTTGATCAAACGTCCCGTTCTCCAGAATCCACTTATTCACCCGCAGCCGCGTCTGCTCCCTCGCCGGGTCCGCGTACGACTGCCCGGTCCCCGAAAACGGCGTGATCGTCGCCCCGATGGTGGCCAGCCCGGCCTTCTTGCAGTCGGCCACGATTTGGCTATAAGCGTTGATGAGCCCGTCGCCGATGCGCTGCTGCGTGGCCGCGTCGGTGGCGCTGGGGCCAATGTCGTTTACGCCTTCAAAGATGAGCACGCGGGCGACACCTTGTTGCCCGAGGGCGTCGCGGTGGTAGCGTGACAGGAGCGTTGGGCCGATGCCGCCGCTGAGGACTGCGTTGCCGCCTGCTGCTTCGTTGGCGATGGCGATGTTGGTGAAGCCATTTTTTCGGATGCGAGCGAGGAGCAGGTCGGGCCAGCTGGAGGGATGTTAGTTTGAGGCGGAGCCGTGTCACAAAGGAGGGAGGTAGCCAACCGGTTGTTCTCGTTGTCGATACTCCCGCGTCCGTCTGAGATGCTGTCCCCGAGGACGATCAACGCAGACTTGTTCTTGGGAGCCCACGCCTCCACCGCACTGGCAAAGTACCAATGCGTTGTATTTACACCGCTGATGGAAGATGCATTCACTCGATTTCCGCTCTGAATCCATGAACTCGTGCGACTTCCGGGGTGTCCCGTGATACGGGTTCCAGATTGCCCCGACTGTGTGTACAGACTCAATGCGATGTTCGCTTGAGGGGTCACGTTGAAGTCTATGGGGTCAGAGTAGACAACGGTGCCTTGCTTGATAGTCACGGACGAGGACCCGGAGAAAGTGAGTCCCTTGAGGGTGGAGGTATCGATCCCCGGGACACCAGCCGCACCGCCGATGGGGAGAGCCAAAGAGGCCGCTGTGATGGGCAGATCTGAACCCCCAAAGGTATTGGTAAGCTGAACGCGGATGCGCGATGCGCCGATGGAGGCGTGAAAGGTCTGGCGGAGGGTGGCATTGCGAAATTCGGCACTTGCTCCGTTCTTATAGAGTGAAGTTAGCACAAGCATAATGTGTGAGAGGAGGTAAAGGCAACATACGTAAGGCGAAGGTGGCAGGTTGCTCTGCCCTACGTCTTGGGGCATGGACGTCCATGTCACGACCCAGTGGTTGTCATCCTGTCTTTCGTGGAGGCTATCGCCGGTTGGAACGGCGAGGGTGAGCGTTGCCCAAACGAACAGCCAGTATGCCAGCATCGTAGAAATCCGTGATGAAGAATCGTCTCCAGTGACTTAGCAGGACTCAAGCCCCTCCGTTATAACTAATATATTTGAATTGGATTTTGTCGCTGATAATGCAATAATTCTTTGTTTCAGACATTGGATGGAAATCGTCCGTATTAAATAATAAAATTCTTTGCACCCCTCTCTCAACTGGCTTTTAGCCAGTTCACTTTAGCCAGAGGGCCCCTGATTCCATTCCCCCGATTCCATTCCCCCGAACATCCGCACTTCGCCCAAAGTGTTGACTCGACATGGCTAGGAACGATTATGCCATGCCAAGGGTTCCCCGGCTAGTCTGTTTAAGCTTTATAGACGGGGTGCCGAGACCCGCGTTTTCAACTTAGTCCCAGTACGGATACTCCATATCGACACCCCCTTACAAATTCACTCCCATCTCGTCGGATCCGATTCAAGAAGCAAGAAATAATCGGGCACTGTGCGATGTTGTCCAGACAGTTAGACCTGGAAAGGGTCTGGAAGAAACAAAGAGAATCAGCAGCTAGTCCTCTGAGGAATGAAACAATCAGAAGGCAACCAAGTGAACTTCTAGTCCCTTTTTAAGCAATAATCGTGCCTTTTGGGGAAATTGCCGTCGTTATGTCCTTGAGGAGTCTGATTGCCAGCATCGGTTATTCAAGGCGTAAGTGAAGCAGTCTGCACATCGTCATCGACTGGTTGAGCACCACCAATGATAGTGGAACCTTTCTTTAACAAGGTGATTACTGGCATATGATTCACAAAATCATTAAATCACTACTAGAATCGGAGGGTCGAAGGCAGCAAGTTTTGATAAGAGTATTGAATTAATGAATACATCGAAATTAATGTCCTGAGCAGAGCCGTTCTGATCGATGGCTCCGCGAAGGCCCTCGATCTTTGCTCCACGTCTTTTCGATTCGAATCCCCCCTGCTTCTCCCACCCGTCCCCCCAATTGTTGTATACTGAGTTCCTAGGCTTTACACTTGGTGTACGGGGTCGAACGTAACGAGGCACGGCGTCTATTCTTTGTCTGGCGGCGCTTTTCGTATCTGGTCCGGAGCTTTTTCCACTTGGCTATGGCTCCGTCTTGAAGCTCTTGCTCTACCAAATCGTCAAAAATTTGTTTTCCGTCACTGAATTGTTCCAGGGATATAGTTACAGTCTTCTTTTTGTTTTTATCGAACCAACTGAGCGTCTTTGTCTCCTCTTCCCATTTGTAGTCCTGGGCTTGATAAGCGATGTTAGGGCGGAGCGGTTTCAGTGGACTGTCGATGCCCCGGGAAAAGGGCAAATCATGAGCTGTTCAGTCCTCGTCCCAGACCTCCCAGCGACACCATTTGGTCCATAAGTCAAAGTCTACATCTTCGTCAAGGATCTTGTAGACCGCAAGCGCGAGCTTGGCTTGAGTGAGTTCCTCCAGAGAGGGATGAATCTGACTCATAAGGATCCATGAATAGCAGCTGGTGATGAGTTTGTCAATGCTCTTGGCTGCTGCATGTTCATGAATGTTCATCGACCATGTTTGCAGATGAATGTGCGCTTTTTCTGCCTTTCCGTTTCTGCCGCCGAGACAGGTGTGGTGAGAGGGAGGAACGGGAGACCCAAGAAGCCTGCTTTCGAAGTAGCAATGTTGTTGGGGATATTGATGCCCTGGACGGTAATGGCCTTGGAAGACATGTTGACGTAGGGGCTAGTATGACGTTTACCGTACTCTTAGTCGTAGAAGAAATTGAAGATTGCTTGATTGGAGTTGTGAGCTGCTCGTTGCTATGAGATCAGTAGAATGAAGGTTGTCACTTTGAAGGAAAGGCAGAGGCTTACGGCACAACGACGGCAATATGTAATGCTGTCAGAGAGTTTCTCCGGGTCTTGTTACCTGTACGTCCCCGGTAACCTTTTGAATTTCGTTGGAATGATGGATAGTTTTCACATTTCCTCGTTCGCTGTGATGATGGAAGTCCCGGAAAGATGAGGCTTGAGTCATTTAGAAGGGTGGCACCTATGCGGACAGGTTTGTAACACTGGCTTTGGAAATCTACTGTCACATGGATTGAAGTGAGCACCTTTTCGTTCCGGAGTAAATGTGTGATCGTTGCGAGCCGACGGTCTGAAAGGCTCCATTTCGAGTCAACGAAGATCATCGAGGATGCCTACGTCCCCTAATTGAAATGCACTTGACATGATAGATTTAACACCCCATCTTGTTGAATCCACGACATAAATGCAGTGTGAATCAGGTTGTACAATTAGTATAGGGGTAGATAAGATAGGGACAGGAGGGTTCAAGATCACTGTGTGGACGACAATGACTTCAGGTTGCAGCTTCATACAATATGCCGGTTAATTCAAGGGTTGCCCAACTTACACTAGTCAAATAGGCTACCCTAATCTTCACAATGTATATATTCGTTTGCATTTCTCATCTTTGTGGAATCTTTCTCTACGTTAAATCTTCGTTTAATCTCTGTGGTATTGATCCGTCATAATCGAAACCATCGCGATCTAGCCAACCGGGGTACCGGGGGTAGAATTGAAACCACACCAAGATGACCGTTAGAATTCGACCTGCAAGCCAAGACCGTTTGCGGAGATAAGCATCTGCAAGAGCCGCAAAGCTTAAGCGGACTAGCTCCAAGCCAAGACGCTGGGAGCGTGTGCCTCTGATACCTCAATGTCCATTTGGGGTAAGGTAGACACACGGGTGCCTAGTCTCAAAGCTTCTTCTCACCATGTTTTAACTTCCATCATAACATGGGCCTCCAAACCTTTGCATTTGCCCATGATATCGACTCTGGAATCAACCTTTGACCAGTACATTGAGGTCTTCGGCGTGAAGTATTGCCTGACGAGAACGCTACGGCGTAGTGCGTCTCTTATTGTCGCTCAACATTACATGTACACACATCCGCGTCTCCAGCGAAAAGACCACCCTCAGGCGAACCATGGCAAGCCTCAAAGCAGAGACCAATATGGAAGCAGGAAATTTGCCTGAAACGCCCGGCACTATAACTCTTCCACCAAGGTCCCCGGAATCCATCCCGACCCTCCTATTTGAAGATAAATTCAAGTGGGAGAACTACCTGGAGAGCTCCTACCGAAGTCCACTTGGCGTCTGGCTCAAGATCTCCAAAAAGAACGCCGAAAAGTCGACAGTCACCTACGACCAGGCCCTCGACGTAGCGCTTTGCTTCGGCTGGATCGACGGACAACGCAAAGCCTTTGACGAGCAGCACTTCATCCAGAGATTCACACCGCGTCGGAAGAACAGTCTGTGGTCAAAGAGAAACGTTGACAAAGTCGCGGCTCTGACGCAAGCGGAACGCATGAGGCCAGCTGGACAAGCGGAAGTCAATGCCGCCAAGGCAGATGGGCGATGGGATCGGGCCTACTCTTCTGCAAGCATGATGGAAATGCCTTTGGACTTTGCGGAGGCATTGCGAGGAAACGAAAAGGCGAACGAGTTCTTTGATTCTTTGAATAAGACGCAGCGATATGCTTTCTTATGGCGGATTGAGACTACGAAACGGTCAGAAACGAGGAAACGGAAAATAGATCAATACGTCGGTCTGTTAGCTGAGCACAAGACGATCTAAATTGACGACGCCGGAGGTGGGAATCATTGTATGGGGCCTTGGCGATGAAATGTTCGAAAGTCATATAAATAGCTCTCCCTTAGGCTCAAGGAGGTGATATTCATGCAAAGAAATTCTGGGAAGGGGCCGAAAATCACGTGCAGATTCGGGAGTCATTCCAAAAGCAAGCGTAGTGTCTGACCACATGCAGAATGCGCATGGGTGAGCATACAGCAAATAGCATGTAACTAACCGTGGGTTCGCATTTGACAGGGCATCGAAATACAAGCTTGAATGGATTCACTCGCGCCCTCCACGCTCTATTTTCTACATCTTGGCCTTGTGACTCCATCCTAGATTACTGGTCTAGGCCAACATGACAGGCCTTCAAGACAATGGGTTTGGCATATTGTCATACCGCAGCCGAACGGCATAGAAGAACGTGGAAGTCTTCAACTTCTTGTCAATCCAACTTACGCCCTTCACGTTCATATCATTGTGGAGGCTCATCTTCTCCTTGCCAGGCAGCAGCCGTCAGCTGCGTCATTCCAGGGGTTCGCGCATTTTCCCGATGCGGACTGCCCACATCAGGTCAGCATTCTTCGCCGCAAAGCCATCCCAACCAACAGAATTTCGGATCTGGCCTTGGCTTACCATCTTTCTCAGCCCATCGTCGAGTCACAATAAATGGCCCATCCCCACTGCTTGTCAAGAGCCAATTTGTATAACAACAGCAAATACGTTCGGGCAGCTGGTGCATTTATTAGCATCACTTGCACCAGCTCACGAACCCTTCTTCCTTGACTTTGACTTTGACTCGTCGATTTGGACTATTCAACTCTCCATCGTCCAGAGCAGCCAGAAGATGAGCTTTGACCAAAGCGATGGATGACCTACTCCCTCCAAGAATTGTTCGAATCGCCCGCCAACTATCGGTGACACCAGTCGAGCTTATTGAGCCTATCCTCGCCGACCTCCCATATCACCGTATTCTCGACCTCTTAGCAACTCAGTATGGCGCCGGATCACATTACGGCACAGCACTTCAGTCCGCTATCAGCAACAGTAAAGCCTGGGCGGCACTACGCGGTCAAGACCTAGCCCGAATGGCGGCACTCTGGGTGGCCCTGAACAGGCTCTCGTTGTTGTCAGAAGGGCAACTTGTTATGGCGACGCCGGCGGACTCCGAGTTGAGACCTCGTCACGCCAACGATTCATCCTCGAGCATGCAGAATTGGCCGCGCCTCGCCTCTCTTCTTGAGAATGATCTGATTCGCGCATTTTCCAGGGTGACACTTCAGAAGGAAAAGTTTCGGGATCGAGGCACCAAGCTTTATGCTGTGACACAGTACCTCCCTGAGCCCGAGACATCTACGTCCTCCCAACATCCGAGGACCGTTGCGGAACTTCGCGCCAAAGGCTGGCAACCCAACGACTGCATCGAAATCATTCCACGTCTTGCCGAGGCACAGAAGCTTCTCAATGAAGCAAAGGCATCAGAACTTCACCGCCTGGCCGACCTTTACGAGCAGTTTCCGACCTATCTGAAGACCCCTTTGGCACCCCAGACCCCTCGGAAGAATATTGCCCACGTTCCTCGACAATTACGTTTCTACGCACGAAAACCGGATCGTACTGTATGGTCTTTTCGGTACGCCCACCCGATACTAGTCCCATACGATTGGTGTTTCCAGCTATTTGACGCTGTCAACCAAGAATTGGAATACTCCGCGGACCTGCAGAAAACGAGAGACGGTATTCAGAGCATTCAAACACTCGAAGACACCCTCCCGCGCTTGAATTCGACCAAAGGACAAGAGGTTCAAGAGAAAAAGCACACCATACCGAGTTCTGCTTCAGAGCTCGAATGGCTCGAATCCTTCATGCGCATCATTGAACAAATGGAAGGCCAGTTCCCCGATTTAGCTGCAAGCATCAAGGAGAGGACGGCAGATCGGTCTTTAGACACAACTTCCGACAACCCTCCTGACACTGTCAAGAGACCCAAGACCCCTTCCAACGTTCTTCTAGAACCATCTGACTTCCACCATTTCATTACAAACTCACGCTACCAAGATGTCGCAGTACAACTTCGATATGATTTTGAGCTCTCAAAAAAGGCTAGCAGAGGCGCAACAGAGCTTCCCAGCCTCGTCGCGCTTTACATGCCTCCGTTCTCTGCGAGGGAATCCAGAAATGTCGCATATTCCATATGGCCTACGCTCGATCTCGGTATGCGCCAACTGCTGTTTGAACAAATGATTGAGACCATCAAGAAGAAACTCTCCGAAACGCCCGACTCAGCTGCTCCTGATGGTCTGCCTGACGAGCTTCACCAGTATGTGCCCAGCGGCACTCGCCAGCGAACTTGCTACGTCTGCCGAATGGTTCTCGATAAACCCCACCAAAAGCTGGCATCAATGTGCATACCTTGCGGAGAATTTAATCTCGCAGAAAGAGCCTTGTCGCTTCCTGAGAATCTGTCACTCATTGGGAAGACGGCCGTTGTCACGGGTGGACGTGTGAATCTCGGCTTCCAAACGGCTCTGCGACTGCTCCGGTGCGGCGCTGCTGTGATTGTGTCGTCGCGGTATCCCGAGGATGCCCTCTCGCGGTACCGACTGGAGTCTGATTTTGAGGACTGGGCTGAGAGGTTGAGAATTGTTGGGGCGGACTTCCGAACAGCAGCTGATGCTTTCGCCCTGGTTCAAAGCATCAGGAGAATCTTACACGAAGAAGGATGGGTCCTCGATTTCCTGATCAATAACGCCGCCCAAACTCTTACTGATCCAGTTGAGAAAGAGCAGCATGCCATTGAACGGGAGAAATCGCTGCTTGGAGACACCTCGGACGATGGCCAAAAAGTGGTCGTACGCCAAGGCTACTCGGCTCGCGTACGCGGTGGTGCCGGTGGTCTTCTGGGCGGTATGGCCGGAGGAGAGCCTGGCCGCATTTCTGCGCCTTCGGCTCCTGACAACACGTTCCTTGCTGGTCCAATGTCCGAGCTGCAAATATCTGGCACAGACAAAGAGACACCAGCCTCGTCATCTTGGGTTCAGTCTCTCTCAGATATACCCTACGAAGATATTATCACCGCTCATAGCGTCAATACCTTTGTGTCACTCATCTTGATTCGAGAGCTGTTGCCCTTGATGCGAAAAGGGGGCCACATCGTCAATGTTTCATCCAGAGAGGGCTTGTTTGAGTCAAATCAACGCAGCTCTGCCAAGAAGAGCAAGCATGTCCATACCAACATGTCAAAGGCTGGACTGAATATGATCACTGAGACCGAGGCACCCACCGCTTGGAAACAAGGAGTAGCCATGAACACTGTGGATCCGGGATACATGAGTGCCGCGCCAGAATATGAAAATGCGTATAACGGCGAGCGACCTATTGGCTGGGAGGATGGTGCTGGCCGCGTTTTGTGGCCGATTGCTAGGGTTGAAAGGAAAACATTTCCTTCTCCTCCTATTTGGGGACGGTTCTTGAAACATTACGGTGCGATCAGAGTTGATACCCGACTTGGTCGTGGATGATGTGGTTGGTTGCATTCTGATGTGTACTCAGCAATTGGGCAATTCCTGAGACTTCGGAGGAACATCAGTGTTTATTGCGTGTTTATAGAGGTCCCTGTTTCTCACTCATAATCTTTTTTGCTGTTGGTGTTTGTGTTATTTACTGATAATAACCACGCCGACATTTTGGGGTGGTCAAGATGCTTCTGTATCCGCTTGAAGGTAATGATAGTCGATTTGTCTTTCTCCCTCTGGGTCCCCATCGTGATGTGATTTCTCCTCCCAAACATTTGGGGGAGTTTGTCGTACCTGCCACCCCTCAATGCGAGAGACGCATCTTGTCGGTCGCAGATACTTGGAATTCTATTTCCAACTTGCGTCATGAACTAGTTGCCTCCTTCTACATCATTTTCGAGGAGGAACGATCGGAGGAAATTTTAGACGCAACTGCCATTGGTATTACGATGGAAGGCAGCCTGCTTCTGGACAGTACCAGTATCTTGAGAGGTGGCTTCACCTCAACTAGAGAACCACGAGAGCAGCATATTCTACAGTAAACAGGCTTCAATCAACAATCTGACCAGAGAGTACGAGGTTGAGGAATTTCGACATGAGCATAGGGCGATCGTACTTGGCACATCATACCTTAGGTGGAGGATCTCGAAGGGATCCGCTTCATCGGGCTGAGATGGCGACGACGACTGGCATGGAGGTCTCGAAATGATTGATGAGAGCGTCAATTTCTTGGCGAGAGTGACGGAAGAAGCAGTACCATCCAACTCCAAAAGTTCTTTTTCTTGACACCAAAGTCCCACCCCTCTTCCCGGTTCTCGGCAATTGCTGTGCCTCTCAGGCCCCGCAGACAACCCCGACCTCAAAAGGCGTCTTCCAGTCCGGACTGTTGTCACGATTTCATCAATGATGTGTGCGACAAAAACATTTTAACGATATCGTAAGAAAACACACAGATAACTGGCATGCTTGGCAAGCGTTTCCAACCCGTAATTTGGGGCTCGAGAGGCTTACCTGAAGCATGACCTGATATAAATGGCGAAGATGGCTTTCTCCTAGCCGTCTCTGGCTCACAATTGAAACGTTTCTTCAATGCCGATAGAGAGTGATTTCTATGACAGCAATAGTCAAATTTATCCTCATGTTGGAGATCAAGGGCCCCTCAAAAGCTTGTTTATCATCACTCCATATGCTCAAACTGCAGCAGAAAGTCTGTTGGACCCTGGTTCTCCTTCATATCCCCGTCACTCCACTGTCTTCTTGAGATACCGCATATGCAGTCACACGGCGACTTACGCAAATAGGAAGGTCGACAAGAACTTTAGTCGATGAGTCTGGGCCCCATCGTTCCATGCCTAACGTGTTTGCTTCTACCGCTGACGTTCGAAGCTTGTTCATCCCAAACTATAAGGCACCCGAGGCCAGCTCTACAGTCTCACAACTCACAGTCTACGGCTTTCTCGGCCTACTCTTATCCTACCTATATCAAAATCAGACATTCCAGTTCGATTTATTAATATCTGCCATTCCAACAAGCCTCTTTGGCCTGGGCAACTCATAAAATCCTCACCTTCCCAACATGTCAGAACCGCCGGTCCCGCGACCGATCTCTGTTGCCGAGCTCGACAAAGATATCGAATCTCTCAATGAAAGGCTTGCAGACATATCTCTTCCGGACTCTGACGCAGATGAGTACGACACCGAATCATCTGACGGAGACGTTGCGGCCCAAGACAACTTCGATCCCACGCGGTGTCTCTTTTGCAATCAACTCAGTCCAAGCTTCGCAGAAAACATGACACACATGCAGAAGGGACACGGACTGTCGATTCCGAATCCCAATAGTTTGATAGTAGACTTCGAGACGTTGATCAGGTACTTCCACCTCGTCATGGTCGAGTACAAGGAGTGTCTCTACTGCGGATCCGTCAGAAACACAGCCCAGGCTGTTCAGCAGCACATGAGAGGGAAGGCGCACTGCCGAATAGACATTGACAAGGAAGACTCGGAGTTTAGAGATTTCTATGATTTCGACTCCAGTTGTGGCACAGAGAGCGGGGACGACCCTACGTTTCGGCAACTTCTTGACTCGGACGAGAACACCAGAGAATTAGCATCTGGAAAGACTGTATCTCATCGAAATGCCAAAATCTCCAGAGTGCGACGGAAACCACAAAACGACGAGAGGCAAGCCAGCGACTCGCTGTTGGGGCGGAAGAGTTCATCCAGCGGAGATACATCGACAGCCTTGACAGCAAGCAGCAGTGCCAAGAAGAATCTAGCAGCGGCAACAGAGAAGCGAGACAGAATATTCGAACGGCAGATGGCCACGCTGCGTCCGACCGATCGGCAGACGTTGATGCACCTGCCGCTCCCTCAACGAAGGGCTCTGTTGGCTAAGGCGAAGAAACAGCAGGAGACTTGGAACAGCGAGCAAATAGCACAGAAGATCAAGCTTCAGGCAAAGGCCAGGAAATAATAGAACTGTAACTCGAGGGTAACCTCTCCTCTTTGTTCCTATACGGTCTTGCCCCATGAGCATTTGCGATACCTATGGTGCGCTACATGGGTAAAATAGGTGTCAGCATCCTCCTCATCTCCTCTTGGAAACGGAGCGGGAACCCGCTCCACCAGGGACCGGTGAGGCATCCTGCCGTACCTGTCCGGCCGAAACCAAAAGCCAAGTGTCATGCGCCTATCGGCAAGTCTTATGCCAGGAATTCACTAATCCAGCTCAAAATCATCCGGAATAGCTTCAAAAGCAAAACGAATCTGACAAGAGTGGGATTCGAACCCACGCCAATTACTTGACTAGCACCTGAAGCTAGCGCCTTAGACCGCTCGGCCATCTTGCCTTGGTATCCACCGAGACTGAATTGCAGCCTAAGTTCCAGTTCGTGGAGTCGGGCCATTCTCGACCATTTTGATCTTGCAACCCCCATCGAATCTCAATCTCCGTAGGAGTCGCTGTCTAGAGGTTGTGCTTCGGCATGGAACCTTGGAGCCATCGAACATTGCGCATGTATGCAATGGCTTCAGAACTTTGGTGCCAGCACCTCAAATCACCGGCGTGAACCACGACACGATGACTGAGAGCATCATTCCTCTTGTGCTGATATCAGCAGATCCTGCACATAAACCACTCTAATTAGCTTAGCTGCTGAGGAAGTTGTACAAAATGTCTTGCCTCCACGACCTGAGCCTATGGTTGACTTCTCCCGTTATTACCATCCGCCAGGTTCTCCGTGCTCCTACCAGCCTTGACCTCCTCCCTCCAAACCGATCTCTCCTGCTCGGCGACACCAGGGCCCTTGTAGACACTACCATACAACCCAGAAGCCCAGCCAGCACCGTCCTTGGCCTTCTGACTCTTGCTGTCCTTGAACTTGCGCCGGTACCACTTTCCATACACCAGCAGATAGTACAGCCTAAAGCACAAGAGCGCAAACTTGTCATGCTCCAGATCCTCGGGGTACTCCGCGCCCATATCGACGGCGGCAGCAATGCCAGACATGATGGCGACCTCGTGCGCGTTGACCAGAGTCCACGAGCCCGCGAACCGCACACGCTTCTTGGCCTGGAGGAACATCATCCACGGCACGACAAAAGTGTAATGCGTCCAACTGTGACACAGCTGATGCCACCAGTCGGCGCGGATGATCTTGTCCTTGTCAATCTCGCTATCAGTCCAGTGCTTGCGGTCACGGTCCTTGTTCAGGTAAATCGTCTGGAACACGTGCTGCTCAAAGGGCACCTTTTCGGGGAATTGGGACTGGTAGTTTGTGGTGTCGAAGCTCATCTCTAGCTTGGAGAGGTCGCCATCGTACATGCGGATATAGTACATGGGCCGAAAGTTGTCCTTGGCGAACGCGAGGCGGGATGATTGATCCACCTCGCCCTTTTTACCGAGCGCCTTGACGGCCTTCTTCTCTTCGTAAAAGTTCTCGTAATACTTCTTCATGTAGTCGGCGTCGTTGTGGGTGATTGTGATGTCGTCAGAGAAGGTGGCCGAGCCGAGCACCTTGCGCTCGCGCCATGACGACGTCTTGCCCAAGATCTTTTTCGCAGTGTCGGCAAGGACGCAGAGGACGATCTCGTCGTAGTGCTCCTCGGACTCGATCGCATCGGGGTCGCCACCGGCTGGGTTATGCCCGTCTTCTACGGGGGTGCGGGGCTTGGTCTTGACGAGGACGCCGCGCTTGTTGCGGTGAACGACCTCGGTGAGTTCGGTCGACAGGCGGACCGTCACACCGCGGGACTCGAGGTCCTTCTTCCATGTGGTGTAGAAATCGGTGAAGTTGGGAAAAACGACCATAGGCGGTTGATTTGAGGCGACGCTATGCTGGTCGGCGGGGTACCACATTCCGTACGTTGGCGAAGTGCAGAGGCGTTCCAGCATAATGGCGGGCACTTCTGGGGTCGCGTTTCCGGTACCAAGGAAGAGAGCCGTCATGGGCAATCCCACGACGTTTGTAAACTCGTCAGAAAATCGGAACAGCTTAAAGACAATCTTCAGCGGTAGCAGAGCGAAGAAGACCTCGAACCACCTCATGAACTTGAGCATGAAGGCCAGCCTGCGGACTTCAGCCTGGTGCTTCGCGATAAAGTCGGTAGGGAAGACATTGGTCCAGAACTTGTCGTCCTTGCCAAAGGAAACTTGGAGCTTGACGGGATCTGCGTGGTACCCCTGGCGGGCGAACATGGTCAGCGTGTGGTGGAAGATGTAACTGCCGCCCTGCACGCCCTGGTTGAACCAGCTGGCTCCATGCCGGTCTTTGTTGATGGGCATCGAAAAGGCCTGCCCTCCGCAGTAGTCGACCGAGTCGATGAGAGTCACATCGAACTTGTCAGGGTGGTTCGAAAGATGGTATGCCGTCGACATTCTACAACATGTGAGCCACTTGTGTCACTGAGCCCTCGATTGCCCTATGACTTACCCAGCAGCACCGGCGCCGACAACGAGCACCCTCTTGCGCCCATCCTTGCCCGTGTTTCCGTTTTGCGACATGTTTTTGGAGCCGTTCTGCTCGAGGTCACGGTCAGGAGCCTGAGATGCCATCAATATTTAGGGGTAGGGTTTATATCCATCGTACCGGCAAAGTCAGGCGACGTGCGAACGCGTGCGGGTCAAATATGTGACGAGAATGTGCTGCTTTGGCGTCTATGACGCTGTGACATAGAGTTTAATGAGGTCATCACCCACAAGGCGCCTCTTTGTTGTTCATTTACGCCCAGAAACTAGCGATCGATCCGGGGGATCCACCCCCAGAGATCGGGACTAGACAGCTAGGGTGCTTAAATTGTTAGCGGGTGAGCTGGACCACAGCCCTCATACCACATGCGCTTAACTCACATGTCAACAGGAGCTTCTCACTCTTTCCTCACCTTCATTTCGATGAGCTAGAGCTTTAGATTCCAGACAACTTTCGGAAGCTTCGAGGCTTATGCAGGTCAATTGCTCTTCGTGTGGGCAGTTGGGTAATACCATGCACTTGTCCTTTGAGGCCAGACTAACAAGATGGAGAGATCACCCCATTATGGATCCTGGGCATATTCAAGGTGAGATATTCCAAAGGCATGGAAGCCACTTATATACGGGTTCCTGACTCCATTTTTCAATTTCACCTACTCTATCTCTCTTACGTACTAGACTTCAAGGTCGTAACACGAACTATACCACACAACACATGGCCTAGTGCGACCTCTCATCAAAGCTTAGTAGCCCTTTGCAACCTCGCAACATGCCATTCATCATCTCTATTCTACCAAGGCCAAAACGGAACACTCTTCCGATCAGTAGAGTCCATAAACAGAGGTTTCCTTCTCTCCAAAAAGCTGTTCAATCCCTCAACATTATCATCCCTGCCAGCAAGCTGCACCAAAACCCTCGAATCCAACACACGCGCCCCCTCAGGCGAAGGACGACAATAACTCACCGATCACCATTGGTTACCGCACTTGAGGCTGGGCACTCCTACCAATCCCTGAAATTCCCCATCGAGCCCTCCGTCTCCTTGAGGGCAAACGTACCCATGAACCCGACATTGAGATCCGTCCCTCCGGAGAAGACCATGCCTGCTCCCATGATGACCACCATCCGGACCCTCGGTCCTCGCTGACGGTGTTGAAGATCATCTCGAAGCTGGTAGACATTTCGAGCGCCATAGCGTTGTACTTTTTTCGGCCGGTTGAGTGTCAACACGTATTCATCATCAATTTTTTTAGTCCCAGGCTGCGTATCTCGTCGTCAACTACCCTGCATTAAGTTCATTACTGCGTAAATCGGATCTAGATTTGGCCACAAATCAATGCCAACGCGGGTCTATTTCCCAACCACAGAGCTCATCGCCCTTCGCCCTCCAGGCAAGGCCTATCACAGATGGGAGGTATCCCCCCCCCCCTTAGAACTCAGAAAGAGACGTACGCTGCTATACAACGTCTTTCAAGCTAATGAAATGACCGGGTACGATACTACTCGTCTGGTCAAGTACACCACCTGGCCAGACTAAGGGTAGATCCCCAAGCCGAAACCTGCTCCAGTAATGATATGTCTTTCGCAGTAGAATGCTGTCCCAGAATCATCAGTTTTGTTCATTCATCAAGTCCATCTATCTTCAAATAATGCGTGATCCAGAGTTGTTGAATTCGAAAACCTGTAAAGCGCTGCCTCAACATGATTCCAATTGCGTGTCTCGAGACATGCAAGGAACGATTCTCGTCGGTGTCGTGGGGCGTTTTTCTCTATTTCTATGAAAAGCATGCCGCGTGTAATACGCGAGTGGGTTGGTTCCAGAAGACACTCGGGATATACGAGTCGGCGCTTGGCGGAAGACCAGGTATCGCGAAGCATCACGCTCAGAAATCACCTTCTGACCCGAGGTTGACATCCTACCCGACGACCCAACCTGTTTGATTCCCCAATCAAAGATCCTCAAACACAGGCTCCTCTTTCGCCGCAGATAACCTCTCGGCAATGGCGTTCAACCACGCTCCCAGCCTCACGCCCGCCTTCCCAATCACCTCATCGACGACCTCCCAGTTCTCGTCAAAGTAACCCTCGCTGAGGTCATTCGACTTCAACCACGCCAGCCCATTCTTCAGCACGTGCGAACAGACATACGCATTCGACTCGGTGGCCCATCCCAACGCGCAAGATCCCGTCTCTAGATCAATGCACTGCCCGACCGTCGCGTTGACTCCCGCCTGGTCCTGGCGTTGATAGAGATCAGCAGCCCACGCTGCGGCGGCAACTTTCTCCTGCGGGATGCTCAGGTGCGGCGGCAGACCGCGGATCCGGTGCGGGATTTGCGTGTCCCAGACCGAGTGCAGGCTCATGGGGCCGTTGCAGACGCCGTGGTTGGGCTGGCGGCGCCAGCAGACGGGTCGGATGTCGTTGCCGCCGCGGAGGAGGCCGGTGGCGTGCAGGGGTTGATGGATATCGCCAAGGAAGTGTATCACAAACATTGTTGCGTTCTTGCGGTCAATGTGCGCGAGGCTAGTATCGAGGATTTGAGATGTCTAGTACGAGCAGGTCAGTCTCGATAATCGCCGCACGGTCAGGGTGGCTCAATTTGTACGTAGTTTGTGATGGCGGAGATGACGCAGCCGCTGGCTGGGCAGTCTTGAGGGTACTTCATGCCGCAGAGACGAGGAGGGTCATCGCGGGGATCTGACGATTCGTGAGCAGCCTGGTCCTGAGAGCGTGGCTATGCCAATGGCCAAGAGACAGTACTGATGTAGTGATACTTGCTTGCCCAGCCCATGTGGCCTCTGAGGGTATCGGCCCAGGTCGCCGCATCGGAGAAGTCATAGTTGCGATCGTTGGCGAGCAGGTCCCCGTAGATGGCGGCGGCTTCGTCAGTCAGGTATTTCTCGGCGAGGTATCCGACGGTACGGTGACCGACATTGCCCCAAGAAACCGCCGGTCGGACGGCGGCGGCCAGGAGAATGGTAGAGAGACGCATGATCGGTTGCGTAGTTCACTGTATGTGTAGAAGCGTTGGCGATTCTTCAGCAATCGGTGCAGCAAACGCGGAGCTTGGAGCTCTTATCTGGTATCGCCTCTCCTCCAACAAATGATCTGTGCTACAAGCTAACCCGTTGCACCGCACTATTGGCCCCTCACCTCTGAAGTGGCTGCCGTCTGATGTGGCACGTCGAGACATGGCGGCAGCAGCTCTCGGGAACTTCCGCAGTCGAGAGTCCATTTGATGTTTATGATTGGAGAGGGTGAGAGGGCATGCCGCACGACAGGGCTGAGAGGTCTCTGTCTAGAATCGGAACAGGAGCTCTCAGTCCACGAGTCAGCTCAAGCCGAGCTTAGAGAGGGCTGAGAGGGAGCTGTGATGCCGCCCACCCGCGCCGAAGTGGCAGATAGCCAACATTCATGGCAGCCAGGTGCGTGGGTGACTGGAGTAGGTACAGCATCAGTTGAGGCACCAGATGAACATGACGTCTCGATCGGCGAGCTGAGGGTAATTGGGCAACGATTGGCAGGGGAATGAATTACCGGAAACGGCGTGTCCAATTGCGTGCCGAAGTAGCTGCACCGGCCGAGCTCGGATCTCCACTAACGGGCCCGGGGGGCACGGTGGCAGGTTACCTATGGACCTGGTAGGAATGTACGTACGCTGATTGATACGTGACTTTAACGATACCTTACCTAGGTAGCAAGTTGCCGAGGATATATCTACCCTGCGCCTGCGCCTGCGCCTCAGGATGCTCGCAGGTGTTGGTGGTGAAGCTTGCTGTCAGGTCATTCAGGAAATGCTGAAAATGCCACTGTCTCACAGCTCCAACCACAAGCCAATGACAGCGCCGAAGCTGAGCACCTCGTCTGTCTCAGAGGCTCAGGGGTGGTCGTTGAGGTCCCCCGCCGGATTGGTTGGCGCCATCAGCTGCTGCCCGCTGGTGGAGAACAAGACAAGCTCCTGAACTCGGGAGCCCTGACATTGCCGATGCGAGCTTGGCGCAGCTCAGCTGTTGGAGAGTGGCGCATTGATGCCGTGATGCTTAGATCAACTTGGTGTCCTGGGTCCGGCACCATAGGCCGAGTTCGTGCTGCTGTTGCGAGGGCTCCAAGGCCGCCGCATCTTTAAGGTATCCAGGATGGTTAAAGTCAAAAAGCAGTGCTGGTTGACAGGATGAGAAGGATACATCCCGTAGCGAATGAGCGAGTCAAGCTGATGGGTGTCAATCTTGGTGTCGCAGCCCACTCGACTGGCACTTTGTACCAGACTTGGAGTGCCCTGCTTTTTGAGCAAGACAAATTGCGAAAAGGTCAGATAAGATAAACAGGGCCTGACCGCCCGATAAGGCTATCTAGAGCTGTCACCCACCTTACCCTTACCTAGGTAGGGTAAGGTGGCCTGTATTGGGCCAGTGGCAGATCAGGTTGCGGCAATTTGAGCCTGCCAATAGCGTCCTGAAGCCTGTAATTTGGTTCCAAGGACCCCTACCTTACCCTAAGGTACGCAAGTACGGTGGGTACCTATTTACTTCGGTACGTAGACTCGAGTAGTGTAGTTGTTCCCCGCCGTTGACGATAAGCAGCCGTAGGCATCACGTTGATTGGGATGAGCCATCGGAGGCTGACATTTTCATTGATGCCATTACAGATTGTGCACCTACTCTGCCTCGATCAGCAGCACGCGACACACGAGGTTTCCTTTTGTGAACCACCTGCCCTACGTCAAGTCTTGCCCGAGTCGGTTGGTACTTGAATCGTTGACTCGCATAGACAAGACGAGCCGTGTCGAGTGAATCCAGGACTACGGAACGCAACCATCAGGCAAACAGCCGCCATGTCGGAGGACCCGTTCAGACCGGCGCTGATCATCGTCGACTTCCAAGAGGACTTTTGCCCACCTGTAAGTACATGGCCATCATGCTTCCCCGTCCGTCACATATCGGTCCGGCATCACTTGGCGACTTGCGCGGCCTGAGGCGTCCAAGTCAGCTGTAGTTGCTGCGCCATTGGCTGACACCGGCTCGAGAATGGCTCACTTGCCGTTGCCAACGGCCGCGACATTCACCCTGTTGTCAACTCGTTACTGCGCCTGCCATTCGCGACCAAGATTGCCACAAAGGACTGGCACCCCGAGGATCACGTCTCATTCGCATCGAACCATGAAGGCAAGCAGCCCTTTGTCGATGCCTTCGACATCGTAAACCCGCGAAACAGCGCCGAGACATATCACACCCGGCTGTGGCCAGTGCACTGCGTGCAGGGGACGCCCGGCGCAGCCCTGGTGCCGGAGCTAGATGTCTCGGCCGTTGATATCATCATCGGAAAGGGCCAGAACAAGGACATCGAAATGTACAGCGTCTTCTACGACCCCTTCCAATCGCCCAGAGTGTCGGATAGCGGGCTCGCGGCATCTCTCAAGAACAAGGGCGTCACGGACGTCTATGTGGTCGGGTTGGCTGCTGACTACTGTGTCAAGTGTACCGCGCTGGATGCCCACAAGGAGGGGTTCCGGACCTTCATCGTGGAAGAGGGCACCAGGCCGGTGGACGCCGAGAAATGGGACGAGTGCAAGGGCGCCCTGGAGGCCAGCGGAGTGAAGATTATCAGCATGGAGGGCCCGGAGATCCGCAAGGTTGGAGCGGCTGGACGGGGATGAGTGAACGACGCATGTCCTCATCCAAAGCCGTCTGATTCTGATATCTTGGACGTTGGAGACCTCCAAACGGAGGCCAATGAAGTTTTTGTATTCCCTCCAAAAGAGGCTATGCGATGAGTTCGGGATATCTGGTGTTTCAAAGAGTACCGGCTTTTGGGAGGACCGCCGAGGTTTAGTTTACTCCCATCGGCCTTTGTGGCGTACAGAAACCATGCCTCGACATAGCCCTATCCCAACGACAAAGGTGCTGTATGAAGCTCGAGACAGTTTAGAATTGCAATAGATATGATGGCGATGTACTTTGTACTCTCTTCTTTGACATCATGTCTAGAACTGCGGCGTTTCGCACGCCCAAGTACCTACCACAGGTACCTTTGCTATTGTACCACGCCAACGGCCACTAAGAAAGCAGTTTGAACGTTTCTTCGGACTTTCTTCGTAACAGCGAGCAGAGCAGACTCGGCAGACACAGACATTTTCGAGCGACAAGGACTTTTTGGGCCGTCGACGTGGTCAGCGATGCTTGGGTAATGGGAGATCATGAGGGATCCGTAGCCCCGTGACAAAGCAGCAGGGCCCAGGCGAAAGGGTAGACTCGGGACCTTCAGCTGGTCCATGCAGGCGCAGACTCTCGGAGAACCAGTTGGGTGACTAGGTTCTGCGGCACGAAACAAAGACGGGGGAATAAGGCAAGAAAAATACAGGGGGATCGCCAGGGGTTCGCTGCACAGATCTGACGTTGATGGACGTTGGCCACGAACCTTTGACCGTGACTGGAGCTTCACCGCCCGGGCTGTACCCGTTGTGCCCACCGGCGTCCGGAAACGTCAAGATAACATGAGAAAGGACCGGGAGGAGGATTCGAATTGAGTGGGCAGGGGGCATTCCATCACATCAGATCAGGCCCGCAGGAGGGGATGGTCCGAGAGAGAGGCTAGAGAGGGGGCTGGAAGACGTCTTCTCTGTTGGATAAATGTCCATGTCGAGGGGCATCTCTCCATCTGGGGGAGGCTGACAGGGTAATAGTCGTCGTTGGCAGGGGGTCTTGCAAAAGTGTGAGACGCTGAATCGAGAGACTGGGGCGAGAGTCGGAACGGAGAAGGGTCCGAGGAGTACAAGGTCGCAGGTGAGGCTCAAATGGCACTGAAAGGTGATGCATGAAAGGACTTGTTTTTGTAACCCGACGCCGACGGGATTGGGAAAACCAGGGCAAGGAAGTCGAGAAAAATTGCGTCTCAAATGCAGTGCAACGTGTATCCGTAGTGCCAACGAAAAACGAAAAACAGCAGCCAACAGGAAGGAGCACTCGCTGCAGGAGCGGGAGACCCACCGCAATTCCATGAAAGATCGCCTTTCCCAATTGGGACGTAATCCAGGTGTCAATTCCTAACGGTATTCGACTTGGAAATGGAAGGTGCCAACCTTAGCGTGCTTAGGTGCCTTCTTCAGTATTGAGGTGCAACTATATCCGTATTTAGTACAGTAAATTGGAATGGAAGAGAAGGAGGGAAACCAGGCTCAGCGATGTTCATCCGAGTCCGCCTGCGCTCTTTTCTCTCTCGTCCAAGACACGTTTGAATTTCTCCATTTCCATATGCGTCTCACCTCACTCAGGTAGCACCAAAGCCGCCTTCTAGAAGGGAGTCAACGACGCAGAAGGACGCACGGCGCATAGGCACTGCAATACGCCTCGACACATTCAAGGAACCACACAGTGCCCTGCTGCGTCCGTGGTGTCCCGGGCAGGTTGCTTCATCCGTCTCTTCACAACAGCTGGGAAGCTGTCGCAGCAGGTCCCGTTGAGTGCCTGTGCAACATGAAGCGGCGGCCAGGCGGCATTGCTCTTGGGAGTTTGAGGGTCTAGGTCCAAGGCCTCAATTCAAGTAGATGTATGTGGCTTATCTCGAGGTGTCCTATTGGCTTATCAGGAGTCTTCAACGTTCCTCCCTAGGTACCTGACATAGGTACACCTTAGGTATGCTGCATGCTCAATTGGGCAAGATAAAATACGCCATTATACAATGTAATGACTGGAAGCAAACGTTCAGCAAACAGCAAACAACTTTTACAGAGCTTTCCCTCCACTCGTGTCTCTCTCCAATGACATGTCAGTCCTCTCTGACCAAAACCCCCAGACATTTACAACAGAGCCAAATTACGGCGAAGAGGAATGAGTGGACGAGACGGGACGCGCCATCCGTGCGGGTACTTCTCTGCAGCCCGGCGGTTTTGTGGCTCCCTACCTTACCTTATGACACATCCGCTACCACCCCACGTCCGCTTGTCGGCTGGCTTTCTGGGTGACCTGGACGCGCTGGAGTGCTTAGATCGACTTGTTAGTGACGATGGAAGCCTCAAGATAGGTAGTCATTAGTGCCCGCCTGGCCTTTCCCAATACCACAAAAGGTGCGTTAGCGCATGTCGACAGGTTGGCTGCTATGCTGATGGGAGGTGCCAGATGCGATAGGCGGGCGCACCAACCCGAAGCTCGACACCTCCAGCTCAAAAACCTCGACGAGTCGCTGTCAAGCATGGAACAAGACCACCCCACCCTGTTTACACCTGCCACAGCGGACTCTATGCACAGCTCACTTTACCGAATTGAGACTAAACATTGATGTACCGCGGTACATTGGCGCGAATCATCATGGGTAAATTAATTGCCTTCGGTGGGCCACCCATGTTCAAATCGTCGCTTTTTTTCTTTTTTTCTTTTTTTTTTTTGCAGCGTCCCTCTTCGTCCCAGGTGCTCATGCTGGCGCTGCTCATCATCATCGCCCACCATAAACTTACGCCAACATCTTGCCGGGATTACCATCATTTCACTTCCGTCCCAAGGTGGATCTTTGAGATACTTCCTTGGCCGCCATCTGCTCCCGCAAAACGATGGGTACCTTCGGAGCTGACCTCTCTGCTCGTTCCCTCCGTCCGCTGTGCCATTGACAAGCATCCGGGTGCCTGGCAACTCTCTTTTTTGTTTTTGATCTTATTTCCTGTTTTTCTATTCCCTGCACACCTCCTTGCCCACCACCACCACCACTACAACCACCAACACCACCACTACTACTGCTACTTGGAACCGTTGCTTAAGCTTGCTCCTATCCTCTCACCTCTCCTATCTAATGCTGCGCACCTCACTACGTGTTGCTCCTTTAGCACCAGGTCTTATCCTGTCTCTCTTCATCCTCGTCCCCCGCTACGCCACTTGTGACTATCTAAGTAGAGACCGCTTGTCTCCATATCTTTAAAAGGTACTTTGCTGCCCATTGCATCGCGAGTACACTTCTGCTCTTGTTCCTCTTTCTCTGAGCGATCTTCTCCCTACCTCCCCCTCCACCCCTTTTGCAAGGCATCCTCTTCAACAGGAACTGTGCAACCCACTCCCGTCTCCGATTCGAGCACTTCAACAGCTCCTTGCGACTTCGGCTCTCCGCGACCAACACCCTCGATCTCCGACACACTTCGCAACTTTTAATTTAATTTTCCCTTTGCTCCTCCCACAAAATCCTTCTCAGTGATCTGCGAGCGTTTGAGGCACTTTGCTGCAAATTCTGAACTCCAACGACGTCAACGGCGTCGGCTCAATTGGTACGCCAATCCCCCCTCCAATCGGCATTGCAGCGCAGAGCAGCGCAGCGCATCCCACACAACCATCTCGTATCCGCGTCGCCAAAATTCCTCAACCCAAATTCCAACCAGATAGTCTTCCACCCCAAGTCCAACCACCTCTCCGCGTCTTTTCGCGCAATCATCCGCCTCGAAACCCGAATGCCTCTGGATTGCTACCAAGGTCTCAATCGCTAATCCCAAGAAACAGACTTCGCCTTCGTCCCCTCATCCTCGGCCGTTGTACACCAATGTCTTCCTAATAGACGATCTTGATTCACCGCAACTTTCGCCATGATATCCTCAACACTTCTCCCCCGCCGTTTTCGGGGTGAGCAGCCCGCCGCACAGGCCGCCGCCCCCTCCTGGGTCAACAAAAAGATCACACCAACTCTAAAGCTTCTCTCCAAGCTCGCCTGCTCCCATCCCATCCACACTGTCGTCATTGTTGCCGTTCTGGCCAGTACTTCGTACGTTGGCCTGCTGCAGGAGAGCTTGTTTGATGCCACCATCAGTGTCCGCACCGCCGATTGGTCGTCCCTTGTCGAGGGCAGCCGACGCCTGCAAGCCGGCCCCGAGACCGCCTGGAAATGGCAAAATGTCGAGCCCGAGGCCTCCATCGCCGGTGAAGTTGATCACCAGGCCCTCCTGACCCTCGTCTTCCCCGAGTCCCAGTCTCCCGAGTCGATTAATACCGCCCCGCGCACCCACGCCGTCCCGATCCCGCAGAACCTCTCCATCACTTCGCTTCCCTCGACCTCCAACTCTCTGACGAGCTACTCCCAGGACAGCGCTCTCGCGTTCGCTGTGCCCTACCCCCAGGCCGCCGAATTCCTGTCCGTAGCTCAGGAAATCCCCGATGCCGCAAGTGACGAGACGGAGACGATGCACGGCAAGGAGAAGAAGATGTGGATCATGAAGGCTGCCAAGGTGCACACCCATAACAGTCTGGTTCAGTGGGCACGCAATGGCTGGACAGAGTTCCTCGACCTGCTCAAGAACGCCGAGGCTCTCGACATCTTCATCATGGTCCTCGGCTACCTGTCCATGCACCTGACTTTTGTCTCGCTCTTCCTCTCGATGCGCCGCATGGGCTCAAACTTCTGGCTCTTCACCAACGTCCTCTTCTCCTCCGTCTTCGCCTTCCTGTTTGGTCTGCTCGTCACCACCAAGCTCGGTATCCCAATTACTATGGTGCTGCTTTCCGAAGGCCTACCGTTCTTGGTCGTAACAATCGGGTTTGAGAAGAACATCATTCTTACCCGCGCCGTGCTGTCGCACGCTGTTGAGCACCGCCGGCCGCAGGAGAACAAGGACGACAGAAAGTCTAGCAAGAAGAAGTCCGACGTGCCATCCCCTAACGTCATTCAGTACGCTGTGCAAGCCGCCATCAAAGAGAAGGGCTACGACATTATCAAGGACTACGCTATTGAGATCGGCATTCTCGTTCTCGGCGCTGCTTCTGGTGTCCAGGGCGGTCTGCAGCAGTTCTGCTTCCTCGCCGCCTGGATTCTCTTCTTTGACTGCATCCTTCTCTTCTCCTTCTACACCGCCATCCTGAGCATTAAGCTCGAGATCAACCGCATCAAGCGCCATGTCCACATGCGCCGCGCGCTTGAAGACGACGGCGTCAGCCACCGCGTGGCCGAAAATGTGGCCAACAGCAACAATTGGCCCGAATTTGACGGCAAGGGCCCCAAGGAGACTTCTTTGTTTGGCAAGCAGATGAAGAGCAGCAATGTCCCCAAATTCAAGGTGCTTATGGTCAGCGGTTTCGTCCTGATCAACGCCATCAACATCTGCACTATTCCTTTCCGCAACTCCAGCTCCCTCCCCAGCTTATCGTCACTGACTGGCGGTCTCAGCGCTGTTGTCGCTGCTGCTCCTGTCGACCCCTTCAAGGTCGCCTCGAACGGCCTGGACGCCATTTTGGAATCAGCCAAGGCGAACGAGCGCCCCACCGTTGTCACCGTCCTCACTCCCATCAAGTATGAGTTGGAATACCCCTCTATCCACTACGCGCTTCCTTCCCCTGCTGGCAAGTCTGGCCAAAAGCACGAGGATGAGTACGATACGTTCGAGAGCTACGGTATGGGCGGTCGCATGGTTGGCAGCATTCTGAAGAGTCTCGAGGACCCTGTTCTCTCCAAATGGATCATTGTTGCTCTGGCCATGAGCGTTGCTTTGAACGGCTACCTGTTCAACGCTGCTCGCTGGGGCATCAAAGACCCCAATGTCCCCGACCACCAGATCGACCCCAAGGAGCTGGCTCGCGCCGAGAAGTTTAACGATACCGATTCGGCTACCCTACCCCTTGGCGAGTACATCCCTCCTACGCCCAGACCTGCCACGCCTGCGACGACTGACGACGAGGCTGAATTGGCAATGACCAAGGCCAAGCCTTCTGAACCTGCCAGCCCCGTCGAGAAGCGCACCATTGCCCAGCTTGAAAAGATGATTGCTGAGAAGCGTGTACACGAGATGACTGACTCAGAGATTGTCGCCATGTCTCTTCGTGGCAAGATTCCCGGCTACTCTCTCGAACGCGCTCTCAAGGACTTCACTCGCGCTGTCAAGATTCGCCGTTCCATCATCTCCCGTACCAACGCTACCTCTGACTTGACTAATGGTCTCGAACGGTCCAAGCTTCCGTACCAGAACTACAATTGGGAGCGAGTCTTTGGCGCTTGCTGCGAGAATGTCGTCGGTTACCTTCCTCTGCCTGTCGGCGTTGCTGGCCCTCTTGTCATTGATGGACAGAGCTACTTCATTCCTATGGCTACTACCGAGGGTGTTCTGGTTGCGTCTGCCAGCCGTGGCTGCAAGGCGATCAACTCTGGCGGCGGTGCCGTTACCGTCCTTACCGGCGATGGCATGACCCGTGGGCCTTGCGTCGGCTTTGAGACCCTTGAGCGTGCTGGTGCTGCCAAGATCTGGCTCGACTCTGAGGCTGGTCAGGCTACCATGAAGAAGGCTTTCAACTCTACTAGTAACTTTGCACGTCTTCAGACGATGAAGACCGCCCTAGCCGGTACCAACCTCTACATCCGTTTCAAAACCACCACTGGTGACGCCATGGGTATGAACATGATTTCCAAGGGTGTCGAGCATGCGCTCTCTGTCATGGCGTCCGAGGGCTTCGAAGACATGAGCATTGTTTCGGTCTCTGGTAACTACTGCACGGACAAGAAGGCAGCTGCCATTAACTGGATTGACGGACGTGGAAAGAGTGTCGTTGCGGAGGCCATTATTCCTGCTGACGTCGTCAAGAACGTTCTCAAGAGCGACGTTGATACTCTCGTCCAGCTCAACGTTGACAAGAATTTGATTGGCTCCGCTATGGCTGGTTCAATCGGAGGTTTTAACGCCCACGCCGCCAACATCGTTGCTGCCATCTTCCTCGCTACGGGACAAGACCCCGCGCAAGTTGTGGAGAGCGCTAACTGTATCACGATCATGAAGAAGTAAGTCGCTTCCCTTCCTCGCAGGTATATCGTCACTAACAGCTCGTAGCCTTCGTGGTTCTCTTCAAATTTCCGTCTCCATGCCCTCGCTCGAAGTCGGTACCCTCGGTGGCGGAACTATTCTTGAGCCTCAGAGTGCCATGCTCGACATGCTCGGAGTTCGCGGCCCCCACCCCACGACCCCAGGTGAGAACGCTCGCCGTCTCGCCCGTATCATTGCTGCCGGTGTCCTGGCTGGTGAGTTATCACTGTGCAGTGCCTTGGCTGCCGGTCACCTTGTCAGTGCTCACATGCAGCACAACCGTTCTGCGCCCCCTACGCGGAGCAACACGCCAGCCCCGGTCAACGGAACCATGACACCGGTCAGCCTGGCCATGACCAATGCGGCCGAGAAGTCTGCTGGCAAGAGCGCGGCGGCTGTCGAGCGGGCGCGTCGTTGAGTTCGCAACGTTGCTGTATATACGCAAAAGAAAAGGGATGAGACATAATTATGGAGTTTTGGGGATAGAGCAAACATGACAAGGCGAATGATACACCATTTTCGCATACGCTGCATTGCGCTTGCAGCAGCAAGGAGAAGAAATCATGCCCGTCGCAAGACGGGGCGCTGGCCACGCCAGCTTGTATGTAGAATCAGATACATAAGACCTTCTTTGTCCTAAACGATCCCAACGAATCTCTGCTGTGATGCCACATGGCTCATGCTACTCCCTTAGGCACAAACGGGTTCGTTGATTAACATGCCACACGGGACTCGTTGGTGCTGCTGCTGACATGAGTGACTAGGGCATTTCTCTCTGCGCCACAGGCATTGCTGCCTTGGAGTGTGGCTGGAGTGGCCCCACTCTTCCCGTCGTCTCTCCACCCCCGGGACATATTCTAGAGCCTCAGGATTGTCGACGGCAAGTCTCCAGGTGCAACAATCCATGCACACCTTACCAAGTACTTTCCGCAAGCTGAGTAGCTCCAATTAAACTCATCGAGTTACAATTTTGAATCCTCCCCATTGCAGAGCCTAATGGAAGCATGATGTCTCTGTCTCCGTTCATTGCCAACGGCGGTTCAAGCCAGGCCGTCTTCAAACAACACCATGTGCGATGATGCAAGCACATAGGTCCAAATAGGTCGCAACGCACCATGCAGGGGTTTCTTGAGGCTTCCAGGCCACTAGTCTAGGTCGCAAATCAGAGGACTCCAGGCTACGCAGGCAGCAAACCCCCTTGTCACAAATCGTGGATCATTACACAAGCTTAGAGCCTCGCAAGTATCGGGCCATTTCTTCGTTTACTAACTCCTATCACTGGTTACGATATGGCGTTGACTCACATCGTTATCGGCCCCGTCAATCTGACGCCTCTCCGGGAGCCGATGACCCTTGACGGCCGTCCGAGCGGGGTACGGCTGCCTACTTCACCTATGTCCTGCCTGGAACCTCAGGACCCGGCTGGCTAGCACGGGCTGAAGCCTTTTTGGGCACCCTCAAGTCTTACGTTGCAGTATAAAAGCCTGTTGATCGAAAAGAGATATCTGGCTTCAAGAAAACAAACCATCTTCTCGTCTTCCCAGATTCCTCTTGTCAAAACACCCAGAGACGTTACTAGTCAAGCCTCGCCCAGTCACAATGGCACGTACCAACAATGAGCTTCTTGATGAGGAGGACCAGCAGGAGATCAACGGCATCCTTACCGAGGAAGACAAGAGACGCCGCGAGGAGCTTGAGAGGGCGCCTATGCAGATCGAAGTTAAACACCTAGAGAGGCGATGGACAAAGAAGGGATATTCATACATTACCGAGCCAAAGGAGGACGAGGATGTACCCGAGGAGAAGATTAATTGGTACGAGAAGTATGCCCTCTGTGTAAGTACTCATTTCCACGATTCGTCCGTGTTGTCGTCTCACACTGGCTCTTCCAGATAACGCGCCAGTATGATAGCCAGAACAAATACATCTGCCGCACCTCACTCGAAGTCAACTCCCCCGGGCTCAAGAAAATTCTAGCAGACGTCATTGGCAGCAAATTCCCTGGCCAGTCCTATCTGACTTCCAGTATCACCGTCGACTTCCCTCCCCGCAGTCTTTACCACTACCGACACGAGCTGGCCGAGGCTGCTGTCGGTCTCGAACCCGATTCCGATGGAGCCAGGCACCTTCCCCTTTTGCTCAACTTTATTGACGAGGAGTTCAATGATGTCATCACCAAAGGCGCAAACCTTCTTGAGCAGGGTTTGATGAGCTACGAGCACCTCTGGACCATCTTCCGACCAGGATGCCTCATCTACGCTACCCGAATGAGCCAGGCTCGCGTGTACAGGCTCCACAGTTACCAGTATACATGCGGCCAATGCCCAGGTCTTCAGCTTGGCGTCGAGTATGTCGACTTTGACGGTGACAAGTTTGGCACGAGGCATGAGGCCCTCTTGATTCCCGCTTTTGCTGGAGTTGCGCCGATCGCCTCTCTCAATGCTCTTCCTTTGTTATACCATCCTAGCCCTGACACTGCCACGCGCATCTTGACCGAGCGCGGTCGTCGATGGGAGGCTCTCGCCGGCCAGAACTTCCGTCAGTACAAGGGTGTTGCGTTGGACCACCACAACCGCCGCTTCAACATTGACGGCCGGGTCATGGTTGACACTGAGACTCACCACCGCATCATGGCCGACCACGCCTTCAACGTCGTCTCGTTCCCAGAGACGGTAGGCCGGAAGCGGAAGCAGGACGACGAGACCGGCGATGTAGAACTCGTTCCAAAGGAGACCAATGAGTTTGCGCCTCTGACTGACGAGCAGTGCCTCCTGGCCAGCCCCATGGTTCGTGGCTTTAGCTTTACCGAGAAGAATTTCCTCAACTTCTTCGTCGACGAGATCAGCCCCATTGAGTGGAACACCCAATGCTTCGAGCAGCTTGTCCTCCCAGACTCGCAAAAGGAGCTCGTGCAGGCTCTTGTCGCGCAACATACCGCTCGCGCCACGGACCCAAATTCATCTGCTTTTGATGACATCGTCAAGGGCAAGGGCAAAGGCCTCATCCTCGTCCTCCACGGCCCTCCCGGCGTGGGAAAGACGTTGACGGCAGAGTGCGTGGCCGAGTTTAGCCGTCGGCCCCTGTATATCGTCTCCTCGGGCGACCTTGGCACCTCATCAGCGGTCCTGGACGACAAATTGGCCAGGACGCTCGACCTGGCGAGCACCTGGAAGGCTGTTCTCCTCATCGACGAGGCCGACGTCTTCCTCGAGCGCCGCTCGCTGCACGACATGGAGCGCAACAGCCTCGTGTCCATTTTTCTGCGCACGCTCGAGTATTACAGCGGCATCCTCTTCATGACGACGAACCGCGTGCGCACCTTTGATGACGCCTTCAAGAGCCGCATTCACGTGCCGCTCAAGTACGACGACCTGCCCCGCGACAGCCGGATGAAGGTGTGGAAGAACTTTTTGGGCAACGTCGAGGGCGGTATCGACATTGACGAGGCTGGGTACGAGAAGCTTGCTGAGAGCAAGTTGAATGGGCGGCAGATCAAGAACGTGGTGAGGACGGCCAAGAGTCTTGCTGCGTACAAGAAGCGGAGGTTGGACTGCGAGCAGTTGCAGCAGGTTGTGGATATCCAGATGACCTTTGAGAGGGAGTTGGATAGCGCGGATGGTGAAATTGATATGGTTGTACGATAGAGGACTTGGACTTGTTGCAAAGGGATCTCGGCAGCGGTAGGGGGAGGCATGTTGGTCTGATTGATATATCGTGAGACAGAGCTGAAATCCACAAACTCCAAAGAGAAATAGTGCCCATGCCGTAAACACGAATCATAGCACTTGAGTCGAAGATCATGGAAAGCACGAAGCTCATTTATCCAATGCGGAGAATCTTGTGTTTCTTAGGCTTCATGCTTGTACTGGGACGGCCCGCAAGCCGTTGATGATTCTGGTCGCTGGCCAGGTGAGAGATGCCTCTTCAACGCTCAGCCCTGGACTTGAGACACGTATGTTGACTGCATCTTCATCTTTGGCTGAGACAATGACTGATAGCCAGACGCTCTCGTTGCCGTTGCCGGAACCATGACTATCGCTTCGGGCCGGGAGAAGGTCTAGACCGGCTAGGGGATGGATGGCGCGAGAAAAGTTAATTACATGTAGGATGATACTTGCCATGGATTATTGGTGTAGATAATCCCGCGGCATTGTGGAGCAGCCAGTGACTTGTGCTCTAGTTCGACAGGGGGAAGCGTCGGTTGATGATTGTCTCATGGGTGCATGGGAGAATTGCCCTCGGCCTCCGAATCTGCAACGGAAAATAGTATTTGAGGGTGAAGTGTTGGTCTCCTAGCCATTTTGAGAAATATTAACACAATCATCACACATGGGATAAGCTTTGTAATACGAGGTAGTCATTAGCCTGCAGTCCATGGAATTTATTTGGTAATGGGATGAAGTGCTAGCTGGGAGCGGCACACTGCATAGATGTATTCATCACGCCCTCGCCCAAGGGCGATGAACAGTGTTCAACTCATTTCACGCAAAGATCCTAGCGAAATGTCGTTCCATGCGCTCAGAGTAAACATAAATCACCATGGAGAGGGTCAGTAGCAACGTTGCTTTACATTTTCCTAATGCTAAAATCGGCGATTCTGCATGCATGTGGGATTATCAGTGGGCTCTATGACCTGGTGATGGGTATTTAAGGGTCTGCGTGTCGTGATTATGCTGGTCCGTCGCTTTCGGAAATTGGATCTCGCTGGACTGGACTCAGCTTCATTCCATAGACCCCAGCCCTGATTCAGGAAACAAAATGTCTCACTTACGCGAAAGCCGTTGGCTGGTAACGTAACCCTTTTCTCCCGAGTGGTGAGGCCTCTTTGGTTTGCCCGATATGGCAAGTCTGTCAACTTTCCACGGCCCCTGTCGTGAAGACGGATGAATAGAGACGGACAATAGCAATGCCTTCATGTCAAAGGGCTTTGATCAGATAAAGCGGCTACCTTAGTTCCAACACAAATACGAGGTCTGTAACAAGCAACCGTTCGCTAGTTCGTAGTTTTCCGATGGTTGTTTGGATCTGATTGGCCGTGAAAATCAGGATGCTTGTCAACTTTTGTCTGAACGTCTAGTTTACCGTAGCACTGGATCTCTCATTGCCAGGATGTCCCCTCTCTTGTGTATGGATACCAAAATTGCTGCTGCCTTGAGGTGGAGGACAACGTAGTAGGTCGCAGGCCATCTGGTGCACTTAACTCTAGGCAAATATTGCCGCTCTGGTTATAGAATAAGAAAGTCCAAGTGTAGTGATCATATAAATCACTGTGCCGTTCAAAGTTGACGTAGAATCATTTGGTGTACATTGACAGAGTCACCTTTGACTATGTCAAGATCTGGGCTTTTCGTTTGCATGAGATAATTCCTCGTAACGTTAGCGACCAGAGTGAATCATGAGCCGTGGTTTCATGGTCAGCATTATGACTCCACGTCCGAACCAGATCTCCTGATGAAAGGCACGGCTAAGAACCCCGGAGGAGGTCAAGTTGATGCAAGTTCTGGTGTGTTTCCTTTTTGTGAACAAGTTGGGACGAAAATATGAAAAGACCGTTGAGTTATTACAAATCGGCATGCAATTGGCCGGGTGCTTGTCGTTCATGCAGGGGAAGAATTCAAAAGATACCATCTTAAGCTCAGCCCTCCTTAATCCAGGGTGGCCCCCATCACCTTTCCCAGCTGGGAATTTTTAAACTGTTGCCTAGGTGTTGGGCGCACGATGATCTCGCCTCAAAATCCCACGAACCACACTTTGCCCACAGCAGCGCTTACTCCTGGACCACTAACGTACACGTGCGTCCGAATACGTAAGGGAGCAACACTATTACGGTCAAAAGAGGGTTTACTTTGGTCATCCGCAGTTGCCGGGAGGTGGCGAAGCTATCAATAGGAGAGTGTTTCATTGTTGCAAAGCCAGATGCGTGGGAGGAGGCAGCTAGGCCGTCCAAAAGTCTACTAGCCGCCTGATGGGGTAGGTCCGAAAGGGTGTCAAACATGATGCCCCGCGCCTCCACGAGTCAAATTTTGGGACCGGAGAAAGAATTTTCGACGATGATTTGTCGAGTCAAGAGAGTGGCCCATGATCATATACGGTGTGGTGGTTTAGGAATAGCCTGGGAAATGTCCAGCTTTCCTGAAAAGGTTTTATGTTTATAGGGTATCAACCACTGGAAACTACTTATAAAACAAGGTCACAGTTAAACTCAAAAGAGATCTTTGAACCTAATCGTTTCTTGCTGCTCACTTCCATCTTTTCCCTCCTTTCACCGTCGTCTTGCGGCTACGAAAGCGCTTAGGAAACAACCCGACCTTGGGAATTCTTTTCTTTGATACCCTACCACATCTCGAAAAAGTCGCAACACTGTTCATTCTCCCTTGGCTCGCTTCGTCTTGCTTGTTCTTGTCATCAAAATATACCCCGATTCATTGTCTGTTTCATCAGCGTTTCCATTCTTTCGATTCTTTTGCAAATCATTACTCGCAAAACGATAACCTATTGGAGAGTTCACTCGGACAACGCATCTCTTCATGAAGATCGGGTCCGACTACAACCAAGATGATAGCGCTCCCAGGAAAGGTCATTTTGAAAGCTTCAGCTCTTCTCATCTTGGGCCTGATGGCGGCTGTGGTTCTTCATCAACTCAGTTACACCAATGACTTTTCCCTCCCTAGCCAGTCCATTGAAGTCATCAGTCTTTGCGATGATTCCGAAAGAAATGGGAAAGACACTCGGAGTCCCGTCAATACACCGAAATCGCAAGAACCGATCCCCAAACTTGTTCACCAAATCTGGAAGAGCAAAAATGTCAGCACATATCCAGTCCAAGCTTCTCATGAGACATGGAAGAATATGATGGAGCCACTGAATTACACCATCAAAATATGGACAGACGAAGACGTCGTTGAACTCATAAAGACTAAATACGGTTGGTTGTTCTCTACATACGAGGGCTATGCTCAAAACATCCAACGAGCCGACGTAGCAAGACTAGTTGTTGTCCATGCCGAGGGAGGCATCTACGCAGACTTGGACGTGTACCCTAGATCGACGCAGGAGATGTCTTGCGTGCAAAACCTCGGCCTACAAGGCGTCTTTGCTCCCACATCGGGAACTCTTGGACTCAGCAACCACTTCTTCATGGCGCAACGTGGTTCTCCCTTCCTCGAATGGGCTCTCCAAGAAGCCAAGCGACGCGGCGGTTCTGCTTCAAAACGGATACTCCTGCCCTACCTCCAGGTATTCTGGTCCACGGGTCCGATCATGGTGACATATGCGTTCCGTCAGTACGCGTGGATGTACAGCACAGTACACCACGGTATGGTGCTGCTGGATGAGGGATACGCGGGAAAGCTGTTCGGGCATGCGGCAGGACGCTCGTGGCATGGGTCAGACGGACGTTTCTTGAATTACGCGTCTGATCATCTGGGAAATGCGTTGTTCTGGGTTACGCTGTGCCTATCTGTGCTTTCTTTGGCGATAATAATTGTCGTCAAGCGGGGTCGCGGGAAGTCCATTGAGTTTCTCGTAGGGTGTGGATCTTTCTGTTGGAAGAAGAACTCGGAAGACCAAGCATAAGACGGAAAGTTTCTATATTCTACGGAGTTGGATGAGTGAGAGTGTCCCACACTATTTCCTGATTTCTCATGCTCTGGCCCTCTGCGATATCCGCGGCAAAACATGCTAAACATGCGTCGACATTGGGTGATCAGACCGCTCCGGCCGACCATAATCATTACTCACTACTGCTAGCTTCATCTGCTATTGCAGATTTCTGAATCAAGTCAGCGATCCGGTAGAAGGCGATGGCCTAGGCATTTGGGAAGGCGCAGTTGGATAGGACGGGGGAGGGCCTTCATTACATTGGCTTGAGTAGTGCAATCCACTTTTTACCAAGTTTTCAGTGCGCGGCGGTAATTAAGACGTGCGTCCATCCTTGGTTGACGTTAATGTGACAATCAAGATGTGCGGACGAGATACATGTATTAAGGTAACATAAGGTATACAATGCAAACATGGCTTTACAACCGGGTATGATGGAAAGCATTCAGCCATGGCAGGGTCAGGTTGCCACAACTCAACAAATAGAGACAAAAATATTGAGGGGATTCGTAACGTCACAACTGAAGACGAGGAGAGATTGGTCACTGATTGGTCGGGCGTCTGGTCAGCCTGACCCAAAAGTCTCTGGCGACAAAGAAAATCGCGCTGAGAGTCTTGATAGGCTTTTCCGGGTTCATGACGGTGAAATCGTATCGCCTCAACAGCTAAGCTCAAGTCAGTCGGCTACTGCAGACGTGTGTGGGGAGGAATATTACGTACCTCGACAAAGATCTTGTTCAACTCCATCATGGCAATCGGTTTCCCAAGACAAGAATATTTTCCATGGCCAAAGTGTGTATCGACGGCAGCACTCATGTGCCTGAGCTCGTCCTCACTTGCCGAAAGCCATCTCTCGGGGCGGAAGACATCGGCGTCTGGGCCCCACACCCAAAGTGAGCGTCCGATGCCGAAGAAGTTGTGCCCGATCTGCGTGCCGCCGGGAATGAAGTAGCCGTTTAGGACGTCCCCACCCTCAGGCGCTTGCTTGAAGCCAAGGCCAGTGACGGGAGGGTAGAAGCGCAAGCCTTCCCGGATGACAGCCTGGAGATATGGAAGTTTGAGGGCTTCGGCGTTGGTGACGGGAGAGCTGATGACGCCTGCGGCGACAGCATCGTCAATTTCCTGCCGGAGCCGTTGGTATGCGACAGGATTGTTTATCAAACATAGCAGTGTCATGCGCATGGCCTGCGCAGCTGAATTTGTGCCAGCGATCCTGAAGTAGCATGAGCGTCCGTGTTGATGAGATCTGTGGCCGACTTACATGTGGATGTACACAAGCTGAATAAGCTCATCTCTGCCGAGGCCCTGGTTAATGAAAGCTTGCATCATGTCCTTCTGGGGCTTCGCGCCGGGTTGGAGTCTCATTTCGGCGTAATTTCTAGCGAAGCTGCGCCATGTTAGTCTTCAGACTCTGTCTTCTTGCGCCTCAAGACTGGCTGACACCACTCACCCCATCAAACGGCCAAAACCGACTTGGTCACCCTCCTTGGGCAATACCAATCTAAAAGGCCACTTGTGAACGAGCCGACCAAGCCAAGGAAGCACCGAGACGAGATTCATAATGGGTAGAGATGACTCGTTGATCTCGATATACCGAAACAAGTCCCGATCCTCGGCAAGGAACCCAAAAGCACCACCAAAGGAGACGTCGCCAATGGCGTCGAGAGCAAAGAATTGCGTCTTTTCGGCTAGGTCTAGCGGCCTAAACTCCGAGTCCGTGGAAACATAATGGTGGTCTATCAGGCGGACGAAATTCATGAGTTGGCGGTCGATCCCGATTTCAAAGCCGTAACCTTCGTTCTCTTTGGCGGCATACTATTCGGCGAGGTTGAGCAATTAGCGGACCAAAACTCAAAAGTCGCCGCGGTTTTCCGGGTCTTAATGACACCAAACACAACCGAGGGATTGAGAACACAAAGACAACAGAGACTTACGGCCGGACCCATCCTCGCCCTCATGGCCTTGTGCTCGTTCTCGTCCCGCATCGAGACAACATTGTTGACGCCCGGCGTGATTCGGCCGGAGTCGTAGAAGTCGCCCTTGGTGTACGGCGAGCGGGCGGCCGACATCTTGCGCAGTGAGTCCGGGTCTGTGCAGAGGAGCTCGTTCGGCCCTATGCGCGCAAGGGGGCCTGCAGCGATATCAGTGATCAGCATCCATCTCTCCAGTTTCCCGGGGCGCTTGTTGGACAGGTGTCGCAACACCAAAGCCATGGCTTCATAGATTGCGCATCTTTGAGGCCAAAGACATGGCTTCTGGGTAACAGTGAAGAATAGTGCGTCAAAGCCGAGTTAACTTACCATATTTCCGCGCAATCTCATTCAGATGTTCGTGGTACGTTCCCCCAATTGCCTTCTTCAACTGCCACAGGACCGAGATCGAGGCGAGGAAAGGTCCGGGGATTTTTCGCAGACGGTACCACGACCGGAACTCCCACACCAAGAATGCGATGACTGCGGCCAGAGCGACTGATTTGGCGAACAAGAAGCCGGACGTATTCAAGCCTGAGACGGATTCCAGCTGACCATCGCCCATACCCACCTGTGAAGGCCCAACCCCAGTCATTTCCTCTGATTCTCTTGTCCCTCTCGCGTAGAATACCATCCAGCACCGCCCCGGGCGGTTTCAACAGTCCCTCGATTCACACCTCTGCTGTCGCTGCGCCGCTGGTGGACCTTACCACCGGGCAGGGCAGGGGAGAGCGCCAGCGGTTGATGCTATCAGAGACGCGTATCTGATGGCTTCTTCGCTGCTTGCGCCCTTTGTTTTCTGTTTCCTTTCTGTTTTTGTTTCGCCCGTCTTAAACTATCAACCGCTTCTGATCCAGCAAGGAATATTTTGCGTCCTTGCTTCTGGGTTGATAGACAGTGTTCGGTGTCCAATCCTTCAGTTCTGTTGTCGGTTGGTTGGTGGATACACCCTGTTCCTATCCTGTCATTTCTCGTTCTTCGCGGACCCGGCAGCTTGGTAGCGCGGGTAGAAGGGGCACAGCAGCAGTGACAGGGCCGATCAGCACAGGGCTGGTTGAAAAGAAACAATACCCCCAAGTCCAGAGCGTCGGGATCCGGGATTGGGATTCAGACTCGACGACGTGGGCCCGTGAGTGCGGGAAGAGAAATGGGAAAAGAAGAGGTACGGAGAACACGGTAGATGGGAAATTGGGGAATAAGTTTCACTTTATTGACAAATGCGACCCAAGGTAAGGTGAGCGCCCGCGACCGAGGCGAAGAATCGTGGCTGCGGAAGGCTTGAGTCGGAGGGTAAGCCGGGCACAAGCCTGGATCGAGTTGGGCAAGGCTACCTGCACTAGGACTTGCGCTAGATGAAGCATGTGGAAGATGTGGAGGGGTGACTGATCGGCCTTCTTCTTCTAGGCTTGATGGTTCTCCCTCGGCTTTACGGTTCCATGTTGTGATGTGATGTTCACATTGAGACATCTCACAATCAATGCAGCACAAGACCTAGAAGATACGGCAAGAGGATGATTAGGCTGGAGCTTATCTATGTGAGAGAGACGGGCTTCATAACTCTACAGAATGCTTTCACATGGATAAAAGCGCCATGTATCCGGGCTTCCTCATCTCCTAGTCTTGGTTAAAATTGTCTTGGTTTCTTTGTCCCCGGCTGTAGATCCACCTTCTGACCGAGAGCCTGGATTTGAAGGGAGTCAAGCGCAGAAAAGCATCATCTGGAGCAATCAAACAGAATCCAGGACCACATATGTAGGTCAACATGCAGGCTGCCGAACAGCTGCTGTCGACAGCGCCGTGCCATCTCACCGGCGACATCCACCGTGACCCAATCAGGGCAATCGGTTTTCTCTCGGGGAGCGGTCCAGTGGTGCCTTTCTTGAGACCAGTCCCCAGTCTCACTGCACATCTGCAGGTTGCCGCATGCCCTTACTAGTTCGTCCCGACACCAAGCCTGTTCCGTGCCCGGTTGCATTGAGAATTACGCTAGAACAGTGCCGGCCCATGCGGCCTGCCCCCAAAACTCTTACTGGACTCCAATCACGGCGGATCGGCTGAAGTTCTTGGGTGACGGCGTCTGCTCACTCAAGGTCGAATCCGCACGCGCTATCGATACAAAGAGGAAACGAAGATGCTTCTTGCATGATGTTTAAAGACGATAGTCCGTTAAATCAGTCCCGAGAGCGAACATCCATCCTGAGACATAGACAGCATTCCGCAGTACCACACACCCGCCAGTGGAGAACCCGCTGCGGCAGCGTCTCACTCCGGGCGTTGCATCGCGTATTACAAATCCTCCATCGCCCGCACTAACTGCTGAGAATTCTTTTCCAAATGAATGACAAAGATCACATGAAATTGAGATCAATGGCAATCTATGTGAAGTTGGCCGTCAACCGCTGAACTATGTTCAACCTGCGTCGGCCTCTGAGGGCACAGTGAAGACTCCGCAAGATGGGCCGCAACCTCGCGATAGCTTCATAGCCAAAAGCGATGACCAAATGCATCCAAACAGCAAAAGAATGGACGATCTGGGAATCGAACCCAGGACCTACCGCATGCTAAGCGGTCATTATACCACTAAACCAATCGCCCAAGTGATGATCTAGCCCGGACTTGAACCGGAGACCTTCAGTGTGCCAGACACGAGAGATGGAGCTCTCGAACTGTTAGACTGACGTGATAACCAACTACACCACCAGACCATGTTTCTTGATGACTCAGCGGAAGAAAATGCAATATCTAAAGGGTTGACTCCATGTGTGGAGGGCATCGCGAAGCGAAAGGGCTTGTGGACGATTGCGTGGAGAGCAGCAACCCACAGTGACGAAGTGGGACATCCAAGATCTAGGCCCGTCCTTGCAGGTCTTGACAGGGCTCTATCCAAAGAACAACAAGACGGAGGTGGCTGGTACAAGTCCTCATTAAGGTAAGTGTAGGAAACGAAGTCTCAAAGACACAAACATTGAGATGAAATCGAAAACTTTTTTTCATTTTTGACATTGTCATGCTCCAACTCATTCCTCGCATTGCTTTTAACAAACATCCTTCTCAACCCCGCCAAACAGCCTCGATGATGACGAAGAAAGTCAAGGGATTCGCCTCGACGCGCTTGATCTCATACCGTTCATCAGCCTTCTTGAATAATTCCGTCCAGGCGTCGACGGGCCTCTCCTTTGCGCTGAACAGGCCCATCATTCTCAGATCCGTGGAAGTGCCCATCTGCTGGATAGATTTGGGCAGCGCCGCCGCCGCCGCAGCGTTCTCCTCGACGTCACCCTGCTTGCCCACGTAGTCGATGAAGAGGACCTTAGCGCCAGGGCGCAGTGCCGGCGTGAGACCCTGGAGGATCTTGATAGACTCCGCATCGGGCCAGTCGTGGAGGATCAGCTTGATCATGTACAAGTCGGCTTGCAGGGGCTGGGGCTCGAAGAAGCTGTGGGGTTGGAAGGTCACTCTGCCCTTGAGTTCCTCGGGGATATTCTGGTCGAAAGACGTTTGGCAGTTGGGCAGGTCCTGAACGGTAATCTTGAGGTTGGGGAAGTTCTTTGCTAGGACGAAGCTGTCGTGACCACCAGAACCGCCGAGCTGATAGAGGTTGTCAGTAAATGCTGTCGTGAAGTACCGGGACATTTGGCCGCCAGAGCCCAAAACACCAGATCACTCACATCGACGACGCTAAAGTCACCAGCGGCCTTCCAATCGTAGGCGCTGTTGACTAGTCCCTCTAAGCGGAAGATCTCCTTGATGTAATTCATCCACTTGACAAAGTTTCTCTGACGGAATCCCTTGTTCTCGCCTTCGCCGTCATTCTCCAGCAGCTCCCATGAATTGGTGTACCCGCCACAGAGCTCGCCAGAGTGATACAGCGCAAATGCCGTCTCGGTCATGTCCTCCCTCAGCTCCGTTCTATCGCGCTGGTACTTCTCCAAAGCGTAGGGAAGCACTCCCATAGCCGGGCCAGCGTCGTTCATGAGAGCCTCAACCAATGCTCGGAGGCCGGCGTTCTTCAGCAGCGCCGCTGAGCGCGAGGTGTGGCGCACACGCGTTGTGAAGGGTTTACCGGGATCAGTCTCCTCAAAGATGCGCAGGGTGAAGGCGTGGTCGAGGACGCGGTGGACAACTTCTTCGGGGAGGCGGACGTGCTTCGCGATGTCTGCGTACGAGGCATCGCCATCGATGGGCACGGCAGACCAGAAATCGAAGTGGTTGAGGCTATTCAGCGACGCGGCATCGGGAGACATCTATGCAGTGTTAGTCTCCAAAACCAAGGCGCTGAGAGGAATTTGAAAGTGGTGGAAGGGAAGCGAGCTTACGTTGTGGGTGTAGTTGAAGATGCTCTCGCTTGGTCCTGACACCAGGTATGACAAATCGTTGGCGGTGTCCAACAGCTTCTGACGAAGCAGAAAAGCTTCCGAGGTGAGACCATCATAGCTTGTGACACTGTCCGCGGCAAAAGTAGGCTGAGTGATCTTGTTCTCGGTCAAGAATTTGGTGAACTCGGCCGAGAGCTCGCTAATCTTGGCGGCGAGGTCGTTGATTGTCGGCTGTGGCGCTGCCATTTTGGAAGTCAAAAAAGAACTAAAAGGGGTATCTATGAAAGCAGATGCAGACATTTCCGAATGGTGTGAAGAGACGTCATGGTCATGGAGGGGTTCGAGGGGAATCTGTTTCTTTTATTTACTCAAACCGGTCCCCTCATCCCACGCATGCCGGGGGGCAGAGCCAGATCTAGCCAAGGAACCTGTACCTCTCTTCATCGACTTCTCCTGCGCGTCAGGGTTCATGACGCGGGACAATGGCTGCTATTCTGTCCTGTTTCCGTTCCATCTTCGCTCGTTAGGTAATTAAGCGGAGTGTATGCAGCAATGCCACGGCCAAACACGCTCGCCGTCGCGATGGAGGGGCAGCTATGTGACGGAAAATGCGACGCACACTGCAGATCTGATTAGATTATCTTATCCATCTGAATAATAATCATTCAATGGCGATGAAGGGTTACCCCTCTTCGCCAAGCCGCCAAGGGGCTAGAGCAGAGGAAGAGTTCTGTCAGATTTAGAGGGCTATACGAGCACAAGGCCGTCGCAGAGCATCGCGAGAGGTTCTTTTCGGCAGCCATTCCGTTAGAGGGATCCATTCTTGCCCCGCGGTCCCCTCTATTTATGCTCCATGCGGCTTGAATGTCACCTCTAAACTTACCACCGTCTGTTTTGGTTATCCATTCGTTCCGTTGTGCCATGGGGGACATTGGGGATCAACGTGGCTTTTGCAAGAGCCCCAGCCTGTATTCGACAACCTGCCCGCCCCATTCCCCCTCCGCGAGCTATGCCACCTGTCGATAGCTTGCGATAGGCTGGGATTGAGGTATTTTCTGCAAGGTTTTCGCCGCAAATTGCTGCTGCATCATGTGCGATGATGTAGGCATGGGACGGCCGGAAACGGCCGTCTGCTGTATTCATCAGCCTCTGAGCTGTCTGTCGGGTCTCCAGGCCCAAAAGTAAAGTTTAGGGGTGCACTGCTAGAATTTAGACTTCAATCCTTGAGCTGAACCATTACGCTGGGAGTCGGTCATTGGGATCCATCATTTAGGCGCGTCCAAGTTCCTGGAACGGATTGCAGGTGAACGGAGAGTGGTCGGTTCGGATGTTTCTACATGGGGTCATGATTCGGTCCAGTGATGATTCGGTTCAAGGTCGACCACAGTCAGTCTTGGGGTCCCTCGCATTCGCTGGTTAGAGTTTGTGTAGCTTGGCGCATCTTGAACTTGGAAGCTTGTTGCAAACTCACCGCTGGACCACACTCTCGAAGGGACTACTCTGTACTTCACAAGCATGAGTTGGGTGAACGTGTGCGACTCTTAGGTGACAGGTATTGTGTGATTCCTCAATCCCTCCGCCCAAGTCGACTTTGTGGTGGTAAGGTATTCAGGACTGGCTCCGCAGATGAGCCCACACAAAAGTTCGATACGCGGATTCCTGCACCGCAAAGTGGCAACACTACCTATTGTGCTCTTGGATTCGGCTTGCGGATGGATCATTAGCGGGGTCTACCAACTACAGAAGACAGACTGTGTTCATTTTAGGATTGTTCCCGCAGCTGTCCCACATGTAACTCTCCACGGTGTACTGACTACTGTCCAGTGATGTACCCATCTCTCCTCATTGTATCGGATAAATATCCGTTTACCAGTTAGATTTATCGAAGCCGTTAGGTGACCCTTCTTCTTCTCAAGCCCATCCCTGTCTCGAAATTTCTACTACCATCTAATCCACTTGAAGCTGTACGTACGCATCCCCGCTGAGTGGAACTTGGGACATTTTAAACGTCAGGCCTCAGCCAATTTGGGCCGGACTTGCCGCTCTACATAGTAGATTTGATCTGTATTGGCTACGTTACGAACCAAGTCAGGGGTCAAGCTATCTACCCTATCGGACTGTTACCACGACATACCTCAGTCTTCACCATCCCATGAGCATCAAACTTGCATGTGGAGCATCATGGCCCCGCCTCACCAGGTCGCAATTGCAATCTTCAGGTCACGATGAATTGATTGAATTACAGCGGGAGCCAGTCCGTGATTCAAATGACCGGCAAGATTGTTCATCTCCATTGGAATCTGCAAGAAACATCAATCTATATGGCAAGAAGAGGCGAACTGACAAGCCGTTGCAGAATTGAAGCCAAGGCCGATTGATTCGAGACCTCGCCAACGAGGCAGTCTTGACGGCTTTTTTCTTCCTGTCACAGGCATCGAAAAGAATTGTACCCCGCGATTGGGTGCCCAAGTCTTTCTTTTTGGAATATCAAGAAGCCACGGAGCAAATGCCAGAGGCAGACAGTCTTCGCGCTGGGGTGGCATTATTCCCGCTATTGCGGGGAGTTACCCAAGATGAATACGGTCCCGTTGTATCCAGGCACGGAGGTGACTCGAAGGTGCCGAAACTGTCCTGTTGCCAAGTAGCAATGTCGATTTGATGTAAGAGGAGGCATGAGGCCAGATTTTCATGCTCCCGACTTCGAGGTCTAAAGCAAACAACAGCCAAGTATCCGACATGATCACAAAGGCCGTGTTGCGATTGTGCAGCAGCAGATACTCTGTCCCAGTCTGCTGCGAAAAGTTATTGATTGGAAACTGGATCAGGATTGCTAAGACTCTCTCTATCCAACTCCCCGGCGAAAGAGAGATGTTTTCCCCCGCCGTAGGTTTGAAAACAAGGCTTAGAAGGCTCCCTTTGGGGAATTGCTAACCCAATCACCAGAAGTGGGCCTCGATATAAAGATAACTTCAGTGCATATTACTCATATAGTCTGTCTTGGTGCTACTTGTTGACGTAGGAGTGTGGAAGAAATGTGGTTCCATGCAATTTCCCCTCTGCACTATCACAATTCCCTTCTAGATCTTTTCTGGCCTTATAGGGTCACAAACATATTCAGCATATTGTCAACAAATGTTACCTTGAAGACCTATAACGCCTGCTTTCTTAGCTAGCCAGAACAATAGTTCTTGACCAGCACAAGGTCTTCGAATGCCCTTCGGATACTACTTACTACTTACTACTTGACAACTTCTGAATTCTATTTCCGAAACTAGGGACCCCATAGCAACAGCCGCTTGTGCAAAACTGACTCCGTCGGGTATAGGCAGGGTTTTCGATCCGTAGAGCAAATAATACTTGGCGAAACCGCCGCACATGTCGATATCGAGGCTTTTAACGACATTGCCAATTTCTACCAGGTGTTTTGTGGTGATTACGGACACAAATAAGTCATGGGAGGCGGTGTGGCTCAAACTTAGGCATGGAACTACCCTCACCGAGGTCCACAACTTGATCCTGGCTGGGACCCAGCCAGGTGTTGGAAAAGGAGTCATGCTGCCCCCTCAAGAGGTGCTTGAGTGCCGGAGCGTCCAACGACGAGCCGCTCACTATGGAGGGCATGGTCTATCTTTTCCACTTTCCGTCGGATTCGAGCCTGGCACTTGACGAAGCGTGATTGAAGCGAATCCATGAGTGGGAAGTTGACGGCGAGATCGCAGGGAACATTTGATCGGATCCGGGCAATGGCTCAGCTGAACGCAATCTTTTCATTCACCGTCAACACGGATAACTTTGAGCGCCTGGAGAGTATCAATGCTCTAACCTTGGTGACAAATGGCCATACTGACATCATATCACCAACCTCCAACATCTTTACTCTTCAACAAAACTTATCAGATGCTCAACTTGCTTATTTACCCAGATCCTTATCGCGGCCATCTCTTCCAGTGCCCAGAGCTATACACGGACCACCTTAACCTGTTCCGTGGCAATAAAGAGTAATCCTTCTCTGACAGCTTAGTTACCACAATCGAAGAACTTTGAAATAGCCTTAGACCACGGCGACATGAAATCTTGGACTTTTACCTCGCTTGAGTGAAATCTAATTTTATACAAGTGTTCCAAGCTATCAGGGATCCATCCAGGTGCAGTGTATAGAAATTTTACCGCCTCAAAAACAGCAATACACCTTGACTGACATTGATGGCCTCTATCAAGGTAGGCAACCAATTCATTTTCTCCAGACCCACGAATCTTTTTCTACTCTGTCTCCGAAGTTAACACGATGCTACCACGGAACAGTCTTGGACCTTTGCAAACCCCAACTTTGATTTAACTGACAAAGAAATCTGAACCTTCAATCATATATGTATAGAACACTATCCTCATGCTCAACTGTGGTCCAGCTCCCAAACCACTACCAGCTACAATTTCGATCACAATTAATCGTCGCATACTTCTTCTACAACTCAAACTTATACAGCAAACGGAGTCAAATCTCTTCTCAGCCCATCAAGATGCATCTTTCGGCTTTCATCCCGTTTCTTGCTGCCGCTTTGATCACTCCTGGCATGGCGCTCCCAACCCAGATCAATGGCACTTTCCCAGCACCAACGAACCAAACGTTTCCGGCTGCGATGAATGCAAATTCTTCAGCAGACAGCAGTAGCCAGGATATGACAGTCACAACGACAATGTGCATACACGTGAGTCAACCTATCACTGGGACGTCAATTTCTCCATTCTGACCTGATGAAAGGCGAGCCTGAGGGGGCTCTGCCCTGCCCTCTGCCTACCAGTAATTGTGCTAGGCGAACACCAGCACCAGGATTGCTTGACTGGATGCTACTGCCGCTGGAACCTGCCGAATCCCCCACCGAAGTAAAGAGGCTTTGCAAAATATCGACAATCAAGGCAGAGATTGGGCTGGCAAAAGCCGTCGTTGCCGAGGATACCTCACCAGGGATCGCTGCCAGGCGAACCAACTCAACTTATAGCCAAGGCTATCCTGGCCAAATGGCGACCTCCACATCACGTTACTAGTTAAGAATTTTGTTTCATAGGAGCTCTCGTAGTCTCACATCCCTAATACCAGTTCAACACACATGCACTTCCTGTCTTATTTGCCCTTGGCAATGAACACCCGACATCTGACCCCAAAGGACTTCTAACTCCATCGATGCCGTGAAATTACTTGTTGATGGTGCAGTTGGTATCTACAACAGGTTCAAACTTGAGTTAGAAGCTCATCATCTACGGCGTTTAGCTATCCAAACCCCCAAAAACTTTGACACGAAATGATGATGGATGTGGAATTGCTGAAGCAATAGGCAAAGTTTTAATGCATTGTAGAACACATCATACATCACTACATCCAGATCACACCGTCGGATATATCTCGCGACAAAAAGATGAATCTGGTCACCGACGATGCTTCGTAGACTCAACAGGATTCGTGATCCGATTTCCCTTCGCCATTTGCTGTAACAAAGCAGAAATTTGAGTTGGCTTTGGACCTAGCTCTGGGCTATCTTCATGAATGCTTGCATTGCAATGATCTAGACCATTTCACGGCCCAGAATTTAGTAGACCTCCTCCTGCTCATCATCGTTGGTAAGCTGGACGTTGGGGTTGATCTCTCTCTTGTAAATCTCCTCCTGCTCATCGTCGTTGGTAAGCTGGACATTGGGGTTGATTTCCCTCTTGTAAACCTCCTCCTGCTCGTCATCGTTGGTAAGTTGGACGTTGGGGTTGATGTCTCTCTTGGAAACCTCCTCCTGCTCATCGTCGTTTGTCAACTGAACGTTGGGGTTGATGTCCCTCTTGTAAACTTCTTCTTGCTCGTCATCGTTGGTGAGCTGAACATTGGGGTTGATTTCGCGCTTGGAGACTTCCTCCTGCTCGTCGTCATTTGTGAGCTGGACATTAGGGTTGATGTCTCGGCCCAGGAGGCCCTTGGCGGCCTCAGCATCCTCGGGGTTCTCAGCAGCGAGAGCCTGGATGGCGGCGTTGAGGTCTTCCTGGCGGGCAGCAAGGGTATCGAGAGGTGCGGCCATGACGGCGGCGACCAAGGCAGTGAGAGCGATGGTGAAGCGCATTTTGGCAGTGCGGGCTTGAGTGAATGATTAAAGTTTGACGTTGAGTTGGAGAGCACAGCTCGCAAGTGAAGAAAGAGAATCAGGGAGTGGACCGGCACGAAAGTAGGACACTGAAGGTGGATGGTTCGTCAAGAGGTGGGCAGAAGGGTGGACGATTACGGGTATTTGAACACTTTGCATCCCAATAGGGCGGAAATCTCGGATCGCCACATTCTCGACCAGCAAGCTTAGAGACTCCCGAGACGCACCGCTGCCACAGAGCCAGTGTAGTGGATATCGAATGGCATCCCGCTGACGTTTCTTGGCAACGCGCACTCTATTTCCATCTTCGAAACGAGCCTTTCGTCTCGCCTTGGCGAACGGTATGGGCATATGCTTGCTTCTGCTTGATAGTATTGTCCTGATGTACACTGCGAAAGCGTTTCGAGTATCAGGCGAATCGCATTTCATACTTCCTCTGGGGAGGCCTCGAACAGGGGTAGAGGTTCGTCAGCTAGGTGGGTGGGATTCGTGGCCTAGTTTGTTTAAGCTGATCAAACCTGGCCAGTGGGATGGGCACGATGAGGGTCTCCCCCGCGCGGAAAGACTGCGGGTTGGACGAATAGACATCAGGTGAAGCGATACTTTGTCGGGAGCCTGAGATTCCGTGCTCAGAGCCTCATTTATTGCATTCCATGCGGCACGAGTGCTCAGACGACGAACAGATGAGAGAGGGCTGGTTCCCACCTGAGTCATTCTAGTCTCACCCAGCCAGACGGCCTGACGAGCCGGTCTCCAGAGCCACGTTTAGGTCGTCAGCGGTAGACGACTTTTCGTTACAATGTCGTGGACCCCGTAGATAAATTAGCAAAACTTGACTGTTTGGTACCATCACCATCGACAGGAGTTGCAACTGGGGTTCTGTCGATCCTGAAGACCTCCCGAGACGGCCCCATGCCGGAGACTTTTGCCGCCATCCCGCTCTTGCGTTTCGTTTTGCGTCTGGGGCTGTCCCAGAATTGTCCCAGCGGCGGCGTGACCGTGCACTACCCAAGGTTCCTATAGCCGCACGCACACTTGGCGGTCTTTTTCATTCTACTAAGCAAGTTGGGATGCTATGCATATCTTATAGCGTTATTCTGCTCGAGTTGGTTATCCAAGAGACTCGCAGTCCATCGGCGGTCACGAATTACCGACCGTTCGATGGGCCTAACTGACCATCCTGGGGCTATCGTCGACACCGCGAGTGCAGTTGCTTGTTCGTTTCTCCGAAATTAGCAACTTGCCAGAGCCGGGGGTTCCATACCCAGTACCACCTTGACACTTGGGCTTTCTTGGGGCAAAGTCATTTCTATGGTGAGGCAAGTCTGAAGTGCAGCCCCAGAGAGCACGGGTGTGAAGTCTCGCCTCACCTTTTGGGCGTAACATGGAGCAGCTTACGCCCTCGTAACGGCCAGCGAATCAACTGATCGGGACCGCCGCGGATGTATGATCAGCGTAAGATCATAGGTTAAAATTGAAAAAACGGGAGACTTTCAGTTTGCCAAGCAATCTTAATTTTGTCCCGTCGGATCCTCAGCTCTATACCGCCGACCGGCCAACCAACATACACGGTTCATACTACCCATAATCATCAAATGTCCTTTGACTTGGTTGCCAAGCGATAGTCCATGCCTACCGTCACACTTCCAAACCAGAGCGCCAGCTTGTCCACAATAAGGTTCTTCCTTCCATACCAAGGTCCTTGGTTAGTCACCACCGGCATCCGGCCATGCGCACGGGTGAAGTAGTTGGATGTGGCATCTACACAAGGCAACCTGGGCGAGTTCTTCTTCTCCTCGTCCGACAAGACGGGGGTGGCAGCGACGGCACCGGTCCTTTGCATCTGCTTGATGACACGGATGCAAAGCCGGGTCACGGTGTCGGCGCCAGGAGTCCAGGTTTGCGTGACGTAGCCGATGATTGCCGCTGCGTTCGGCACACCGTCGAGCATGCATCCGCGCCAGGTGTACTTCTCTCCCACTTTGACGGGAACGCCGTCGACTGTCACATCCGTCCCTCCGAAAAGCTGCACGTGCAGGCCGGTCGCCGTGACGATGATATCGGCAGGGAGGTGGCGGCCTGATTTGGTGAGAATGCCGTCCTTTTGGACAGACTCGATATGATCCGTGACAATCTCCGTGTTCGGTCGGTGCAGTGTCTCGAAAACATCACCATCTGGGCACATATTGAGGCGCTGCTCGAAGGGGTTGTACTTGGGCTTGAAGTGGATGTCTACAGGATAATCCTTCGGAAGCCGGCGCTTGGCATCGAACCTGAGGACCTGCTTGGCCAAGTTGGGGAACCCCAGGACGATCTGGATGAAGACTGTCTCCAGCAGGAGGTCCTTGAGCAGGATGAACCAGTTCGCCAGGACCAGCGGCAGGAATCGTTTAGCTGCCTTGTCTACCGGTGATTCTGCGCCCAACGCCAAGACATACGATGGACTGCGCTGCAGAATTGTGGTGGAGCCAGCCGTTTTGGCGATGCTGGGGAACAAGGTCATGGTGGTGGCACCGGAGCCGATGATGATGACGCGTTTCCCAGCGTAGTCGAGATCTTCGGGCCACCACTGAGGGTGAATCGTCTTCCCCTCAAACGTCTCGATTCCGGGGATATGTGTCTCCAGGGCCTTCTCATACGAGTAGTACCCGGAGCACATGAAGAGAAACTTTGCTTTGATCTTCTTTTTCCCTTCCGGAGTGCGGCATTCCAAAGTCCATCGTGCCTCATCGCTGTCCCAATTTGATGACAAGACTTTGTGCTGGAACCGGATGTGCTTGTCGATGTGATGCGTCTTGACAGCATCTTCAATGTAGGCGGCAATGGGTGCTCCTTCAATAATCTTCTTGTCGTGGGGCCATGGATGCCACCCAAAGCCAAAGTTGGTCATGTTCGAGTCGGATCGGAATCCAGGGTACTTCCAATAAGACCACGTCCCACCGACGACGTCACGGGCTTCGAGCACCGCGAAGGAGCTATCGGGCAGCTCCGTCCGCACGCGGTACGCGGCGTTGACGCCGGAGATGCCTGCGCCAAGAATGAGAATGTCGAGCTCCTCAGTCATTGTGTTTGTCTGTTTTCCTGCTGTCCAGTCCGTGAGAGAGGCTCCTATGGCATCGAAATGTGATGGCAGCAAAGGTCCCGAGGATAGAAGTGCGTGCGATGAGAGATTTTTTGTTGAGGCAAAGTGTATGCCGAGGCTCTTCTGGCGGGACGTGCACGCGTCCATCTCGTGCCAGGTGGAGGATGCCATCAAATGCAGGGGGCTCGCATGTCTTAAAGTCTCCTAGACTCCTCGATCCAGCCTCTCTTTGGCTGCTCCGTCCCTCCACTAACACGCGAATGCGAACGACAATGTCAGTTAGAACGTGTTCCTCGGCATATTTGATGCTGCGATAACGCTTCTATGCGTCTATTGGCCTGTTGATTCGATGACGACTTCTCGAAAGCTCCATCATTCGACATTATGCTGTCGGCTACAAGCCATCACCTAAAGTTTGTACTATCGCCCGAACTCAGCCAACCTCTTACTTCGCTGAATTGGCAGCAACCTTCTGATTTGCATTCGTTCCTCCGTAGAGGGCAAAATTTTGATTCATCAACACCAACAATTGTACCACAGCGGATCACGGCTTCTCAGTTCAAATGTTCAAAGTTACACGCGTGTTCGGGCCTTACATGTGATTGCCAATGCAAACCGCCAGTGCGCGGGAATCAGACTTGACTATTGGCTTGTGTCAGTTCGTACTCTAGTGGTAGCATCTAAGCTTACAACTTATTCCATACATGTAGCCAAAGGCTCTATAGACTCCATATAGCTTCCTGATGCCGACCCTGCCGACCTTTATTTTGTGGGATGACTCACCATTTGGATCCACGTGGGAAACATCCAAGCAAGTTCACCGGCATAGTACAGTTCACCGTGCCTACGCCAAGATTTGTTGCGTCACTTGTTGTTTGTACATGTAGAGTTAATGTTTCACCTCGTATCCTGATATAAAAACTATGCTTCAAGACAGGCAGCAAGTTGACGATGGAGGCCTTTGAACATAGGGAAGCCAGTCAGCTGCTAGCTTTGTTTGTAGGATCTTCCTGTGTTGTCGACCTGATGATGATGAGCCAAGCCATTTGTGAAAGGGATTTTGGCACAACAATTAATGGAATGTTGCTTTCCTTGTCGAGACCTTTCTGTTTGAAGATTGAGTATGGTGATGTTTCACGAAAGTTTCTGCAATCCCTTGGCCCTTCGATTGAGGATGTATTGTTGATCTCGGGAAGTGTAGCCTCGCAAACATACTTACTTTAGCAATTGAGATTGAGATTCTTTCAAATTTCGATGAAATAACCATTGAAATACCGGTGTTTATTGATTATAATGGTTCACGTCCTGGCCTCATATGTGTTGCAGAAACTCGTTTGTCGACGATGGCTCGGAGACATCTTTCTGGCTGATCGCGCTATGGCCCTACAAATCGGAACAGGAGGTCCAAATCAATCAGCTCATCCCAAGAGACGACGAAGCTGATGAGACTGACAGCTCAGTTATTCAGCCCAGCTCATTACGGGAAAAAAGTCTTTACCGGTGCAATCTCAGGCAGTCAATGACGAGGAAATCATAGGAGCCATCTATACTTGGTGCTCACAATTGATCTCAACCAAGCTACCCAAGTGGAGTTACTAAAGAAGACCGCAGCTTGATGGAATGATTCAGGTTCAATCCGACTGATCACTCGCGCTAGAGTGTAGCCAAGGTAGAGGGGAAGAGGAAGTTTCAGCTCAAACTCATCAATATCCAGGTTCGTCTCATCAGATCACTTGTTATCCTGGCCGTAAGTCAGATCAAAGCTACACGACTGAATTGCTGGGGTGACCATTTGACATTTCACTCAAAGAGCCACCACCATCCGTGCTTATACCTGTCAGACCTCTTAGGTGTTAAAGATCGCCCTGTGTTCCTGCCCATGCGGCAGGTTGCTAAATCACTAGTGCGATCTCTCGCTGGTCTTAGATAGGTTCGATAGGTTCTCGAGCTCAATTCTTGGTGCTACAGTTCGAATAAGCCACAACTCCTAGTCGCTATGAGAGTTTCATTGAAGGAAAAGCCATTCGCGGAATACTGCCTATCTACGGGTCGACGGGCCGAGCCTTGAAGCCGTCATCGGCCGAGATACGAACTCTTGGAGACTGTCCTCGGCGCTATGGAGGCAATTCGGAGACTTGAGGCTCTGCGCTATTGGATCACGCCTTTTGGTAGTTCAGGAGACAATTCGGTCTTCCATAACCGGCCAAGCCATCGTCGGCCCCAACCTCGAAGACCCCATGCCTAACGCCGACGACTCGACCTTACATCAGCGGCCTCTACATAGTATCATGCTAGACCGCCATCGTCCGGGTCGCGGGGTTAGGCGTTATGTTGGCCGAGCAGGGTATAGCTCTTGGTTCTGGGTGACACAATTGACTTCAGAGTGAAACTTTGCGGGGTCTCGTCGGCGTCGGCGTCAAATCGGGTGGGGACCTGGTAGTCTGGGCGCCCTCATAATAGCAAAGAGGAGACATGCAATCGTGGAGATTAAGCGGCACGGGCAAGTTTATCCTAGTTGAGTGCTCGAATCAACCTTTGGCTGGCAGCATTCGGCATTGGAATGCGGGGAAGCCAGCGAATCAGGTAAGCCAGCGCGTGTGGAGTTGGTTCCTGTCCGGCGTCTTCGGGGATGGCTCGGGAACCGCTCAGCCAAGCTACCGGTCCAAATATCGGTAGATGAGAAGACCCGAAGGTTGAGCTGTTGATATAAAGGAATTCTTCGTCGTCTTTATACAGGGAGAGCAGTAGCTAATCAAATCCATCAAGGTTCTCTTTCCTCCATCAAGGTCCTCAGTCCACCCATCAACACGAATACCTGATTCAGCAACCAACACCAACATCTCTAATCCACCATGGCTCCTTCTCTCCACCCCCTGATCGACAACGGGCTCACCAAGGGAGACCCCAACTTCGCCGGCGGCAAGCTGCGTTGCCATTGCAAGAGCAACCCCGTGGAAGTCACACTTGGAGGCAACGTTGCCCACAACCACGCTTGCGGATGCTCAAAGTGCTGGAAGCCCGCCGGCGCCCTCTTCTCTGTCGTCGGTGTTATTTCAAGAGACCAAGTCAAGGTCACCGCCAACGAGGACAAGCTCCACATTGTCGACGAATCGGCAGTCATTCTCCGAAACGCTTGCAAGGACTGCGGGGTTCATCTGTACGGACGCATCGAAAAGTCTCACCCCTTCAAGGGTCTGGACTTTGTGCACGCGGAGCTCTCGGATCAGAAGGGATGGCAGGAGCCCCAATTTGCAGCCTTTGTTTCCTCCATCATTGAGCAGGGTTTCCATCCCAACGGCATCGACGAGGTCCGCAGCAAGTTCAAGTCGGTGGGATTGGAGACATACGACGCCCTGTCACCTCCCTTGATGGACCTCATCGCGACTTGGACGGCGCAGCAGGCCGGTCGGCTCCCGCTCAAGCTTTGAGGGGCACTTGGAGATTACAAGTTGTCCATGACATTTTCGTTCACTCAACTTTGGCACTTGGACTGCGCAAAAGCCGGAAATGCGTAGATTGGTTATCATGACAATATCAAAAATGTAAAACCACATAGTCGTATCATAGGGGGCCACAACCAATAAAATCTATCAGCTGCTACTACGCGTCATGAATGACGATCCCTGGCCATTTGTCAAACTCCAAAAAAAAAAGGTATCGAGAACAGTGAGCAACAACCTTTCTCGGAGTGATGTGTTCAATGATTCTACATAGGAAAGATACTTGTCAATCAAGGCTACGATACTGTCGACAGCTTTTCAAGTATTTTTTTCGTCGTACGTAAAGGAGTGATTCGCAAACCTGGTGCTAGTTGTTGGATTATACGAATAGCAACCTGCGTTGCAGTTTGACCTGATAAGAAAGTCTCCTACTGCTGCCACTGATGCGTCCCACAATCATTACAGCATATCGATCGGAGTGAGAACAAGTGCAGCTTGTAAGCGTTTGATTTCGAATGTCGCTGTTTACCCAAAAGCCTGGACATACCACCTGACCAAGCTGGCAATAAAGTACTCAATACAACCGATAATCCGATCATGATATGATACAGCTTAGAATTGAAGATGCTTGCCTTGTGTTAGATGCAGTGGGGTCTTCTTTGCATGGGAAACATCGCCGCTAAACTGGATTTGCAAGTAGACCAGTTTGATGAACCAGTAGTAATGAGGTCGCCTACCAGATGCGGCGTAGCGCAAACGGTCAGCTCGGTTTTAATCCCCTTGGTGAATGGACTGGATTCCATTTAATGAAGACTACTAGTACGGTTCTAGAGGAGAACGATAACGAGTAACTCCAAGAAAGACTCTTGGGTATATCATCATCTTAAGAGGGGATTAAAGAACGCCACCGGCGATATGCAGGAGAAGTTGATCCAGTCTATACTTGAGCGCAACCAGTTTGAGTACCGCAACATTGTCTATTTTATTACTGAGAGCGCTTATGGATTAGAAATGCGTGGCTAGTCTTTCTATTGCGTCAAAACAACCCTTTCACTGCATCGGAGCTTGGTATTATCGTAGCGTGGTAGTCTTTCGGCGACTTACATTCAGCTAGGATTTAGTAATGATGGTTATTGTGCAATGTCATAGTTCAATGACTCGAAACAATGATCTTTATACTACGGTCCATTAAGCAGCCTCTCCGCGTCGTGTTGTCATCCCCAATGAGTCAAGGTATGTTTGGCCATCGAACATACTCTTTTATCCCAACGCCACGGCTTGTTTTCACTGTGCTCCTTCCTTAGTTTTATTTCTGGTACCTCAGTCCCTTCCTTAGAACCCTTTCAACCTCCCAAGTATTTCAGCAGCCTACTTAGCCCTTTGTCAGAAATCTTACTCTTCCATACTTCTCACCCACCTCATCATTTCTCACTCACTTCGTCGCATCTCATTCACTTCATCGCTCCTTATCTACTTCGTCGTAACTGATTCACTTGGTGAGATCTTGCCCACTCCGTCGCAACTAGTTCACTCCTTCCTTCCTCTGACCCTTTTGAATTCTTTCAGATATATAAATATCTACACCTTCACTCTTATGCCACAACCTGCTTTTTTACTTAAACCTACTCACTTCATCGCTTTTGCCTAGACACGTTTTATTTCCTTGACAGGCCGTCGGATCATGCTTATTTCGTCGCATCTCACTCACTCCATTGTTTCTCGCCTCCTTCGTTAGAAATCACTCTTTCCTTCCCTTTCACCTTTGTCATTCCTTTCAGCTGCTCAACTTGTCACACCTTGAATATCTTGGTCAAGCTCACTTCTTTGTTGCAACCTCCTCACCTTCTCACCTTTTACCACCACAACTCACTAGGTGCCCTGTTCAATTTTATAATCTCGTCGGCTCCTGCCTATCTCGTCGTATCTCACTCGCCTCATCGAATTTAAACCATTTCGTTGGATTCCGCCTATTTCGTCGTATGTTCGTTCCATCGCTGATTCACTCCGTCCGCCGCTTTTTTCCAACTTTTGTTTGAAGCCCTATTACAATCACGCTTCAAAAAAAAAAACCCACGCAAAATATCTAGTTTAAACCAGGCGAGTCTCTTGTTCTTGAAAATCTTTCTGTTTCAACACATCACCGAGCTCCAAACGACCCAAGATGCCAGCTCAAAGCACCAACGCGTCCCTGGGCTCATTGCCAAATGAGCTCAAACGCATGATTGCGGGCTTCGTCCACACCAACGAGATTTCCAACTGCAGCAGCTCCTCGGTGGGCCAACTGTCGCTCGTCAATCGCTGCTTTCGGGCTCTGACCGTCGAGTTCGTGTTCGGAAGAATTGAGATACAGACGACAGAGGACCGCCTCCATCACCGCGTGAAGGCCATCGCCAAGAGAGAGGTGATCAAGAAAAACGTCAGGTAAGTCCATCCGCTCACCCTCTCATCTCATTATCTTCATCCGCATCATCGGAACTGAAAGAGCTTTTAATCCCGGCACTCAATCATCTCCACGACGTTGCTAACATTTCTGTTCTACAGGTTCTTGACCCTTACTGTTGATTCCTCCAAGCAGAGTGGATTCACACTCCCCCCTCAAGTCCCAGCTCAAATTGCTGCGGTTTGCAAACAGATGGTGAAGCTCGAAGAGATGATGCTAATGCTGTTGCTGCCTGGATCTGGCCCTACGTCGCTGGCTGGTCGCCTCCGCCATCAGCTCCGGTTCCAAAACGTCCGCCTTCCAAAGGTTAAGGCTCTCGTCATTTGCGCAGTTGTAACGTCTGTCACGTTCATTCCGGGCGTGTTCCCCAACCTCGAGACCTTGTCTCTGGACGTACACGTGGCGTTCGACCAGATACCCGAGCTGCTCGAAGTCGGCAACGCCCTAACGAACCTCACTACCTTGCGCGTCGCGAAGCAAGCTTGGTCAGAGGCTGACCTCCCACTCCTTGCCCGTGCTAGCCCGAAGATCAAGTACCTCCTTTTGGAGGGCGGACTCGACAACGTGGCTGTTTCAGTACGCCTTGAACTTCCCCTGCATAGACTTGATAGATTGCTCACTGTCTTTTTCTAGATCCTGGCTCCAAATTTTAGACGGTTCAAAGAGTTAAGCTGCTTGGTCTTGACCACGGAGCAAGATTGCGGAGTTCCAGATAGCGCTAGTCTTGACGACGAGGAGTGCGAAATGGCAAACATGTTCGAAGTTGAGAACCATCCGCTCAACGAGGAGCACGAAGATAATGCTCGAGGCCTGGCTCAAAACTGCCCGAAGCTGCTCGAAGTGACCTTGATCAGGCAATGGTATGCTCAGCGTTTTGGTGTCGAACTAAGATTCCCCAATATCACCAGGCCTGATGTGTACGTCATCTCGATCTATGGTCCGGATGACACCCAGCCCGAATACTGGAAAGCCGGTGTATGGCCGAGGACCACCAACCTGTGCTAGGTCACTGCGACAACTGAAATTGGCATGAACAACTTGCTCTAGTTCGAAGCGATGCTGGACCATAAGGACGTGAGGAGGGGAAAGAAGGTGTGATTCGGACATCGCAGTCCAATATACACTGCGTTACATCAGGTCATAATGAGACCTCTGAATGATAATAGCTTGGAGTGGAGGCAACGGGCAGGATTAAGTAATTATGGTTATCGAAGGAGAGACATTGAGTGTTGGTGGCTGTTTACTAGATGGCGTCAGGCGGGCACGCTCAAATGTAGACAGAGTCATTTAATCCAAAGCAGCTGGGGTCCTTCCAGTATGATTCCAATCTCATTGAGGTAATGCACAGTGGGATGGAGCAAGATCAGAATATGGGTGATAGGTATTTTCATTATATGCATTATCGTGCACTTGTCTAACTAGGAGTTTTGGCAGCTAGTCCTCAAGACCAACTGCCGGGGAATCATTCGACGCGGGAAATCATACAACCAATGAGGTTACACAAGCTCCTCCGCGGGAGGAAGCACAGCCATGAACAGTTCTGAGAGAAAATCTTAGACCTTCTCAGAAACGTGCGCCTGAGCGACCTCGTCCTCCTGGGTCGCTGCGGTGGGCTGGTTGGAACCAAGGAACTTGGTCTTCCTAAGCTGGTTGAGCTCGTCCTCCTCTTGGTCAAGGTGCTTGAAGCAGAACCAGAAGGCGACACCACCGAGGAAGGCAATGATGGCGACGGAGCCGTAGTTCCAGACCAGGAGGGGGTCCTCGGACAGAGGAGTCCAGGCCTGGCCGATGGCGGAGGACACGGCGCTCATGGCCAGGTTCACGGACATGACGAGGGACTTCATGTTCTCGGGGGCCTTGGAGAAGGCGTATTCGTACGAGGTGACGTTGAGGAAGATCTCGGCAAGACCGACGAAGACGTAGGGGAGACACTGAGCCCAGACGTTGATGGGAGCAGGGCCATCGTCGCAGATCGTGGCAAGGTCGCCGCAAGGGGACATCTGGTAGATGTAGTGCTGCATGACGGTGGCGGCAACCATGGCGGCGGCGGCGAAGAAGAAACCAGTAGTCATGCGCTTGATGGGAGTGAAGTTGAAACCAATCTTGCGGAAACCGGGGTAAACGACGTGATCAAGAATGGGGATCATGATGATGATGGAGAGGGGGTTCAGGTTCTGGATAACATCGTTGGGGGCTCCGCCAAGGACCATGGAACCGGCCTGGGAGGTCAAGTTGTTGGTCATTTGGTTGTAGGCGAGGAAGAAGATGGGCAGGAAGAGGAAGACCTTGCAGGCCTTGAGACCACGGCGGACTTCGTCAACCCAGGCATCGTCGTAGGTCAACCAGCCAGGGCGCTCGGCAACGGGAATATTGCTGGGCTTCGCGTTCTCCCAGTTCAACTTGGTGATGCCACCAGAGCGCTTCGCAGCAAAGTTGGACATGCGGAAGAACTTCTCGAGAACGGAACCGGTGGGGGGAGTGAGGTGGTACTTCTTCCTGTTGGACCAGAGGACAACGGGGCAAATCAAGAAAAGGATGGTGGGCAGGAGGAAGGCCAACCAGAAGCTGTGGTATTTCTCGACAAAGACCATGGAGATCTGACCGCTGACGGCACCGCAGTTGATGGCGAAGTAGAACCACAAGAAGATGCGGGTGTTGGTGACGGAAGGGTCGACAATGACGCGCTCGCCCTTGCGAGTCTCAACTCGCATGCGGACGTCCTTGTTCTGCTCAGCGAGCAGGGGAGAAATGTTGGCCTTGAACAGACCAGTGCCGCAGCAAAGAATGAAGAGACCGATGAAGAAGGGGGCGAAGGCGACCTTGCCCTTGGAAAGGACGGAGGGAGCAGCGGCGATAGTCAGGATAACGTGGGCGATGGTCGAGACGCCGATGGCGATGTGAATGACCTTGTAACGACCCAACTTGGAGTCGGCCAACCAACCACTGGATAACTAGTCAGTCTCTGTTCTCAGTGAAGATTCCATCAGATGCAACATACCCGAAAAGGGGAACGAGGTAGGCCCAGAACTGGTTCACCAAGGACACACCCTGGGAGGCTCTCTGGCCCATGCCCAAAGCACCGGCGGGAATATCAGCACCGTAAGTGGCACCGGTCCTCGAACCCGGAGGAAGAGGGCGCATGACGAAGTTGGTATACAAGACGGAGGAACCGTAGTACGAGAAACGCTCGCAAAGCTCAGCGAAGGCGATGGTGTAGATACCCCAGTGAATGGGACCCGACACACGGCGAAGCGTTTTGAGCTCCTCCTCGGTAGGCTTATCCTCGTAGTCATCGTCAGACTTGGAGTCGTAGTAGTTGTCTTCGAGGGGAGGGGCGGCGGCGGCGGTCACATCGAATGAGCCGCGAGTCTCCTTCGAGGTGCCCTGCACAATGGCCTGGGGAACATGCGCCTTGGCCAGGACATCGTCCTGTAGGCCTCCGGCGTTACTCATGGCTTGGGTTGGAGGAAAGCTTCCTGCGCGTGAGCGGGGTGAAGACCAGAGATTTGGTACAAGAGGCTCCGCGTGTGTATAACGAAAGACACGAGTTAACGAGTCTTTGACAGCAAATTGACAGTTGGGTCGAACGAAGACCTGAGCTGTTGGCCGTGGATGAAAGGCTGCTGATCGCGAGAGGGAAGGGGATAGGAGGATGTCGAGCGAGGGAGCGTCTCATGGAAGATGATTTATATTTCCCGGCCACGACACTGGGAGGTCGCATCACAGCTGCATTCGGCAACGAGTAGGTATCCGCAGATACACAGACATGGACGGGATACTCTAATGCCTGAAGGTGGGGGGACAAGGACGGGGGGTGGATTACATGGACATGGACTCATGTCTAGCAGGGAAACAAGACAGTGGTGGCATGGGTTGGCATGGGACGGGCCAATCGTGGAGGAGGTAAGGTTTGCTTCGATGTCAACAAGGTTCCTGGGTCCAGGGTTCGTGCGTGGGCGTCGACGGAGCCGTCGAGGAGGGAGGGGACCGTCCATCTTGCCCAGAACCGTCGCCACGGGACAGGACGCGAGAGAATACCATACTGTGAACACGCTACCTCTTCCTCTACTCGGTTGGCGCTGTAAAGAATCGATCGGTACGGAGTACCACACCACGTTGATGGTGCTGTCGGGGACAACGAGGTCGAGGTCAGGCCTTTGGGACGGATAAGGTGACGGTGCAGGGGGGTCAGAGTCGGAGACAGGCGGCCAGCGCGCGCAAGACTTTGCAGGTCGCAGGGGACAGTTGAAGGGATCTTTGGCAACAGAACGATCCCACAGGTGAGAGTCCACGCCCGAGACCAGGCTGGACCGAGACAGATACCAGTATCCGTGGTGGGCAGCTCCAACGAGAGGGAGACAATGGGCCCTGATGGATGGGATGGACCGTGATGGGCTCCAGGACGAATGGCCCGATTAGGCAGGTCGAGGATCGGAGGGCAGCAGATAGGCGGCGGCGTAACTGGTGTCGGTCTGGGGTTAACACCAGACAGAACTGGTAGCACTTGAGAGTAGGAATCCGTATAGGTTCGATACACACTCCTAGGCGGGCATCTGATTCGCGGTTCGTGAAACCCGGGCAAACAGCTGAACTCGGCCGGCTATCCAACGCCCTACGTACTGTCTGATATCAGCAGGTTGCAGAAATCTGCCTGCCAGACTCGGGAAAAGTCAGCCAGCAAGTGGTAAGAGCTTGAGCCCTTGACGGTGAAATGCGACAGCCAAGGGGCTCGGCGGTAACGTTGATCGACCTTGGCATATCCGCCACCCCTTTCCATCGAGCACTGTCATTGGCGCGTTTCCCGGACCCGACTTCTCTATCAGTGCTGGCACGGAAAAAGCTCGTTGGTGTGGTGGTGTAACATGGATAACCAGACGTGTGCTTTTTGGCGTACAATGTACACTCGGCTCACAGGAAAGCCCCCAGCCTGAGGCCGCAGACGCTACAGCTGCGACTTGGCTTCTGGCGCGGCTTCGAGAACAAGTTGGTCCTGGTACCTACCCGTCCTGCACGATGGACGGGAAGGGCGAGCAAAGGGGTAGGTAGTGTAGTGATAGCCGAGTGCCACGCCGAGGTCTTGATTCATTGATGCGCCACAAGAAGGATTGCCGTTGATTAGGGGCCTTTTTCAGTATGCGACCTATCGCATTGTGAGTCCTGCTGCGTCCAGTCGCTGCCAACGGATCACTGTTAGTCGATTGATGAAGTTTGGTGGATGCCGATGATGCGAAGGCGCGTCTCAAATCATTGCCCCGTCCATGATATGCTCGTCCATGATATGCTCTGCCAAGACTCGTTGACGACGCGGGAAAGGGAAGGTGATGTTGCTGCTGAGGCCACCGCGGTGTTTGAATATGCGTGGACGGCCTTGGCTGGAAAGGGGGTGAATGGACAAATGAGTTTGCAAACGAGGGCAAAGGCCGAGGATTGCCGCAGGTGCACATCATGATTCTTCAGTGAGATCCTGTCCGTCAAAACTGACTTTGCGGTTTCTCTCTCATCTCCTCTCACTCTTCTTCCCCTCCAGGCAAAGCCGCGTCGTACGGATACTCTCCGTACCTTACGTACGCGTTCCTAGCTGGTTGCTGACAGATGGAGCGCATAGAAGATTTCGGTCAGACACTTTAGTTGCAGCTCTCTGCCGTGCCACTAGCCCCCCCCGGCAACCTTCCCAAACGATAAGAGCCGTCGCAGTGGCCATAAGCTTAATGTCGCGATACCCACGTCCTCCCCTGTTTGGTTGGTTCCGGAGCGAGGCTATACCCAGTTCAGCCAAAGACCCCGGGGGATTTTTGTCTGCAGTTCTTGGAACGGCCCCATCCCAAGGTCCTTTTGGATGATGGATCAGCTTCTGGCTCTTGAGATGGACCAGTGGGACGGGGGATTCGTATCAGGCTGCCTACGATCCACTGGATACCGCCGAAATTGTGCAAACTTGCTGGTTGGGAACTTGGGGGAAATATTGGAGCGGAAGCCCGCCCAGACACCCCAATGCCCCGAAGGCTTTTCTCCTAGCCAACGGGTGCTACTATGTAGACTCATGGGCAGCGGGTTCTTGCTCCAGAGTTTAGAGATGATACTTGACATGTGCCCGCAATGTTATGGGGTTCGACGGACCAAAACGACAGGTGGTATCCGTACTCCCACACAGTCCTATCTCAACCGCCCAGACAACGGGCAATGAAATATATGGTCTTGGCTTCATGTCCTAGCGGTTTGGTCTCTTCAAAAGTACCCCCTTCTCCCTCGTTTTCGTCCAGAGCCAAGACTCGGTGGCCAACATGCTCCAAGCTTCGCCTCATTGCTTGTGTCCTTGGCTTTGGTTGACAGTGTTTGCCAATAGCGCCGCCGAGGCTTCTCTTCAAAAGTTCGCCTTGACGAAAACCCGCAACATCAAAGCCCGCATGCAGCACAAGTAGGTGGTGGTCGCGGTGTCGCGTGCCAACGTTCTACACTTCACGGGGGTGACCGCTGCACAGACCAGACAGACCAGACAGACCAGACAAACCAGACAGACTCCGATACGACGAGCGACAGCAGGCCGGCCTGCCCCAGATGGTGTGCCACTGTGGGTTGCCAGATTGTCAGACTGTCAATGGCCTGAGCAGAGATGGGAGCATCACTCTCAGCATGTGCGACGCGGGATGTTGCATGCAATCAGCACGGCAGTCCTACGAACCATCCCTCTCATCGATCCTTCAGGCTTTAGCGAACCGACGAATGACCTGACACCCGATAAGAGGAAAAACGAATGGAAGCATACCTGAGTTGCCTAGATCTTTTCGGCAAGTGCACAAGAGGGAGTGCGAGCTGCGATAGCGGCGTTGTTGATGAGGAATCCGCAAGCGATCTGAATCGTTGACTTCACTTTTCTCAGCCGCTGGAACCAATACGTTGCCTGTTGAGTCCAAGGGGGGTATAAAGTCCGTGAGTCGCTCATACCGGACACCGACAATGAACGCAATTCAGTCGTATCGTGTTCGCGAGGCAATCATCTACATTTCTCTTGTGCTCAGGGGCCAGTCACTCCAGCCCCAAAGCTCGCTGAACTGGCCACTTCATCAAGTCGTCGCCGTCGATTCCAGAAATCAAGTGTCGCGAAGGAACATCAAAATCCCAGATTAATTATAAGCCACACAAAAGCAGAAGGTGTGGGAGCCGTATCCTTCATTGGGGCGAACGCCTGCACGGGGATGGAGCCGTTAGTGACGGGTGGGAGGATGTAAGGATGAGTCCACTTGTTAGCACGACGCAGGTGGCGTCCGGGGGGGCTCGGGCGACGCCAGAGGGCCCTGGAAACTCTCCCTGTGCCCCCCGAGCGCCAGTTCTCACAACGTGTGAGCCATGTCCCTTCGTGGTAAGACGCGAGGGCGGCGAGGTTAATCAGGACGTCTGTTTCTGTCGCCGCACAGCTTGCCCAGCAAATGCCCAGTCTCGCCGAGCTTCTAGCTACAAGGCTTGAAGGCTAGCAGAGGCTTACGGCGGCAAATGCTTGACAATGCTTGACAATGCTTGATGGCCTTGGTTGAGGGCATTGTCTTGCCCCGAGTCAAGGCGATGCCGCGACGGGATGGGCGCGCTGGCACAGCGGCCTCCAAGAACAGACGGCAGCGCCGAGAGCAGAGCCGAGAGACACAGAGAGAACGGCCCAGAGGGCTGGCAAAGCTTGTTGTCGACATCACGTTACATACGTTCGAGCGACCAGCGAAGAGAGCGGCGACTGAAACCCTACGCTAAATGTCCCTCGCAGTCCAGGGTCAATCTTGATTCATCAGTCTCGATGGTGACATTGATAGTCGACCGTGAGTATACCATGACATTTGACACTTTTACAGTATAGAAGTTGTTAAATCTACAATTCATCAGAAGGGAGGCAAATCGCACCATGAGCTGCACCATTTAATACAGAATCAGGTGAGAGGACGCAGTACCTGGCCACCCGCGAGCCAACCTACCAGAGAAACATCATTTGTCGGTTGGGTTGGACCGACTTGGCAGCGGCCAACCGATCAACCGACTTGGGGCTTGCCGATGAATGCTTTTGGTTGCTTGGCGAGGAACTTCTGAACTGTTCATCCGACCTCTGTTGGAGTGCCCGGCGTTCGCCATCCTCCTAAAGCTCCTGCTGAAGCTGTCAAATTCTGTTAGCAAATATTTTCCTCTGGCGGGACGCTAAGCGATGGCGTCATTCGCAATGGTCCGAGAAAGAACGTGAAGAGGTCCTTTCTTCAGACTTCAATCCACGTCCCCAGAACGGAGCGGTCAGGGACTCAGGGACTCAGGGTTAGCAACCTTGTACGCGCCGACGCGCCGTCGTTGAGGCAAACATCAACTCCACAAACCTCTAAGCAATCTCCACTACATCTCCAGGTTGGCCCTCATGGGTAGCCCATGACTAGTGAGCGCGATGGAGAGTCTCCAGAGGGCACCGAGTGGTCTGGCCACCACCCGGGAGAGATTGGGGGCCAGGAACGTACATTACAGGTGAGGGAGTACGTAAGCACGCCTGATTGTGAGATAGCAGGCTGTCTTACCAAAAGATTATTACTAGACTTGATTAGATAATTCGCTCGTCGTGAAATCCTGGCCTGACTATCGATGCATCTGGGCGCGCCGAATCAAACAGGCATGAGTCTTGAAACCTGCCGTCAGAAGAAGAAGCACTCGCGGCGCGTCGAGAGAAAGACTGCCGGGCATTGTGGAGAGAGGTAATGGATGTTCAGGCTTTCAAATTCAGTCAGGTCAATAGAACACTCTGTGACTCTGTGCTGTTCCAGAAACCGAATGCAAGTCAATGACTGGGGTTTTCGGTACCGAATCGGTCTCTTCCCCTCATCTACCCACACGAAGACGCCTATGGTTGGCTAATGTTTTACCCCTCCGTCTGGGTAGGAGATGGTCTTTAAGTGATCCAAGAGCTATTCGTGACATTTACAACTGACGCTGTGAGAAGAAAGCGTCTCGTCCAACCAACCGCACCTTGCGCAAGGCCTCCCTCTGTTCAGAAGCTTCTCAATTTGCCTGACCCTACTAACAGCGCCAGTAAGGCTGCGTTTGCACGTTCGCCTTCAAGCCGCTGACTGCGTGCGCCGCGCCAAGATCTCCAGGCCGACTTAGGATTGAGTCACCGTCGCCAGAAACCGCTTGAAATCACCAAGCCTCCTCATGAAATCGAAGCACCAGCATTCACTGTCCCCTGTCCTCTCATCGGCACTACGCAATTCGAGATCTGCATGAGGCTGAATCGCTCCCCAATACGTATCAGGAGCCTGATACTCCCTTTGAGCCGGCCAACTTCGACGATTACTCACCGTGTATCCCTACCCCCCGAACTACGCCTTCGCACTCCCGCTAGTTGTCTTGCCGCGTTTAGACATCTAGCAACCATGGTTCAGGTCACGCAACTCAAGATCGCCGTCCTGGACGACTACCAGGGCCTCTCGGAACCACACTTTAACAAGTTGGATAAATCATTGTTCTATATCACTACTTTCAAGGACACCCTGCTGCCCTACAACCATCCCGAGACCCCCGAATACGCCAAGGATGCGTTGGTCTCGAGGCTGGAGCCATTTGATGTTCTCTGTAATCACTCCCAATTACAATTTATACGATATCTCCATCGTCTTCTCGTGCTTTACTCAGTTGATAATGCAGGCTAACACGGATAAAGGTACTATGAGAGAACGCACTCCGTTTCCCAAGGATCTCATCAGAAGACTGCCTAACCTCAAGCTTCTTCTCTCCACGGGTCTGCGTAATAACAGCCTCGACCTCCCCGCGTTCAAAGAACGCAATATACCTGTCGCTGGCACCGCGGACAAGTCGACGGTCAAGCAGGCCGGCACGGACAGCACGACCCAGCACTGCGTAACCCTAATCCTTTCGCTGGCACGGAATATTGCCGCCGATGATCTCGCCGTCAAGTCTGGCCTGTGGCAGACGGAAGTGGCGACGGGTATGACCGGCAAGACGTTCGGCGTCCTTGGACTGGGCCGTCTCGGAGTCTCAACGGCCAAGATCATGCACTTGGCATTTGGCATGAACGTCATTGCTTGGAGCACAAATCTGACGCAGGAAGCTGCCGACGAGAAGGCCAAGGCTGAGGGCTTGCCGTTAGGCACCTTCAAGGCCGTCAGCCGGGAGGAGCTTTTCAGTACTGCTGACGTTCTTAGCATCCATATTGTCCTGTCAGACCGATCCCGGGGACTGATCAATGCGGATGACCTGTCCAAGATGAAGAAGTCGGCCTTGTTTATTAACACCTCCCGCGGTCCGCTCGTAGTCGAGAAGGATCTTCTCGACATCTTGAAGAAGGGTGGAATCAGAGGCTGTGCCTCGGACGTATTCGACCTGGAGCCGCTGCCAGTGGACAGCGAGTGGCGAACGACGGAATGGGGTCGTGACGGGCGTAGTAGGGTGCTCCTGACACCTCATATGGGTTACGTCGAGGAGAACACTTTGAACGCGTGGTACGAACAACAGGCGGGCAATATCAGGAGGTGGCAGGCAGGCGATGCTCTTGAAAATGTTCTGGTGTGAATAGGACATGCGCAATAGTCCTCGTTCCCTGGACTCATTGGAATGAGTAAGAACAAAACACCATTCAAAAAAAAAAAAAAGCCCATGCGAAACATCGAATTGTACTGAAACAGACTGAGGACTATTTTAACCTGTTACAAAGATGATGTTTATGCTATAGATGTTGTATTACTGGGTCCAATTGCTAACCCGTCTGAGAAGTTATCATTCGTGTGAAGACCTGCTACTAAAAGACCATACCCCATCAATCTTCCAGTCCTTCGCAACGTCAGATACTATCAACTAACTGAGTAAATTGAAACCGAGAAACTTGACTAATGTAACCTGTTGACATTCGCCGTTTGTCCACCTCACGCATTACTAGCGGCAACCTAGAGGAATACAAGAGGTGGGATATGACGACTTACCTCGGACTGGCTTTGACTTTCAAATAAGAAGCCAAGGCAGTTCGAGCTATGGAGGCCGTAGCCGACTCAGCTACAGGTACATATCCTGTCGCTTACTGAGACTCTGGTGGACTCCAGTTCGCCGTCGATGGGCAGATGACTAATCGAAGGAAACAGCTTAGCAACTTCCTCTACATGCTCACATTTCCAGTGCGCCTTGTATAGCTTCAACCTGGCAAGGGCCTGCAGCTTCGGCGCAATGGCCTTGATACCAGCCGTCTTCATGGGCCATCCGCTGATAGTTAGCATCCGCTGATAAATAGCGCAGATTTTGAAATGCCTTGGCTTTGAAATCAATGGTCATCGAGGATGTATATATCAAGATTTTGACAGATGGCAGGGATGCCTTGTGCGCGGCCACCTCTTTTCGGAAGAAGGTGACAATTAAATTTGTTTCCCCGCATGAATCTCAAGCTGACTTCCTCGGGGTTAATCTTGCATATGACCTTGACCAGAAAGGCTGCTAAGTATGCTGAGCATGGTAGAATAGGCTGGTCGCTTTGGAACCGCTACTTCAGGGGAGGCTGCTCATGACCTACGGTACGTAGAGATTGGTAACTTAGAAGGAGTCAGTACTTGGAGCCATGTCGAGAGAACTATAGGCTGAAGCTCGTGCAGAAGCCCCTGCAGAAGACAGCGGAATATGGACGTACGGTATAGAGGCCAGAATCAAGTTGTTTCCTTCTATGGCTTCAAGTTGGGCGTGGATCTAATCCTCGTTGACCGATCGATCAATGGGCTTGAAGAGGGAAGAAATGGTAAAAATACGAAGAATCCTGCAGACACGCGACAGCAACTTGAGGGAAGGTCTATGTTCGGAGCTCTTTCGGGGGTTTGCCTTGGTTCGCTTTCATTGCATAGCTTGATGATGTTGATGAGCAGCTCTGGAGGTATGGTGACGTGCCGGACGCTCATGGAGGGAGCGGAAATGACCGCTTCGACGGCGGTATCACCGCCATCCTTAAAATTGGCCATCATGGAACTGGCTCTCTCAAATTGCTTGTGATTGATTGATGACTCGAGGAAAATGGAGATCGACGTCGGCGAGCAAATGTAGGTTCGTTGCCTCACAAGGGGCAGACTTGTGGAAGTGTTGAGGGGAAGACTTGGGGAGAGAAAGTAGCAAGGGCTGACAATATCAGACAGGAAATAAATTGGCCCAAACTGAGGATGTAAACACTGGGAAAGAAAGGAAAGTGCAGAAAGGCGGTGCTCCTACTCCAATTTGAGGAAGGCAGATGCAGGAAGTGACCATCTTGGGTACCTGCCTGACCTTAAGGTACCTACCCAAGGCTGCCGGGAGCTGGGCAGGTACCTAGAGGCAACTTCAATGGTCTAGCTACCTTACCTCTCCTTGCCTTAACTCAAGGTACCTTACATCACAGACAAGGGATCAGATATCAACAAAGAAGGCACTTTGCAGACACCCACGGTTCTCTCAAAAGATGGAACATGAGAAAGGGAACAATGGACAAAGAAGTGAGCCCAATGTGAACAGAGAGTAGCCAAGAGCCTGAGAGATGGATACGTTCTACTTTGAAAGAGCTCCAAAACCCATACGTGTAAATCACAAAGTAAACAAGTTCCATAGAGCCGAAGCACAAAAACTGCATGCCCATAAGAAAACGCAAGATTATAATGCTTGTGTACCAGAAAATACCTGTTTCAATTCAACGCCGTTACGCCTCGTCCACGTCCAGCTTAAAGACCTTGCACAGTCGTGTAGCGTATATTAGACCAATTAATACGCAAGAGAAGCAATCAGGGGTTATCATTTATGCCCGAAAGTGCTAGTTCTGGCAATCCACCGCACGTCTTTCTGGCGTCCTTTCTCAAGCCACCAAACCAGAATTCTCAGGCAACAGGCCAAACCTGCTCCTCAAAAGCTTCGGATGTCTTGAGGTCAATGACTACCCCGTGATTATCTTTGATGGGCACAAAACAATCCCCACTAAAACTGCGGTTTACGATGTATACGACCTTGAGGTTTGGTAGGTTTTGTATGATCCCCCACGCCTGGTCTGTCCTTCTGGATCTATCATTGTGGAAGCCAATCACAGGCTTGAGCTTCGAAGCTATGATGGAAGCCCGATGATGGACTGGTGAAATTGGTGACAGTGACGTTACCGATCGTTCATCAGAAATTGCCAGGACCTGAAGTTTTCTCAGGGATTGAATGTCTTTGGTCGCAGCCTGCAAGACAGGTCAGCTTGGTGTTCATCTTTCTTGCATTGAGAAGGCAAACAAAATCAGCTTACCCGCAGATCCCATGTTGGACGTCCTGGGGGGCCTCCAAAGGCCATTGATCCTCCAATGGTCAGGTGCGTAACGTGCGGGAACATTCTTTGGATGTCTCGAAAATCCGACCTCTCCCATCGCATTTTGCACAGCTGGACGTAGACCAGCTGGGCTCCGAATGATCGCGAAACATGGCGCAAACCAGCAATCTGATTCAGGGTTCTGTTGACTGGCGCTTCAATGCTCAGAGCTCTCAGATTGGGAAACATCGTGGCAATGAAGGTGAGATCTGTCGCGACAGGAAAGCTCAAGGCGGTGATGGATGTGAAATCCATTTCATGCAACTCCAGAGTCCGGCGCAACGGCTTGATCAGAGACATGACTGCCTTGAACCTGAAGTCCAGGCGGAGCTCCTGAAGGTTTGGCAAGCTGTCGATGAAGAAGGCAAGGTCTCTTGCGGCCGACTTCTCGCAGGGAAGTCTGATGCCTTGGATCTGGCTGAAAGTTGCGGGTGTCCTTGAGGCGGAAGGGCCTTCTGTGTAAATACTGAGAACACTAGCAGGATCCAATGTCAGTCGATCTTGAGACTCAAGCCATTCAGGTAGAATGTAAGACTCACTGGATGGAACGACAGATTTCATCCTTCATCTCGACGCTTTCAATGTGATCGGCGAGTAGGTGCTCGGCAGTCGTCAACTGGGCAACTCGGAACACAAATGGAACACTCACGTCCCGCAGCAACCTGCAAGTCATGGACAGTGGGACAAGTGAAATGTCATCATCTTGGTTGGTGGGGTCGCATTTCATCTTGTCGAGCTGTCTCACCACTTCCACAACCAGATCTCTGGGGAGCTTGTGGAGCGGAAATGCGCCAGTGCTTCCACCAGCAGGGACTTGGCTGGACGAGAGGGAGCTCATCTTGTGGTACGCTTTTGATGAGTTGAAGATGTTGAGGTGGAAGGCAGAGGAGGTCAAAAATGAAATCCGGGATGAAGGCGAATGGGATTGATTTCGTGGTATGAGAAGAAGGATTTCATGAGTGAGGGCGAAGTGAAGGGCATGCCTCAGCAAGTGATGGGTTTGAAGTGGAAAGTAGGAAGGAGAACTCAGCGGTCGTACCTTCCGTACGATTCTTCCCATCTCCCTTGGATGAAGAGGTGATTCATTCATCCATATATTGGATTACGATGCATGTATCCGGCTCAGAAAGCGTTCCGGGTAAACCTCAATTCATACTTAAATTTGAGGCAGTTCACCTACTTGAGTCCTCTCGGCACTTGATAGTCTTTCTCACCTTACCTAGGTTAGGTATCCATCACCTTGATACTCAAGGCAAGAACCTCTCTGTTCAATTCTCTGGCGAAAAGCCGAAAAAGGAAGCCTGCAAGAGCTGTCGCTTGTCAATAATTGCCTGCGCTCCATACATTCCAGCAGTCTTCAAACGAGCGAGGTTGGACATTGAAGGAGACAAACTTGAATAGCATCTCGAAGCCATTGACGGCCGGTCTGGGATTCACTTGGCGGTCCGATGAGCTCGCCATGGGCTGTTGTTTCGGTCTAAAGATGTTTCCATTTCTGACTTTCAGAAGAGTCCTCACAACCATCAACGTCGGTTCTACTCGTCCTACTTTTGATGGTGATAATAGTTTGTTGGCCAAACCAAATAGACAGCCTTGCGAAGCCAGTAATCTTGCCTTTCTTGCAAGTATTTTGAGCCACATGACCAACCTCTTGACCGCCGATCTGAGGTTTCTCCATGGTACCGAATCGCTCGTCCACCCGTTTCGCATCGGTCTTCCGGTAGAAAATCACCCTGCCACCAGTCAGACGCTTGACTTACCCAAGAAAAGAGAACTTTGAGCTCATATCCGCCGTCTCCTCGAACCTCAAATTTCTCAAATTGAGAATTAGGCACTCGCCGAAGACGACACGCATTTTCCAAGCTGTGGCTCTTAGCCTGAAGCCAGAGACTCTGGAGCTTCAAACGAAGCAATGATGGTCTCTCACGGATGTCTTGGAGGTTGCAGAGCTGTTTACAGGAGTCCAAAAGCTCCTGCTCGCTGGTCGGCCAATGCTCGAATCCGTGGGTCTGTTTGTTTCGATGGGACTTGGGTGAAAACTTATACCTGTGTCACAGGTCACTAATGCTATCCCAGCATTTGAGCCCTTTACCCGGCCTAGACATCTTGCTCTCACTGACTGCCACGTCCTATACGAAGAATTACGTGGAAGGTACATACGTCGGCTACTCGGTACATTAGGTCAGTATTCTGGCTGCTCTGCTCCAGAAGACTAGTAAATGATGGGCCGTAGGGCGCAAGTGGGAAAACCTCGGGAGCTCTTTGAGCAGTAGTCAAGACTACTTAAAGTGGTCATGGCGCATCGTTTCGTTGCCAACCGGTTCTGGTCCATCAGGAAGGCGGATAAATTGCTCAACATTGGAATGTGGATAGACACCTGCTACAAAGGATGCTGCAGAGAGAACGGATGGCAGTCACTTGCTCCTGGCAGCTGAAAACCGGTCTCTGGATGTTGGCGAAGGACCATTGATCCTGTCGACAGGTAAAAGATGCATCATGGTAATCGGGTGAACTAGTAAGGTTGAATTGGGAATGCTTAGTACTAGCCTGGAGTCGTGGAACGTAATTCAAAACATCCATTTATCAAGTAAGCAGGAGCTTTGCATATTCCTCTGTTTCAAGATCAAAATACCAGCTCGATGAGTTAATCCTACTACATCTTGCTCGGCATTCGCATGCCGCCATCTAACCGCAGTACTGTCCCATTGAGCATCACATTCTCGATAGCATGCCGGGCCAATGCTGCAAACTCCTCGGGCTTTCCCGCACGTACGGGGAACTCCATGGATCTCTCGAGGCTGGCGCGGACTTTGTCAGACATCATAGCAGTCATACGGGACTCGAACAGACTCGGTGCAATGGTAACAACGCGGATGCCGAAGCGGGCGAGGTCGCGGGTCATGGGGAGCGTCATGGCCGTGACAGCACCTTTACTCGCAGCATAGGCAACCTGGCCCTTTTGGCCGTCAAAGGCGGCAGAGGACGCGACCATGATGACGACGCCGCGTTCTCCGTCAGGCGTTGAGGGCTCGTTCTTTGCCATGAGGGCCAATGCTTGGCGGGTGAGGTCGATGGTGCCGCGCAGGTTGATGTTGAGGACAAAGTCCCAAGCGTCGAGGCTGAAGGGTTCACCATTGCGATCCAGTATCTAGCTCGGAATGTTGGACATTTACAAGACAGCAGCCGGGGACAAGGGGAGAAAGCGTACAGATGACGGATTTCCAACACCGGCGGCCGGAATGACGCCCCCGACAGGCTTTCCGGATTCCTTCACCCACGCGGCGGTGCCCTTGACGGCGGTCTCGATGCTCTTGGTGTCTAGGACATCGCAGACGAAGAACTTGGCTGAGGAACCCAGCTTGGAAACCAACTCGTTGCCGTTATCTTCATTCATATCCAGAATAGCGACGTTTCCTCCATTCTTGCATATCTCCTCCACGCAGGCCTGTCCCAGGCCAGACGCGCTGTCATGGGATGAAGGTTAGCGCGTTGGCCGTTGGCATGTGATCAGGGATGATGAGCTGGCCGGGGCAAGAGAGAACGTTGAGAAGCAATACTTACCCGCCGGAGATGATGAAAGTGCGACCTGAAATCTTCATAACGATGATGATGATGATGATGCTTGTCTGTGAAAAGTATGACTTAAATCACATGCGTTACAGTTGAGGCGTCGTGGGATATCAAACAGGGTACCTCACTGTTGAGGTGAAAGCTTACAGCGGGTGCTTCACTAAAGCTCGGTAGTCCGGTGAAGAATGGAGGTCAAGCCTCGGCAGCCGGTGTGGTTCCGGTGAGTGATGCCTGGTGGCTTGGTCCATTCTGGAATGTCAAGCCACGATTGGCGGGGTGTCCTGGAACCTTAGATAAGGCAGTACCTGCCGACTCGGGCAAGAGGTGGAACTACATCCCGGGCCGTCTGATAAGGTAAGGTAAGGTCAAGAGATACGTGCTCTGAGACAGCCACACTCGTGGGTGGGCTTGACGCTCGAGCCCCCATCCCTTGGTGGTGTGCCGTCATTCTGTTGTTGGCGGACCCAAGCAACAGGAATAGGTACACCGGGCAGGCCCAGAGCACGAGCGCAGCACACAGCACTGCACCAACCAACAATCAACCAGCCCGACGCTTTCAGCACAAGGCAGCGCAGCATCAGCATCCGACGCAGACCTCTTCTCCCTTGCCCAACTCGAAACAGACCCAACGCCTTTCTGCTCGTTGCGACCTCAACGTCGCCGCCAGTCTCAGAAGCCGCCGATTCTCCTGTTTTCTTTCCTAGTGTTTTGGTTTCTGCGAATCCTGCGCTTGGACGCGTTATCGGCCCAGACTGTCACCGTCTTTGCTTACAAACTGCAAACTGCACGAGTTCCCTCCTCCGCCTCTCCCCCGGCCTTATCGCTGCTGCGCCGCCGTCGCCCGACTTTTCCGACCGATACACCACATCGCGCTGCAGTAAACACATTCCGTACCGTCACGATGACGAGACCGCGTCGTTCCAGCGCCGCAAGCGAGGAGAGCAACGGCACCGCCGGCGAGCAGGTTAGTGAACCTCTGCACTCCGATCTGATAGCGAGTAAAACACGGGGATGCTGACGACATGCGCAGGAGCTGGGTAGTATGTACGACTACCTAGCAAAGATAATCTTGCTGGGACCGAGCGGGACGGGCAAGTAAGTTGCATCAACCCCTGGATCGAGCTCGAGACCAACTCCGGAACCTGGCTGACTTGCGCTTCTTCGCGATACAGGTCCTGTCTGCTTCACCGCTTCGTCAAGAACGAGTGGAGAGTCCTGTCGTCGCAGACCATCGGCGTCGAGTTTGCGAGCAAGATCATCAAGGTCGGCACCGGATCACGGCGGAAACGGATAAAGCTTCAGGTAAGGCCGCGATGCTCTCATCAACTACAACGGAGAAGGAGGGCGATGCTGACTTTGGGACAAATAGCTTTGGGATACGGCCGGCACCGAACGATTCCGCTCTGTTTCGCGATCATACTACCGAGGCGCCGCTGGCGCTATTCTTGTTTACGATGTCACGAATCATAGCAGCTTCCGCGGTCTGCAGCCTTTCCTCAACGACGCACGCGCACTAGCATCGCCAAATCTATCCTGCCTTTTGGTGGGCAACAAGCTCGATCTCGCGTCCGACCCCCTGATTGATACAAGTCTACCTCCGCCAACACCGAGCAGCGTCGGCTCCATGTCGTACTTTGCAAACGGCTCCGTCGGATCGACTGGAACAAGTCTACCTTCCCTCGGCACGCAACAGAAGGCCACGGAGGCGCCGGAAGGGCGGGAAGTCAGTAATGCCGATGCAAACAGATGGGCAGGGACGGTCGGTATCCCGGTGGTGATGGAGTCGAGCGCTTTTAACGGCGAAAATGTGGACGAGATCTTTGCGAGGCTCGCGAGAATGATTCTTACCAAGATCGAGCTGGGCGATATAGACCCTGACGACCCAATGAGCGGCATCCAGTACGGAGATGGATACGGAGGAGGATGGAATGCGGGAGCCAGCGACGGAGCGAGTATCAAGAGTTCCATGACTGGCGCGACACTCGACGAGGCGGTGGGAGGTGTCCGCAAACGAAGAGGCAGACGGAACACGCGCAGCGGCGCAAACTGGGGGCTGAGAGACTGGGAAGAGGTCTTCACATTGTCGAACCGACGTAGAGGTGGCAACTGCTGCTGAGGCTTCCTTTGTACTGCGTGGCGGGGAAGAGATGAAACTTGGATTCTTGCTGGTGTCTTCGGGCGTGGAGTTTTGCGAGGGAGGTTTTTGTCTCTTTTTCAAGGGATGGTCCGTCACAGGGCCGGGATACTACGGACTCGAGGGTCCGAGATTAGCGTTGGTATCTGATTTACTTGATGACGGAGGAGCCACGTTCGCTTCACAGGTCGAAGTTTGGGAGCTGGCGTTACGGACACGTGACGGGATAGATACCTCGCTCCCAGGTCGGGGCTGGTCGTACATTTACACGCTTCGTTCCCACAGCTACATACAATAATGACACTTTTGGTATATGCAGGCGATGCTTGTGTCGTGTGGCGATGTGACTTCTGCGGGCGCCTGGACGGATGGACCGTGAGGCGAACTTGGAACTATGTGCATGGTCTGATTTGTATTTGGAAGAGCAGTTTTGACCATCTCGAGACGGAGATTGGGCTTCCTGGGCGGGAATGCATCCGTCCCACTGGATGACCATCTGGGTGATGTTATGAGAAAGAACAAGATGCTCGAAAAGGAAACTTGAAACGGCGAGCTGCAGAGTCGCAATCCATTTGTAACACGGCTGAGAATTCCAGTGATTCGAAATCAAGAAAACTCTGTGAGAGAGAGAGAAAGACTGGCAATATGGAGCCTGCCGGCCGTCATGAGGCTGTCCTCGGGCACTAGAGGCTAGAGCATCGGAGAATGATGCAGCGACTCCCACATCTAATCCCAACTGGGAAAACGGAAGGCGTCCCTCCGCGACAGGACCCCACCGAGGTGAGCATGGGTCTGAAGGTGGAATTGGGGGAGACTTTTGGGGTAAGAGGCGTTTCTCCACTCGTCGGTGGTGATTTATATCCCCGACGGTGAGACTTGATGAGAATTATGGGAACTGGGACAAAGACGTTCGAATGGGATGAGATGCCGATTTGCCATGGCGAGTTGTGAGAGGATACCGGCGTGATGGAAACAGTGTGTTGCCAAGGATGTGTACTGCGCCGTCGGTCGGTTCAGAACCGGCCTCAGTCGGCGAGGAACACCATCACCAACGAAGAATCACGATTTCATGGTTGAACCACGTGAACAGAAGTGGACGGTCACCTCACCAAGAGGCCCCTTGGTCCTGCAGCCATGTGCGCGGCTGCCTCCGAATGCAGCCAACCGGCATGTTGACTTTATCCAGCAAGGGATGTAACCACACCGGGGCAGCATCTCTCTAAACAACGTCCTTTGGAGAGCGTACATCTTGTGCCTGTTGGAGAAAGGAGGTGTCCCTCATTCTCCGCGCGTGCCTGGCTTGGACTGGAAAGGGAATAAGTGAGAGCAGAGGGTGGAGGTGTGGGGGACCTGGCGCCCGGAAGCACCAAGGAAAGGTTGAGAAGAAAGTAACCTGGATCATGGATCGGGCGTAAAGGGAAGGGAATGGAGATGCATCTCGGCGGACGTCGTCCCGTCGTTCAGACTGAGCCAAGTAGCACAAGTTGGAGCAGCTCCTCATCCCGGGAATTGGACAAGTTGATCGAGCATCAGGGATCCTTTGGAAGCTCTGCGCCGCTCCCGAGGTGAGGCAAGCTATACGAATTGGAGGAAACTCACAATTAGAAAGAGCTAACGTGTGAGATAAGGCGAGATGAGGTGAGGTGAGGTGAGGTGAGTTCAAGTGGAGAGAGCTCCCTGGTCTGGCATGAGCGAGCGAGAGAGGGATGCATGGAGGAGAGGGTGAGGAGTATATGAAGACGACACATCCTCCCGACTTTTCCCACACGAGAAGGCCATTTCAATTGAATTGCTCTGATAGCCTTCATCCACAGCTACACAATCACACTTACTCATCGCCTCTCAAGATCGTCGCGAGGCTTTCAACTGAGCGAGAACAGTGTCTTCTCTTCCTTACTCTAGACAGACCTTTCGTACCTTACCTTAGCTCAGTAGTATCTATAACGACCACCGCAAGCTGCCCCTCGGCCCCTCCAAACCCCCGTCCCCATCCCGTATCTACTACCCCGCCATCCTCCGCGGGGCACCTGTGCTCGGTGCGCTCATCCCCGTCCGACTTCATCGTCGCTCCCGCGCGCGCCTGCAAAACACCCGACATTTCTTTCCCTTCATCCTTGGTGAGCATCGAATCATTTCCTCATTCAATCGGCATCTCTACGTGTTTCCGTTGCAAGCCTCCTCGCTCCTCCACGCTATGCGCGTTCATCCGGAACTCATCCGCAGGTCCGCCGCAGCTAACACCGCTTCTAGCCACCGCCGCACGCCCCAAACCATGGCGTCGCGAACCGTCATTCCCATCGACAAGAACTGGCAGTTCAAGCAGGCTGACAAGGAGGACAGCGAGCTCCTCGCCGCCAGCCAGTTCCCAACAAATGTTCACCTTGACCTCATCCACCACAATATTATCCCCGATCCGTTCATCGGCAAAAACGAGCTTGACGTGCAGTGGATCGGCGAAGTGCAATGGCTGTACAAGACCACCTTCGCCTCTGAGGCCATCCCCGAGGGCGCCAAGGCGATCTTGGCCTTTGAAGGCCTTGACACATTCGCTACCGTCGTGCTCAACGGCAAGACGATCCTTGAGACGGATAACATGTTTACACCAGAGCGTGTCGATGTCACATCTGTCCTCCAAAAGGATGGGGAAAACCAGCTCGAAATCACCTTCGACAGTGCCTACCTGCGTGGCTGGAAGCTGGTAGAGAAGTACCCCGATCACAAGTGGGGATGCTGGAATGGCGATAACTCGAGGCTTGCAGTCCGGAAAGCTCAATACCACTGGGTATGCCCCCAATCAACCTATCATCCCGAGAATCACTCTACTGACGCTGCCAGGGCTGGGATTGGGGTCCGACTCTGCTGACCTGCGGACCGTGGAGGCCAATCAACCTCGAAATTTACGAGTCCCGTCTCTCCGACCTCTACTTCGAGACCACCGTTGACGACTCCCTCAAGAGTGCCAAGGTCGTTGCCCACGCCACGACCGAAGGCAAGGCCTCAAAGGTCCGCTTCGACGTGTCCCTCGATGGCAAAGCGCTCGCCTCTGAGACAATTGACGCCAGCGACGATGCTACTATCTCAGCAACCTTCCAGTTACAAGACCCCGCGCTGTGGTACCCCATCCGCTACGGGAAGCAGCCCTTGTACACCGTGACTGCCATCCTTCTAAGCGGCACCGACGAGGTCGACACCCTGTCCAAGAAGATTGGCATTCGCAAGGTTGAGCTGGTGCAAAGACCTGTCAAGGAACAGCCGGGAACATCGTTCTTCTTCCAGGTCAACAACGTGCCCGTCTTCTGTGGTGGAAGTGACTGGATCCCTGCCGACAACTTCATCCCCCGCATTAGCAAGGAGAGATACTACGACTGGATTCGGCTGCTGTCGGACGGCAACCAATTCATGGTTCGTGTTTGGGGCGGTGGCATCTACGAGGAGCAGGCTTTCTACGATGCTTGCGACGAATACGGCATCCTCGTGTGGCAAGACTTCATGTTTGGGTGCGGCAACTACCCTACCTGGCCAGAGCTTCTGAAATCTATCGACAGAGAGGCGAGAGAAAACGTCAAGATGCTGCGTCACCACCCTTCCATTGTCATCTGGGCGGGCAACAACGAGGACTACCAGTACGCAGAGAGCGAGAACCTGACGTACGACCTCGCAAATAAGGACGCAGAGAGCTGGCTTAAGACGGACTTCCCAGCACGGTACATTTATGAGAAGATCCTCGTCGATACGTGTAAGGACCTCATCCCCGATACCTACTACCACTTTGGCAGTCCCTGGAGCGGTCAAGACACGAGAGATCCTACGGTGGGCGATCTCCACCAGTGGAACGTCTGGCACGGCACCCAAGAAAAATACCAAAACTTTGACAAGCTCGTCGGCCGGTTTGTGTCAGAGTTCGGCATGGAGGCCTTCCCCTCTGTCAAGACCATTGAAGCATACTTGCCCAAGGGTAAAGACGATCCAGACCGCTACCCTCAATCCTCAACCGTCGATTTCCACAACAAGGCCGACGGCCACGAGCGTCGCATTGCCTTGTACCTAGTAGAGAACTTCCGCTACGCTCCGGATCCCTTGGAGCAATTTGTGTACTGCACGCAGCTCATGCAGGCCGAATGCCTCGCCTCGGCTTACAGGTTGTGGAAGAGGCAGTGGAAGGGTCCCGGTAGGGAGTACTGCGGCGGAGCATTGGTGTGGCAGATCAATGATTGCTGGCCCGTGACTTCGTGGGCCATCTGCGACTACTACCTACGTCCGAAGCATGCCTACTTCACCGTCAAGCGCGAGATGGCACCAATCTCTATTGGCATCACCCGGACGGAACATAAGCACCCCAAGGACAAGTACACGCGCGTCGACATCGACACCAAGACGCAGATTGAGATCTGGGGCTCAAACCTTCAACTAGAAGACCTGACTGTCGACCTGCTCGTCAAGGCATGGGACGTTGAGACAGGCGAGGAGACGTACTCCGAGATTGTGGACAAGGACTTTGTCCTGCCTGAGAACAGGTCAACGGAGATGGCCGCCTTTGAGGTCCCCGTGAGGCAAAGGGGCGACGAGGCGAAGACTGTTGTCGCAGCTTACTTGATCCAGAACGGCGAGCAGATTGCGCGGTACGTCAACTGGCCTGAGCCGCTCAAGTATTTACACTTGCAGAAGCCCAAGAGCTTGAAGGCGACACTTGTTGAGGGCGATGATGTGGTGGAAATTAGTGCCGAAGTGCCAGTCAAGGGTGTTGCGCTGGAGGCTGAGGATGATGGTGTGGTCTTCAGCGACAACTTGGTTGATGTCGTCCCCGGTGAGGTTGTGAAGATTGGAGTCAAGGGAGCGAGCAAGGATACGAGAATTGAGACGAGGTATCTGGGTATGGTCAACTAGAATGAGATGCACGGGAGAGGGCCATTCTTCGGAAGATGCGGAGGAAGTAGAAGGTATTCTGAAAACCTATATAGATTGTCTTGCATTCCACGTCATAATGTTGGTCTGTGTTGATAGAACGGAAATGCTGTCTCTTTCCTATGAGTCTGTAGCTGCAACCATATACCCCCATGCGTGTCGACTTTATGAATCCCAAGAGCCAAGATCTCTTCTTTTAAATGCCTCGCGTGAAGTACCGTCGCCATGCTTCAATCCATGAATACAACCATCAAGGTTGAAAAGCTGTCTCAGCACTCTACGAGACCGCCAAGAAGACTCCCTCTAGGCGAGTATCCTCGACGTCACCAACTTCGGCACACGCTCTCGAGCTGTGGTAGGGATGGTATGGGTACGGTCTTGTTTTTAAATCACATGTTAGCATGCAGGTTCTAAGAGACTTTCGGTTGCTCTAGCAAATAATGAGGATCTGAGTGCAACTACCCGTACTCGGGAATATATGGACTCTGATAATCAGCGCCGCGAGTGGCGCTATGCTGCATACCTTTTGTCCAGAACCGCTCAAAAAAAAAAACCCCGTTCGGGCTTGTAAATGGGGTCTGACGGTTTGGCACACTGCGAGGCTTTCATTGTGTTGGGCCCATGCAGCCGTGGGCGTGGCAGATCTATAGAGGCATAAGCATTGTAGCCCGATCATTCAAGCGACGCCAGAGTCATTTTTCTCTAGGATTCAACTTCCGTGCGGTGTGACCTTTTGAGAATCTCTCGGTCTTCTACTGACTCGTCCAACGAGATGTCCGCTCTTACGCGGAGGCTGAGGCAGGATACCGTCGGCACAGAGCTCGGCCTGCGTCACGTTTGTAGTGACCGTTTACTTTGGCCCTCTGCCTAGGATATGTTTTGCCGCGTACGGGTTGAAAATGGAACGATGTCGGTGTGTCTTGTGCGTCAACCAACCCGCAAACCCCAGCTCCCCGTCGACATTGAAAGTGCGGTAGAACTCGACCGACTGGTCGAGAGTCCATATGTCGCTGTAATTCAAGTCAGCACTTGATTCAGAACCAATCCACTTTTTCATGGACATACCTTCCAGAATAAGCATTGGGGCCGGTACTCTTGTTACTTAACGGTATGAAGAGTGAGTTGCGCTGGGAGGATGGGTGGTGCAGACTGGAGTCAGTCCAGGTCTGCCAGAGTCCTTTGAGACTCTTCATCCTGTCCATCGTATGGGAGCAACAGGAATGCGTTTTCAGATACTTTTTCGGTTCCATAGACAATGATGTAGCACTACTGAGCAATCGAGATTGGGTGGTTTAATTATATTCAGCCCTGTCGGCAGATTTGAACGCCTCCATGCCAAGGTGGATGCAACGTGGATGACTGAAATAGCCATAGAAATGACTGCTATTCGCTAGACCGCGATGGGAGCGCAAGCCTACCTCTGTCGGGAAGGAATCCGCGCCAGCGTGCCGGCTTGATAATCCCTGCGCGATGCTTGTGCTACCTTATCCTGCCACCCCTGCCGTGGTTGCCCCCCTCCCGAGCGTTCTTCAGATAGGCCGTGTATAAAGAGACTTGATCCTGAGGTGTCTGGTCTTTTTGGGGGCTGACATTCATCGATCGAGTTGGCCATGTAGTACACAAAGGAAGCCCCATTGGGAAAGTTGCATGTGGAGAATGACAACATGGAAGCGGTCAGATCACGTCGGTTGGCACGTGTTTCTGCCATGATCGTGGAAGATCAGCTCTCTTCATTCTGAAGCTCCACTGCGATATGCCAGTCCAGATGTTCAAGTACTTCTTGGGGCTGTACAGACTCGCTACATTTCGGACACAAGTAGTGCTGCCCTTGCTCGTCCTCTAAGCCACCTTCGACAGCTCTGGGTGAGGTAGTTGCAGTAGCTAATCTCGCGGATTCTGGGTCGTCGGTGGATTGGCCAGCGACATGCACCCTCTTATAGTCCGCAGGCATAATAGTCGTGTCTCCTTCTCTATTTCGTTTGCGAGGAGTTGTAGAGGTGCTAGAGGAAAAGAAGGACGTGATGCGCTGCCCGGCATCAGTTGTGGGCATCCCGGAATCCAGATTCGACATGCTGACGGATATACCCAAGCACGGCCAAGACTCCCCATGGCTTGTTAGATCCTTGAGTAGTTCATGCAACATGTTGAATATGGTATTCCGGTTGATCTCAAGTTGTGGTGGGATCGGGGCTTGCTTGGATCGTGTCGGGCCGAACCGTCCCCGGATATGGTGGTGAACGGCAATGGTCTTGGGTCTTCGAGGAACCTCGGAGTCTAGATCGAGGTCATGGAGTCGCGACTCAAGATCTGCGGCGAAGATCTGAAGCCATTTACTGGCTTGTTGAAGATTTTCCGCTCGTGGTACAAAGGTCTTCGCAGCCAACAGAGACTGAACTTCACTCCGGGGCCTTACTGGGCCTGTTTCCTCGCCTCTGATCGCCCTAAACACCCATTGACCATCATCGGATCCCAATTCTGACCTCATTTCTGAAAGAGAGACTTGAAGGAGATCTCGTATGCCATCAGAACCAAAAGTTTTGGCGATTCTCTGACCAAGCTGCCCTCCCAGGCCGGAAAGCGAGGTGGCTTTGAGAGTCGGCATAATGACGGGGATGGATTTGCGCCTGATGATCGTTTGGCCGGCTGGCTTGTTCATCCGTGAAGCGACCTTGGCGAGCATCTTGTTGTGACTGATGCCGGCAGAAGTGGTGAGTTGCATTTCCGCCTGGATCTCTTTGCGGATATTGCGAACAATGCCAGCTCCAATGCTCAGAACTATGTCGTCCCAATCAAGGGTGAATTCAGGATCACGAGTATGTGGAGGACTCATCACCTTATCGGACTTCCAGTTGAGTGATGTGTCCACCAGGGGCAATGGTAAACTCTGTTCAGGGTTGTTGCTGAGCGATTCCAAGACAGGGAACCGTTCCGTTAGCATCTGGTGAACCTGAGCTGAGAGGTCCAGATAGAACTCATCCACACCGGCTCTCTCGATTGTAGGCGCAGGCTTGACCGGCAAGATCTTCCGGACGAGCTGGATAGTCCTTCTCGACATGTGGCGATACGGATCCAGGGAGGCCTTGTCCGTCTTCAAATGATCCAACACGTCGGTCCTGTACCTCCAGGAGTCATCTCCTTCCCTCCAAGTCGGGACATGCTGAAGGACGATGTCTGGGCAAAGTCGGCACGCTTCCTCTGCCGAGATGGTTCTCTTAAGCCCGCGCTCCTTGGCTGCGTAGTTTAACGCGATGATGGCGTTCCATTGTCGTACTGCGAGGGGTTTGGAAGGGGGAAGACCTAGCCTCACAGATTCATACTGGGCATAAAACGAGTCGTAGTCGATTAGTGCGACAACTCGCAGGGGCGATTCTGGCGATGATTGTGCCAGGAGCTGCAGGTCGTGCTGGGTAAATTGTGACTCTGCAATCCCCGGCTCAGTCGGGAACTCGATGCTATCATCGGACATGGCTGTGATCTATGGAGCTCGGCAAAATCGTGTCAGCCGACTTGTTCAGGGTGCCCATAGCGCCCATAACCCAACTAGGTAGGCAATCGCAGCTTTAGGGCGCAAACTCCATCGGATAACTGGAAGGAAAAGTTGACGAATTTGCCGTTGATCAAACCCAAGCTCAAAGGGAGCTTGTGGATTTGAAGAAAGTGTCCTCCCAAGTATTCCGCAAACTCTGCTTGCCTGGCAACATGGGGTCTCTCTAGCCGTGCTGTGAGATCTTGTTATAGTGCAACCTTGGATCGCACTCGGTCGTTAACTCAACCGATCGCTCACTGATGCGGGGTACGAGGAGAGTTTCAGTGCACAAAAATGTCCTAGGCTGAGCTTACGGCTACTCTTCCCTTGTATCACCGTCGATATCACTATGACCCGAAGTAGCGACGCACTGGCACACACACACTCCTAGAAACAATCCTCCCTACATTAGGGTAACCATCGCCTTTCAACACTCGATCTTACATTTGATACCATGCTTTTTTTACTCTATTTTAGGGCTCCTGGCGTTTGGCCAATTTGCGTTGGCGGACACTGTGCTTTAGGCCCAACGCTTCCATTGTGCCCTACAGGAGTGCTCACACACATCGTACGCCTGACGAAAGCCACGGTTGGTGTTATTGCCATCGAAGAGGCGTGAAGAGACGTCTCGATGAATGGCTGGCTAGTGCAGCCTGCAATGATACCCAATAACCCTAGATTTGACAAGCTGGCTCTGGGATATCAGGGTGTGTCTCTTAGCACTCTCACCCACAAGGTATGAGCAATACTACCTATCAAACCCACCATACAAAAAGAGATCGGACTGAAACCTGGCAGTTTTACGCCATTGGACGAACGGGAGGTGTTGCCCGTTTTAAATGATCTTCAGCGGGATTGTTTGTGGTTCTGTAAAATCAGCTTTCGTCTAGCAAGATCCATATCGTTGACTCATCAGCCATCCATATTATTCCCCTTCCCGTAATGACATCAAAGCTGGAAACGAAAATAGACGCAATACTAGAGAATAGAACCTAATTTCATTAATCGTTTTGCATTCTGATTCTACGGAGATGCCGTTCAAAAGTTTCAGCTAGGGCTGCTTAGATAATCCCAACTCAAATAAGGATAAGTACCTCTAGTAACATGTTTTTGTCTACACGGAAAACAAGAAATTATATAAAGGTAGACTTTTTAACAAGAATATTTCCAAGGTTGTATAGGGGGTGTTTTATTTATAAAATAGACCTTTATATTGATATCATTGACCGGGTGATATTCCCTGTCTTTTCTTGGCAGGCAGCCAAAACTTCTGAACGGCACCTCCGTGCTGCGTGGGGAAAGCTTTATTAGTGTTCACTAGTAGAAACTTTCTGTTCACTAGCCCCCTCTCTGCGTCAAGATTAGATTATGCGGCGACTAATTACCTCTCCCCACGTCACCGCAAATAAATAAAATAGGGCGAAGGCAATTTCCGGTTCGCAAGCAGCGCCTTCCATGACGGATCGGATCGGAGATCAAGCTTTATTCCAGTAATGTAGCCTGTTCATAGAAGAACGTGCTACTGACGAACCCAATTGAGAGTTCTGACATGGCTTTCATCAGTCCCTAGCATTCCTACATTTTTCTTAAGATTGTCCTGTTAGAGCATCATGTGTAACTTCATCCGCTTGGGGTGTTGCCCCCTTCTTTACGGCAATGTAAGCGTTGCTACACGCTGGCGGTGTGAAGAGGGGGGAAATGGGATGCATAGAGGCAAACTAAGACCAGTTCGTAACAGTGTAACTGACTGGAAGGATTGATTCGCCATGGGCTAGGCGTGAGAGAGCAGTTCAAATACGCGAACTCCGGTGTACAGTTAAAGTAATCGCGGATGGGGATGAGCACGATGAGTGAGGTAGTAATTCAAAACTTTGTGAACGGATGTGCTGCAGACACGATGAAGCCGTTTTCGTGTCCTGGATAGTGTGTAGCAGGCAACTATGACTGACTGGTCTGGTAAAGCAAGCTAACAATATCATACAAAGTAGCTGAGGATACCAGATCTTTGCACTTGACTATTATTAGTTGAGAGCGAGTAATACCTGAGACCAAGAGACTATGCGTAGCATATCATTCGAGATTTCGGCCAAAACTAGTGGCTCGGCATCTCCGGACCTGAACTCAATCATACTTAAGCAAGAAGGCTGTTTGTTCCATGACTTGGTTGCTCACAGTGGTTTGCGTGTTTATAAAGTCTTTCCAACCGTCGCCCACAGCAAGCCTTTGGTTGTCGTCAGGAAAACACACATCTCTTTACCTCGACATATCTGACGGTTGATCACTCCAATATGGTGAGAGATGTTCTCCCTCGTGCTGCTGACTTGACTTAACGCTAACTGAAGGAGCTCGCTTCTGCTCTGTTCAATTTCATTTTGGGTTTTGGGCTCTTGTCGCTCACGCAGGCACAACCCAAGCCTGATGACTCTGAGCCGCAGCCTCAGCCGCTACCTCTGCCGCCTAATGCCCTCCCACTCGCTTTAGTTTCTGGTCCTGAACCGAAGTTGTATCGCTACCACTGGGACTTTTCCTTGAAATCAGCTTCCAACAACGTACTTGAACCTACGGAATATAGTTTTGATGGTGTCAAAATCGCCGTGTTTCGATCCCCGATCAAATTGAGCAAAGCAACCAAAACAACCAAAACAACCCAGCGTCAACAAATGATCTTTATTCATCTTGAGAGCAGGATGAGTGACATGGACGCTATTTGGCAGATTTACCAGGGAGACAAGATCGTCACGCGCTACAGCGAAGTCCAACGCCAAGCCGAGTCGTCTAGGCTGAAGTCGACGAGGGAAGGCACCTTTGCCATGATCCCATATGACTCTACTTTGGACATCACCTTACACTGGAATTTGACGGATATCCCAAAAACGACGCCGTTAACTGCGGGCAGCAATTAACGCCATATACACCCTTGTGACAAAGGACAAAGGCCAAAAGTGGTGGACCGGCCGGTCCCAATCATTTACGTCGTGGCTCTTGGTCTCTGAACGCTATATCGGGAGTGGCACGAAGTAGCCCTTCAAAAGTTTTCGCTTAGACTGCCGAGACACAACAGGGAATATCACCCAATCAACCGAATCGGTATACAGGTCTACTTTGCGCTCAGGATTTCGCTGAACAGTCCCCTTTTAATACCTCTTAGAGATACTCAATTAAATAGAGAGGATGCTCTATAGGTCGTTACCTGTAATGAGGAAATACTTTATGAAGTCCTTGTCCTTATCGAGCTCAAGATGAAGACGGCCATCGGTGACTTTGAGGATTGCTAGCGGCTGAAGTAATAGCTTAGCGAGAGCATTGAGGAGTATGGTTGCTGCTACGTCGAAATCCTATTGGTCGACGTGGGGGTGCCTTTATTTTCGAGATAGAAAGTTTATAGAGTTTTTCTGTTGTTTGGAAACGTTCGTACAGCTTTGCTCACTTAATTTCGGTTGTCCTCATGTTAGTGATGTATGTGATCTCTTACCGTGACTCTAAAGAGCTGGTCTCTATACTTTACTCCTCCGAAGCCCTTTTGAGGTGGCCTAGCTGCCGCAGGGCGCTGGAGAGGCTCGTCCTGACAAGGGATGTCCTATAGCTAATTATTGACAACAATAAGTATCGTCAACGTATGCAGGCCACCAAACGACGCTCATAAGATCGTATAATAGCGACTCACTAGAATACAAATCTTTCAGAATTGCTCTAGCCATGGGGGGATCTTGATGTTCCCTATTAGGACTTCAGGCAAAGGGGTAATAATAGGGTAAACGATAAGGCAGACTAGGTAGATAACTCCGGTCTGTTTCTTTTTAGGACTTTAGGAAGAGAGAGGACGTAAAGAAGCAGTATAGGCACGTCCCTAGCCTCGAATTCTCTTATATCCCTTCTTTAGACAATACATACCTATAAAAATATGTGAGCATCCTTCTCGTAAGGCCAGATTATAAGGCAACAGTAACTATCACACTACCTCGTGATCGCGTTTAGACATAACATGACTAATGAGTCTTCTTAGTGCTAGGGATTCGGTGCTATGTATGATGTGAGCGCCAACTCCCAATTCCGAGAAGGTTCCTAGGAAGTATTCTACAGCTTGGAGCGGACTTGCGGGGTTGCGGAGCTGCGGAGAAGAATGGAGAATAGGAGACGCCCGCGGCCCATGACGAAGCAATACAACGACATGGCAAATAGACTGTCCCTCAATTACCAATCGATAAAAGTTTCAACGTTATCCAATGAGAGACAGTGCTTTTAAAAAGCGGCCGCCAACTTGACTTCTCCTCAGCATGTCGACCATCTTCACCTCTTCTCCTAGTCAAACCCATCCATCGATCAAACAACAGCCATGGTTTCCATCATCGCAGTAGCTGGAGGCACTGGTGACCTCGGCCGTACCATCGTCGAAGCAATCCTCGCAGACGGGAAATTCTCGGTCATCATCTTGAGCAGGAAGGTATATTGTCCCAGACCTCGTGCCTTGCAGGCTTCGATATCTGTCTGACTAGCAAAACCCGTAGGCGGATGACGATAAGGAGAAAGAAATCGGTGCCCGCATCCTGCCAGTCGACTATAGCAGCGTCGACGATATTCTCAGGGTATTGGAAGAGAACAATGTGCATACGATCATCTCCGCCCTCAACATTTCGTTTTCCGTCGAGCCAGAGTTGAACTTGATTGCGGCCGCCGACCAAGCCAACAGCACCAAACGATATGTCCCCAGCATTTGGGGCGCCGAATTCACCAGCGAGCAAGTTCATACCTCGAGTGATTATTGTATTTTGTTCATGAAGACTAATACATATTCCCCTGTTTCCAGAGACGCAGAGGAGATGCCCATTGTCAAGCCAAAGATTCTCGTCGCCGACGCACTGAAGAAGACGAACTTGGAGTTTACAACATGGCACCCTGGCTACTTTGCTGACTACTATGTGTGCCCGCCGCTGAAAAGTCATCTCAAGAGCATAGTTATGGCCGTGGATGTCGTCAACAACAAAGCGGCCATCCCAGGATCTGGAAATGTGCCAGTAGCATTCACTTTCACACGGGACCTTGCCAAGTTCGTCGCCGCGTCCCTGACCTTACCAATGTGGGAAACGGAGACGTATCTTGTGGGTGATAAGTTGACGTGGAATCAGCTCGTTGATCTCGCTGAGGCAGCCAAGGGTGTCAAGTTTGACGTAACTTATGATTCTGTTGAAAGGTTGAAAGCCGGAAAGGTGACGAAATTGCCTCGGCAAAGATCACCTTATCCCAACATTTCAGACGAGCAGGTACAAATTTGTTTGCCAAGTTTGGCCTCATGTTCGAAAGGGGTGTTTTTGACTTTAAAGTCGATGTCTCTATTGCTCAGGAGTTCCCGGATATCAAGCTGAGGTCCATGAAGGAGTTGTTGGAAGAGGCGTACAAGCTTGAAGCTTGATCCTGCAGCAGTTGGGAATGATTTGGGGAAAGCATGTTGAGGAACCTCTGATGTAATCTAATTCAAGAATCAAGGACAGCTGTTCTGACCGCTGTAGAAAGCAGGATTCATCTTACTTTTTTTTTTTTTTTGGCTCAGCTGAAAGACTTCACCATGCAAAGCTTTGTACATTGCCTTCATGGCTGCAATTTCGCATGAGTGCATGCCCAGAATCCGCGACTCAGATAGGCTCTGCGAAATACACCTGCGGCTGTCAATGACAGCACGCACAAGCCCCATGTGCCATGGCATGACAGTGGTGGTCGAAGACGATTCGGGCGATCTCGGAGGTAAAGAATGTGGACTCGGCAGGAGGCCGTTTCCCCAGATCGACAGATTGCCCTGCAAGTGTCCCAAGACGTGCACCTAGCAGACGGAAGGATGTTCCGAGAGCCAAGAAGGTTCGGGTGGGACAGGAACATAAATATCGAGGTAATCCCCTGTCGAGCGCTGCTATGCTGGCAAGAAAACCTAAGCAGAACCGACATCGAACCGGCATCAACGTCTTCACGTAAATTCCTGCGAGTTCCCCCGAACTGGCCAACACCAAGCACAACACCTCAATGTGGATGATTCCTACTTTCCTTATGTCCGGGCCTTCGCCCTTGAGCTGATGATAGACGAGCGAATCACCGGAGTTGCAACGAATTCGGAGTGAATCTGCAAGAATCGTACCACAGGATTCGGACGTGCCGGATGCTCACGAAAGGAGGAGACACATGGTATGAGAGAAGGCTGGAGGTTGAGCTTGGCAGCTCGCAGCCTAGCCCTCGGAGGGACTCCGTTCATAGGAAAGGGGGACGATGGGGAACTCGAAAGCCATCACGAATCAGCAAAACTTTTCAAGAGCACATGACGACAAGCGCTGGGTCACGAACAACGTGACATGAAAATAATTTTCAAAAAGGAGAGAGGTGAGGAAAAGGAGCGGTAAGACTCAAACCGGCCGAGAGGTGAAGCAGTATGACCCAAGACCGGGAACGTGTCTCCCCCTCTTCCCCACCGCGCCCCCAGATCTTTCTGGGGTCTTTGCTTTCAAACCCGCCAGAACCCTTTTACGGATCCAATTCGCAGGTTCCCATTGGCGCGGGTAAAATCCTGGATAAATAGGCCAGGCCACAGGACGCTAAGGTCGGATACAATGCGGCTGCGTTGCGCGCCTATGACACCTGGGACACTTGGTCCACTGCAATTCCCCATGCTTGGGCGAGAGAAAGCCATCCGAGGAGTCGAGGACTTAACATTGTTGACTTTGATCGAGACGAAGTCGAGACGAAACAAGTCAATCGACAAGGAGTCTTCCAACGCCCCTCGTCAAGTCCACGACCCCGGTCATTTGTCCCCATGAAGGCTCCTCTTCCAGACCACCTACAGAGTACATAGAGAGACTCTTTGGCCTTATCATAGGTACCACCCTATGCTCTCACGAGACGAGCAACAATGTGGCAAAAGTTGTAGAGCTCCCCAAGTAGCAACCAACCTAAACCAACCCTCTCTTTTCGTTTTACCCTCACCCCACACCTGCGATAGCTCTCCCCCATCCTGATAACTGGAGCGCAGTCAAGGAAGAGTCTCGACCGCCCTGGCAGGGAACGAGGTGTATGGATTCGGGTAATGACGCGGGATAATCAAGAGCGTGGAACTTTCCTCCAAGCTCTAGGCTGGAACTGGGCAGTCTAAGACGCGCCGCAATGAGGGGCAGCCGTCAGTCGCACAGAACACCGCTGGGTTGGACGATGCGCGAGCTTGGTGGTTTCTCATCCACGGCTCACGGCTCGCTCACTCATCCTCCCAGAGCAACTCGGTCGCATTCCCGATCCTGATCGCGTCCTCCACATCCCTCCAATTCATCCAATCCCGACCCATCGCACCATCACTGCGGGCCTGAGCCGCGGTCATAGCTATTTAATCCATTGCGCGCCTGTCCACGATACCCGGAGCTTCACCTCACCTCTCGCTCTTCTTGGTCGTCCATTATCTAACGTTCCGATTCTCTCTACGCCCCTCAGACGATACCCCTTTTGCACAGGAAGCTGCAACTTTGTAACAGATACCCAACAAAAAGTTACTTGACTTTGTGTTTCCTCGGTGGAACGAGCACCGACCACTCAACTCCAAAAAACCCGTCCCTCACCAAGTCTTTGCTCTTCCCTGTAACCCCGCAATCCATTCATCATGGCCGGCACTGAGGGCAAAAGCGTATGTTTACCTCCTTCGCAAAGACCTTGTCCCCGCCGGGGAGGTCTTTGTCCCCGCCGGGAAAAGCTTCAGCAACATCTACTTACACGCGTAGAATCTCTCCTTCATCCTCAACAAGCCCCACGACGTCGAGTTCGCCGAGCGCCCCGTCCCTAAGCTCTCCGACCCCCACAATGTCCTCGTCGCCATCAACTACACCGGTATCTGCGGCTCCGATGTTCACTACTGGGAGCACGGCGCCATCGGCCACTTTGTCGTCAAGGACCCCATGGTCCTCGGCCACGAGTCCGCTGGTACCGTCATTCAGGTCGGCGAGAACGTGAAAACTCTCCAAGTCGGCGACCGCATCGCGCTTGAGCCCGGCTACCCTTGCCGTCGCTGCGGAGACTGCCTTGCTGGTCACTACAACCTCTGCCCCGAGATGCGCTTCGCCGCGACTCCCCCCTACGATGGCACCCTCACCGGTTTCTGGACCGCCCCCTCCGATTTTTGCTACAAGCTGCCCGATAACGTCTCCTTGCAAGAGGGAGCTCTGATTGAGCCCTTGGCCGTCGCCGTCCACATCACAAAGCAGGCCCGAATCACCCCCGGCGCCTCCGTCGTCGTCATGGGCGCCGGCCCCGTCGGTCTTCTCTGCGCCGCCGTCGCAAAGTCCTTTGGTGCCACCAAGGTTGTCAGCGTCGACATTGTCCAGTCCAAGCTCGACTTCGCAAAGGACCTAGCCTCTACCCACACCTACCTCTCCCAGCGCGTCTCGGCCGAGGAGAACGCCAAGGCCCTCATCAAGCAGTGCGATCTCGGCGCAGGAGCCGACTGTGTCATCGACGCCAGCGGCGCCGAGCCCTCTATCCAGACCAGTTTGCACGTCGTCAGGATGGGCGGCACCTATGTCCAGGGTGGCATGGGCAAGGCCGACATCAACTTCCCCATCATGGCTCTCTGCTTGAAGGAGGTTACTGCCCGCGGCAGTTTCCGCTACGGCCCCGGTGACTACAAGCTCGCTATCGACCTTGTCGCCAACGGTAGCGTCAACGTGAAGAAGCTTGTTTCCGGCATTGTCGAGTTCAAGCAGGCCGAGGAGGCTTTCAAGAAGGTCAAGGAGGGTCAAGTCATCAAGATCCTCATCGCCGGCCCCAACGAGAAGGTCGATGGCACCTTCAGCACCGAGGTGGACCCTAAGAAGGCGGCCGAGAACGGCGACAAGGGCGGATGCTGCTGAGCGATCGGCGGGGATCACAAGAGTTAGATAGAAAAAGCGATGACTGGCGAGCGGATGGTATTGAAAATGGGCGTATCAGGCGGATTTGCCATGTATTTCTCGGCGCATGCAGCATGTTTGGATGGGTTTTGATGAAGCGGAGCGAGGGGCACAATGTATGTTTGCATTGAATTTGATTAACCAAGAATCATACCCTTTCTGCACTTTATGGGCTTACGGAGTATTCCCACACTCCTCATGCCAACTCCGGCTCTCCCAAGGGGCTGGCAAGATTTGCCGACGCTGAAAAAGGTAATTTGCTATCTGGAGGCTGCCTCTCTCTGCCTAGAGCATCGTCAGTCCCACAGATCAAGCATCATACGACAACCTGCGCCCTTTATGAATTAGTGTCGGTGTCGTCTGAAACCTCACCACAAGGCAATGGTTACTGGCGGATTGTTATGTGTTAGCTGTCTGCCATTAGTCACACCCAACGGTCGCGTAATTCCGAGTCATCGCTATCGCGACAACGCAGAGCCTTATTTCCCCCATGTGCCCATGCATGTGCCCATGTCACTTGGTGGAAAGGAAGCACCCATTCACGGCCACGAGATAAACGAGTCACAGGCATGCAAACTGCGCAAAACTCCGCCCTCCCGTTCAGCTGAAGGCGCCACCAAGCGCACTAGTAGCTCGAGCGTCACTCTTGGCCCCCGAACCGGCCTAGCCCGGACGCCTCGGGGTCCACAACCTCACCCGTTCCGCCCTCTCACCCCCGGTCACCGCGGAATCTCTAATGTCCCCCATATGAACCCTGATCAAGCCGGGCAACTCGACCTCAGACATGGACGAGGTAATGGCACACACAGCAGCCACCAGTGAGAACAAACGTTCGCACCCACGACTCACCACAAGACCATGCCGACCACCCGCATTACCGCAGCCTTGCCAAGGCCAGCCATGTCAACCTTGCAGATTAGCTGAGCCACTGAACAAGCACTCAACCGCACTAGACCCCGACTCATGGCTACTCACGGCCGTTTCTAGCTTGTATAGAATCCACAATTAGGCTTTCTTCGTCTCTATACACCAATCTGGGAACCAAGCCTCTCACAGGCCCGGTCACTTTGTTGTATGGGAGCCTCATGCAAATCTCCCGCTAGACTCAAGCCTCTCCTGGGGCTGGCTCACAACAAGAACCCTGCATCACGATAGACGCCATCAGGCACATGTGGCACGCCCAAAGAGCGGAAAAGAATGGAGGCTGATAGACGGAATGGTCTGGTTGGCTGCATGGGAGATGTGGGCGACGATGTCGGCTGCCCCCTCCCTTGACTCGTCCTTCTCACATTCTGTTTGAGTCTCACGCCATAAGTATGTCTGTACCTGCCCATGTCCACCATGGCGCTCTTGGTTCTCTTGTCCCCGGTTTCCCACGATCTCTACGACACCTTCTTCCCACCCACGCCGACGCCACGGCTGCTGAGACTGTCGAGTCGACAGAAGACAAGATCATCCCTTCTCGCTACACAGCCTTCCTTGCCCATATCTAGCATCCTTTGCTCTTCAACTTTGGAGCATCATGGAAAATTCCCAACATCACCAACAGCCCCAGATGCAGCCGCAAACACAGCCTCAACCCCAGGTTCAGCATCAACCACAGCAGTATACCCATCATGCTTCAACCGGCCCCCCACCACCTATGATCATGACACCTGCGTGGATAATTGCTATCCGTGGCGTTCAGTTTTTCCTCGCCATTGTGATCCTCGGCTTGTCAGCAGCTATCATTCACTGGGTATACATGGATGAGCTCGGCCTCGCCATCGCCATTGTACGTCGTTTTCTCTATGAACGCTCCAATCTTTCCATGCCCTTATGTTATCGCCAAGCTCTTGAAAACTCCCCAAACTCACACAATCAGCCTCTCTTCACATGGATCATTGTGCTTTACGCAGTACTTTCCGAAAAGATTTCTTCTCTCCGCAGCCTCTACCATACCTACGCTGTCCTCGCCCTGGACCTCTTCCTGGTCATCCTCTGGCTCGCGACTATGGGCGCCTGCGCCGCCCGTCGCTCAACCTTCACGGTTGACGTGACAGCATCGTGCACCTCGGATGGCTCTGCTGTGAACTCGGGAAGTTGTACCGTGTACAAGAGGTTCATCGTTATGAGCCAGGGGGCATTGGCAATGTTCTCTGCGATTGCAGGGCTGTCTGCTCTCCAGTTCATTCTCTTCTTGGTAACCTTCATCTGGACTCTAGTCCAATTCCTGAATTGGAGAAAGACCAACGCGCCTGCCGCTGCCGCGAGTGCTAGCCAGGGCGAGATCCAGATGGAGTCCAAGCAGCCGTTCCTCACACAGCAAACAGCGTACCAGCAGCCGCACAACGCCCAGGTCCCCCAGCAGCAGCAGCAGCAGCAGCAGCAGCAGCAACAATTCTACCCGCCTCAATCCTACACACCTCAGCCGCAGGCTGCTCAACAGTACCAACAGCAACCGCCTCAGCAGTTCCAGGAGATGTCCAGCCAGCAGCCCCAGCAACAACAATACCCTCAGCAGACTCCTCCGACCCAGAACTACACTCAACAGCCGCAGGATTTTCAGCAACACCAGCAGCAGTACTCTCCTCAGCCCTATACCCCTTCACCCGTCAACGGCACGGTTTCGCCGACGAATTCTCCGCCCCCTCAAGGACAGACTTATGCCTACCCCCCTCAGGAGCTTCGGTAGACATTGGTCGTGAGGCACGAAGACACGACGGTGAACTGATGAACTGAAACTTGTATGAATGGCATAAAACTGCTCGTTGTATGACGAGTTGTCGTACTGGATGGTTTGGTCGATGGATTGGTCTGTTTTCTTGGGTTGATGGAGTTGGTGTGAGGTTGGCAGGGACGCTGAAGTCTCATGAGTTGCTAGTTGCTTGCTTCGATTTGGATGATACCTTTATATAAATGCTTTAATGAGATTGTCCCGTTTTCCAATGAAGAACAAGCCGCGGAAATCCTGTCATTATGTGACTTTGATCCCACCCGTGCTGCGCTTGAACGAACATGTCTTGGTCATGAGACAGATTCCGCCACAACTTGAGGCCAACGCCGTCCAAAGTAGCGTAAGCTTTATCTCTTAATTGCCTGCCAGATTTGGAAAGCCTAGACTGCATTTGAAATGGGATACATTGTCATCAGGCAGGGCTTAGCTGCAGCAACAAATCTGAAGCAGGGAAGATGTAATTTTTTTAGTCTTCAACAGCCTAGAATACAGTGCTTAATACCATGTGATTGTTGGGTACATATTTGCTTATCACGATTTATGAACACGAGATCGCACTCTCCCTGTCGATCATCTCGTTGATTATGCTTGCCCTTGGCGACAGGCCCTTTTGCCCAACTGTCCATTTTGTCCTTCAGGAAAGTTCACCCTCCAGATCGTGCTGTGATGTGGACAACTATTTTTCTCTAATTGAAACAGTTGGCCGGAGAAACTTGGGACTAGTGGTATCGAAGCGCCGACTTGTATGACATCTCCCGAGATAAAGACGTACGCGCTCAGCATATCACTCGTCTTCAAGGCTGAGAAACTCATCCTGAGAGCATGTTTTCTTCTTGAAGTTTTGCGCGCTGGACGTGATGTATGACTTGTTTCACTCTTTCACATGAGAACACCGCTGGAGAGCCTCATTATTATAATCATAATCAACAGCTCGAAGGAAAGTATTGAAGTGGAGAAAGAGCGCCAGCTTCATTTTGCAAGATGATTAAATCTGCAAGTAGTTCTACACGGCAACCATCACGGGTGTTGCCTAAGAAGCGGTGGTGCTCCCTTAATTTGCTGCTTTGGCTCAATTGCACTCTCGTGGCAAGTGGTTTGAGCCGGTCGTGCTCAGGCAGAAGCTTCAACCCGCACATCACAGATTCATAGGGAATAGCTTCCAAATGGACTTTCTCTAGATACATTCAATAAACAAGCAGATAAATCTCTTCGGTGCGATGAAACTCTCAATTACCAATATCATCCCATCAACTCAAAATTATTGGAAATCAACTCTTTATTCTTTAATATGAAGACCTATATGAACGTAGCTCTTCTCTTCTAGACCGTTTCTCCAGCAACACACGCCTCTGGTGCCGCGGGAGGGGTCGCAAGATTGGATAGAAGGAGAGATCGCCTACGCCGAGACCTACAATATCACCCTTCGGGATAGCGACACCAGCATTGACAACCGCGGCGTGGTCCTGGCTCGTTACAACGACGCACATCGGTAAATACTTCATGGCCCTTAGGGGTTTCCCACTCCTTGCAGAAATGTCTTTCATCACCTACCTGGTATCTTTGTGACGCCGAAACCGAATTTGAGGCAATTCTTCGTTGGGATCTTATAACTTGCATATCAACAGCAGACAAAGTTCGTTTTATTTGACTTTGCCTGGGTGTTCTAATATCCATTATCGGCCACTTCCGAGGCTTAATCTAGCAGATCCCTATGAAAATGTGTCAACCTTTAATACAGTCGGGCTTTCTCGGATGCCTTCAAATCCACGAAAGACAACCCGAGGGCCAGCTCAGGAGGCCTGTGGCCATCTAACCAGCCCACGTGTCATTACCAAAAACTGAGTCCCAATCAATTACCAGACCGTCGGTAGCACAAGGCTGCTTTCCCTACCAACAAGGTAAGGAGAGCGAGTCAAGCCAAGGCTTCTGGGCCTGGTCGACACCAGTCCGTGGTTTCCAGATTAGTCAATCTGTAAGGGGAAGAGCTGGCCTGGCTTTCACCTGACGGTCATTTCGGTCACTCCTCATTCTAGGGTAGTTTGCTGCAGCGAGAATCACTCGAAGATTCTGGTGCTCGATCTTTGTAAAGTCGACGTCCTTATCTCATATGTAATGCGTGCCACATTCTGTTCCATCATCATCACCGCTTGCCCACTACTCGCCGGACTCTCCTGAAGAAAAAGCCCTTTAGTGACTATTCAATTCTTGAACAGTATCAATAACGTTTGCGTAAAGAGGTTAATGGAATACACTCAGAGACAAATGTCGCTCGATCTTCCAGCTGGTTGGGAATTGGCTAGGCATTCTCTTGCAGGTATCTCGTCGTACTAATGTCTACGCCTGTCATCGGGCGCTGAGGCTTCCCATATCTGGACATCACAGTCAAAAATCGCACTGGCCGAGGCACGTTGCGTTGGAAAAGTTCTTTTGTCTTCCTTCTCAGAAATGGGCATGGCAGTCTTGAATCATCTTTGATGTCATTCTCAAAATTTAGCAAAGAGGGAGACACTTGCCGGGGTATCGACAGAGGCTTCAACATACCCTTTAGGCTGAACGGGCTTTCGATCTATAGGCACTGCGTGACCGATCGATGCCCTTTCTTGCAAGAGAAAACCTTACGGTCGAAGGAATAGCGCGAGCTGTTCTAATAGCAATGTTCTTAAGTCAATCCCCCCTCGCCGTTCTCAAATGTTCAACACAGCGCTTGAGGATACTAGTACCCAGATGACCCAGATGGGGGCTTCCACTTCAAGGGAATCAAGGATACTGAATCGTCTGCATGTGACTCTGAGATCAGTCTACAAGCCTTTGTTGATACTTTATGGAAGAGCTGTCTCTATTCGTGCAGTAAAGAGAAGCAGACTATTGGCACAACTCGCAGCTGAAAATCTGAAGACAAGCTCAAGTAGCTGAATGGTCTTTCTTCCCTGTGGCTCTGAAACGTACGGGCATATGAATTAACGGCATCGACAATCGTAACGGTCGCACTGTGCCATTCAAACGCCCCTGTAGCATTGTAACGGCACTTGACGAGCCTCAAATGCGGCCAGGGTAGCTTAATCAAATGCCAGACTTCGACATCGTGACGTAGAAGGTCTTGACACGGCCGCCATGCAGCCGGGTTGACCACCTTGTTGACCAGGCCCTCCCGTAACTTCCGCGGCGAAGTTTCCCCATCATGAAGCCTGTCGTTATATGCATGGGGTGGAGTGGATGTTTCCGGAAGTGACTTCAGGCTCCTGCGTCACGGTCTCCCCGAGAAAGTTACTTGGCGGACCACAAGGTCCGGTTTGCGTGCTACCATCGCGGCCGCGCTGGGAGACTGGATGTTTCTCTGGATATGCGAGATATCAAGTCCTTCGAAATCTGTTTGTGCCTAGGACTAGTGCCTAGGACTAGTTTAACCGCGCGTTTGGCATGAAACTGGACTACAAAGTGTTTCGGCTACAACAGCTCGCCATTCTCTCCCTAACCGGGCCACGAGGTAGACAAGCGGGATTTTGTATGGTCGGCACGGACGCCGTGGAGGGAAAAGAGAAAACGAAATAAAGTGCCACTCTCTGCCGAACGTGTACCGGTATTTCTCGCCGATACTACCACACTACTATGGTGGACAAGCATCCGCACTAGCGCCCGTTGCAAGAAAATCGTTGGCGTTTGTGCGTCATCGTCAAAGGTATGAATTAGCGGGTAAAGATTTGAGTCAAGGCTCGGGTTCTATTTCGATCTTCCACCTTTTCAACCTTTCATTAGATTCATTTTCATGAAAGATCCAAGTCACAAGTGGTCAACCGCCAGGTCTGACCCACGATATCCATAACACAGATGTAGACCGAGTTGTGGAGGGAATCCGGTTGCGGCAAGCTGTGCTTGGCGTTGGCAGCGTTTCTTTTTGTCACCGGCGGAGTTGACCCGGGAAGACTTCCCGTCGACACGTCTTGATTAGTTGTTCTCTCTCATAAACAAAATTCCTATGGCCGATGGAAACGTGATGTGCGGATGTCGACAAGGGGGAATCTCAGATTCATTTGCCCATGTTGTGCATTGGCACACTGTCAAGATCCCAGTGTTCCGTCTGCGGCTTCGGCTGCGAGAATGTGACAATCCTGTGGCTCTCTTTTCCTTGTGCCTCAGGAATCAGCCAACTGACATTGCCCCATGGGTCATTGGAGATGGAGATGCGAACAAGACCCAGGTTGCACTGAACTGAGCCCACTTGAAAACCCCAGCGTTCCTCTCCAGGCCCCCATTTTAGAGACCCCATAGGGAGTTCTGGGGGGGTTGAGCCTGCGCGAGGGGGGTCGGAGACTCGGAGGAGCAATATAATTAGCGGCGAGTCAGGTGGTTGCATTGTCCGGCATCCAGTCCAGTTTTCTCGTATGATGGAGGAAACCCAGTCATTGTCAACCAGCGAAGATGTACAACGGCGGTGTAGGTGACGTCTGTTTTGACATCGGCAATGAGTTACCAATCGAATAGGCTTGGCCAATGATGTCGACTTTGCACGGCAGGTTGATTCTGCAAACATGAGTCCTCTGAACCAGAGCGCCGTGGGAGGCAGTGAATTGTAGTATTATGCTTTTGATAGCAGACACACACGTACACTCTGAACCCCCAGAGCCAAAGGAGACCCATCCAATTCCTGCTCTTGCGTCTTTCCAAAGAAAAGCATAAACATGTCCGTTTGTGTAGTTGCTGTACCCGTTTGCCAGATAGACCACTCAATCATGAAACTCCGTCTCGTTCGTTTCCCTGAAATAGCCCCCATTACCCATTTCATTCTCCGTAAAAACCAATCAGGCCAAGAAAGTGTTGGGTTTTTTCCAATGCTCTCATTTTTTGAACTCCAAATCGCCTGTAGTAAATCGCTCGAATTTGACTCTGTTGGGGTCGACACCCTGGTTAATGAGGAACTGTGACATCTCAACCATGAAGATCTCAGGTCCGCAGATGTAGTACTCCGCACCGCCATGACTGAGGTAGAGCTCTTCGGGTGCTATCCGCGCAAGATCCATGCGAAGGCCAAAGTCGCTTGAGGAGGAGAGCGAGTCGTCGTCTTCGACATCGGCGATTTGAGAACGGAAGAACTTGGTGATGAAGTTGGCGCGACTGTAAGCGATCTTGCGGATATGCTCTTCAAAAGGGGCGGCGCGAGCTGAGCAGTGAATCCAGGAGATGGGGCGGACAGCCTGGCGCTCGATGATGGTGTTGCAGATGGACATCAGAGGGGTGACGCCCACACCGGCGGAGATGAGTACGACGGGGAGAGTGCCGGCGGCGTGGGTGTCGAAAAAGAAATCGCCAGTAGGATGTGTCAGCTCGACAATGTCACCTGGCTTCTTCTCGTCGATGAGGTGGTTGGAGAAGACACCAGGGTTGAGGTGGAAGACGGCCGCGCCCTTGCCAACCTTGGCGCCTTGGTCACGTTTCACGGTAATACGGTAGTAATCAGGTCGCGGTGAGTCACTGAGTGAGTACTGTCGTGACTGCAAGTGGCCCAACATAGGAATCGTGGTACGGATCGAGGTGTATTGGCCTGGGTAGAAGTCGGGAAGTCGTTTGCCGTCGACCGGCACCAAGTAGAAGGAGAAGATGTCGTCCGTCTCGGCAACCTTCCTCTCGATGCGGAAATCGCGCCATCCCTTCCACTTGTCATCGTCGAATTCGCGATACATCTGGGCCTCGCGGCCGATGAGCATCTTTGCGAGAATCCAGTAGGCCTTTGTCCAGGCCTCGCGGATCTCTGGGGTCATGGTTGGACCGAGGATCTGCCCAAAGGCCTGGATGAGGTACTTGCCCACGATGTCATAGTGTTCGGGCAGAATTCCAAGGGAGCAGTGCTTGTTGCACATACGCTCAAGCTTTGGAATTAGCTCGCTGATGTGGTTGAGGTTTGCGGCGAAAGATAGGATGACGCCGGTCAAGGCGCGGGGTTGGCGGCCGTTGGCCTGGTTAACCTTGTTGAAATGGTCATGAAGTTCGGGATGAGCTCGGAGCATATTGGCATAAAATATAGTTGTGATAGTCTCGCCGTGCTCACGGAGAGCCGGGATCGTGCCCCTGACGAGTTGTGATTGCTTGTATGTCAAAGCCATGGTTGTGAAGATGTGATGGGGAGAAACTTTTGCTTCGCTTGAGAATGCTGTTCTCCGGTCCTCGGCTGATGGCGAATAGTCTGAAAACCAAAAACGGGAACCCTTGCGGTTCTAGAGTACGTCTCGTGCCTAGGAATGGGATCGAGGATGGATATCTGGGAGCAGACTTGAAGAGGGGCGAATGTTAAATGGGGCATCAACAAGAAAATGCACCGACGCTGGATGGTATCCGTCTGTGTGATAATGAGAGCCGAATCCTGGGGTTTGGGAACACAAAAGCACACGTCTTTCCTGGCCGTCGGGTTCGGGCCCTGCAGGAAAGATATAGAAACTTTTAATTCCAGCCCAAGATGCCTTCGTGTAGGAACACTCTGAGAGACAGAGCTCAGTCCTGTCTCCCCCCTCCCCCTCGTCGTGCGACGTCGTCGCGTGCGCTCGAGTCCCCACGGTCTGCATGCTTCGAATCAGGCACCGCCTGTCTCGACGGATAGACATCGTATGATTTGTATCCCGTAGTGTAAAAAGAAAGCTGGTTCCTCACTAGAACACGGCTCTCATGGGCCATACATGCATGGATTCAAGGGTGGGAGGCACATGGAGAAAGACGTTGGGCGCCGTTGATGCTTCATCCAAGGAGCAGCACCAATGGTAACCGGGCGTTCGCGACGAACCGAGGAGCGGTTCAAAGTCAGCCCTGTCCGTCGGCGGGTGGTACAAGACCGGGGAACCAGGGTTATCAGGGATACCAGGATGTCAAAGGCACCAAGGGGAAACTCTGCAGGGGTATCAACTGGACCCTGAGGGTGGCCCGAAGCCTCTCCAGCGGGACACCCCCCATAAGCTGCCGAGCAAACCGAAGCAACGAGGAGCTCCGGGGGGTTTTCTAGAAGTACGCTAAGAGGGAGGCGGGTTTGTGGATGTTCCGCAAAACTTTTGCTGCATGCAGTCCAACCTGCCGCGAGGGGAATAAACTGGAGTTATTGGTGGCATTGAAGAGTGGTGATTGGGGATTTCGTGGAGACAAGCCCGCGGTCTGGTCACCCAGTCTGTCCTATATGAACGGGCATAGTCCCAATCCTTCTGCTTAGAGTGGCTGTAGTATCCTTTGACATAGAAAATGACAATTCGGACAGAAAACCCCGGGCCGCGATGAAGGCAGCGGTTGGAGGTGACTCGACTCTGCGGTCTTCTGGCTCGTCCCTTGTTCCTAACAGACGTCAGTGACACGCGATATCCAGTGGAGTAGGGAACACGCCACAGCAGGGAATTCCCGAGTTGCAAATGCAAACTCGTATGATGAGAATTGCAGTTTCCGCAATGCCTAATTGGGGGTCCTGGGTCCACGGGGGGGTCGCCCAATTATCTCAATATTGATCCACGAAGGTACTTGACGCCATGCAAGGCTTTTCTTGCAGAGAGTCAGAGACAGCGAAAACTCAGAGGTGTGCGTGTGAGAGAAAAAGAGAGAGAAAACGGGGGAACAGAGGTGACCAGGGTTGAGCGGCACATAACCACAAACACTGTGACGCTTCTCCAGTTAACCCAGGAGCGGTTTTTTACTTTCCGATTCCCCTGGGGGGAGACAACGTCCGTGTGTCATGGACGGCATATTGTTCGGGTTTCTGCCCACTCTGTTGGAGTCGGGGTTGGCTTTGGGACTGGGTCCTGCGCTCAAATCTCAGCTTATCCGTAGATTCCATTATTACGACGTCGGGAAGAGAACTGAGTCTTACCAAGTGCCACAAGTCACAATATCAGCTGGTGGAGTTGCAATCATGTACCGTTTCTTCATCAAGTTTCAACTTGAGCCAAGGGATTGAGTGGAGCTGTCTTTCTTTGTAACTTGCACTGGCCAGTTCGGCTTCGCAGTACTCGAACGGGTTGGTTCCTTTCGCTTATGACTGGAATCTGCAGTGCAGGCACATGGTCAATGAAAAAATCTGATGGAATGGAAATCTGCCAGGGCTTCTTTCATCTCGGTCGGCGGGGTCCGCACTTGTCGAGATTGTAGAAGCTTACATGTACTCACAGTATATCGTCACGCCACGATCTCCCAGCCTCATCTTGTTCATCGTCTCCTAAGGGTAGGTGGTGTTAAGACGGGAACGCCATCGAATGTCGACGCCGTCCATTGTCGGGATTCCCCGGGCTTTGACGGCGCAAAGCTCATCAGCAACCCCGAACACACTCCGCATACAACCCTGGGCAGTATTGAGTAGCCTGCTTTTCTGGCCTCGAAAATGGAAGCCGTCATTAGCGGATCAGAGCCTTCCACACACAATTATCAGATTGGCAATGTCACTTTCCACCTACCAAAGCCCGCCTACCGGGCCCCCCAGTGATGTGATGGAGATCTCCAAAGATCTCGATGGACTAACAAAACATTGAGTAGGGGGCCAAGAGGCCCTCGCAAAGGCCTCCTCAAATTTCCAAGGTGCCTACCTCTCATCATTTGTGACAGGTGTCAAGTTACAATGCAAACATTGCAAGACGAGGCTCTCCACGCGGCGGCCGCAAACATGCCGCTTGAATCTACTGAACGCCGAGCAGAAGATTAGTGGTCGGCGGATGACGGAACTCCTCAGGCATAGCGCAAGTCCAACTGCAGGCGAAGATTCTCACCTAAGCCTATCCGTAAAGTAAAAGTGACGAGCGGGTTGATAGACCCAATTACCCCTCCACCCTTGTTGCTCAATGGACCGAGGCGTAACGAAACGGAATGTGACATGTCGTTTTGTCGCGAAGGCTTCATCCCCCAACAAAAAAATGTTTGCTCCTCGGATTGATCTTTTTGACGCCACCAAAGGAACCAGACTCTCAACTTGCGGCGCTCTTCAATACTGCGGCGGCCGTTTCATTTGCTTCTAGGTGCCCCGAAAGTGAGACTTGACGCATTGCAGGTGGCCCCAAGTTTTTTTAGTCGGGTCTGGGTCCTCTTCAAGATAATTGCATGAAATCTCCGGGGGATCCTGTGCCAACTTGCGTGATGCATCACACAAGCCAGGTGCTCGAGACCCTGTGCTGACAAGCAAACATTGTTCCAGGCCACGTCTAAGCAGAATGCAAGCTTGTTATGTTGCTGGTCTCGCACATTTGTGGTCTTGGAAGAAGCAATGTTCGTCCGTTAGCCAGTCGATATTTGACAAGCAAACATGTAGCTCGGGCGGTCTGGAGCCGCTTGGACTCCCGCGACCTTCAACACCAGACGGATTTCCTCGAGCCACATGGCATCCACGAGTACGACATGATGCACGTGGAAGAAGAAAGGGGATAACAGCACGGCTTCTTCCCCGGCCAAGCCACCAACGGGCTGCACATGCTGCACACGACCCAACTGAGCTCAGCCTGAACTTGACTAACTTGAGCTAGTGCCGGGCGGGTAAAATTTTGACGCTTCCAAAGCCGACGGCGTCGAAAATCTCTTTCGACTCCGTCAGACCCATGCCCAGGACAGTTAGCTCCTGGCACGACAGAGTTGTTTGCTTGCCAGGCTCCCGCTCATCACTCGTCGATGCGAAATTCCAACCCGTAGTTCGTTGCGTATCACGCCCGCAAGCTCGCTTCATGGCCTCCACCGTTTCGGGCACTAAGGATAGCTGGCGAGTCTGACGCTGGACCCATGTCTGTCTGACACAGTGCTTTTGACGTCGCGAGCAATACGGATGAGGGACTCTACATCCATGGCGCATACGGTGGGGCTGGCGAATGCACCGAGCCCGGCATCAAGTTCTGCAAGCGAAGGTGATATCGACTGACGGATCACAAATTGTGGTGATGATAGATTGCGGATCATGCTCATTCGGTCGCAGATTCGACGCCTCATTACTCTGAACTCGGCGCACGGGGTCGATGTGAAACTATCAAAGTCAGATTGAAGTCTAGTAGTGGCGAACATTTGTTGTTTAGTCTGCCGTCGCTGAAATCGGCGTGAACAGTAATCTGCCTGATCACGTCGTGACGTCCTAGACAAGGAAGGCAAGGTGACGAGTAACACGAACGCAGGCCTGTGGAGACTGCGTATGCATCGGCGTCTGAATGATGTCCTGGGTCCAGATTTGCTGCCACTTCGCCCCAACATCTCGTACGAGGCAGGCTGCTCCAGCGCCTCTAGCAAAGGATCGGACCGTTGAACTTGAATGAGTTGTTACTTCCGAAGGATTGGGATGATTTTGTGTGAACATGAGTTGCCGAGGATGAAGCCGCGGCTGCGGCGTAAAATAAACCCCGAGGCTATTGTAGGCCTGCGGCTGCGGGTATCGGCCAAATTTGTTCCTAGGTGTTGCGAACGACAGCCGTCATACCTGGAGTCTAATTTACCCAAGTCTGCTTAGCAGAAGTTAGTACTACCACTTACCGTGACTTCAGTGAAGTCATTGCGGCTCCTCGGATGCTGCATGCGTATGCATGGCTGCATACCTTACATGTAAAGTAGGTAGCAGGCTTACATTATCCATAAAGTGTTGTCAGTCAAGACATTCGGTTAGAGCCAGTAGCCGGCCAACCCACGCGTTCGTGTGGCAATGATACATCCAGAATGAGATGCCATTCAGCGCCCACCCTCAAACTAATCTTCCCAGGCCAGGCATGGGTGCTTCATGGCAGACTTGAGCTATACATTGTAAGCTACGTGAGACTTGCTGCCCTCGACATCTTCCCCCCACCAATGCCACACTACCTGTTCCGGTTGCGGAGTTGGTGCGGAGACTTAGGGCCCCGCCATCTTGACAAACCCAGTTGCCCAGGTTGATATCGAGATTGTCGAATAGTGGCCTGCGTCAATCACGTATCTCCATGTTGTTCAATGCAAAACATGATTCTCGGAAAAGAAATATGATTAGTCAAAGAGACGCTTCGTTGGTTGAACCAGATATTGCAACGGAGCCCACGTGTTGCAGGATGGCCTGCGTGCCCAGCATCAGATGCGGAGCCAGTTGGCAGCACACATATGTGAATGCAATTGCTTGCATGCGTTTCTTCAGCGAATATCGCATTGTTTCTGGGTAAGGTACTTAACAAACAAATTTCCGGCATGTTGGTAAGCTGTCCGTGCGAGTGCGGGTAGTAGTTGTGATGAAACGAGTTTGTCTGTTGGAAAAGATCCCATCTTAGAACGGCGATGAGGATACACGCAAAAAGAGTGGGATGAGACCTCTGCCGCACTTTGACTCGAATCCACGTGCAATATTCCCACCAAGAACTCCGGTTTCGCATTGCGCTGCAGAGACGGTTGTACCTCGAGCACTCTGTTGGGGGAAGATCTTGTGTGATAAGTTGAACGTTGGAGGCATCGCCGCATCGCTAAGCGTACCTAAAACCTCTATCAACGGCTTGAATAGACTCTCTAGCAGTTTCTCTGCAGACCAGATCCTTCGGATGAGGTTGTTATAGGTTAATGAAGCATGGAATGCACATCGATCGACCTGGACGAGAAAGCAACTCTCCCCACCTTCACTATCCAAAGATGAGGGAGAAGGCCCCCGGTAGTCAACCGCAGCCGTGGGATTCTGTGGTGATTCTGTTTGGCCGTGTCGGAAGTCACCGAGGTCCCTGGTAACGTTGAAGTCTTCTGTCCCAGAACAGGCTTCAATGAGTGAACGTGCCTCTTCGGGCAATGGAGACATGCACCTCGTCGTTGAATACTCCTGATTCGGTCTGTATAGGGAATCCTGCGGCAGATTTCTCAAGTCTGGGTGCAATGAAACACCAGCAGCGGCCATGACATGAGTGCATGGTGCAGACAAGTTTACCATTAGCAGGCCTTCTTCAAATTAGTTGAGCTGATTTAGACAGCGACAGGAGCTCAAACCCATGCTGTTGACATATGACACCAAAGCCGAGCCGCCGGAGTTGATGGTTAAGCGCTGAAGCTAGGTATTCTGGTTGCTTCTTGGCCTGGAGCAGGCTCGAGTAGCACAGCATGTGAGTGAAGCCCGAAGCCACAGGAGACTTTTGAATGAGAGGACGAAAATTCTGCCCTGCGCAATAAACATAACTCAGATATGAGCAGAGCTGGTAGGAATGGGTGCCAGAGCTTCGTGCTGGGAAGAAGTCCAGTTTGGCGACTTTGGGGACATGTCGGTGTCGTTTGGTTGTGGTTCGAGGAGCGGAGACTGGCCAATTTCCCAGGGTCGGCTTCGACTTGTGAGCTATCAAAGGCTAGTCTCGGATCCATCATCGCAGAAGCAGGTCGCAGAAGTACTGACATTGCATGTTAGAGACACTGCCGTCACAGTAGTTGAAAGGACTTCAATCCGGTATATCCGCACCAGTTGAAATAGCGAACAGTGTAGCGGTTGCGCGCGTGCTTCCCCAGGTCGACGTGCATTCCCGGGTACCTGACTAGGTTTCAAGCCTCGTGGCCTGTCAGATAGATTAACATGTTGGCGGTGAGCATCATGAAAGTTCCGCAGGGTCTCAGAGACCCAGACTTGACAGATGACAGGCGCAGGGTCAGGGGCATGACGTGTCGTCCGTCAGTGACATTTTGCAGTAGTGTGACGGATGCCCAATGTGTCGGTACCGAGTGTCGAGTGAACAATGTTGGCGCGCTGGGATGGGGCAGGCCGCAGGCCACAGAACGTGTGATTGCGCGAGTCAGGTAAAGCAAGGGGCTGTGATCCCCAGAGTTGAGAGGCGAGGGTGGATAGAGTAGGTAGAGTACCTTAGGTAGGAAGGAAATGTGAGATGTTGAATGGTAATGAAAACGTTGAAGTTGAAAATTCAACTAAACTTGTCAGCAAGGGCGACGGGGTGTCTCCAATGTCCCGAGGCGGCGTCGGGGGGGTGGGGGTAAGGCACCTTAGGGGAAGGACAAGAGGGACTCAGGATTGAGACAGCAGCGCCTTCCCGAAGCGTCACCCGGCAAGGCCCCGGTTTAGCCGGCCCGGGTCTGTGTCAGATCCCGGTCGGCTCCGAGTCGGAGCTGGGAAGCACGACCCCGCGTTTTCGGCATATGCCTGCCTATCTCGGAGCATCTTCACACACCCGGATGGCACTGGGCTTATCAGTCTACAACCACGCAACCTAAGGTAACGCAAGGTTCCTTCTATCTCACCTTACCTTAGCAGGGACAACTTCATTTCATCTCGTGAACGCGCCTTTCGCTTTTTCTTTTTTCTCTTCCCTTTTCTTTTTCCCCCCAACGCCTTCACTGTGTTGGATCTGCGTTATAACTTATCTCAGCACCTTACCTTGGACGCTACATCCCAAAAGTCCTCCCAAATGTCCGAGACTCCCTTCCCAGTACCCAATGCCATCACTCCGTATTGGCGGAGGGAGCTGCACGCTCTTGACAGCCACCAAAGCTCCGATACTCTGCCGGCGGAGCAGGACATTGTCATCATTGGCGCCGGATACTCGGGTGCAGCTCTAGCGTATTACCTCTTGGATGAGACCGATCCGTCATCGCGCCCGACTGTCACGATCCTCGAAGCGAGGCAAGCATGCTCTGGCGCAACAGCCCGCAATGGTTCACCACTCTCCTCCCCTGCAGCACGTATGATGCCAGACTAACGTCAGCAAGGCGGCCACGTCAGACCGGATCTCTACGCTGGCCTTCCCGCTCGCGCCAAAAGATTCGGACAAGAGGTAGCGGATGAGATGGCTCTATTTGAACTTGCTAATCTCCACGCCGTGAGAGATCTGGTACAGGTGAAGAACATTGACTGTGACTTCAGGATGACCACATCCATGGCTGTCTTGAGAGATGAGGCACTTGCGAAGCCCATCAAAGAAGGCCTGGATGAGCTTCTGCAGCTGGGATCGCCAACCGCAAAGCTTGTCCACTACCTCGAAGGCAAGGAGGCAGCGACATTCTCCGGTGTCAAAGGAGCAACCGCCGTCTTTTCATTTCAGGCGGGCTCCATCTGGTATAGTCTCGCCGAACCGCGGCCGTCCTGCCGTTGACGCCGGTCCAAAAGCTAACCCCGCTTACCAAGGCCCTACAAGCTGGTTCTATTCCTCCTGTCGCAAGCTGTCGACAAGGGAGCCCAGCTACACACTCACACGCCCGTTACCAAAGTTTCCGACTCCCGACAGGACGGCTTCTGGACCGTAACCACGCCCAGAGGTGTCATTAGGGCAAAGACTGTCCTCTATGCTTCCAACGGGTACACGTCAACAATCCTCCCAGAGTACAAGAACCGCATCATCCCAGTCCGCGGGATCTGCAGCCATGTGGCTGCTCCCGACGGTGCCGAGCATCCACATCTCCCAATGACATATTCACTGCGGCATGGAACCAACCTCTATGACTACCAAGTCACGCGGCCAGACGGTAGCATCGTGGTCGGCGGTGCTAGGATCGAAGTTATCCCGCGCGTCAACGAATGGTACAACGTCTGGGACGATTCGAAGCTCATCGAGCCCGCTGCTCATTACTTTGATGACTACATGCAAAGGAACTTCCGTGGTTGGGAAACCAGCGGGGCCAAAGCTGACAGCGTCTGGACGGGAATCATGGGGGTGAGTTTTTGCTGCGCCCCGCGTATCTGATGGACACCAAGGATGATCTGGAGAGATGAAGACTGACACAAACGGGCATAGTACACCAACGATACCTACCCCCATGTCGGACCTGTGCCTTCAAAACCAGGGCAATTCATCTGCGCGGGGTTCAACGGACATGGCATGTCATTCATTCTGTTGACAGCCAAGGGTTTGGCAAAGATAGTACGGGAAGATGTGCCATTTTCGCAGTCCGGTATTCCACGGCTGTTCGAGACGAGTGAGCGCAGACTTCAAGAGGAAAAGAATGAGCTGCTCGGATAACTAGCCGGACTAATCCGGATGCCATAATCTGCCCACGCCGGATGATAGTTAGCATAGCTCATGAAAAGATGCCCGCTTTGATACCTACACGAGAACACTTGCGAGTACTCGGAACACTGAATCGCGGAGAAGATCCCGCATAGGAACGACGGATAACAAAGCGATAGCTTACTAATGGCAAATTTGTTGCCAAAGGTTCGGTCTGACGCTGCAGAAGTGCGGCGTTGTCAGCAGATGCCGAACCATCGTGTTCCGAGTCCCGCCGAACCCCTGCTCCAACCGTGCCACGCGGCATCGGACGATGATCATATCTGCAAGGCTGAGCTCAAAGCCTACTTTTAATACACTACTTTCGGCTGCATGCAGTATTTGACAGGGAGACTAATTGGGAATAGCCATGTGGGTTGTCGTCTTTTGTTTTATGGAGCACGTCGCGAATGTGTGTCGTTGGTGGCACGGATGGTTCTTGTTCCTCGATGTCTCCGGACAGACGCAGACAGACGGGCTGCCAAGACGCGGACGCATGTCGGTTCTACAAGGCAGATTAGGTATGATATGTCATTGATTTATTATTCGTCAATCGTCACACTATGTAAGATTATGTACTGCCGTCTGTCGGCGACAAATCGGCCTTGACCACATCACTTTGGGCTTCCCAACTTCATCATATTATTTTGAATCACTAGAGGATGAGATTAGCCACAGCGCATGATCATGTGGTTGAGGACTTTTGCTTACGATATCGATCCATCTAGCCATCCACTTGTTGACGGCAGCCTTGGCCTCATCGACAAGGCCAAGCTCAAGAAGCAGTTGCACAGCGCCACGGATACCAGAGTCGAGAGCAGAGGCAATCCAGGCGTGGGTGTAGGAAGTGTGCTCGCCAATGAAGATCATCTAATTTGAAACCGTTAGAATCTCCGTCTTTTTGCAAGGAATCTCGTCAAGAGCAGTTCAGAACTTACATTGTCGTACGTCTTGAAGTACTCGGGTATGTAAAGCTCATGCTGGCCGGCAACGGGGCTCACCCAGCTGCCGCTCTCGAGCGGGTCGAGAACCCAGCAGCGGCGGTTGTACTTGCCAGTGTACAGTTCACGGGTGTTCTCGCCGTGGATCTCAACCATGGCATCGAGCACGTACTGAACGTGCTCGTCCTCCGAGACGGAAGCCCAGCGGTGGCCCCAGTCGCCCGAGACGTACGAGGCCAACATGGTGGCCTTGCCGGTGCCGTTGATGTTGTACGAAGGGTAGCACGTGGTGCCGATGCCAGCAATGTCAGAGGTGGTACTGCAACCGCCGACAATGGGGTTTTCGTAGTGCTCCCAGAAGCGCTCGGAGAACTCGAGGGCGACCTTGCAGGCGCTGGTATAGGGGAGCTCCTTGATGGCGTTGGAGATGGTCAGAGGCAGGGAGGGGAGGCGCCACTTGCGGATGATGGAGAAGGGAACAGCCAGCAGGGCGTAGTCGTACGAGGAGGTCTCAAAGGTCTGGTTCTTGAAGGACTCACGCCACTGGAGGTTGACCTTGGAGTTCTCCGAGTCGAACTGCACGCGCTCAATCTTGCGGTCCATGGTGGTGATGTCGTCGACCAGGGGGTGGAATGCCAGCGGGAGACGGCTGAGACCGCCGTCGATGGTCTTGTAGGACGCGGCTTGGAAGTACATGCCCTCGTAGAGAGTGTCCCAGAACGAGGTGGCAGTGTAGCTGCCCAGGGCGTCCGTAGAGTTGAGGGAGCCCTTCAGGTAGTTCACCATGAAGGCATACTCGGACCAAACATCGCCATCGAGGCCCTTGAGACCAGAGTCAAGGAACTCGCGGTGAGCTTTGAACATGTTCACGGCCATGCGGACAGAGAAATCACTGTCAGGAAGATACTCGTTGAGCTTCTCATTGAGGGCGTTGGTAGCGTCATCGTAGACAGTGGCGACTTCAAGAGAAGAGTTGGCAGCGATCTGAGCCAGAGTAGGAGGCAGACCGTTGGGGAGCTTGATGCCATTCTTGTACGAGAGACCGTTCTGGTTGGTTTGGATCCAGGGAATGAAGTCGACACTGAGGTTCTTGTCATGCTTGTTCAGGTCATTCATCTCTGCGGCAAGCTGGAAGACGAGCTGGTGGTCTGTGATGTTGTAGGTAGTGTTGGTCTTGGGGTCGACGTAATGCTCAGGGAAGCGCATGGGACCCATCTCCTGGTAAGAATAGTCAAAGGGACCGCCGCTGAGATACTCGGTGTGCACACGGCCACCCAGACGCTGACCAGCCTCGATGATGCTAATGTTGGTCATCCCCGCTTGCGAGAGGACGAGGTAGCTCATCAGACCAGCCATTCCGGCGCCGACAATGGCGACGTGCTTGGACTTGGCGGCGTCGACATCCACTGTGGCAGGCTCCTTGTCCTTGAGGAGGTTGACGCCCTCAAACCAGGCTCCAAGCGTGTCGATCCCGGTGCCGTTGTTCATTTCAATAGCTATGGCGCATTAGACTTTGCAACAATGCAGTATCATCGTAAGCGCACTTACATCTCTTCTGAACCCGACGCTTCCACTTGTGGTGAAGTGTCTGAGGTTCACTTCGGCCCTTCAACTCGCCAGAGACACTCCATGCGGAGATACATCCATCGGAAGCAGCATCCTCGGGGAGGACCCAGACGAGGCGCTGAGAGTCGCGCACCTCTGACTTAACGATGGTGTGGTGAGCATCGCTCAATGAGGCCCCCCGGCATGAACCATAGGTAAATGTGACGGTCTCCTCGATGGGCTCCTCGAGAGTGATGTGAATGTTGGAAACGCGAGAGGTGACCGCACTCCGCGTCTCAAGCTTCATGGGAAGTCCAGAAGCCGCCGCAAGGGCGCTTCCGGCAATGAAAGAGAGGAACCACCGAGCCATTGCAAATGGTGAAGGCCGATCAGAGTGAATCCGGGGTAAACTTGGCGTGAGGATGAGTCTCTGGAGATCTTCCCTCTTCTTTTCCAAGCTGCGCCCGCACCTCTTTATAGACAGGCGAGGGTCTCGATGATAGTTCGCCGGTCACTACCCGGGACGTCGTCAAATCGATATCAATCCCGGTGTAGGAACGTGGCCGATGGCCACAGCGTGAACCGTACCATCGGTGCCCAATCCATGAACATTACAATATTGGTCATCGGATGGCAGCCGGTTCGACCTTGGCGGTATGGGGCCGCTTACAAGTGACACTTGAACAACGGCAGATACAACGTCAAGGGTAGCTGGCTCTGGAACGACATTCAGCAAGCCTGAGCTCCATCGGAGACTTTCAAAGTTCCCGCGCCTTTTGCTCCTTTTCCCTTGCAAGAAGCAGCAACCATACCAGAAGAAGCAGGTGAGAAATGTCAACCAAAGGGCACTCCTATGGCTCACCATGTGGTTGCCATGCAGACTGACGTCGTACACGGGCGGACATCGTCTGTCTGGAGGATCCGAGTCATTGGACGATGGACGTTATCAGCGGAGGCGGTGCAGTGCAGGCGGGAAGATAGGGACAGGAAGCAATAGCGGCCGATGTCAACCAGTTTGGCGGGGCGACAAACCCATCCGACAGCCCCGTTCGCTACGAATCTTAGCCTCCGGAAGCCGCGGTGGGGAAGGAGGAGAGACCGCGAAGGATTGTGTGGAGGTTCAAGGTCAGCGAGACCGGGGACCTATCACACCGTTCATCTGCCGAAGCTATGTTGTTGGCGCCCTAGTTCGTCTCTGTGCGCCCTTAGGAGGAGCATGGCAGATTGAGTTAGATGGAGAGGCCAAGGATGTTGCTGCACTTTTCCGGCTCTGCCCGGAAGAGTCATAGATTGAAGTCATCTATTCCTGTGTGATGGCCAACGTCGCCCAAAGTACCTTGTGGTGATGGCGGCGCAGTCTTACATCCTAACTGTTGACCAATGCATTCCGTATAAGCTAGCGTAAGCTCGCCCGAGATCAAGTTGTGTAACAGAACATGTACGGCTACCCATAGGCAGAAACCAGAGAAGACTGCCTCGCGCCGCTTGGCATATTCCTTCTTTCTGACATAAGCAAGCTGGTTGAGGCTGCGATATCTACACTGGTAGATAAGATATAGCCAGATAAAGAAGACGACAACTCCATAGTTTGTCGGATCGTGTGCGTGAGTTGACCGGCCCGGCTCCGGTAACGGGGTGCTCTCAAGGTTGATTTGCTATCGTGGCATGGATAGGTCGCTGTGGTACCGGCAGTGTGGATTTGAGTGGGAAAGTTTTTTTGTCTTTGCCAGCCGGAAACCTGGGAACCTCGAATCAATAATGGAACGTAACTTTGAGGGGAAGAAGGAAGAAAAGAGACCCCTAAGGGAAGCTAGACGCGAGTTGAGATAAGGACAAATACCGCAACTCGGGGTAATCCAAGATTGAGGTGGACAAGAGTGCCGAACTCCCCACTAATTGGTTGAGATAGCCGATCCGAATTCCACGGGAAAAGATAAGAGATGCATTGGTTAGTCCCGGCATGTGGGCGGGAAGCAAGGTGGTGGGTGGTCTTGTTCAGAGAGACAGAGAAGAAACGTGAATAGGATAGACCAACGACTTTGCAAAGGAAAAAAAGTCATGATAGTTGTAGTTGACAACAGCCAAGGAAACTTACCTTGGCAACTGTCTCCCATGGGGAATATAGTGTGAGGGCGCAAGGGTTCAAGTCGCAGAAAGCATACTTTGCCGTAATGGCATCATGGACAGCCAATGGGCGCCCCGGAATGACAGAGAGTTCCGGGCGGGCATCTCCACAAACCCAGAGGTGCCGAGAGTTCTGGATATTGAACGCACCGCTTGGCTCGCTTCCGCGGCTCTGTCACTCTCTTCCCAATTGCCCAAGCCCGTAACTCCCCATCGTCTCCCGGCCCATCGGTCACGAGCAGTGATCCCATCGCAGAATCCGGGGTAATCTACGCCCGCAACTGTACGCCCGCACGATCGCATCTGCCGTGCACACAACCAAACAACCTTCAATCCCGTTGCCCAACACCGCGTAGCGTCAGGAACCGCTGGCTGGCGTCTCATCGCATTGGATAAAAAAGAAAGCCGGAGTTACACCAGAGCTGGGTTCTGGGACCTACGAGAAGCACGCAATGGCAGAAGTCACAGCAGCAGCAGCCGTAACATTGGAGACCCCGCCATGGTGGGCGGCGTTTCCTGCTCCCAAGGCCAAGTCGCCGGAAATCGAAGCAGATGAGGTGATGGGGTTGCTTGAGGCTCAAGATGCCGCAGGCAACGACACACCTCGAGATTTCCTGCTCGTCGATGTGCGCCGGCACGACTTTGAAGGCGGCACCATCTCAACGTCGATTAATTTTCCCGCCCAGTCCCTTTATCAGACAAGACCAATCATTCATCAGCTATGCAAACAAGCCGGTATCAAGCGTGTTGTATTTTACTGCGGTGAGTTCCGCTGTCTGTCTCTTGTGACTGTCTAACCACCCCCCCTTTTTTTGTCTTTTGGCATGGCCCCCTGCTGAAGCCGCTCAGGAAGCAGCAGTGGCCGTGGTCCCCGATCAGCGAACTGGCTGCAGGACTATTTTGACGAGATTGGCGAAACTTCTGTGCAGGCCGTCATTCTCAAAGGCGGCATCAAGGGCTGGGTTCGTAGGTATGGCAGCCACATGATGGACTGGTATGACGAGAAGGCCTGGGCCGGTCTCGACAAATAGAGACGTCCCGTCCTGGCTAACGGTGGGGTCCGCGCAGTCGAACTCCTAGACCGCCTGAATGTGACATTGTTGTGCTGGTATCTAGCATATTTCATCCCCATCCTTGTTTTTGAAACCAAAAATCATCTTTTTGCCGTCATAACGCCAACTTGTAAAACTTGCAATGTACTCTCGCGGAAGTAGACCACCATCAAAAGATGCTCCGATTACCGCTAGTGGTTGCGATCGTCGCCGCCGATTCTCTCGAGAGCCTCCAGCATGACAACGGAGTTGCCGCGGATGACCTGTTTGCATGTTAGTGTCCGTGTCTCAAGGCAAGTGAGTAGAGAGGGGGTCTTGGTTTACGTACCACCATGCCTATCCGGACCTTCTCGCCGCCCTCCTTCTCCTCCACCGCCTCGTCCAGCACAATGTTCAGGAAAACCTATGGCTCAGGTTAGCAGGGTTCGCGTCCGAGCAGATCGTCTGGAGATTGCGCACATCGTAACCGCGGAGGACACCGATAACCTTACGGCTGCCATTGAGCTGAACAAACAGTCTCTTGTCAAGATACTATTATGGAACACGTTAGCTCTCTGGCCTCGCGGACAGTAGTGCAGGGGACAACAAGGGATGGCCAAGCAGCTTGCAGGCAATCCGTTTTGGCAGTACATCGAACAAGTCCGGAGACTCTGGTATGTCCGTCAGGAATCGTGGCTTCCGTACCTTCTTCAGCTCGGGCTGTGCGGGCGCCATCTTGACTGATCGTGTAGGTGGGTGTAGTTAGTATGCCGAGGGGCAGTACAATGGGTGGGTGCCGATTTGATGATGTCGCGCGAGGTGAGCTTTGCGACGCGACGGAGCTCTCTGCAGCCTGGCCGAGGGGATCTCTCCGCCAGCGTTATCTGAAAATTGGGTGGGGTCACGTGGCGATTAGATAAGCTGTCATCGGAGCGCATCTACCTATCTAATCAAGATACCAATTCCATCTTTTGAAGCTGCCTGACTGACATCACAAAAACAAAAGTCACTTGTCGTGTGCTTCAGCTGTACAAAATGAGCGCGTTCACGCCAAAACGCAAAGCAAAAGTGATCAAAGTCCTCGACGATGACGAAGATGACACGATCAAAGCCTCGCCGACAGGCCAAGAACCAGTGAAGGATGGTGAGTCTGCAGCTCTCTTCCAAAGACCATGCGCTGATGCCATTCGCAAGGCTAATGGGTCTCTAGACGGTGAACCGATAGCAGTGAAATTTACGAGGAAACCATTCCGCCAATCCGGGTTGCGCAAGAGTATCAACTTCAACGAGATCGACGACTCGAATGGCGGCGTTGCGATCGGCACAGCCGCAAAATCCAAACCCAAGGTCGCGGCACAGGATGATGAGGAAGACGATGGGCCTGTGGTCATCCGTCCCTCGGTCAGCCGTTCGAGCTCGCTGAAACAGAAGAAGCGCCAGTCCTCCTCGCGATTGTCTTTTGGTGGCGCTGGAGGCGATGGCGAAGAGGCGACAAAGTCGCAGTACACAACACCCAAGAAGTCTACCCTGGGCCACCAGGCGCTCGAGAACAGCGCGCTTAAGAACCGATTGCCCATGCGGTCATTCCGCGACGAAGACGAAGATCGTCCAAAGTATAGCAAAGAGTACCTCAGCGAATTACAAAACGAGACGCCGAATACGCCGCAGAACCTGTCCACCCTGCGCATGGAAGACGAAGACGGGATGGATCTGGACTCCTCCGAACTGGAAGGCGCGTTGATAGTGAATCAGGATGACTTTGAATCACGGCCGGCGCAGACAAATATTCTTACTGAGGTCGAGATCCTGGAGCGAAAGCAGCGTCGAGCTCGGCTTGCGCAAGAGCAGGATGGGGACTTTATCTCTTTTGACGATACCGAGGACGGCGGGACCTCTCTGCGGAAGAAAAAGACGGAAACACGTCTTGTGGCTGAGGATGAAGATCTGGGCGAAGGATTCGACGACTTTGTCGAGGACGGAGGCTTGTCGCTGGGCAAGAGGGCCGAGAGGGAGGAGAAGCTACGCCGCAGGCGCGAGATGGCGGAGCAGATCAAGATGGCCGAAGGAGATTCGGGTGACGAGTCCGATGCTTCGGAGGCGGAACGGCGCGCGGCTTTCGAGGCGGCACAGACAAGGTCGGGAATGGACGGCCTGGAGAAGCCCGAGCGTAACCCCGCGGAGCAGCTCCTACAGGTCCCGCCCAAGATCACGCCGCTACCTAGTCTGACGGATTGTCTTTCGAGACTACAGACTACGATGCGGGCAATGGAGCTTGAGCTTGCCGAGAAGAAGAAGCGCGTGGATGAGTTGAGACAGGAGAAGGATGGTATTATGATTAGGAAGGACGAGGTTCAGCAGTTGCTCAACGAAGCTGGGCAAAAGTACACTGCTGTCATAGGCAACGGAGCGTCGGTCGAATCCGCTACGCAGTCGCCAGCCAGGCAGATCACGAATGCCGGGGCGAGCGAATTGAAGGTTGAAAGGGGCCTCGAAAGCCTGGGAACAACACCAAACGAACGCCCGAACGTGGGAGAAGTCGGTTAGGTGTCGTAGTCACGACAGACTGCGTCTCATACTTCGATACCCCAGATATACACGATGAATTAATGTCATCATAGCTTCAATTCTTTTCGATTGTCTAAGAAATAACCTCTCCGTATAAAGAGAGAAATGTCCTGCCAATGCCAACGCCGCATAAGAATACACCTATGGTACAGACTACCACTTGCCAATTATAAGCACAATCACCCTCCCTTGATCGAGGTCAAGGCCCATCCCTGTTGTTGAATTACCATCAAACAGGTATCCTATTTGGTCTTGGAGACGCCAGCGCCAATGACACCCGGAAGCTTCTCCTCGCCAACGCTGAACAGCAGACCAATAGCAAAGGTCAGGGTTCCGACCATAGCAATACCGAAACCGACAAAAAGCCAGAAGGGAACGCTAACATCGACCTTGCTGCAGGTCTTGCCACCCCAGTGAGTGACACTGCCGGTTGTCGAGTTCTTAGTTCCGAGGCACAGGCAGGAAAAGCAGGTTCCTGCGGCCTGGCCATCCGCTCTGGCATACTTGTTCAGGCACTCGCCGTGACCTGAGCAGTTGCCAGTGGCCTTGACACAGGCATCCTGCGAGCCAAAGCAAGAGGGCAAAGCACCTCTCTCAGCGTTGCCGACAAATGGCGCCGGGCTCTGGATGGGGGTAGTGGGCGCGGGTTGGTCATGGTCGTCGGTTTCGGTCATGGTCATGACTTCCTCCACTTGGCGGCGACGGAGCTCTTCAGGCTTGGAAGACCAGTGGCGCAAGTTGGAGTTGCGGGATGACTCAGGCATCGCAATGATGACGGTTTCCATCTCGCCATTGGTAGCAAGCTGCTTGAGAAGGGTGGCGTTCTCGGTAAGGGCCGCGAGAATGGACGAGTCCTGAGAAAGGAAAGCGTTAATTTCTGTGAATCGTGCGACATATGCGAGAGAATCGATGATTACCTTCTTCGTGTCGTATCTGACGACAGATGACTTTCCACTCCAACATTGCTCCGCGAAAGGGTTGATGGCCTTATCGAAAGCACAGTTCTTCGCGGTGACGCCAACCGATGGCAAGTCGTTGGCGAGCAGCATATCGTTAGCCGTGATCGATGGAGCATCTCCAACTCTGAAAGTAGGTCCAGAGGCGGCAAGAGACTTCTGGAGCGTCTTCGCATCAACGGCAGTGATGCCCTCGAGCATGACGACAAGCTGGGACGGGTTTGTGGAGGCGGCGTTGCTGAAGAGGGCCTGAGGGGCCTTGCCGAACTCGTTCAAGTAGGTGACGGCCTTCTCGTTGGAAATAGAATCAGGCAGATCCCAGGATGCATGTTGGCCCTCGGGAGACAGTCGTTGGAGAAGGATAAGGCGGGCAATCTGTCGTGGTAATGATGGGATGTCGGAGCTAGAGGGCTGCTTCGATTGTAGGAGATATACGTCAGCGGGCTGGATAGAGAGCGCGGTCGCGACGCCGGTCAGGGCTGCCGCAAGCCCCACGGAAAGCTTCATGGTATCGTCTGGTTTGGTTAGAGCTCGTAGATGGAAATTCGGTGATGGCGTTGTGGAGGCGAGAAGGACGTGGATGCGACTGTTTGCTACCTGCTGCTCTCACCAAGCTGCGCCGTGCGTCGAAGATGTCGAGCTAATAGTGCTACGCCAGCACGCTGTTGCTACTGCCACACGTTCCAGGCCAAGCCCATCCTGACCCCCATGCCCATATAGCGGATATCGGCAGATATAATCTTCCGACGGTGTCTATGACCCAACCCGATGGACCCACCTTGGCGATTTAGAACCTGGAAGGCAGGTCCCTTGATTTGGCCACGGGCGGTCCGTGCTTACCTCTTTCCCACACTGTAACTCGGAAGCTTGTACGGAGTACGGAGCACCTTAGACTCTACGACCTTACACGCCTAGGTCCACCTGCAGCTTGCGCGCTAGGTAGTCACCTCAGTCAACGGGAATTTCATGCAGCACAAAGCAAAGTGGCGGGACGTTATCGGAGGGGCTCTCGTCACACTGTGCGCCGATACGCATCAACGCATCTAGAACCTCCCGTTGGCTTAGTGCGAAGACGACCAGTAGCAGCGCAACCAACCGCCAAACCAACGTTGTCCCCCATCGCACATCGAAGCAGACGCCCGAGTCGCCGGACGAAGGCGCTTTCAGACACCGTATCAGCTTCGGTCTCTTGTATTGCCGCCAGTCAGGTATTCTTCAACAACCGCAACTCTACGGGCTTCCATGGTTATCCTCTTGTCGCCGTCCACTCCGCCGCCGCCGCCGCCGCCGCCATTGTTGTCGCCATCCTCCATCCATCTTCATCCACCATCGAGACAACCTCGCTAAACCTGACGCATCGCCATCGGCTCGGTCAAAACAGCACCGAAAACCACTCCCCTCAGTCCCGTTCTCGGCCGCCGGCGCCCGGCGAGCCCCCTCTACAGCGATGTGGCGGGTATTCCGACCTCGCGCTGGCATATCAAATGCAAGCACTCTGGCTGTTCGCGCAGTCGCGCCACAAGTTCCCAGCCAACAAACAGTCATCGTGCAGAGGGTCAAATTGTCGAAACCTAGATTTAGGGCTGGGTGTGTATACATTCTACAGACTGTGCCGGTGTGCTTTCTCTAATTTTGAATCTAGAACATTTCTCATCGGAGCAGGCATCTCACTTGCTTGCTGGCACATTTACTGGTCCACCGTTCTGAATCCATTCTTCCGACATGTAGACCGAGAATACGAGAAGCTTTCAGCGGCGGAGAAGAAGGCGCTTGACGAAGAAATGGACGAGGAGGAGGCCGAGCCTTGGTTCATTCCGTTCCCCTTCACGACTACATCCGTCAGCCAACCGCCGTATAAAGGCAGCGACCCCGAGTGGCAAGAGTTTATCAAACTCAGCAAGCAGAAAGCGATGCAGAATCAAATTCGCTGTAAGTCCTACCTCGGAACTCGGCTACAAGTATCCTCTCGACTGACCGCTATCACTAGCCGATTTGGCCCACTGGGTAAAGCGCTCGGTCGAGAAGCATCCGGTAATCACAGCCAAGTGTGGTAACTCAGCAAAGCTTCGTAGATACTGGTTGGACATCGACTTCCCATACCGTCCCCCGCCAGTGTTTTACTCTTCTGGGTAGGCGGCAACAAACCAGATCATACCCTGCGACGAGCTAGCTAACGAGACTCCACTGCAGATTACTGCTACAAGGCGATGGACTGTACTGGTCAACTCAACCCGTTGACTCTTTGACTGTCAAACGTCTGCAGAAGATTCTTTGGCCGGATGCAATAGCCATGTCATCATGGGCTTTTACAAGTGCGTTGGTAAAACAGCACTATATGGACATCTCTCGAGCTCTTGGCTTCGAGTCGAGCAGACCAGTCCAATCGTTCCCATCAGTGAGCGGTGGCAACATGCAACAAAAAGCTCAAGGGCCACTTCCGTCTGCCAACAGACAGACCCCTGATGGCACGCCGGCGGAGAACGCATCCCACAATGTCAGCAAGACAACGGATGCGCCACAAGCAGACGAGCCAGAGAGCGGTGGCAAGACCAACTTTGTCAGAGACACTGCCCTATCCCACATAGAGGGGATGAAACAAATAACAGACGGCCCTGCTAGAGAATTCCGAAGAAAACTAGCGCAATCTTGGAAGCTCACGCGACCGCATCCTCCGCGTGGCTGCATCCTCGTTTCGGGCTTCGTCGAATGCGAGCTGCCCAAAGGCTTTGTATTGATCGACGTCTGGGGGTTCTGGAACCCCAAAACGGAGGTCTTTGAGGCCAAATCGACCTTTATGAATGTACGGAGGGTACAGATGAAGCAACAAGCACCTCGTCGGGGCTGATGGGTCTCGCGGAGAAACTCCCACATTTCTCATTGCATACTGGCGGCGTTAGGGTAGCGGTGAGCATCTACCTTTGGGTTCATTTGGCATTGGCCGGCGATTTGGTCTCACCGGCACCCCACATTGATTGGGGGTTTAGCGGAACACTGCTCTGGGTTGCGAACGACCATCCAACAGGGCACAGTAAAAGAGTGAGCGTTTGTTCGATATCAAGATACCATAGACTAGCTCAGAAACGGGCCTGGGACAAGAGAGCAGAAAGGAGCCCCGTCTTCCTCTCTATCTCTCACGCATCCCTCTTTCTCTCCCACAAATCATTTTCATTTGGTTATTCACCATGCTGTTTCTCGCGACGGTAGGCTTGCTCGAATCCAGTCCGTCTTGATCTCTCACAGATCTCCCAAGCGACGGGCTGTCTACCCAGCCACAAAGCGCTTAAGATGTCATGGGAAAGCCTCATTCCTAATCCCTTGTCAGCCGGGTGCCACGCACGGATCAAATAAGGTGTAAATGGAAGCCCTCAAACGATATCGGAACCCGAAGTCGGTCGCGAAACAGGCAAGAATGGGGGGTGCGCGCCCGACCTACCTGTCTCATGTTGCTCTCTCAATTTTTAGAAGCAGCAACGTCCGTGAGCATGGAGTCCCAATGATGTTTCCCGGAAGGATCGCGGGCGTAGGGAGGTTCAGCTGCGCTACCCCCTTGAGGCCTCAGCGAGAGTGAGGCCAAACGACTCCAACAAGGTGCAGCATCCACCGATTGACTCAGCCCGAATTACGGTAGGGCAACCTTGAGAAAGAGGTGGCCTCAGCCTCTTCGTGCATACATAACGATGCAGAACATTTCTGCATCTCAAACTTCTGTTAGATATCAGTCTCTAGCCATATTGGCATCATTAACTAAAGGCACCATCGGCAACCATCTTCTACCATGGCCCAACACCTCCAACGTCGACTGCTTCAGGATTTTGCCGAATTGCAGCAAAATCCATATCCCCGCATTGCTTTGCACACAAGAGACAACGATATTCGCCAAGCATGTCTTGTTCTGCAACCAGAGGGCTGGATTCCCATGCACACCACCGTTAACTTCGGAGACCGCTATCCTCTCGTCGCTCCCACCATCAAGATGAACACAAGACTGGTACATCCCAACGTCTACGGATCCTACATCTGCGCATCCATTCTCAACACGTTCGAGGGGTACACGCCGGCATACACCCTCAAGGGCATTGCTATTCAACTATTGAGCTTCTTCAGTAGCGATTCGTTGGAGCAGGACGACGACAACTACCCCGAGCCTCTTGATTGGTATCGACAAGAGAGCCTCAGGTGCCAACAGAACTTTGCTTGCCGCCATTGCCAGTTTGATGGAACCAAGACCAAGGCAGACTTTAGAAGAGCTCGAAGGCACGCCTTGAAGGCCTTGTCGCCAACACCATCCTCCTCCTCGTCTAGTGGTGCAATGGCCGGCCCCGAGAAGTACCAGGAATGTGTCTTGGCGGCTTTGCCCGACGAGCTCCTGCTGGACACCCTCGACAGCCTCGAATTCCTAGATCTGGTCTCCTTCTCACAGGCTTGGCCGCGAGCAGCAGACATCCTTCGCAGATATGATGTTATTCGGCTGAGAGAACTCCAATGCTTTGTCACCAAGATAAACTTCCGAAATACACAGCTTGGTGTGGGCGTCACGGTCCCCAAGGGTAAGCGGTCTATCGCGTCGGAGTTCGACCTCATCTCTCTACCAGCATTTCAGGACCTGGCAGTCCGCTTCTCTGTCCACAACATCGCCTTCGAGTACTGGCTTCCGCTACCTCTATCCCACCGCCACTGGCGCTCCGTCCAGGGACACGTAGCACAGGTAATGCACAGGCTGGCCGCAGCCATCGCGTTACCGAGCACAAACAACTCGGCAGTGGGGGTTCTCGCCGCCTTCATGAACGACGTTGTTGTGCGGCTGAACCAAGTAGATGCGCATAGGGCATCTAGCGGCACACCAGGCTTGAGCAATGATAATGTCAGGATTCCGCGAATGAGCACATTGCGGCACGCATCGGAGAAGGCGATTGAGTCTTATTTCCATCTATTTCACCTGCTCCTCTGCCTAGTGACTGCGAATCCTCAACTGGTCACCGACGCCAACAACAAAATCAAGAGATTCATGAGCGGTAAGACCTCCAAGGTATCCTGTCCGAATCTCGGCCACCTTTTGGTCTACCTTCTCATCAGCGACATCGATATGACGGAGGCCATGAGGAAAGCGATCATCACCGAGGCCATCACGCGTAATGTCGTTTGGATGCTCGACAGAAGGGGCTCCAATATGCCGGAGCTGAGCTACCTCGAGCCAGATCGAGTCTCGGGCTATCGTCTGAAGAAAACCTTTGAGGCGAATCGCACCTCATACCGACTCCTCATGTTCTCCGAGCTCTTCCGCCGTATCGCCAGACCATCCAACGACAAGAGGCTGGAACAAATACGGGATGAGCTCTTCGAGCGCCATGGCGCACCTCCTCCCGGTGCCGCTCTCCAGCTGTCCACCGAAGTCCGCCGCCTTCACGACATTGACAATTTTCCACACTTCTTCAAGGAGATGGGGATTGTGCACACCCCCACTGCTGAACGATTCACCGACGCACTACGGGGTTGCGTCAGGAAGAGTATGGAGAGGGGCTATTCGGTTTGGGGCTTGTCGGGCTCTACTGCTCTGGCTCTGCGGCAACAGTTCGAACCAAACGTTGGAGTCCGAGGCAAGCTTGTTGCGAGAAATCTCCCTGGTTCTCGTTATATGTCAAAGGTCACTTTCTTTCCCGGAAAAAGCTGATGGAGCTGAAAAGTTGTCCGGTAAAAGGCGTTCGGCGGGGAGGAGAGTTTCTTGGGTTGAGTAATTGAGTTGTTGAATATGATACCCCTTATGAGAGAACAGCTGCGATGTCCAAGGTAGGACAATAAAGCTAGCACTCCGTAGACCAAGTCGTAAACTTTCTAGTGATATGACCTGATTCGAAAGTGAATCGTCCATATTACTCCGATTCTTTAATTTAATTATCAGAGTCTAATGGGCAGCATATCAAGGGAACCTAGGCCGTGAAGAGCCAGGCAAACAATTCTATACCTCACGTCGATTATGAAAAGAACCCCTCATTTACGTCTAAAAAATTGTCCAATCTCTCCATTGTAGTTTTTGATGTGGAATTTTTTCGATAAATTAGATTATGATTATCAAATATTATTGCTAGCACAATCATCCGTTCTGATCTCGCATTTTTTGATGTATTAAGTAAGGTAGATAAGGTAGATATACCATGGGCATTGTATTAGTGCCCCAGCGAGGTCCGCACCATCAAGGTGAAGGCGACTCGGTGAGCGCTGGTGCCTTCGGTGAAGCTGCCTTTGTTAGTCAGCACATGTCTTACGTAAGGCAGCCTACAGGAACACCGGCAGCTCTCACTCAACGTCACTCCCTCCCCCCAACTTTTACGTCTTCCCATGGGCCTCTGAACTCGTCGTTCTTCGGTTTGAGCCCGTATTAGTAGTTTTTGAAAGATTTGTCTTCATCTTCATTCCCAATCCCGTTCACGGATTCGAACGATGGCACAGCACGAGCATTTCGTCTCATCACTTATACTTTTGCCTGCAGAGCTGAGGTCCGGCGGCCTCCCTTCGAAGGTAGCAGCGAGATCCTCTGGGCATTGTTGACGATGATTTCGATGGCTTCTCAATTCAAGCAGACCGAGAGCGATATTCATCAGGAGTCACCGACACACTTTTTGATGACTTTATGGGCCATGGGTTGCTTGATCCTATCCTTTCGACCTGAATGGCCGTCTTGCCCAAATACCAAAAACCTGAAGCAGACCAATCCCTAACCTAATCATACGAGGTTGAACTATCTTTGACCAATTTTGATCACCAGACGTTAAGTTTCACCTAACTTCATCACGAACTTCTGCAGACACCCCTCCTGAATCGCTTTCACTCTCTAAGCGTGCGTCTGCGTCCCTCTACGACCGCCATGTAAGCCAGGGCACCATCTACTGCATCAACGTCAGCAATCTAGCTCCACAACGCAGAATAGCACGACATGAAATCGTGAGCTCGCGAAAAGAGCACTGACACTTGGAGTTAACCCCGTCCCGACCGGCAATATACCAGGCCTCGTTGATCCTGTCTTGCTCAGCTTCGTCGCCGAGGCAGGGGAAGAACTGTACGTCGGTCGATAGTGGCGCAAAGTCGGGCGTACGAAGCCTGGTGAAGCGGGGAGCCCTAGGAGCCAATGATGATTCGGCACATGCTGTGAAGTCCTCGTGGGTGTCTGCTGTGGCATCGTCGGGGAAGAGGATGAAGTCATCATACGGCGCATTCTTGGCTGAGAAATCGCCATCGTGGATGCTGTTAATGCTCCTCTCACGACCAGGTCTTGCATAGGGATCATCGTCGTGGATGCTTTGGCTACTCCACGATCCCATTGCGAGAAGAGTGATGTGATCCGGGCTGCGTCTTCGCCTCGGCGGTACAGATCCAGGGCTTCGCCGGTCTGGTGAAGGCTGGTGCCTCGGACGGGGAGATGCCGGCATGCTGTACAGGTCTCCATTGGTCATGTGGTTAGACATGACGCTTCCTGGGTAGTCGATGGGGTAACATGTCCTCATCGACGTCTGTGTCGGGGACGTTGGCGAGCGTCGATCACGTGTCCCGGGAGGGTTCTGTCTATGCCTCTGGCCGTGAGGGGAAGTGCCTTCCCGCAATGGCAGCATCATTGGGTTGGTCTGACGTCCTGGGCTCATTGTAGATCTGGATCGTGGCAGAGTGGTGAATTCGGGGTGAGTTTCAAAGCTGAGAGGCAAGAAAGCCATGGTGTTGTCTTGATGAGGGCTGGTGAACAGGATTGGAGATGAGTTTAACGAAGCTGGTAACGGATGATGAACTCTGTGGATGAGGAGGTGGGAGAGTTGATGAAGTGGATGAGATGGAGGATGGTGATCTGTGGTATGTCCTATGGGGCGGTGCAGAGGTAGTGAGTGCGTAGGGGAGCCTGAGATGGGTTCTGCTGGGGTCTATGGTCCTGTCCGGGATGGAAACCAGTAGTCGAGGAGGAATTTGGGCCTTTGGAGAAGTTTCTCTGATGAGACCGAAGAAAGAAGAGAGGAGGAGGAGAGGGTGGAAGATGGAGGGTGGTGGGATAGTCGAGGGTTTTATGTGGTGAGTGCTCCCCCGGGCTGCTCTCTCCTCCAAGTGGCCAATCAGCGAGCGGTATTTCACTCACCCCGTTGCGTGCCAACGACCCCGACACGGCACCCGGGCCCGCACTGGACCGATCCTCTTCCTTCATGCATCCAAGTTGGCTGCCATCTCCTATTTTCCTTGTTGTTGATCTCATTGGGTCGTGCCATGGCTCAGAGAGTCAGGTGAATCCGACTAGAGGTTGCTGGATGTCGTAAAGGCTTCTAGATGGTGATGGGTGATGGGTGATGCTGGACTCATGTCTCAACTTCCTTCTTTGCCTTCCCAGTTTCTCTCACTGCTTTACTCCATGCTGCAGTCGAAGCCTCTGGGTTTCCTTCCCGTCGTCCGAGGGCCTTTGGATTATTCAAGGCCAAGTTGCCTTCTCCTCTCTGTCTTGCCTTTCTAAGTCGTTGTTGCAGTTTCATTGGCTTTTTCAAGTAGCCATAGCCTTTGTGTCAATGCCCCAGTTTGAGCGTGTCGGCATTTGCAAACTTGTGGTCCCGATGGTCAGGTAAGATGCTTCTTCAATCCGACGCAAAAATGTCATCCTCGCCATGCGTATTTCGAGAAGCCTGTTCGTTGCAGTAGATCAGTTACGGATGGACTGGATGTGGCACATCAGTCATGTGACCCTAGGCTAACATGAGGCGCATGTCCCTTGCAGTTCGTGCGTCCCAATAGCCGGAGGAAGCACATATATGAGACCGCCGTCACCAGAAGGACGCCGGAGGATACATCGCTTCGACTTCCCAGTCAAAGTCTGGCTGTCGGGCCCCTTCCCACCTCCACCACCAAACATCGACCCGTGTAAAGAAGTTGATGGTGTTGAGTCGAGCAGAGTCCCAGAAGAACAAGCCAAAGAGACGGCAATTTGTCATTCGAAGATCGTTGCAGGTTGACCCTGGGAAAGATTGATACGCCCAATACCAGGCTTCTTCCGGACCCTTGTCGGCGTCCTCGCTCACTAGGGACTGCCGAACATACTCCTTGTACTCATCCGGAGTATAGGATGACAGGGCCTTCTGGATCGGGAGTTCCAAGTTGCTCATTTCGACGCATCTGTCAACGGCATCTGTGAACCATGAGTAAATCTCGCCCACCCGGTTATAGCTGGCATAGCGCGGCTGTTGCGGGAGGTCAACAAGTAGTTGGTAGAACTGAGTGGACGGTGAGGTGGAAACCTGGTAGAGAAACTTGACACCAAAGCATAGCAGTCGCGCCTGATTCTGGTTGATGTGGCAGTCGCCGCGCTCCAAATTGGGAGGCAGGATCGGGGCGGTCCAATACACCATCTGTGCCCCGTTTCTAGGGCCGCAATGATGTGTCTGCAGAGCCTCAGTCTTGCGAAGCTCCACTAGGGCACGCAACGCTGGAGAATATTGTCAACATGCCATAGGTTCGAGGGATGCCAGACAACTTACGAGGGCCAATGACACCCGCTGCAAGAAAGTCCTTTGTTGCAACCAGTTGCTCAATCTCCCAAGGTGACAGGTAGTCAAAGAAGTGCGCTCTCTGAAAGTTCACAACGTCCAGGTTGAACCGTACAACTTCGGGATCCTTGAAGAGCTTGCAGTAGACCTCGAATCGGTACAGGGCTCTCTGAAAACGAGCAATTTCGGCAGTCGTTGGCTTCTCGGCTGAAGAAGGCCCGTCAGGCCAGTCGGGACGGTCGTTGGCGAGGCTGCATTGCTCTTTCACGAGACGGTGCAGTGCCATGTCCTGAAATTTGGATCCCAGATGGCTGACGCACTTGTGTAACTCTGCCAGTAGGAATCCATCTGATAAGCTGATGGTGGGAGGAATACGTGGCCGTCTCTTGACATACTTGTCACTAAAGGCGGCAATGAGGTTGAGATCTTGTGAGTCAAATCTGGACGACTCAAGCGCCATGACGGCATCGGGAAGTAAGTGGTGGCCTATTTCGTTGAAGAGCACCTGTCGACACGCCGACGAGGCGCAACGAAGCCAGGTTGGACAAGCCAGAGCTGCATCGCTGAGATATTTGAATGTTGGTAAATGAGATAGAATGTACACCCAGAGCTCATCTGGTATACGTCGTGACATCTTGTCGTGAAGATACAGTCAAGTCTACCATTGATCTGTGTGAAGAAGCGGCATCGAATTCTCTATTTCTTCCCAAGGTAGGGATATCGGAAATGGACCATTCGCTGTTTGCGGCAGGCATAAGGCGTTTCGAGGTGACGATTTTTCGATCACGGTTGAATTTAATCTAGAGAATGAGTGGTATGAAACGCTTGGCGTTCAGCGTCTCAGAGGCTAAGAGAGAGAGACACAGAGACAGAGAAAGATTGTGTTGGGTGGATGAGCGTAGTGGCTTTATGGCTTGTCGTGACGAGAAGAATGAGTGAGCTGGTTAGTGGGAGCACGAATGAGACGGGATGCAGCGCTATTTGGAACGAGCTCTGGTCCAGGGCGTACTGTGCTAAATGTACAGTGTAAAGGCCCTAGTGGATACTTTCTACTGTATTCGTCGGGGCTCTGATAAATTCTGAGCCAATGAGCGCCCTCCAGAGAAGCTAGAATGGAATCGGGCTAGCGCCCAATTGCTGTCAACTCCCGCCGGCGCAGGTGCAATTCACTGCTGGTCGAGCAAGCTCGCGTCAAATCCCTTCTTCAGCCCGCTGCGTGCCACGGTACCTCTCCTCCAACGTAACTCTTCTTCGCCGCCGCATCGCACCTGACGCCATCGTTCCTGGACCATTGTCCTGACTTCACGAGGTCTCCAACGCCGTCTCTGACAAAAGCTCCACCTACAGTCGTCGCGATGGGCAAGAAGAAGCGCGGACACCCCGACGTCGAGGACGTCCTCTCCCGGCCGTGGTGCTACTACTGTACGCCTTCGTTGCTTTTCGCGTCTTGGGACTGAGTGCACGTGCTGACTTGTTTGCAGGCGAGCGTGATTTTGAGGATCTCAAGCTTCTCATCTCCCATCAGAAAGCCAAGCATTTCAAGTGCGACAGATGCGGTCGTCGACTCAATACCGCTGGAGGTCAGCCCAACATGCCTTGCTCCCAATTGTGGCATCGCAAGCTAACGTCTTCTGTCGCCCAGGTCTCTCCGTGCACTTGAACCAAGTCCACAAGGAAACGCTCACCCAAGTCGAGAATGCGCTACCGAACCGACAAGGCCTCGATGTCGAGATCTTTGGCATGGAGGGTATTCCCCAGGACATCCTCGACCAACACAGGAACCGTATTATCCAGAACTTCTACCAAGCCCAGGAAGATCGCAGGATTGCCACCGGAAACCCCTTGCCTGGCCAGTCAAAGCAGCCAAGAAAGAAGCTCAAGGTCGAGACTCCCGAAGAGCTGAAGGTCCGCCTTGCTGAGCACCGTGCAAGACTGGCCGCAGGGCATCCTCCGACTACCAGTGCCAGCCCTGCCAATGGCGCTCCTGCAAGCGTGAGCCCGGGTACATTTGTAAGTTCCATCGATAAAGTCGCACGTGTGTGCCTCTGGGCTGACCATCCGCTGCAGAACAACTCTCCTTACCCCCCGCCTCAAGCTCCTTACGGTGCTGCCGCCGATCAGAACTACCCGCCTGGTGCTGCTCCCGGCGCTCCGGCTTACCCTCAACAAGGCTACCCGCAAGGTAACTTCGGCGGTTTCTCTGCATCATCTCTTCCCGCGAGACCGACGAGTGGCATTCAAGCGATGCCTGGCCTTCCCCAACGGCCGCCTCAACATGGCGGCCAGTTCTGGAATGGTCCTGGCGCACCGCCGGCTGGCTTCCCTGGAGCATCGACCGTTGATGAGCTGGTTTCTGGTGCGGCGCAACACGGAGATGAAATCGATGAGCTTATCCGCAGAGCTGAATCTGGGATCAAACCGGCCAAGAAACCCGAGGATGAGGTAGGTGAGGAAGCCGTAGGCGACAAGAAGGCGAAGAAGGATAAGAACGGCAGGATGTTCTATGCGGACACGGAGATCAGTCCTGAGGAGCGCATGGCGCAAATACCGAGATATGCCTACGTGCCGCCAGCATCGTAGTAACGTAATGACTGGCATTGGACTGTTTGGATGGCGAATAGGGATGTTGCGGCACGGATGCATCCTACCCACGGCACGTGTCACGGCGACAGACTTTTACCAAATGACACGATTTTCGGTATTCGGGGCGACAACGGCATCCCTCCGGAGCGGAGTTTCAACGGCGTAGCTGGTTTTGGGATGTACATAAAGACTGTAAGAAATACACTGAAAATTCCGTCACTGTACTCATCGCAGGCTGTGACGCTGAACAAAATGACAGGTCCTGCGTTTCCAACATTGGCCGTGTGATTCAAGTTGTTCATGGTGCTGAGGATGAAGAAGCCAGGATGACCTCCGACTACCTTAGTATACTTGCATCCACATCGGTAGTAAGCCATGCATGAGATGAGGGGCTGCTGTATGATAGGCGGTCACGCGTCCGTATCTGGACCTTAGTCCCCAGCCTTGCTTACCTTACTTACCTGACGAGATCGCACGAACGACGCATCGTCCATTACTCTCGGCGTTAAATATACTTCGTCGCATTCCGGCCTTTCTCTCGTACTATCCGAGAACTTTGGTGTACAGCCTTAGCAATGTGGCTAATCGACACACAGAAAACCACATTGCATCGCGTTGCGGATCATCGACAGAATGGCACACGCTCATACGCCATCCTCTCCCACACCTGGGGTAATCAAGAGGTCGAGTTCCACCACATGTCGAATCTGACTGGTGCCAAGACAAGGACAGGATGGAATAAGATCAAGATGACCTGCAAACTAGCTCGTTCCAAATTCAAGTACGCCTGGGTCGACACATGCTGCATTGACAAGAGTAGCAGCGCGGAGTTGACTGAGGCTATCAACTCCATGTACTCGTGGTATCAATCAGCCGAAATATGCTACGTCTACCTAGCAGACCTGAGTCCAATACCCGAAGGTCTAAGGGGCTCTTATCGTTACGATTATCTCAGAGACAAACTGCCCAAATGCCGCTGGTTTTCTCGGGGGTGGACTCTCCAAGAGTTGATAGCGTCAAAGCAAATCGAGTTTTACGACAAAAAATGGAATCTCGTAGGCGAGAAGAGCGACCTCATAACCATCATTCAGGAGATCACACGAGTCGACGTGAGCATTTTGGAAGACAGCTCAGATCTCCAAACGCTCCCAATTGCACGCCGCATGTCCTGGGCCGCCGGCCGCAAAACCACGAGGGTCGAGGACATTGCCTACTGCCTTCTTGGTATATTTGACATCAATATGCCATTACTGTACGGGGAGGGATCAAAAGCGTTTCAAAGACTTCAGGAACACATCGCCAATGAGACCAACGATCTGAGCCTTTTTGCGTGGCAAAGAAAGATCGACTACCAAGCGGTATCTGCTCCAGGGCTCAGTGGTGTATTTGCAGAGTCTCCAGCAGACTTCACACACTGTTCTACCCTCATAAGACACCGAGATCGATTTCAGTTCAGGAATGACTTTACCCTCACCAACAATGGTCTTCTAGCCAAGGCCCAAAAACTCACACTGCCGGCGAATAATGCTGCGGAAGCGGTGAACGGTGCTGATGTGTTCTACGCGTTGAGTCTCGATTGTCTTGAAACTAGTGTCAGAACGCAAGGCACCCCGAAATGGCTGGCAATCTGGCTTCTCAAGGTTGGAACGACTTTCGTTAGAGCGGTTCCGGATCAGGTATATGCCTATTCCTCGAGATTGCAGTGGTCCAACGCCACGCTGGAGACCTTTGACGCATACATCCGCAAGACCCTTTACGATCACGAAACCACGAGGCTGGCATCTTTCATGGGAGCCAAGATCGGGTTTGAGTACGACTCACAGCTCAAGAATATGATTGTTTCCAAAACGGCAAACCCTGTGGAGGCATGCGTGCAATCAACCGTCGCTGATTTCGTCTTTGACTGCCACGGTCGCGACAATTTTGCTGGGACGCATTGTTTCAAGATCCAATTTGGATTCCCACTGCAAAAGGTTACCCTTGGCATAGTCTGTGGCCTCCAGTGGGATGGTTCGCGTTGTCGACCATGGGCAGCACTTTTTGATGAGCTTTCTGTCAGAGGGACCGAATCGGAGCTGTTGATGAGATACGCACAACCGATTCCCGGCGTTAAGGGCGAGGAGAGACTGCTGGAGATCCGTGACTACATGATTTGTCGATTTACGGATCAATCCGGCCTTTACAAGTCGAATCTGATGCCCAAGTCCGCCACCATTGTTCAGCACGGGACTGTCATTACGCATCGTATTTGGATCGAGGCGGAACCCAAAACGGTCGGCGAGGTTTCCTTCTCTCGGGGGTCGTCTTCTACCTTTGTCTTCAAGGTGCATTATCGATCTGGCCTGAACCAGTCGGATTAGGCAACGTTTGGTTCGCGGCGATTATTGGGCCACAATCGAGGGAACAACAGCAAGAGTCAACAACAGCAATCATTGACTTTCATTGACTAGAACTATGGCTAGTTCAGTCATGCCGTTCCAATCTGCTGACTTCAAGTACGGTAGCCGGTATTGCGTGCGTGGTGACGCGTTTGACTAAGTAGATGCGAATTTTGGCTTGTGGGGGAACAGCAAGGCATGCCAAAGTTATCCAACTCACTTCAAGAACCCAAGCGGCCGTGCTGCTCGTGGTAATGGCTTCCTTGTCACCTTGCTCAATAACGCTAGAGTGGCCGGGTAATCAGGGGAGCAAAAATGCAAACAAGGCGAGTCTTGGTGGCGGCCGGGATGATGCTTGCTTTGCGGCTAAATGCAACTCTCCACTTCGAATGTCACGACTCAGACTGATTCCCCGCAATGATTTTTGCCGTAAGATCACGCGGGCGGCGGATCAACAAATCTCCAAATCATCCAGCTGCAGCTGGATGTTTTTGGGGTAGGCAAGTCTTCGCCGTTATTCTCTGTCTCTGGTTCAATCTCTCCGGCCTGTTCAAGTCTTGAATCCATCAAACGCAGAGGTGGCCCATGATAAACTTGGAGAAGAAGCGAAAGCAGAGGGCTCATCAATGTCCGATGTTATACTACCCTGGACAGAGTCGCCGCCGTAATTCGGCCCCGGGTCTTGGACAAGTGTGGCGCCGAACAGAGCTGGGCGTGGGGTAAAAGACGCTTGGAACTGGCAAGCCGCTCGCTTCGAAGACCCGGCCGCGCCGGCCGCGCCGCACTGCGGGGAAGCTCGACTTGACCGTGTTGGAGGCTGGGATCTCGTGGATTCTCTTACCCGTGTCTGGGACGATTGCTCTTCCAGCGGACCTAGTAACTTCGCCGGCCCTTACTCTGGCCTGTCATGGTGGCATATGAAGTGGCCCCTTTTACCCGTCGGTCAGGCACCGGCATCCCATCTTGGCTGGTGTCATTCGTCCCCGGCCGTCCATGGAGGCGGTTCTCGTGCCATTATTGGTGGTTCCCCATGTTGACTAGCTTGTGGTACCATTCATACCATCAATCGATCCCACCTCGCCATGCTTGTTCAATCTGATTTCCCCATGGAAGCGTCATCCCGGCCTGGGGTCTCCAACCGTTCCTGACCCAAGGATGGAGCACATCTATGCCATTGGATGCTCATTTCTGTATTTAATGATAGCAACAGCCCGTCCCTGTGCATCATGTCCGCTCCTCTTCGATCTTGGCATTGTCTTTCCACAAGCGGAGCTTGTTTAAGCGTGAGCTTCTTAAGCCCGCAGTCATGGCGCTCGTCGACCTGAAGTTGATCTACTTGGTGTTCCTGTCGGTCCTTGCACCTCTAATTTCAGCCTTGGGACAGCAACAGATCGTTTCCTTCGAGAATCCCTCGGGCAGCTTTCAGATCGCTGGCGGAGATGTAGGGACAGGCCAAATTCTGGTGTCTGACGATGATTATTGGGGAGTCATTCGAGCTGCTGGCGACCTGACTTTGGACTTTGGGCGGGTCACGGGCACGAATTATACGCTCAGTAATGGTGGAAACAGCTCTAAGCCTGCCGTCTACACCTTCTCCCCGGTGGATGTCAGCAACAACACCGCCGTGAGTTTCCATTTCTCTTTCAAGAATGGACATATCCCAAGTCATCTTAGAGATCTCTGGAGAGTGTGATTTCCAGAAGAAGTTTGAACGCTGACGGCTCATTATAGTATCGGGTTCTAGATGAGCAATCCTTCTCCGGTCCCAAATACGCTAATCCCACTCCCGAGCGCACCGTTATCATTGTTGGCACCATTGGACATTCAAAGGTCATTGATGGCCTTGTCAAGGCTCAAAAACTCGACACGAGTGAGGTTGAGGGACAATGGGAGTCCTTTGTCAGCCAACTAATTGACGCGCCTGTTCCGGGATGCTCCCGGGCTCTTGTCATTGCAGGCAGCGACCCCCGAGGCACCATTTACGGCATTTACGACGTCAGCGAGCAGATCGGAGTAAGCCCTTGGTACTTCTGGGCCGATGTGCCGTCCAAGAAAGCTACCGAGATTTACGTCCTGCCCGAGCGCAAGGTACAGGGGTCTCCCTCGGTCAAGTATCGTGGTTTCTTTATCAATGATGAGCAGCCAGGCCTATCGAGCTGGGTCTCGTAAGTAAGACGCAACCCCCTCGGACACTCCAAAGCTTATGTGTGCGGAAAGGACGAAATGGAACGATACCTGGAACCATGCCGCCGGATACAACTACCATTTCTACGGTCTTGTGGGCGAGCTTCTGCTGCGTCTTCGCGCCAACTATCTCTGGCCGGCCCTCTGGGGAAGCATGATCTACGTTGACGACCCGCTCAACCAACCCCTCCTCGACGCATACGAAGTTGTTCTCGGTGGTTCCCACACAGAACCTCTCATGCGCGCTCAGAACGAATTCAAAACATTCTACCAAGGCCAATGGGCATATAACCTCAACAACAAGACCATTAACGACTATTTCCGGTATGGCGTGCAGCGTGCCAAGCCTTATGCTCGGAACAGCTTGTGGACTATGGCCATGCGAGGTACGGGTGATACTGCCATTGAGGGCAACCTGGGAGTCGAGGGCATCGTCAAGATGTTGGAGGAGCTTGTGGCCAATCAGCGAACCATCATCGAACAAGGCCTTGAAATCGATAGTGCCTCTGACGTTCCGTCCTTGTGGTGTCTCTACAAAGAAGTCCAGTCGTACCAGGAGCAGGGCTTGGTCGTGCCCGAGGACATCACCCTTCTGTGGGCCGACGACAACTGGGGCAATGTTCGAAGGCTGCCTTTGGTGAATGAGACAGGCCGCAGCGGCGGTGCTGGAGTCTATTACCACTTTGACTATGTTGGCGACCCGCGCGACTACAAGTGGATCAATACAATCCAGCTGGAGAAGACAGCCGAGCAGATGTCTTTGGCTTATGCTCGGAATGCTCGCAGGATCTGGATTGTCAACGTCGGCGACTTGAAGCCGCTCGAGATCCCCATCAGCCACTTCTTCGACCTCGCTTATGACACCAATAAATGGGGGGTTGATGGCACCGGCAAATGGCTTGGAGCATGGGCGGCCAGAGAATTTGGCGGCAACTACGCAGACAACATTACGTCCATCTTGACGCGGTATGGCATGTATGCTGCTCGTAGAAAGTATGAGTTGGTCGAGCCCAACACATACTCGGTCATCAATTACAATGAAGCGGAAGCTGTTTTGGGGCAGTGGGCCACTCTTCGAGAGGAGGCTCAGACCGTGTACGATACCCTCCCGAAAGAGTATCAAGCGGCATTCTTCGAGATGGTCTTGCATCCGATCTCAGCTGGCGAGATCCTTCACAAAATCCAGATCAACGGCGCGAAGAACCAGCTCTTTGCAGGACAGAAGCGTAACTTAGCCAACGATATCATTGACGAGTCCAGGACCTTGCTTGATGCGGACGCTGGATTGACCGTCCGGTGGAATGAGCTTCTCGACGGGAAGTGGCAGCATATGCTTGATCGTAAGAACATAGACCCAAGGCCTTCTCTGAACGATACTGATGCGCAACAGAAACTCATCTTGGATATGACGGTTACTGGCAGCAGCCGATGCGGAATACCCTCCCTGATATGCGCTATGTCCAGACAGCCTTCCCATCACTGGGTGGCCAGATCGGTGTTGGCGTGGAGGGGTCCAATGCCAGCGTTCAGGGTGACGACAAGTGGCACACCAACTCTGCCAATGACCTCGCCGTGCCCCCGCTGGACCCCTACGGAGCTATCTCGCGATATTTTGAGGTTTTTACGCGTGGCAATACAGCATGTACTTGGGTGGCCAGTCCATGGCAACCATGGGTCAAGCTTTCCCAGTACAACGGCACGGTTGGCGGCGACAATGGTACAGACAGCCGTGTCTGGATCTCGATCGACTGGGAAAATGCACCAGCAGCTCCCAACGCGACCCAGGTTTACATCAATGTCACAACGCCGTGTGTAGGCAAAGAGAAATATTCTGGACAGGGACAGAGAGTCATCGTGCCGGTTGTCAACCGTGCCGTGCCGGCAAACTTTACCAAGGGTTTCGTAGAATCTGATGGGCATGTGTCTATCGAAGGACCGCACTATCAGAATGTCATTGAGCCCAGCAACTCCACTAGCTCAAGCAGCAGCAGCAGCAAGCTCGAGTACCACTTGTTTGAAGACTACGGCCGCACCTTGGGTGGAGTTGGCTTGTATCCGCCAGAATCGGAGAAGGTCAAGCTCGGCGAGGGCCCGGCGCTGGAGTACCAAGTGTATCTCTTCACTAACACCAGCAAGGCGAACGTCACGCTCTATATCTCACCCACTTCCAATTATCTCGGCGACGGGAACCCCCTCGAGTACGGTATTTCGCTGTACCCAACTGGTGGGAATGCGCCGCAGCCCAAGACAGTCCAGCCTGTGGGCAAGACACAGGGCCAGAACATGCCCAATGGCTGGGGATATGCCGTGGGGGATGCCGTCTGGGGACTCACTGGCAACTATACGACAACGTCTTTTAACGTGACTCAGGAGGGCGCGCATACGCTGCGCATTTGGGCGCTCCTGCCGAACATCATTGTGCAAAAAGTTGTGGTTGACCTGGGTGGTGTGAGAAAGTCGTACCTGGGACCTCCCGAGAGTTTCTTGCTTGGCCGTGATGAACAGGGCACTGTCAAGCGAACCGCCTTCACAGAGACGCCTGGTATCGTTGGAGGGACATCGAACTGATTAGGTGAAGGGTAAAACCTGGATACTTGAAATTATTAATGGGTGGAAAGTGAGAAGTAAGATAACCGTTAATACCTATTTATACATGATGGAATAAAGAACAACGTTTCGGGCTCGAAATAACAGTCTAATGTGAATCTTGATGTAGTTTTCCTCCTCTTTTTCGCCAAATCCTGACTCCTGATTTGTTTCATTATAGGTAGTTCCAGACGCTTTTTTTGCCGTTCTTTGTCCTGACTGCTCCCGTATCAGTGATGTTTTCGTCTTGTTTGTGGCTGGTGCACGGCCTTCAGCCTCAGTCTACTTCAGGCCATTGCAATCAGATGTGGCTCGGCAGGAGCTAAGCCTCCTCATTCGTGTGTGCACTCATGATTGTGGGTCACAGCGGAAGATTAGGACTAGCGGCTCCACTTCCGCCTCGCTAAAAAGGCTCCCGGTCGTCAGGAGCAACGCGGCTGACGGCGGGTGGGAAAACAACAAACGTCAGTCACAGCACAGCACACAGTCAGCTCAGACAGAAACGGGGGACCCTTCAAATCAAGACATTCACGACCTACCTTAATCTTCTTATCCAAGTGCAGCTGCTACTTCACTCTCTTTCCTTCCGTCCTCACTCTCACTAACCCCCCTCTCCACAGCAGCTCGGCTTCTTCTTTTTTCTTCCCCTACTCTTCCTCGCTGCACATGCTTGGTCCGCGCTGCAAAGCGGCTTTGTTTATTTCTTGATTTTACACCCCGTTTGCTGCAACGTTTGGCTTGGACTCGAAGAGCTCGACTTGCTAAACAATCCCCTCGGAGCCGGCAAACGGGACGAATCCGAGTCGCTTTCCTTCCACAGAACACCTACACAAAACAGACAGCATCACGATAGCCAGCAATCATGGTCGTCGATCCGAACGCCGCCTCCATCACGGTCGCAGGTTCGTCTTAATGTCACCAGCCTCAGCTACTCGTTGAGCGCAGATACTAATCTTGGCGGTTCAATAGTTCGAGTGCGACCATTCACAATCCGAGAAGCAGCACAACTGTACGTCAAGAAACGGGAGGGGAGAAGGGGAGCGACCGAGAACAATAACACTGACTGAGTGCGTGCAGAACTCGCAATGAAGAGGGCACCGTCTTTCTGGGCGACGGTTCGCTCGCTGCCGCACCACCCAAGCTTCAAAGGGGCGGGATTAGACCCGTCATCAAAGTCGTCGATGACAGATGCTTGTGAGTGCCTCCCACTGCTGTGTTGTCTCTCATCCTAATTTTCTCCGCAGGGTCTTCGACCCGCCCGAGGACAACCCCGTCCATAGATTCGGACGATCCGTTGTTCCCAACGGCAAGAAGGTCAAGGATCAGACCTTCATGTTCGACAGAATATTCGACGACAATGCCACCCAGAACGACGTCTACGAAGGCACCACGAAGCAGCTCATCGATAGTGTTCTTGATGGTTACAATGCTACCGTTTTCGCCTACGGCGCAACTGGTTGCGGCAAGACGCATACCATTACCGGAACATCACAGCACCCAGGAATCATTTTCATGACAATGCAAGAACTCTTCGAAAAGATCACAGAGCGAAGCCAGGAAAAAACCACGGAGATCACCCTTTCCTACCTCGAGATTTACAATGAAACGATTCGCGACCTGCTGATTCCCGGAGGTAGCAAGCAGGGATTGATGCTCCGTGAGGACTCGAACCAGGCCGTGTCGGTTGCTGGTCTGACAAGCCATCACCCCAGAAATGTGCAAGAGGTCATGGACATGATTGTGCAAGGCAACGCGTGGCGTACAGTCTCCCCAACAGAAGCCAACGCTACCTCTTCTCGATCACACGCCGTTTTGCAAATCAACGTCTCGCAAAAGGACCGCAACGCCTCTGTCAACGAACCGCACACCATGGCTACTCTTAGTATCATTGATCTCGCTGGCAGCGAGCGTGCCAGCGCCACGAAGAATCGCGGCGAGCGGCTGCTTGAAGGCGCAAACATCAACAAGTCTCTTTTGGCCCTGGGAAGCTGCATCAATGCCTTGTGCGATCCCCGCAAGCGCAACCACGTACCATATCGCAACAGCAAACTTACACGACTCCTGAAATTCTCACTCGGCGGTAACTGCAAGACAGTCATGATTGTGTGTGTTAGTCCTTCAAGTGTTCACTTTGACGAGACACAAAACACCCTTCGATACGCGAACCGAGCCAAGAACATTCAGACCAAGGTGACTCGCAATGTCTTCAATGTCAACAGACATGTCAAGGACTTCTTGGTCAAAATTGACGAACAAATCGCTCTGATTAACGAGCTCAAGGCCCAACAGAAGGATGCCGAGAAGACCTTTTACGCCAAGTTCCGCAAACAGTTGGAGAAGCGCGACTCCATTGCTCGCGAAGGCGTGCAACGTCTCCGTGTGGCGTACGAGAATTCCGCCAACGACAGACGGGACAGAATCAACAACATGAAGAAATTGAGGGCTTTTGAGCGACGCATCAGCCTGCTTTCTGCCTGGATTGCTTCTTTCGATACTGTCTGCGACCAAAGAGGAGACGAGGATGCAATGCCCGCGACGCTATTGGCCATTCGCAAAACTGCGCAAGGCATCATGGTAGAGCTGGAACACAGCCGCCATCATATTCACCAAAAGCTGGAAAACACCAACTGGGAGCGAGCTATTGACACGGCCCTTCACCACAGCATCAAGCAGTTGCCCGGAGGCGAGTCCGACACTGCCGAGATTGACACCCTGACTAGGGAGGCTGAGCTTCTCAAGGCCAATTTTGGTAGGGAAGCCAGCCATGAAGTCCTCGAGATGGATAAGGGCGGCGACGCCGCAATGATGCAGGTCCTTCTGACGGCTCAATTCGACATTCTGGCATCTCTCGAGGACACGCTAGCGATGAACGAAGAGGATGCCGTCGCACACGCTAAGCAAATCATCAACCGACTGCTAGAAGCCGGCTTCTCTGCCGCATCTCATATTGTCAAGCCTGACGGTGCCATGATCCCCGTTGAGAAGTTCTCTCCCAGCAAACGGGGCACGCCAAAGCGCAAGAAGGCAGTTGTAAACAACACATCTCCTATCCGCCAGCCGGCCTTTGTTCCTCCGAATGAGCCTGCACCTCAACCTCATGCGTCTCCCATCAAGTTGTCGCCCCGCCGTAGAAAGGCGGCCGCTCCTAGGAGTCCCCGCAAGGGAGTCTCATTCACGCCTGTCAAGAGAAAGTCAGAAGCCAAGCGAGGCGTTCGCTGGAGGGATGACGAGACAGAATCTGGCACGTTGGCGGACTTTGAAAAGACGCCCAAGAAGTTCGAGGTGACGCCAGAGCACACATCACCAGAAAAGGGATTGCGAATGCCAGCTCTACCCTCATATCTGAGGACAGCATCGCCCAGCGCGGCCAACTCGGGCTCCGACGAAAGCCCAACGTTGGAACTCCCCGAGTCCTCGTCCATCCCCCCTGCCAAACCCAACAGATTCCAGGCTGGCTTCCTGACCAAGGGTCGCATCTCGTCGATTGGCTCTGGGTCGCCAACTGTACCAATCCCGACGATGTCTTTGCCCCTCGGCTCTTCTCCGTCCTCAGACAGCGGAGACCGAGCGGCTCCCCTGCGCGCACTGGACGTGCATCGTTCTTCAAACTTGTCGCCTCCGGCTTTCCGCTCTAGAATCGCGAGAGCCAGCCCTCCCCCAAGAACGTCCCTGTCTGGCAGTCTCTCTGCCGATGAGAACAACCCGCCCTCGCCGCTGGGCCCGTCTGGATCAGAGTCGGAGTCACCCAGCATTGATCCTAGGAAGATTCGATCGGCCTTGCAATCAATGAAGAAGGTCCGAGGCGAGCACCGCCGCGTGTCGTCCATAGGAGGAACAGCGGCATCAAATGCCAGGCGCATCTCATCCGTGAACTCTATCGGCTCAAACCACCGGGTGTCGGCTAGCTTTTCCGGCCCTACGGCTAGTAGCACAAACGGAATTTCTCGATCGCGACGGGCCAGTGCGGAGCGGGGACTCTCACCGCCCATGATTTGCTCTCCTCCCGACTTTAAAAGCGACCGAGCATTTACGGCGGGACAAGCAAGGCGAATGCATTTGGGAGGTAGCTTGAGGCTAGAGGGAGGAAGCCCGCAAGCGCCTCAGCACAGAATAGCTAGCGCCGACTTCAAGAACCGTCGCATCACGATTGGAAGCCTGGCAGCGACGGGCAAGATCGAAAAGGGACATGCACCTAGGCCCAGCGTGGCTGGTTGGCGTTGATTTTCATTCTCTGGTTTCCATCATACCCATTTGGTAGTCGTCGCATAGAGGCGATGGGGGGAAATCATTAGTTGTCCCCCTGCTAGATTCTGTTTCTCTCACTGACGGGCGTTGGGCATGCTTCGGATTTTGATCTCAGAGTTCTTTTGGTTGTTTCCAGCCGTTTGGCAGGCCTGTTCGGGGGCCGTCGTGTGGTTGCTGTATCAATAGGTTGGCGTATGGCATATATTCATAGTTCATCTGATAAGAATTCTTCAGCTCCACAACCACCCCCCTGCGTTGAACAAGCGCGTGATGGTGGTAGGCGCAGAGGAATAGAAGACCGGTTTTGGAGTGTCATTTCGCCAAGCAGCCAAGACGCGCGGTTCCGAAGATCCCAGGAAACGTGGATGCAGGCTTGCCGTGAGATCACATTCCCCCCGGATTCATGCCAAGACTGATGCCCGTCGGCCTACAACTACAGTCCGAGAATGCGAGCATGCTGTGTGAATGTGAATGTGAGACTCCAGAGTCGGGGCTGTGAGTGTCGCTTTGGACCTTGCGTCGGTGCGATGTCATGCCGCTACAAACAGCACACTTTGTACCAGCAGCAGCTCAGAGTTTTGAGCCTCATGATGAGACAGAACTCAATGGCCGAGGTCCTCGGAATGATCCGCCCATGCCCCATGGGCGCGCGCCATGAGATTGAGGGCGGCCTCGTTCGAAACAAACGCTCGCTGTTTCAAAATGTTTTCGGTAATTGATGAGGGGATTTACTCATCGCCGATGAGCCGGAAGCCGGGGGAGGGATTGGGACTGGGACTGGGAAATGGGAGGAAAGACAAACGAGACTGAATACAGACTTGCAGGAGTTCTTCTCTCGGGACGAGGGCGTACCGGCCAAATTGCACCGATGCTCGCGATCAGTTTTTGAATAACTCCGGAGGGCCAGACCGTCAGCTGTATGTTACAGGCGCACACCGAGGCTCTCATTCAGCAGCCAGGACAGATCAGATGGCAGACACAAGTAGCCAACAAGAGGGAGAGAAGACGGAGCACACGACATCACCGTCAACACCATCACACATCAGACGCTATGAAGGACAATGAGACGTTGAACTAAGCACCAAATCCGTTGAAAGGGCGGAATGGCGGAGTGGGCCAGCGACAAAGGCAAAATAAAATGGTTTTAAAAGTATCCGTAAAACCCCCTGTCAAGTATCTACTGGGGCACGACCGGAGACGCTCTACTGATTATCTAAGCTGTGGTACTTAAACCTCTGAAGTTCAGCCACATTACCTAATTTCCCTAAGGTATCCGTAGGCGGTACGGAAACGTAGTGGGATTCCCCCTTTACCTATCAGGACGGCACCTCGGCCTACCCGCCTACCACCTACCACGCGCGCGACTCAAGCCACTCCAGGGGAGACCCAGGTCGGAGGAGCTAAGAGTTCTACGACGGCGCAATCTTATTCCAATCATGCTTATTCGGCTGATTATCGCCAACAGATGCTTATCGCGTCGTGGGCAGAATGCGCGTGTAGATTACAATGTGTAATTAATGAGCACGAGGTGAGTGGCTGGCCGCTGTCGAGCGCGCACATGCCTGATTGACGATCGCTTTGCTTCCATTTGTCTTTTTTCTTTGCCTTCTTCTTTTTGGTGGTGGTGTGTACTGAGTACTTTTTTTTCTATGAGTCTGTCTTCTCTTATCTCTACTAGCAAGGAGACCGGCTGAGACGGCATCGCTTCGGACCGTAGCTGAGGCGACTCTCGGGGCTATCTTCAGCTCATTGACGGTGACGACGACAAAGTGCTCGGAGACAGAGATCAAATGAGGAATGTGAGAAGAAGTAGTCGTCGAAGGTTTCACAAGCGCACTGAAGAAACAGGCTGGGAAATGGATAGTTCAGTCGACAGAGAAGAATAGGTACGCGCGAACTTTTGCAAAGGTAACCCCAGTCGCCCGCTGAGTCGCAAAGTCCGCCAGGTCCCAGTCTCTATCGAGAAGTTGAATGCAACAGGAGCAGGGTCCAGGCCGGAATAGCCGCAGCACGTCATGACAAGTCAACAACTGTGCGCTCATTGACATGGCACTCTACCTTACCGGTAGCACTCACAACTCACTCTCAATCATCACTCACCTCACTCACATCACTCACATCATCCTATCACCCCCATCACTCACGCCAAGTCGGCAGGGCAGGATCGCCAAGATGGCAGCAACCAGCCGAAACCCGCTCAGCTGGATACCGCCTTGACACTGAGAATATGCAAAGACTGGCCAAGCACGAGCGCGGCGGCATGCGGCGTGATCCCCCTTACCATTGTCCTGTTGCCTTCGCTTCGGCCTTCATGTCCCGTCTCATCCACCTCCCCTCTTGGGCTTCGTCCCCTCCCCCCTCCCCCCTCCCCCCTATCCCCCCCCCAGAAAACCCGAAAATCCTCTTGTCTTCCTTCCCGTCTCGGCCTCGATCTTGTACCTGCGCGGCCCCAGACTGGGCATTTCCAGGGCAGGTGTGGAATGATGCAATGCCCAGGGAATCGAGGGTCGCAATCCTCAGTCTTTGCTCGCATGCGGGATTGCGGGTGGAGACTTGGCGGTAAAGCTTGTTTCCATGTGCCGAGGCGCATCGAGAGCCAACAAGAAGACCAATGGAAGAGAGACGGGATGGTTGAAGGTTCGCCGTCAGAACAACACCATCACCCACCACTGTCCACATCGCCGCGAAGCATGGATCCGCCTGCTTGCTGTCTCGAGTCTCTCGACTTCTCGGAGCCCCAGCAGACTTGGACCGTAATGTGGCCTGGCTGACTCCCGGAGCCATGTCCCGGAAAGGTAGGTGCCTTCAACGTCGACTCGAGACCACACAGCACCACTAAGACCAGCACCGGGGCTATCGCGAGGGGCGATGGGTCATGAACCAGATCACTTTTGCAGGAGAATGCTCGTTGCGCCTCTGGATTGGTTGGTCCCGCTCTCCGCCGCTGCTCCTCTCCCCGCCGCGGATCCCCCTCCATCAGCTCGGCTCCATCATGTCATCTGCTTTAGATGCCTTGCCTCTTGCTCTGATCCCCTTCTCGCTCATCTCAGCTTCCGGCCTTGGATCGAGGGTGGAGAACGGCGGTGCGTCGACGAGCAATGGCGACACATCCGACCCTTTTCGACCTGCTCTTTTCCACATAGTCTACCGCTTCTGGGAACTTTGTGCCAGTGACAAGCTTTGGTCAAAAGTCCCCATCACCCTTTCCACCCCTGGCCGGTAATAGGCTGGTCCTTGGCTGGGTTCCATATTCCATGAGCTCCATGGCAGACAGACAGATGGAGCTACGACCTTAGTTGAGGCGCTCTAGAGTCCAGTCACCTGTTCGAGACTAGCCAGCCCGTTGATGGCTGCCGCAAGTAGTCAACTGCTTGTTGTTCCTCCTTGTTGATCTACACACTACCGACTACCGTCCCCTCTCATCAAATCTAGCCCCTCTGTTCTCTCGAATCACGATACGATCTACTACTCGTCCTTGCCGCGTGATATGGAGTCGCGACAGGCAGCCTTGCTATTGCACGATGCTCCCTCTTGGAAGGTGGTATCCCACCCCACGGCTAGCTCGTGCCGTACACCATCATGGCCCTCCTTCACAGCCTCTCTGGTTGTTATTGTTGGCATTGACATATCGGAAGCCCGTGATGTTGGCAAGGACTGCGAGTAATGTCGCCATGATCCATCCTATCACCCCGAGTGGCCGTCCTCGGTCTCAGAGTCCAGACACACAGTCTTCATAGACTGGATGATGACGATATAAACCATCCCATCTCCCCGTTGATCATCCCTTCTCTCCTCCTCATCCTCATCGGTCACCTCCCAGTCCTCATCCTCATCCTCATCCTCATATCCTCTTCTCTGCTCCCTTTCCCGGATTCATCAGCTTTCAGTCGTCTCACAATGACTGGTGCTTCCTTCGTCTCGGCCCTCACGGCCGGCCTCGCTCTGGCCTCCTCTGTCGCCGCCCTCCCCGCCAACGCCAAGCAGGAGAGAGGCTTCTCCGTCGAGCAGGTCAAGAACCCCCGCTACGTCCGCTCCGGTCCTCTCGCGCTCGCCAAGGCCTACCGCAAGTACAAGGCTCCTCTTCCCGCCGATCTCGCTGCCGTTGTCCGCAACATCACCTCTGGCGGCCTCGTCGAGCGCGCTACCGGCAGTGTCGCCGCCAACCCCCAGGATTACGATGTTGAGTACCTGAGCCCCGTCCAGATCGGCACCCCGCCCCAGACCCTCAACCTCGACTTCGACACCGGTTCCTCCGACCTGTGGGTCTTCTCGACCTCCACCCCGGCCAGCGAGCGCAACGGCCAGACCGTGTACGACCCCAGCAAGTCCACCACCGCCTCCCGCCTCTCTGGCGCCACCTGGTCCATCTCCTACGGTGACGGCTCCAGCTCCAGCGGTATCGTCTACAAGGACACCGTCACCGTCGGTGGTCTGGCCATCTCCGGCCAGGCTGTCGAGGCTGCCACCACCGTCTCGGACTCCTTCACCACCGAGAGCGACCTGGATGGTCTCCTTGGTCTCGGCTTCAGCAACGGCAACACCGTTGGGCCCGTTCAGCAGACAACCTTCTTCGACACTGCCAAGTCCAAGCTGGACTCTTACGTCTTCACTGCTGACCTCAAGCACGGCAAGGGTAAGCACTCGCTTGTTTTCACAAGATATTAAAAAGATAAAATGAGCGTTGGAATACTGACACAAGGAACTTACAGCCGGCAAGTACAACTTCGGCTACATTGACAGCACCGCCTACACCGGATCCATCGCCTACGCCTCCGTCAACAGCGAAAACGGATGGTGGCAGTTTACCTCCCCCGGCTACCAGATCGGCTCCGCCAGCTATGTCACCAAGTCCGTCACCGGCATTGCTGACACCGGCACCACCCTTCTCCTCCTTCCCCAGGCCATTGTCACCGCCTACTACTCCAAGATCTCCGGTGCCAAGTACGACTCTTCCCAGGGTGGCTACACTTTCCCCTGCTCTGCCACCATCCCCTCCTTCACCTTCGGCGTTGGTAGCTCTCGCATCACCATCCCCGCAAGCTACTTGAACTACGCTCCCGTCACCGCCAGCAGCTGCTTCGGTGGCCTGCAGAGCAACACCGGCATTGGCATCTCCATCTACGGCGACATCGCCCTCAAGTCTGCCTTCGTTGTCTTCAACGGCGCCACCAACCAGGTCGGCTGGGCTTCCAAGGCCCTCTAAATCACTTAGAGAGTACAGCTTAGAGTAGAGATAGAAGAGAGAGGTGGACGGTTCAGCAAACATGAAGCCCGGGTAATCTGGATTTGAGGACTGGACAAGGAAGAGAGAACTGAGGGTTGTTTGACGAACCGTTCATCGCGACAAGTCATGTGGCGATCAAGTCACTACTTCTTATACATAATTTTTATTCGTAGCATATTGGCGGACATTACGAGCGATGATGACGAGAAGATAGTTGCACTGTCTATATTGAATAATTAGACTCAGCGTTTAAAAGGCGATTGAAATCTCATACTTTTTCGTGCACGGATGTGACAATAAATCCTTACATCTAAGAGCTTCTCCCAGTATCGCTTCTCATTCAGTCTCTTCCCGAAATTGCCAAGGCTTGTGGCCCCCTCCTAGGCGCATAGTGTAGACCGCTCAATTGCTCTTGGAGCCATCCTCAACATTCATGCACAGCTGACGATTCATTTACACTAATTCCCGCCCGAGTTCCCCCATCTCAAATTCTAATTTCCTCCAATCCAAACGACTTTTTCATATCGAGGGTTTCTTGGCATACAGCAACAGTCATCTGGTACTTGCCAAGGTCCTAGTATCTCTCCCGCTCAGGCCCTAGAATCTGCCCAGAACTGCGCGGCCGCCGGCACGCTTCGTGGCCCTAGATGATGGTCAAGGGACCGAGGAGTGCGGGGATGAAGGAATAGGATGAGGCGTCTATCCTCGGGCTCAAGACCCCGAGGTGCAGAAGTTGGCTTATGAGAAGGAGGTGGGAAAGTTGGTATCGGTGGATGGTTCTGGAGCAGGGCCGCTGTGCCAAGAGAAACAAGTCAGGGGAGGCGAATAGAAGTGACTCCGCAGAGGGTGGGACTCTGCGTGGGATCATTTCTTCCCCGTTCCCTTGCTCGCTACAATAGAGCGGCTTCACCGCAACGGCGGGCAATCTATCAAGGCACTTTTTATGTTGTTGTCATTACGGGTAAATCTGAACAGAAAATGCTTTCGCGGAGCCATGTCTCTTGAGTCTCACCCCTCTGAAGATTGAGGTCCTGCAATGGGATGGGAGATATATGGCGAAATGCGATACACTGATTTTTCGAAATGCCTCTTGGCATAACTCTGAGATCAGGGTCGAATATTCACTGTATGATGATTACTGGTGATATCTATCTCATTTACAGTATCAAATATCGTGCTTGACATGGGAGATGGAACTTGGGCACTCCGAGATTGACCTCAAGCCGGTAAATTCTATGAGGCATGTTGAGATCATGGCGATAAAGCCTTCCGTGGCCCACACCTGATTCCCAAAGCTCTTTAGACCAGATGGGTTCTTGCTCTAGTGTCTGATTGAGCTTCTCCTCTCGCCATTGTCATTAATGAGGCGGTGTTCATCGCGGACTTAACGGGTAGGAGATGGTTGGCAACCTATAGCTCACCTCCTTGAACCAGCCAATTAGGTTTTCCCAATGAGCATCTCCTGTCATCGTCCCGGCAAGTCTAGTCCATCTGACCCTCTCTCCGAACAAGGGTGCTAGACATGGAAGTCGAGGACGACGACATGACGGTCCTCGGACGAGGAAGCCGACTTGGCGATGATAAAAATCGACAGGATGTCCTCCTTCTCGAGCCTTTTGGTGTCCACGAGCGGCTCGCCTATGAAGCCAACGCCATTCCAGATCTCTATTGGATCAGAGTAACCTTTTGTTTTTGATGATCTGAGAATGCGGAGTGACAAATTGGTCGGGTTGGGAAGGATCATGAAGAGATCGCCTGTTTTGCCGATCGCTAGACGACCGCGTCGAGGACTAGGTACCGGCCCAATGGCATGTTGAATCCAGGTTCCTGCTCAAGAAACCTGGTTAGTTGTGACATCCATTCGGAAGAATAACAATGAATGCTAGCTGATTTCATCTTACCATCAGGAGATCGATAATAGTGCTTCCATAGTTTCTCGCCGCTCATTGTGTCACGGTTAAGAACATGAACCCCGCCGTCCTGGTCGACTGCCTGTGCCTCTTGATTTGTCAAGCCTCGGCCCCTAGGAATTTCAAAAGCAAGAAGACCTGGACAATCCGGTGTTACTGAGCCTCCATGCTTCAACGAAGCGATTGTATCGTCTTGTCCATTTTTCCATGTGTATCCCCCGTCACTGCTATAAGCGTAACATATGTTATGATTGTTCTCGGCACCGTTGGGGCCGGCCTGCTGCTTGTGCTTCGTATCCAAAGGTTCATCCCAACCATCGTAGTAAACAAAGCCACGATACACCCATGTGACGTGTAACTTGCCATCACGGTAGTCCATACCATGGACGTATGGGTTATTCTGGATGCCTTGAAGGTGTTTACCAGCATACTCATACAACCCTGTCGCGGCACGATAGATGTATAATAGGTCATCCCCGAGACCGGATTTGCCATTTCTTATAGAGAAGAACATGTCATCGCCCAAGCTACCAAACCGTGGGTAGGTGACGTAGCCGAAGTTCTCATGAGGTTGAGGAATACCGGGGACATGATTGAGAGTCGAAGTGAACTCGTCTTTGTTCCATGGGAACAGTTCTGGATCGTTGGCAACGCCTTTGGCGGAATGTCGGTACCTCAAGCTTGAGAGATTTTGTTAGTGTCAGAGGAGCAGGTCAACATTGCGCCAGGACAAAGCTAAAATGATAACGACGGCATAGTCGGTAGCTTACATGTCACAATGGTGATCGTATGATAGGTGGATGGTGCCATCACCCGGACAAATGCCCATCTGGACCGTATTATGGCCATCGTCGGTAGTTTGGCGATAGTCGTCGAAAACGATAGCCTGCCACTCAGTGCTAGGCAGTTTGCGCCGAGCCAAGCAAACGTAAAGAGGTTCAAGCTCAATGTCGTTCCTCCGAGCTGGAGAAGGGCCACTACTGTAAAAGACGGCATATTGCCAGCCCTTGAAGGAGATTATGGCGTCTTGCTGGAATGCGTTGCCGTTGAGAACGCATTTGCGGTGAGCCGGGTCTCGACCCAGTACAGTTACCACGGGGGCTTGAAGACGATGCAGCTCGTTGAGTGACATCCCGGCTCGTCAGCGCGTGGCCAGGTCAGGGACAACCAAAACCGGGGGGTGGGGGGCGGGCTTGGACTTGAGCAGGATATCTTGGCGTTGGATGTCAGAAATGTTACTTGAGGGCGCGGCTTTGGTGTGTCACGATCGAGGGAACGGGGGAGGAAGGGGAAACGCAGAGACTCTTGGAGTGGCTTGCATGCGTTTTCAGGATCGGGCCTTGGAGGGCGAAATTCTTCCGTCCCGTCTTTACAAGAGAATCGTTCGCGATGACAATACAGCGATGCGCCGACATTGTGTCGAGATTATAGGATTAGACTGCAAGCCTAGCGATAGTCTTGAACTAGCATGTTTTGATATTCTGATTTGGTCACCCTTCTCATGTCTGTAGACTATGATTAGGCCGTGACGGGTGTGCATCCGAGTTCCATGGTCCTGGGCTGTGACTGTACGGCACATGCCGGACCATTGCTTCGTGGATGTCAACAGTTGCAAATCAGACGCCATTGCAAGCAGTGCGGGGCGTGACACGTCTAGCAGGGCCCAAGGACTCGGGTCCGGAACCAAACAGACATGACGGGGAGGGAGTGGTATGTGGCATCGCATGATGTTGGCCGAGATCGAACGGAGTGGCTCACTTAGCGCCTGTTGTCTCGAACATACCTGGACTACATGTTACATGCAGGCTTTTTGACAAATAAGTGAATGCCAACTACTAAATCACAATGTGAATCAACGTACGCACCAGAAAGAGATTGGAAACCTTCAAAAATGGAGTGTTGGTAGAAGCAGACTAGGGAGATCCGGTCGTTCAGGTCAGAAACGCAGATTAATTTTTCCGTCAAATGAACGAGCTTCATGACTTGATGCTAAGCCTTTGGTCCAGCGCCACAAAGTTGGGGTGGTGGTCGTCGTGAAGGATTGGAGTGTTGGAGTGGCCGTTGGGACCCCAGACTTGAACTGTATTTGGCGGGGGTTGGTCGAATCATGATCAGTATTACGGATACACTACCTGAAATAGTCTTCCAGTCATCCAAGACGTACCAGATCGAGTCTGAAAATGGGAAGAGGTCTGAGAGAAAAGCCTAGAGTATGTTTTCGCATTTTGAAAACATCTAGGAACGAGCCTTGGCCAGCTATGGTAAAGCGTCGATCGAAGAGCGCGGTTTGTGAAAGAAAGGGATTACTTCCTCGTCTCCCTAGTCACGCAGTCAATATGCTGCTCGTTGATTCACTGATGGCCTGTTCGCCTAACGCTCGCGCCTCTTTGCGCCAGTTCACCCACCTCCTCTTGACAGGACGACCACCCCCGCGATCTCCAACACATCCCCACCCGTCTGAGTCTCCGTCCCCATTTTCTCCCACCCGCGCCCTTTCTCCGCAGAATCCACCGTGCGGGATCGGTCGACCAAATGGGCTACCGGTTGGAGCAGAAACCAGTCCGGGAGGTGGACAAGAGGTGTGGGAGGCGCCGGAACCAACCTTTCGACTCTTCGAGTGATTGGTTGTCAGGCACTCTTTGGCTCTGAGTTTGTGTTCCTGTAAGTTGTAACCGTAACCCTGTTCGGATATATCGTCTCATGCCTGGCCTTCCCTGTCAGCGCATACGCATTGCAGAAGAGACTAAACCAAGTCCAGCGCACTAAAGTATTTCTCCCTTGTCAACAACCAGTCTGCGGCCCATGCAGAGAATAGGGTACCTACATCCCCACGCTCTTGTTCTCTTTGCCTGTTTGCCTCGTCCCTCTTTCCTGGAGGCTTTTCCCCACTCTCGTCTGTAGCCTAAATTCTAAAATGGAGACGACCAAAGACGTGTCTCCCAGCAAATCACGCGCCATCCTCATCGCAAGGAGCGGTCCACATTTCGACCAAGCAAACCGCAACAAGAATAGCCACATCCCGAGGGCCTTTCGTCCTAGCGTAGCAAGCATACTTTATTCTTGCTCCGCTCTGTGAACCCGGGGGCACCTGGGGAAGGGCGGGAACTTCTTCTGGGGCCCCAGAGAGCCACATGTATTGTTGTTAAGCTTGAACGTCAGCACACGCATCAAATTTGCAGTCGGTGGGCGTTTTGCTATTGTTATCATGAATCCCCATAAGATCTTGGAGGCTGCTGAGGGACAAGATCATCTCTTGATTGTTGTCTTCCTTCATGCCAAGTTGTTGTTCTGAGTAACAGACATGACGGACTGTGAGAACCTGACGACCAGGGTAGACGATACTTGAGGCCATCGAGTAGGATGTACAGATGTCGGCTTCGATCTCCCAAAGTCCTTCCATGCCCGCGATGTTGATCTCCCCTTGGCTCGTACCCGAGCATAGTTCGTCCATCTGACTGAAGTGCCATCCGTACTGCATTGGCTTGCCAAGCCTAGTCTCTGAGACTAGCCCAGCCATGCCATGCTTGTTGCTGCATCCCATCCGGCCAACTCGACCACCACCACACACCCCCAAGATGCTTGCCATATCCCAAACTTAGCCGGAAGCCTCCAATTGCACGACCTGGTCGGCTGATCGCAAAACCGAATAGGCCACCATCCCCCAAGGCCAAGCCGTTCCTCTGCCGCCCCCGTCGGTCCAGCACCGTCGGGCTGCCCTCTACCTTCCCTCTGAATGGCGGAAAATTACATGGACAATTCTCCGTCCGTCTTGGTACTCGTTGAGGCTCGGTTTCCTAGGGTTTAGAGGCACAGATGAGCGGACGAACGAGCTAGGCGAGACAGGATTACAGCAGGGGTCTTGGTTCTGGACGGGCTTGGAGACGCACAGGATCGATTGCGACCATGGCCCCGGACAGCTACTCCTCACCACCACTCCAATCCCCCTTCCCCAGATTGCTTCTGCTACATGTGGGATGGCAGATAACTGACTATTCTGGCAGTGAGGGGCCCCCGGGTTCCATCCATCTGGGGAAAGACGAGGATTCTGATTAGCAAACAAGGGAAAACACCATTGTGAATTTCCGATATATCAGGGCCACCGTCCCGCACCCTCTGCTCTCGTTTTCTTCCCTTCGTCGCTCCGTCCCCCTCATCCAGTCTCCAGCCCAGCACCACCACCCCCTCACATCTTGAGCTGACTCACATTGGCTCAAGACTCAACCATCACAGGGTGTCGTGTTACATCGGCCAATACTTCGTCATCTGCGATAGCAACACCAACCTCGCCAGATCCTGGCCTAGTTGCCGAGAAATAAATCGCCCAACATGTCGACCATGCAAAAGATTCTCAAGAAGATCGTCCACAATGATTCTATGGAGACGGACCCGGCCGAGATCTACGGCTGGAGAGTCTTTGCACTCGCCGCCTCCGCCTGCTTCGGTGCTATGTCATTTGGTTGGGATAGCTCCGTCATTGGCGGTGTCGTCGTCATGGAACCCTTTAAGAAGTAAGTGACGATTCTGTCTACGCGGAGTCAGCACCCATGAGGTACAAATAACTGACTTGTCGACCAACAGCGACTATGGACTCAAAGACGCCAACCCCGTCGAAACTGCCAACTTGACTGGTAACATCGTGTCCACCCTCCAAGCTGGGTGCTTGGTCGGCGCTCTTCTCGCATCCCCCATTACGGACAGATTCGGCCGCAAATGGTGCCTCATTACTGTCGCTGCCATCATTCTCATCGGTGTTGTCCTTCAAGCTGTCTCTTCCGGTCGAATCGCTGCCATCTTCGTCGGTCGCTTCATCGCTGGTCTCGGTGTCGGTGGTGCCTCTTCCATCAACCCTCTCTACGTCTCTGAAAATGCGCCTCGTGCTATTCGTGGTCTCCTCACCGGCATGTACCAACTATTCATCGTCACCGGAGGTATGATTGCCTTCTGGATCAACTACGGCGCCGAGGTCAACTTGACGGGCAAGACCATGTACATCTTCCCTCTCGCCATCCAGGGCCTTCCCAGTCTTATGCTTCTCATCTGCATGCTGTTCTGCAACGAGTCTCCCAGATGGCTGGCTCGCCAAGACAAGTGGGAAGAGGCCAAGAAGATTCTCTCCACCCTCCGCAACCTGCCCGAGAACCACCCATACCTCGAGGATGAATTCCAGGAGATCGTTGACCAGCTCAACCACGAGAGACAACTCATCGGCAACGCCTCCTTCAAGAACCTGCAAAAGGAAATGTGGACCATCAAGGGTAACCGTAACCGTGCTCTCATCTCCATCTTCCTCATGATCTGCCAGCAAATGACTGGAACCAACGCTATCAACACCTATGCCCCTACTATTTTCAAGAACCTGGGCATTAGTGGTCAATCCACACCCCTTCTGTCAACTGGCGTCTACGGAATCGTCAAGGTGCTTGCCTGCATTTGCTTCTTGCTCTTCATGGCCGACTCTCTCGGACGTCGTCGCTCGCTCCTCTGGACTTCCATTGCTCAGGGCTGCTGCATGTTCTACATCGGTCTCTACGTCCGCATATCCCCGCCGATTGCCGGACAGCCTGTCCCGGGTGCCGGATACATGGCTCTCGTTGCCATCTTCCTGTTTGCCGCATTCTTCCAGTTTGGTTGGGGTCCGGCTTGCTGGATTTACGCCTCCGAAATTCCGGCGGCTCGTCTTCGCTCTCAAAACGTTGCCCTTGCTGCTGCTACCCAGTGGCTCTTCAATCTCATTGTCGCCCGCACTGTCCCCAACATGTTGGCCACCGTTGGTGCCCATGGCTACGGGTAAGTGATTTGCTACCAATTTCTTCAGCCGAGTCATCATTCAGCTAACACTGTGACAGAACCTACCTCATCTTCGGAAGCTTCTGCTTCTCCATGTTCTTCTTCGTCTGGTTTTTCGTCCCCGAAACCAAGGGTATCTCCCTTGAGCACATGGATGCTCTCTTCGGTGTCACAGACTACGACTCGGACAAGAACTTGGCTCACGACAACGCCAGTGAGACCAAAGGATCCCCCGCCGAGATCCAGGTCGAGTCTACCAACCCCGCCCACGCCCATGTCCGCAAGGAGTCAGCTTAGACCGTCCTTGGAAGGAGGCATGATGGGAGTATTTTTAAGGCAACGCCATAATGTCAAGTGATAGGAAGTCGTAACCGGTTTTTAGGGTAGATGAGATTTAGAAAGGGGACGAAATGCGTAGTGGGGAGGGGCCCCTATGTACTCAGTTACGGCATTTGATACCAATCTTTTGAGCCCAAAGCGACGCACGACAGAAGCCCATGACAGCCAATTCCATCGAAATAAGAATAGACTGAAACCTGCCAATCCCTAAACGAGACATGTTCCGTTCTTTCCCAGCGGGAAGTTGAAGCTCGGCGTCCAGCCCTGTGTGGTTGTAGCATGGTCAATGACATGACCTCTTTGTCTTCGGAACGATACCGGAGGAGGCAAATGCTTAGATATGGTGGTGTCTTGGTGTAGCCTTTTGGAATTCAACTGCCTCATCGCTTCTAGGCGGCGAACGATTGTTCTTGAGGTACACGGGACGAGGTGTAATTCTCGCATGTTCTGTCCTCCTGTCTTGTGATAGCATTCAGTACCCACCTACCTTAGGGTGTGTTGTATACAGGCACGTGTTGAATCCAATACCGACACCGTGAAGAAGCTCTGAGTAATAACATTCACAAAGACAGTCCTGATGCCCGCACTGCCGCTTCACGGAATGTTTGAGAGAGGTATAGCGCCATCAGGAGTTCGCCTATATAACGCTGCACAATGCCCAATTGTAGCCGGGTATTGATTGCTAGGGCGATGTCATGCTACGATCGCTGGCTCAATTAAACCAAGAAACGCCAAAAGCCCATCGGGTTGTTTGGATTGCCCCGAAATACCAAGTCGAACCTTTCGACCTGTCCAGTGCATATAGCCTCGTGTCCTTTTGCCCCGTTGCTGTGCCACAGCAGATGGTTTAAGATAATGACCCCACGTAAACGCCGAATATTGCTCCGTGACAAAACATGAATGAGAAGACCGGTTCAAAACACGCTTGCCAGTATACACATGCACACCGAAACCACAACGACTACTGTCCTCCAGGTGCTCCCGCACCATCAAAGATAATGAGTGGCCATTGGCCAACGGGAGCTGTGGCAGCGGCGATGTCGGCCACCGTCGCCGCCTCAGTCACTGCAGTCGGGTCCCTAGATGCACCGCCCAAGGTCAACAGAGCATTGGCGCTATATCTGTCTTGGCTGTCCGCCATTGCCGCTGTCCAGTCGTGCCAGGTATTTCCTTGAGACGCTGACTGTCTCCAGAGGAGCTCCGCCGCCGCCGCAGAGCCAGCAGGGTCTGCGACGTGTTGAGTGGCTTGGGATGCAAACGCAATCAGTGGGTTGGTCTCAGCCGTGTTGTCATCACCGCTCGTGGTCTGCGCTGCTGCAGGCGTGTATGAGTATCCGTTATTCACCTCAAAGCTACTAGTTGACGCCACCGCGTTCGTGTTTGGTGGCTGCTCAGCATAAGCCAGCGAGGGGTATGGCGTGGTCCCATTCTGGTTTTCCGAATCTGGGTAAAAGGCCTTCGTAGCCGCCTCGTCGGCACTGACAGCGAGTGCCTGTGCTGCTTGAGGTTGCGACGTAAGCTGAAAGGGGGACGCCTCTGTCGTCGATGGGTCCGTCTTGATCGTTGGGGGAAGCGGTGAATCTTTTTGTTTCTGATCGTGTTCAATCCAACTGATTGTCCTCTCAATAATGACGCTGATTTCGTTGCTGATACGAGTGCCAGTCCCTGGAAATGAACAGTCAGTGTCAGAGTCCAACATGGCATATTCGGAGCGTTGCTCACCTAGCAACGAAACAGTCGCATTGATAATCTCCATCCAATCCTTCATTTCCTCCCGAAGGTTTGCAATCTGATTGGACGTTGCTTCGAACCTCCGTTCCCAGTGAGCAACCAAAGTGGTGAAAATGGCGGCACCGTAAACTGCCATCTGGTACCACGTCGTGTCGAGAGACTTCAGCTTCACGAGGCTCTTAACGGCATTGAGCATATGCGCAGCAGTCTCTTCGCATATACGCGCGTTCTCGAGGAGCATCTTCCGATCGCTAGTCATGGCCACGGATGGATGACGTAAACACAGCCGGAGCTCGAGGGCATACATCTGTATGTACAAGGCGTACATACGGCCCTCATGTTCAGGTTGCCCAGGGCTGATCTGTAGCGATTCGGGCAGGTTTTCCTTCCAGAGACGAAGCTGCTCTTCTAGAGAGTTGACAACATCAATGTAGTTTTTGGGGTCGCGCTTGACGCTGTAGATGTTGGAATACATCTCCATGAAGAGAGGCAGAATCTTGAAGCCCGCCAGCCCCACGTGGTATGTACATGGGCTCGTCACTGACGGGTCAACACCGTCTGGCGTCAAGGCTTCATCGGCGATGGGCTCCGGAAATTCGACGTCATACTCCTCGACAGTAATAGGCATGGGCCGTCCAAGGCGCCCATTTAGAGTGACAGAGACGAGGAGTATAGTCCACCAAGTCCGCTTGCGTATCTCATTCTCTAGATTGGTCGTTTCCCCTGGTCCCTTCATGGCGCGATGCATATTCAAGTCTATGGCGCGATGGAAAGCAAAGTTTGTGATCATGGAGCCGCACCCTGGTTTGGGAAAGCTGCGACTGTGGGCGCAAATCATGGCCATGGCTTGAACGGCCGCTACTGACTGTGAGGACGCCAAGTCGAACATTTTGCTCAGAGCAAAGTGGTAGTGCTTGTTAGACAGCTCGTTGAGTTGCGAACGGGTTTCTTGCTGCTCCCAGTTCCGCACGCCGTATTGGAAATAAATTGTCGCAAAAACCATGTGTACCATGACCTGATCAGGCACACTAGGTTCGAAGCCGGGTTCGTCGTACATACGTGTAAGCTAGCAGATGGTCAGGGCTGGTCAAAGTGTGTCGAGACTTGGGAACTTACGATGTTCATGAAGCTAGGCTTGTGCAAGACTGGCAAGAAAGGCCATATCATGAGGAAATACCATTCCGAGTAAGTGAAGGCATCGCTCCTTGAGGGAAGTTCAATGTTGACTGTGGGATTGATATTCATGCACGATTGGAGGAATGATTGTAAAGACTTGTTGTACAGGGGTTGTGATTCCTTGGCGTCTGGTATCGGCTCGTCGATATCGGGGGCGTCAAAGGACGTGACGTCTATCGTTGTACCCAGAATGGACAGCTGGGTGCCTTTGATTGAACTGAGAGGCGCGCTGTCGGAGCCAACGCCCAGATGATTATGGACCGGACGCGACTCGAGGGTCGATCGAGGGAACGAGCGACCGCTGGCGGGCTTGTAGTTGTAGTTCTTGACCCAGACGGAACCGACCTTGGTCCAAGCATCCTTCTCATTGGGATCTTCGACGGGATTGCCCATATGGTCGTAAGTTACGCCAGGGGGCGGGTAGTTGATGCCATAGGGGGACCATTGGTAAGGCTTGACCTCGATGCCATTGTTCTCGAGCAGCTTCTCCAGTTCGCGGACGTGGTTCATCATGTCAGTCTTTTCCCTCTCGAGCTCCTGAAGGTAGCCCCTCCTTTCGGTTCGGCCGGTGACGCGATCGGTGACGAAGCAGTCGAGGTTTTGGCTGATGCAGTGGGAGCATCCTTCGGGGAGGGCATCGCATCGGATCTTTCTGACCTAAGGTATGTGCCACGGCGGTTAGTACAATAGGCACGACTCAAGAGGGAATGAGGAGTTCAGGATGAGGCAAAGAAGAGAAGACAAGACGCACCTTGCATCTGTCGCAGGCCTGACCGGTCCTCGTGTAGGACGACAGGCGATTCTTGACGACGGACGAGAAGTCCTCCTGGCCGCCTTTGTCGAGTCGCGGCAGCTTCACCTTGGCCGCAGGTGTGGGTGCGACATCGACCTCGGAGGCAGCAGCAGCATCGCCAGCTTCTGCCGGTCGCTTGGGTGGGCGACCCGGCATGGTCTGTTTTTTTCTTTCTCTCTTTCTTGCCCCTCTGCTCTCGGTAAGAAGTGGCGATTCAAGCGCGGCGCAAAGGTCTGGCAGAGAGATTAAGTGTCCCTGGCGACGCGCGGGACGGCAAGAGAAGTCGCGACGGGGATTGCCGTGGATGATGAAGGTTGCCGCGTTTTCAGGAGAGCTCTGCGCTGCTGAAGTGCCGGAGGGCCTCCCAGGCAGGCCAGGTTGCAAGGGGGGAGTAATTCGATAGGTACCGTACGTACGGAGTCTTCGTATACGGCAGGCAGGGCAGACGGGGGACGGGAGCTGGTCGCGAATGCAAACGCACCAGGGTGGGCTCCCAGCCTGTCGGGATGCGGGAGGGTGGGTTCCAGGGCAAGCTATCCGCAATTAAAGGTAAGGTACCCAAGACCCCCAGCTTACTGCGAAGGTACTGTAGGTATACCTTAAGATAAGGGAAAACCACCCGTATCCGATTCGTACGTGCCAATGCAAAGGACGATCGACGCGCGGGGCCGGTCTAGAAGCAACCTGATGGTCTGGATCTGCTGATGAAACCTTGTCGTCCGTCGTCACCTCGATTCCTCATTCAGGCTAAGTATTCACGCATTCCAGTGAACTCTGCAGGCGTCATTTGAGTGAGAGTTCTGATTTCTGTGTATGTGGAGGCTGCTGAAGAGACTGGCTGAGGAGTAAGACTCGGTAAGATTGGACCAGTAATGGTACTGATTAGGTACTCTGTATCCGTCCATACGCATTACGGCCAGGGTGGCAATCTGACGAGTAGAATCGATGAGCCAGGAGGAAAGATACGCATCTTTCAACATGCCAAACCAAGCACACGAGTCCAAGTTCGTTTGGGTTCTACAATGGGTGGTCCAAAAGGATCGAGGCGACGAAATTCGATGAGCGATCAAGTGGCGCACAGAGGCGTCGGCCGACAATGGACGGGAACGAAAGATTCCAGGGTTCCAAGGTTCTAGTGCCAGGGCCAAGGCCGTAGACTAAGGTAATACACAAACCGACCGGGCACGTATTCCATCCCAAAGTCTAGCCTTCAAAACTTGCCGTCCAGAGTCAACCTGTCCGTTGTTGTCCTACCACCAGCTGGACAGGCTTGCAAGCGACCCCTCCCTCCCCTCCCACGTGCGGCGTGCCCCCTTCACAGCGAATGGACCCATCCACCCATCCACTCATCAACCAACCCATTTGCCTACGTAGTACGGACAGTCGCTCGCCCATGATGCGATGATGCCCTGCCCCCCATGTCTCAATGGACTTCCAAGCCTTGTCCCACCTGCCGTGGCCGGGCCTTTCAAAGACTCCACGAGCCTCCTTTGTGTCTCTGCTGCGTCTCTGCTGCGAACGTACCGGCCCAAGCGCCACCCCTGGCCGCGTCAAGTCTTTCTTACCCTGTCCTTTGACTGGGTACGCGGCAAGACCGTCGAGGAAATCCATCGAGGTCGAGTAATGGGGCAAGGCACGCTGGGCGATGTGACTACCTCTCTGTATCGACCGCCGCATACGCACAACCTCTACTCGACACGAGACGCTTCAGCGATACAACCGATACAACAGACGGCAAGCCAACCTGTGAACTTGGAAACGTAGTCAACATTCATTCCGTCGAGGAAGTTGAACACCCTGATTTTCTACCTGAAAGTATCCACCATCTAGGAACAATATTCCAAGCCACATTATTCATGTTCCCCCCGATGGCTGTACACACTAGGGTAAGTAATGCTCTAAAATGTCTGCGTGTATGACAGTTTCTGCCACACTGCGTACACATCGCCATTACCTACCTCTTATTGGAGGCTGAATCGCGGAGATGGGCAGCCTAATCAGCATCGGAAACATAGCTTCGCCTATCTCGAGGGCGCCGCGTCACAGCAGGGCTGCCAGATATGATGAAGCGCGTACCAGAGGTCGATGCGTCCGGAAAGTTGGCTAACTAACATGTGCGTTGCATATCGTCTTTAATTGGCAAGGCAAGATGAGATGACGGTGATATTCGCGTCCAAGCAATTTGGCCGAAAGATTTCCGCTTCATCATTTACGAAAACTGCCTAAACCATACCGATGTTGGAACGCTCGGGGAAATTTCCAATGCAAAGTAAATCGATGTCAATCCACCTTTGTGTTAATCGTATGAGTGACCCTGATTGGATCCCGGATAGGGACAACTGTTCGGAGCCCCTTCCGGCCGCCAAAGCATCTTAGTATATGAATACGGATACCTAGCGCTCATTTATGCAAGGGTACATAACCCGGGGAAAGAAAACTTGACGGAAACGAAATCAGGTATCGACCACGTTGACAATCTGATTTCAAATTTGGCAGCAAAACAGACATCAACCAAATTCTGAAGTTGATGGAGACCAGTGAAGCGCGGATGTTATACCTGAGGTGACGTATTCTCCAGGAAACTCTCTGAATTGCAAGGCTACTAGGAGGCGGGGATTTTTCCCTGATTCAATCGTCAACAGATAACAAACAATACCTTAATCTCCATCAAATAAGATGCAATAGGACTTCAACAAGGATCTTGGCCTCAGAGAAGAAGCTCTTATTGGTCTCTTACATGAGTAATGGGTGCTCAGGAGGAAGCAGGCATAGTAGCTGGGAGCCAGAGCGGGGAAGGGAGATTTAACTCTGCCTAAATGTGACGGAGGAATGAAAGACAGAAGTGGTCAGGGGTTGAGTGAGTGTATGATTGAGTGGCCGCGTGAGCTAGTGAGCAATCGGATGAGGAGGAGCACCTTGAATCGTTCTCTTCCATGATCGTAAAGAAGAATTTACAGCGGAACACCAACACAAAACAGCAGGGCAGGTGGGCCCAAGGTAAGGTACCTAGGTTAGCTTGGTGCATCTATAATTTTGACGTGGTTACCTAAGGTGCCTACCTACCTACCTTACCTTATGCCATGGAACCCCGCCATTGCCGCGCCCCTCCAAGTTTATCGTCACTCGATAACAAACTTCACCACACTGAGGTACCTTGGGTACACGCCGGCACCTCTCAAATTCAGTCCTCCCAAGTTTTCCAGGGTAAGGTACCCCGCGATACTTTTCGACCGCCACACCTTGGCTCCCAAAATCGGCACTCAAATCCCCTCCCATCCGTCTTCTCTTTCTTGAGAACTTCGCTTCTCAATCAACAGCCAGCATGCCGTCCCCCATCATAGAAACCATACCCATCGATCACGTGCCCGCCGATCATGTTGTCCATGTCGCTTTCTTCAAGGACATTCACAACGCTGCTTACCTCCACCAGCAGCTCCTCGACCGCAACGCAGATTTTGAGTACGCCTTGATTGATGCCTCCGTGGTAAGACAGAAGCTCCAACCGCATGATTAAAAAAGGCGTTCGAATTCACAGACTCACGCAAACCTCACTAGGCTGTCTCTCGAACCCACATACTCGCCGCCGCTTTCAAGGCTGTGACCGCAAAGGTCGACGGCAGCCTCAAGACCCCAAACGTCCATTCCGAGCTCGTAGCCTCACTTAGCTCTGCAAACAACGTACACTGAGCTGTCACTGTATATCGATATTCCGGCCGATGACTGACTGGTGCCCAGATCGCAGAAGCCTACCGTCGTTATGGCATTAGCCCTGCGACCAAGGACGTGATTGTCGTCAAGATCACCACCCCCGGCGGCCCGCCGTCCGCCGAAGACGTCGAGAAACATCTCAAGGATAACTTCCAGGGTGTTCCGGCCCCTTTTACGGACGAATCCATCTCGACATCGACAGATTGGGCCAAGGTGCGCAAGTACTACAAGTTGAACGGGCTCCCATGGCTCGACGCTATCAAGGACGAAACAGAGCGCAGAGAACAGTTGGAGACTCTGGTTTTGGGTGCAATGGCACTACGCACGGCATAAGGTGCCAGAATACGCCGACGCAAGCCTCTATCACAAAGGACTCACGCCTCTGATGTTTATATGGGTTGATCGTACGTAGCATCATCATACTTGCTTTACTGAAGGTCTAGACATGTCTAACCGCATTTCTAGGATCCAACTTCTCACAACCCAAGCAATTCGAATTCCAAAAAGCGCGTTTTTTCTTAGACGGATACCCCAATACTGCCCTTTTACTCGCCTCAACAATTTTATGAACAACTCATCGTGTACACTCCGTGTCCGCTGCACCGCGTCACGATTCTCATGCGCCCTTCTTAGGAGATACTTCATGCACTCTCCAGTTGAAGCCCAAACGAGATACTCGCTTGCTTCGACGGCCTGGGACTAGGTTCGCGTTTGCATTGGCACATGTCCCCATTCTTTCGAGCAGACTAGCTCGCAGCTCACTTCATCCGCCATATCCTGCAATTGTACATAGGCAACGTGGATGTTGGCCTCACCAGACTTGCAAATCTTGTGGGCTCGCCTATTGTGGGATGCGATGACCAAGCTGACCGGCGGCATGTGAATGTCACCCTGCAAAACGTTTCCCCATTCTCGCTTGAGAAGACTATCAGCTATGCCATCGCAGCAGGTGTCCGTGCTCTCTTTTGTGTCGAGGATGAGTTGTCTTGGATCTGATCCAATATTTGCACCGCGAATCAGCTTCACACCCAATGTAAAGCCTTCTTCCTTTGCAAAGCGGAGATGTCTCGCCAGGGTCTCGGGGGTCGACTTTGAGGTACGCCTGATCCGTCCCATACACGGAGGCTTGTCCACGAACGTTGTTGTACTTTCGCATGTACTCCATGGTCCAGTCATCGATACTAGGTTGGAGGTAGACCTGTTCGGCGTTGAAAAGGAGGCAAACAACACGCTGGGCAGCGAGAGAGCAGATGGAGCTTATCGCGTGGGCCAAGGCGGCACAGGGTGGTAGACGATCTGCAAGAAAATGTAGCGCTTGACGGCCGGCACCCGTGAGTCTAAAAAAGCAGTTAGTAGCTGGAGTCCACGGTGAGGATCAGGAAATAAAAGGGAGTAACCTACTTGAGGGCAACTAAGTCTCCCTGCTCGGCCAATTTCACCGTCCCTGAGTTCTCCTAGGCCCAAGGAACAATCTAATTGCGAACACACTCTTTCGCCATCTTACCCTCGCCGCATGCGTCCAACTCCTTCCGACATCGGTCAAGAAAATCTCCTTTGCGTATCCCAGTATAATTTCAGTGAAGCCGATGTCTTCGAGGCCTTTGATGATTCACCTAACTTCGATTGGGTTCTCGCCGGCGCAAAATTGTGCGTAACAGTTATTCTTTAGGAAAAAGCGTAGGAGAGGGTTCGTGTCTGGGTTGAGGAGCGGGTTGAGCCAAAGTGAAGGCGGGAGAAGGGTGGGCGAGGAGGATGTTTTTGTTGTTTGCAGAGACCGTATGATCATGTGAAGAGGAAGGACTGACAGGGGTGCTGGCGGGCCCATTGATGGTGGTGACGAGAGTACTGTTGCTGCTGAAGTAGTCACAGGCTCAAGTACCAAGTGTGTAGGTGTTGTGTCCGCGTCTAGGAGCTGGTCATTGGAAGAGGAACGCTTCGTAGACGAATGGATAGATCTATGCGTCACCTTCGTAGGAGGGAAGCTGCCAAGTCGCCGACTACGAATTATGTGAGGTTGAAGACAGGAAGGCAGCATCGAGTGATTTTCTCGTGGCAGTGCCGTGTTGTTGATTAGGCGCAGACATCACCGTAGCGCCGGGGTCGCACAGTCAGCGCGGCCAGCTCAGAGGCCCAGTCATATGGGATACTGGAAGCAGTGTGTGGAGACATGGATCAAGGCGATGTGGACAGACGTAGACTTGGTCATTGATGTGGCAAGAGTGGCAATTCCTTGGTTCGAGGTTGAAGTAACGAGCAACTATTTACTCGGTGACATGGGAATTCGGCGCGAGAGGGTGTCGTAGTCGACGATGCAACCCGGCGCCTTTGTCTTGCCGACCTTTGCACGGCGTCGGAACCCATAGACAGTTCTTGGGTCAACAGGCCGTCTCACGGATGTTGGTGTCATTGAAGGTAGGCCAGGGTTAATGGCCAAGATGATGAAATATTGCTACCGCCGAGGCCGGTCAGGTAGCCATCGATGGCTTTGGCAAGGTTAAATCAAGCCCGTAATCTCCTCCTACAGACCCATCACGTGGGCGTCTTGTATCTTTGAAAGACAGCCGATTGTAGTCGTATACGGAGGCTGAGCATTCGTATGCACCCTGACGTTGGTGCAAAGCTACAATTACAGTGTTCCAATTGGCGAATAAGGTAGGGTTGGGTCGCGACGCTGATGAGGTTCGAGTCCATTGGGATAAGGTAGCCCCGATGCAACGAAGCTATTCGGCGAACTCGTGCATTCCAGTGTTCATGACGTTGATCTGTAGTCAATTACCTACCAGATTTCCGGGCTTTGGGTAGGTTGTATTCCGGAGACGGTTTCTTACGGTGACGTTTCTTGATTTCGCTCGGCATTGGGCCAGTTGGGCCATGTTCAAAAGGGTGGCGCTTACTCAGGCGAGCGCCATCTGCCTCGGAATGCAAAGGTCAGGTGCCGTCATTATGGCAATGTTCTTTACCCAGGCTTAGCGATCCCCGTCGCAACCAACAAGACGTAGTTGCACCGCTCCTGGCGTGAGGCTTGCTGCAGTGGGATCTCCTTCTTGGGAGAGACTCCTAGGTTAACCACTTTGCGGCTGATCGGCTTTCGGTGCCTTGCCAGATCCAAATCGCCGGCGGAGAGATTCGATATACCCAATACGACGGCCCCGAGCAAGGCCAACCGCGTCTTGCAATCCACCATATACCAGTCCAAACAGCAGACCATATCTTGCGGTGCGGGCCGCCGTCGGAAGAGAGAAGCGGTCTAGAGGGAAGGATTATCAGTATGCAAATTCATGCGCCGGCATGAGGCAGAGTGGACCTACTCCATAGACTGAAAGTACCGGCCACTGTCAAGCTGGCCGAGACAGTACTGATGAGATCGCTCTGGCCGCGACACCGATCAATGGTGCTCTCCAAGCCGAAAGCCATCAGAGTCCAGAAGCTTAGTCTAACTCCCATAGTCAAGCCTTCCCTAAGGCCGCCGTACATGGTGTGGTAATTCTTGCTTTTGTGATAGAGGTACCACCCGGTCGTAGTTGTCGGCATCTTGTGCGCGTGCTCGGCGCGGAAGCGCAGCTGAGCTATCCGGCCTCCATGTGCGAGACCCAGAGTGGTTCCGATTCCAAAGCCAATCAGCCCAGCCAGTGGGATACGTGCTGGTGTCGGGATCGAGAGGCGAGACTCAGAATGCTTTTGGCCGAACCTGAGGCTCTCTGCTATCGTCTCCGGGCGTTCAGCCATCGTGTTGTTCATGTTGGGGCGGATTTGGGCCTTTGATCGAATTCCGTCGTGTTCGTGTACCGTTTTTTGGACATACGAAAGTCTGTAATATGCCGGTGGTGGCGTTGTGCTTTCCCCAAGACTTTGAGGACGCTGAGATGCATATTCAATCTACCTTACCTTCGTTAATAAGTGCCGTCAGCTCCAGAACTGACTACCCGCAGAAGCTTGGGCCACCACGCACTCGGCCCAGGAGTTCCGGCAGAACACGTAATCATGTGACTTCGCATTAGGGGGAGACCGAGCTCCGTCGCGACGAGACCTACCCGACTTTAAGGTGCCTAGGCCCTGTCCGTCCCCGCTGCTGATTTCTTGCGTTTGACGTGCAGCTTATTCCTCCACCACCGACGAACCTCCAAACGACGATCTTGGGCTACGGCATCCCACTGTCCAATCCTACTCGACATTTCGCAGTCGAATTCGCTCTTTACAAGTGCATTTAATTCGGAGTGCCCCCTTTTTGCGAAGATGGTACGTCCAGAGCTACGCAGCCCACTACCTCGCTGAGCTCACGCTGCTGACCTTGTCCAACAGCAGATCGACGAGACCTTCTTCTCGGTGCGCTTCAAGTACGGTGCACACACCATCTTGATGTTTGTCGACGGCCAGCAACAATTCTCTGAAATTACCGCGTCATTACTCGAGGTGCTCCGCGATCGCTTTCCCGACGGCCTCACAATCAACCACACTTCCCCCGAGACGACCGCGGTTCCCGAAGGCGATGTGCGACTAGCGTTTGCCCTGCCTGTTAATGCTGCCGATTTGACGCAAGGATGGAAGAGCATCAAAGTCTCTGACAGCGACATACCAGTCGCCAAGGGCTTCAAGGACAACTGCATTGTTGCATTCTCCTTTGACCCAGACGAGCCCGAGTTCTTGGTTGATATTCCGACTCTGGACGACGAGCTGGAAGATGAGGAGGGCATGGGATCCGACGCATGATAACCTTGGGAGTTTCTGAAACGATGCATGGCGTTGGGCGATGGGGACACGGTATTATGAATCATGTGCATCATGAGCGGTCTTTGAAATAAGTGTAGAAAGTTCTGCCTGCACAGATGCATACCGAGCAACGAAGGAGATGGCCATGGTTGATTTACACTTGTCCACAGCAAATCGAGGGCTAAAATGTCACGGGGACCAAAACCAAGCTGGTAAGGCGGTCACTCGGCCCATCGAGACAGTCTAGAGAAACAGTCTGGGTCGCCTCTAGAAGATTTGGCGCTAGAAGAGCCGTGGACTGCCGAGTGCTTGGGGGCTTTTTCTGGCTTTGAAAGTGACCATAAAAACGCATGTAACCGGTATTCGCCGCAAGTGGTGGAAAGATGCATTCGTCGCCGCGCATCGCATCACATCGATTGGAGACATACAATAAGCACAGTGCCTGGAACAAATGACGTCGGTGGTAGGCACCCAAGGTAAGGTAGTGAGCAGGTAATCCCTAGGGTTTTGCCGTCTCCACCACACCCTGGAGGCCCAGACACAGTGCCACAATGCCTGGCCAGGATTGGGGCTGCTATATCCGTATTCGTACCCATTTGGACCCCTTTTCCACACGCGGTCCGTCGCATGCCACCCCGAACGCAAATTGCGACGGAAGCTGGAGAAAACAGGAGAGGCTGCTCTTTCCTCTCAAATATTCGTACTTGTTAGTCTGTCCTTTTTGGCTTCAATATTCACATCAAGGAGGCTCGACACAAACACAGCTGCAGGGTCGCCGACTTCTGCTTCATGCTGCCGTCTACATGTCCCTCGTGGCTCTCCTCCGCCATGGCCTCCGCCTCCTGCTGCCGCTGGCGGTAATCTCGACCTTCTACCTCTACCTCTATCCCGTCTTTCTGGGATGCGCTTTTCCTGTCGCTCCAAGCGGCAGCGCATCAACCAGTCCGAGCCACGTTGCCGACACCAGCGCCGCCGCTTTCCTCGAGGCTGCGCGACAGCATATCCCTCTTCCAGTTCCGCTCCGATCGAGCGATGCTCGCCCCGCGCCTTTCCGTCTTCTCGCGCTTGGGGACCCCCAGCTCGAGGGCGACACGTCCATTCGAAAGCACAACGGCCCCATCTTTCCTCACGCGAGAAGCTTTTGGTCCCATGTGACCCTCCAGTCGAGTCATTCGTTGCGCCAGCGCATTCGTCACTCTCTGCACGACGTTGTCGATGTGTTCTTGGAGGACGTCTTTGACGAGCTCGAGTCGATTCGCAAGCGCATAGACCTCTTTGGCAACGACTTTTACCTGGCACATATTTTCCGAACGGTACACTGGTGGACTGGCCCTACCCACGTCACGGTGCTTGGGGACCTGCTGGGCAGCCAGTGGATTGGCATTGAAGAGTTCCGGCGCCGCGGCCGCCGGTACTGGGATCGCGTGGTGCGAGGGGCCGAAAAGGTTCCAGACGAAACCGCAGTGTTCCCGGCTATGGAGTATGACCTCACAGACTACCTTTCGGTGTCTGGTGAGCCCTCCGCCGTGTGGCCGCGTCGTGTCATCAACGTGGCCGGCAATCACGACATTGGGTACGCAGGCGACATCAACCAAGACCGGTTTGGGCGATTCGAGCGCCTGTTTGGCAAGGCGAACTACGAGCTGCGCTTCGAGCTACCCATTGAAGACCCGAAACTCAACGCCACAGTTGTGGATGACGAGGAAAACCCAGAGTCGGATCGCCTATCCCCCGAGATTCGCGTCATTGTCCTGAACGACATGAACCTGGATACTCCGGCCAAAGACACGTCTCTGCAAGACGACACATATGCCTTTATTAACGCTGTCATTGAGACTTCAGCAGCTGTAGAATACAGCGGTCATTTCACCGTTGTGCTAACTCACATCCCGTTGTACAAGCCTGAAGGTGTTTGCGTCGATGCGCCCTTCTTCGACTTCCACGGTGACCACGACGGTGGCGGAGTCAAGGAGCAGAACTTGCTCTCGGCTGACGCCAGCAAGGGCTTTCTTGAGGGCATTTATGGCATGAGCGGTAACACGGAAGCGCCCGGCAACGGCAGAGGTCGTCGCGGCGTGATCTTGAATGGACACGATCACGAGGGCTGTGATACGTATCACTACATCAACCAGACGAAAGCAGATCAGGATCGGTCATGGCAGGTCGAGCCTTGGCCAACAGCCAAGGGTCGCGGCACAGTCGGCGCAGCTGGTGTTCCGGGGCTCAGGGAGATCACGGTCAGGAGCATGATGGGTGACTTTGGCGGCAACGCCGGTCTTCTCAGCGCTTGGTTTGACGAGTCCTCGTGGAGCTGGCAGTTTGAATATGCAACCTGCGCCTTGGGCACCCAGCACTTTTGGTGGTTCGTTCACATCATCGACCTGATTGCAATCGCTGCACTTGGTGCTTACGGCGTCCTATCTGTGATGGCGACAAGCAGCGCGTCCGTTTCTTCACCAGTCTTGGTGGGAAAGAAAATGGTTCAAAATGGGGAGGCCAAATCATAATTTTGTTGCTCAAATACCCGGCAGGGAAAAGCCTTGTCTCACTTCTAGTATACAATGCCATTTTGTAGCATTACTCGCATCTACCTGTTGCAATTTCTCAAGTAGCACGCCATAGAGTCAACTCAGTCCTTTCCGTTGCCTTGGCCATTACCGCCAATTTTCATCGTCTTGGTACTGCACGAATATTAGGGCAATGCTATTGTTGACTTAACCATGGAATATCTCCAGGCTGTCACGAATACCTTGCATCTGTCGTGGGTCACTGAGCTACCCCTGGCCTTGTGTTCCATGACCACGCGTCTCCAAAGGCAACGCATCCGGACAGCTCTGCGATGAGGCACTTGGTGAGGCACTTGGTGAGGCAGTCAAATCGTACAAGCAGCCCCCGAAATCAGAACAGCTCGTGTTGTGTTCTCTGTCAGGTGCCGGTCGAGGGTGGCAAGCATGATGCCCAGGTCTGCCAGATTGCGCTGCGTGCCTGGTCAACTACAAAATGTCTCATCCCCGCCATGTGGTCTCGTACCACCGCCACAAGTCCCGTGTGATTTACTGCTTGCCACAGCTAAAGACGTGTAATAAAACAGCTTACTCACGTGTTACTGCAGTGCGAGGGGAAGAAAGGGGGACGTAATGTCGATGCATGCCAATCCATATTTTCTCTATAGCTTTGGTCCGGTAAATTCGCGTCCTCGTCACGTCGTACAAGTGCCATGGAAGCATATTTCAATCTCTCACAACGATGGAAGGCTCTTTTGTATGTGTTCTGTCTTATCGACTGTAAATGTAAATCCCTTGCTGGCCGCCGGTTGCCCTGCATACCGGGAGTAGCAAGACGAAAGATCAGATGATGGTTCCTATAAGTGTTGCCCTGTTGCTGCCTGGCCACGCATTACGGCCATGCTGGTACGACCTCCCGCACGGCACACGACAGGTACCAAGGACTTATTTGGTCATTTGAACTCACTCGGGCTTATTAAGTCTTGGGAGATCTAATTCAAGGTAGCTTCTCAAGTCGTGAACCCGTTGAGGCCTGTTGAAAAGCACACAAACCATCACCGTCTCAATAGAACTGTTACTGTGCCAGCATGCGCTCGAGTGCGCCCTCTCGTACCGAGTGAACCGCAACAGTAACCGACTTCGAAAGCAAACACTGGTGCAGATGATCTATGGTCATACATGTAGGAGATCGAAACCAAGGAAAGAAGAGAGCCCTTTGTCGGGTGTGAGGTTGATGGGGTATATAATCTCAGGCCAGGACAAGTTTGGAGCCATGATCTGAGAGCCTCAACATCAACCAAGATTGCGTTCGAATCCCAAGTCTTGGAACCGGCAAATTTTGACCAGGCCACTTCACCCCAAGCGGTAAACATCAACCACAAGCACTTATCACCATCTCAAGACCTTCACAAAATGGGTTTCTTCCAACTTACACTTTTCACTCTTCTCGCCACACAGGGCCTCGCCGCACCAACCACCACACGAAAGCCAGGCTTCGACTCACTCGCTAAAGAAGATCCCGTCATAGCTGCAGGGAAGACACCGCCATTCAATCCATTGTGGCATTATTGCCAGATGGCTTGCCGCTGCGAGGACTTGAAGGAGAAAGACAGAGACGCGTATGTGAGATCTTGATCATTTTCCCATGTCAAACTTTTGTCAAAAGAGTGCCAACTGCTTTCTAGTATACTAATCTTACAGTAGTTACTTCCAATGCATCACAAATCCCAACTGCGAGCAGTGTGAGAGAGTGGGAATGAAGGTGAACCCACCTCCCAGCTTGAGCAAGAGGCTCGTCTAAGAAGAAACCATCTCAAGCCCACATAGACAGTGTAGAGCTGCCTGGGCTTGGGTCCATGGAGGAGATGTGGAAAGTCGTGTCAGAACACTGGTTGCTTGGGCTATTTCTGAATGGTGAATGATAACGCGGCTTGCGAAAAATGATGAGAAGAGACGGAACACGGCCTGGAACCTCGTAGACTTGCAGTAATGAATCGTAAATATGAACGCAATCATTCGGAACTTGACGACAGAATCCCAACTTATAGTTCGACCTCACCACAGAACTTGATGTTGCACAATGACACGCCAAGTTGGTTGAGCCACTTCATCATGGAGGTGGTCTAACAGTGTAGTAGTATACAGAGATTCGTACATACGCAGACCCACATCGTCAAGTCTACATGCAAGTTGAGGCGCCTCCTCGCCGCCCCAAGCTCGCTTGGTAATACAAATACAGATAGTTTCGGTAAGAGGAGAGAAGAAATGGGTCATGGTGGGATGCACAAGCTGTGCTGATTAGCCGGGAGTTTTAGTTTGTGCGAAGCCCCCTCTTTACTGCTTCTTGTTGGCCTCGTCGCCCTTGACGAACCACGTGCTGAAGGAGCCCATCATGCTCTGCATGGCCTCCTGCTGGGCCTTCTCCTGCATGGCAGCCTCCTCCTTGAGCCACTTTTCACCGTTTTCACGGATCTCCTTCTCGAGCATCTCGTAGTTGCGCTGACCGCGTTCGCGCGCAATATCCTGGAGCATCTTGCCCTGTGCGAGAGCCTCATGAGGATTCTGCTCACCATCGGGGGAAACCATTAAGGCCATGTTGGAAGGCTTGAGGCCGAGCATGCCACCCAGCAAGCCCATGCCTGAAGGTGCCTTCTTCTTCTTGGCCTCCACTTGCTTGTTAAACTCGGCACGCGCAATCGCCTCGCGGCGCGCAAATTCGGTGGGAATGTGCTTGCCCTCAAAGGACTTGAGAACCTTGCGAACATCGCTGTATTGCATCGTGTGGATGTACTCGAGGAAGGGAATAAGGCTGACAAGCTCCTGATCCTTGGACTCGCCCTTCCACTTGGGAAGAACGATGGCGTTCTCTGGCTGGTTCTGGACGTGCTTGTCGCTGCTGTCGATAATAATTACCTTGGACAGGTCGCGGTTAAGGTAGGACAAATCCTGGGCCAGAATTAGAGGCAAATTCAAGAGTGTTTGAGCGGCAATGTACGAACCTTGACAACTTCACCATCCTTGTATTTGGTCGCCTCGCGATAGAGGGGCCACATGATGAAGCGGTAAGGGTCGAGCTTTCGAACAAGCGGCTCGCCAATGGCGAAAGGAACGCTGGTGAAGAGAACCAACTCGTAGTACTGGCTCAGGTAACGCAAGAAGTAGTCGACACCGGGTCGTTTGGCCACTCTCCAGCCGTGCTCACGAGTCCACTCGCTGTGAACGAGCATATCCTCCAAGCTGATGCACAGGGTGTAGGGACGCTCGAAGGACGGGTCAGGATCGGGTAGCAGCTTCTCAAAAGCAGGCTCTTGGTAGTAGTTCAGGAAATCGCCCGTACGCGCGGTGACTCTGTTCCACCAAGCGCCGAATCCCCAGCCGTTTGGCGCGTCCTCGGCGTGCCGAACCTCGTCTGCCTTATCTTCCCAATTACGACCTAGGTAGACGGCACCCGCAGCACCGAAGCCGACGAAGGCGAGGAACATGCGGTTCGCAAACTGTTGTCTTTTCCTGTCTGTTGATGATACGTATGCCGAGTCAGGAAGATCTCCACGTCCACGACCGCCGCCCTGGGCCACAGCATCCTCCTCAGCGATAGCAGCCAGCGCGGCTTTGCTGGTCGCACCGGACATCTCGTATGCTAGTGTAGACGGGATTCCTTGTGTGAGATCGGGTAGGGGTCCGGTATATACGCTTGGCTCAGGCGCTTCGGTTTTATCGGCAACATTGTCGGCATCGGATTTGGGTGCCTGGGTTGACGAAGTCTTGGATGATGCTTCGGCAGCTTCCTCGTATGCAGATTGGTATTCGGGGCTTGACGACGCCGTTGTCTCCTCTGGCCTTGACTCAGAAAGCTTTTGCTGTTCGCTCGGCTTGCCGGGAGAAACGTCTTTCGGGTTGTTATCCTGCGCAAATCCCCTGCTCCATGATGAAGCTAGAAATTGCGGCCTCCTCGCAGCTGGTGTTGCGACGGAGCGGTAGAGCTGCGCCGCAGTGGGCTGCAGGCGCGCGATCCGAGCTGCCCTTGACAGCATGGCGGTTCAAGGGCCAACGTAGACGTAAAGGTGCGTAAAGGGCCCGGAGACTGGAGATTTGGTTCAGTTCCGAGATTGAGGAGCTGATGAGTGTCTGTTGCGCCAGCTGACGAAAAAGATGCTGGTGCTGGCGGGCGAGGTCGAGGTCGAGGCCGAGTCGAGGTGGAGCGGGTATGGAGATGTTCCTGACGAAGGCACCAGAAATTTTCGAAGAGGAAGCACCACCTTGGACTTTCTGGCCCAGGCTCTGTGGCTCTGCAGGGAACGAATGACAGCACGGTGCACGGTGCCTCTACAAGCTCTGGCTGCTAGGTCTAAGACTCAACATTAAGGTACCTTACGTGCTGTGGGGCTGTGGCTGCAGAAGCTGGTGTTACGGTGGCCGGGGTGAAAAGTGCAAATCATCGATCCACCTACCTGTACTAAGACTTGAAGCCGAGCATTTTCCGAATGCATGAGAACGTTCCGGTATCGAATCGGCGATAAGGCCTGGGTGATGGACCTTAGGTAAGGTAGGCACAATACTGGTAAGGATAAGTCGAGGTAAGGTAGTAAGTGCACACTGATATCTCCTACAAATGAGGTCATTCTCAGTACTGATGCCTTCCCTCACATTACATGCCGGCCCTCAGCTGATTGGTCTCGGCCCACCATGCTTAGTCAATCTAACGCACGGCCTCAGGGAAGCAGCTCACGTGCGAACCTTGTCCGAATGGTGGACTCGACCGATGTCCATCGCCCTGGCAGTGACCCTCATGCATGAGTTGCATACCTTACCTACTTACACTTAATTAGTGCCCGTCCATTCTGAGTCCTGCCCCTCTCTCATAAGTCCGCCCAACCCCCAATATCTTATTTCCATTCGCAATCCCTCCTACCTTGCATCTTCCTCCTTTTGCAATCTCGAAGCGCATCGACGTGTTTCCTCTTACCTACCTGACTGAATTCCCTCAGATACGGACAATCCAACACATTCGCCCAACGCAACTAAGCATAGTCAAAATCCGCCCACCGTCACCATGGCTGTTGCGCGTGGTGAATTCTAGAGGGTGGTCCCCAAGTTCGCATGAACGATCACAATGGGACCACCCTCTGTGATTCTCTACGCTCTGCGAAACTCTTCGTCGACCTGCCTCACCTTCACCTTCACCCACACCATAAACTAAACACAAAGCTATTGAAATCCCTGCACATAGCCATTAGATACCCTCTCATTGCCAAAAGAAACAACCCCGCTACTCCGCCACTTCCGACGTTCCCACCGACCAAAATTGTTGGCGCCATACCAAAACCTCAAAACCTTGGATACAGACCGAATACCTGGAAAGGATTCAACATCTCAAGATACCATAGCACTGCATATCCCATCCCAAGCTACCGACCGTCACGATGGTTCGCCGTGGCAAGGTATCGAGAGCCGCCGGCTCGTCACTCGACCCGACACCGATTGCGTCTACTCTTACGACGCCACTTAGCTCGGCCTACCCATCGACATATGCTTCCGAAGCTGAAATAGATGCGCTTGGGGACAGCATTGGCTCTCTCACGCTGGGTGAGAGAAGAGCAGCCAGGAGGAAGGCAAAACCTTTTGCGTTCATGGCTTTGCCATCGGAACTACGCCTAAAGATTTACGACTACTACTTTGAAGGTAGCGGTGGAGTTGTGGACCTCGACCCTGACAACTACAAGAACTATCACAAAAAGCTGGGAATTCAAAGAACTTGCCGCACTATCTACCAGGAAGTCTCCCATTACTTTTATAGCAGCCGCTCCTTCCGCATCTTCCCAACGCATCCGGGCAAGTACTTCAAAAGCAAGAAACCACTCTTGGCCCGTATGAAGCCAAACTCAAAATCGTACATCACGTCCCTGGAACTCCGCCTTGGCCCCGGATGGAGCAAGCCGCCGCGAGGCTGGGTGGTTACGCCAGCCCTCGGTCTGCACGAGTGTATCAACGTGCGTCGCTTGACGGTACTAGTTGAATGCGACCCCAGCGACGGCATTTTCAACGGCTTCCGTCGGTCGGATGGTTTCTATGAAGGTTTCTGCCAATCTCTTTTGACAGAAGTCTTTAACCAGATGCCATGGGTCGACACAGTGTTTTTTGACGCGTGGCCTGGAGTCAAGAAGTCGGGCGGGATGATGCGAGCACTTCTTGACGTGACTGCGGCGAACAACCGCAAGACAAAATGGGGTCCCGAGAGAGGGTGGACTGATGGACCCGAAGACGAGGCCAGGCCCAGCAACTTGGTCCTGGTGTCTCCGGCGTCAGAGTTTAACACGTCCACCATGGGCGTGCTGGTAATGGCGTAACTGAATGGCATTGGAATAGGACGGCGTGCACCATGCGCTTTTCTTTTGCTTCCGACAAGCTCGCGTATTCGAAATTGGGGTTTTATGCTTAGGACAGGATGGCATCGAAAGGAACGAGAGTATGGATTTCCCTGTTGAGCATTGCATCGCTCTAGACAACCGACATTACTTTCCATTCCCGTGACGAGATTGTAATACTAGCATGACGAGGAATGAGAGCGATGATACTAGGCACCATCACTAAGCACTTAGACATTGAGTTAACACATTTACCGGGCAGTTGACCTGAGAAAGGATGCAGATCTACGGGGAAACCCTACAACTGTCACTCCTTATGCCTTACCACCAAATTCACTTCTCAACGGTTGTCCACGCGACCTCACACATCGAGCCTTCTGCATGGCATTGACTCTCGCTACCCCGCGTTTCGATTTCTGCCAGTAACATTCAGCTGTCTAATGCGGGCGGCTGGTAATTTGCAAAACAACCCATAGCATCCATGCTGAATCTGATGCTACTGCCATAGTTTCGAGATCCCCCTACAATTCAGGGTTCTTGTCTTCACTCTACCAAAAAGGAGAGCTTCCCCGCGATGTCGGGGGGGACAGTGCGGGCCCTCCCTGGCGCATCGATTCCAGGGGATTCAGAGGTCCGAGCTTTGGATGACGGGGCCCGGACGCCGACACACCGACCACCCGGCCCCACCACCCCACCTTTTCCTAGCCAAGGGCGGCCAAAGGCAGGCGGTGGATTGACGCTGTCCAAAAATTTGGTTGTGGTTTTGTCCCTCTGGCGCGGCAGTCTCGCATCGACCCTTGTGCAACAATACCGACACAGCTTTCAGCGCCCGCAAACTGTCACCTTTTGCCCACGTCCTCCGACTACAACGCAAGCACACAAGAGACGCAGTCGCTGGCGATCCCAACATGCCTCTTGATACTTCTACCTACTCCATGGCGCTCCTGCGCGTCGATGGCCGTCGCTGGAACGAGCTCCGACGGCTCCATGCTCAGATCCGGACCCAGGAAGCCGCCGATGGCTCGAGCTACCTTGAGATGGGACATACAAAGGTCATGTGCGTCGTGACGGGGCCGGCTGAGCCCCAGCGTCGTGGAGGTGCTGGTGGTCAGTCCAAGGAGGCTGCCGTCACCGTCAACCTCGTCGTCGCCGGCTTTAGCTCTGTCGACCGCATGAAGCGGGGCCGCAACGACAAGTGAGTGCACCGAATGTGTGCATATGTGAACTGCTCCGTCTAAACAATTACTACTTGCAGGCGATCACAAGAACTTGAGGCTACCATCGCCAAAGCCGTCTCAGCGAACCTTCACACCCATCTCTTCCCCCACAGCTGCATCACCATCTCCCTACATGTGCTGTCCCAGGACGGTTCCCTGCTGGCGGCGCTTCTGAATGCGTCGACACTAGCACTCATCGACGCGGGCATTCCAATGACTGACTACATTGCTGCTTGCACCGCAGGCTCGACATCCACATACGCTGCCGCCGATGACGGCGCAGACCCCTTACTCGATCTCAATACCCAAGAGGAGCAGGAGCTGCCTTACATGACGGTGGGAACGCTGGGCCTCACGGATCGTGTTGCAGTGTTGGTATGTGAAAGTCGTGTTCAGGTCAGCCGGTTGGAAGGCATGCTTGCCGTGGGTGTGGATGGGTGCAAACAGGTGCGGCAGTTCATGGACCGCGTCGTCAAGGATAAGGGCCGACAGATGATCCAGGAGGGTGCGGTAGAGAAAGGTACAGGATTGGATCTGGAGATGGAATCATGAGTGGTTACACGCCGGACAGCGTCAAGCACGGGAGCGGCGCAGCGGTATTGACAGCGGTCAGATTTCTCCCATCGCATTAACTAACAAGTGTACATACAGTCCAAGCTAACCATCCATGCAGAAGTCGAAAATCAAACGGATGTTTACAGCTCATCATGCGGCGCGGGGGCTTCCGATGGCTTCTCTTCGGGCGCCTCCGTCTCGGGCTCGGGAGTAGGATCTGTGGCTGCGGTGGAGGCGGCTGTGCTGCTCTCTGGGGACGCTGCCTCGACCTCCTCGGCTACCAAGCCTTCAGGGAGCTTCTTCTTCGCACCCTCACCTAGACGGATAGCATCGATCCAGCTCTCGACGCTGGTTGCATCGAAGTCACCCTCGTACTGTCTCCACCAGTTCCGGCGGGCGTTGACGGCGATAATTTCAACCTCACTAGTTAGACCAAGGCCCTTTGTAATAGTGGCTGCAGCTGGGTTCTCATCAGGAACAGAGAAGAAGGGGAACAGCTTGCGCTTGGCCTGGCCGTGCTTATGGGCGATCTCCGACAGACTGGTGAGCGCTTTGTCGGCCTTCTCGTTTTCCTTTGATGGCACGAAAGCTAGGACGCAGGTGTGGGACTTCGTGTTGAGGCATTCCTCCAGGAGCTTCTCGGGCGTGGTGGCAATGGGCAGTGGAGGGATGATGTTAAGGACAGGAGCGGCCTGCTCAGTAGACGGGGTTTCGGTGGCGGCCTCGGGCTCGGGGATGGCCTCCTGCTCGGTAGCGGTACTGGTGCTCGACTTGTTGGATGCGGACTTGCTCTTCTTCTCAGACTTCTTCTCGGCCTTCTTGTCGCCCTTCTTCTTGTCGCCCTTGGGCGCGGGGTCAGGATTGGGCGAGGCGACCTGGGAAATAAACGACACAAGCCCATCCTTCTTTAGTTCTCCATCATAGACAATATGCTCCTTGTTCCCACCCGGTAGTAGCACCAGGGTGGGGAATGACTTGACCCCGAATTTCTCGACCGTTTTTGCCTCCTTACTGCGAACCTGGCCAATCGTGACAGCGTCGAGAAAGTCAATGGCGACACTGCGGAGCAAGGCGCTTGTGGTGCCTTTCTCGGTGAAGAGGATTGCCTTGGGCTTGTCGCCCTCGAGGAAGGAGTCGAGGTCTTTGTCGGAAACGCGCTTGACGTGGTTGGTGATCTTGTCGACGACGGCCTCAACGATGCCGGTGGCGGTTCGAGGCCCCTGGTAATCCTCGACAACGGGCTTGCCGGGCTTCTTGCCAGGCCTCACAATCTTGAGGGTAGGGAAGCCCTGAACACCCATCTGGCCGCAGAGAGGCTTGTTGGCATCCTCGTCGCAGTCGATGGCAGCGACCTTGGCCAGTCCATTAAGGTTCTTGGCAGCCTTTTCGTAGGCAGGCTTGAGGTTCTGGCAGTGACCGCACCAGGGAGCGTAGAACTCAACAATCTAGCATGCTCATATTAGCATGTTGTCGCATGACCATGACGTGGAAAATAAAGTCGAGCTTACCGAAGTGTAGTTGGACTTGGCAATCAGGCTGTCGTAATTTTTGGCATCAACCTGGAGCACAGCAGAGCTCTTGGGATACATGCCAGCTTGGGCGCCAGGTAAAGCCGATAGAACGGCAGCGCCAGCCGCGAACAGTGTGGGGTGATGCATCTTGGTGGATAGAGTTTAGCAGCAATGTGTGTACAAGTGTGGGGTGGGAAAGGGGAGTGAGTGCGCCAGACGGCAGCAAGTGATGTGACGCCAGAGGCAGCGAGACGTGGACGGGACGGATTGAGAGAAGAAGAGAATAAAGGGAGGCGGATGGGATAAGAAAAGAAAAACGTGGGGGAGTAAAAAGTCAGAGCATGCAATTTACTAGGTTCAGGCAGGCGAGGGAGCTCTCTCCTCTTCTGCATTTATGGGATTGGGAAAGCAAGCAAATTGAAGGAAGAAAAGCCTAGTTGGCTTCTTCCCAGCGCAAAGAGGCCAGCGTGGAACTGTGAGACGCGAACCCCTCACCTTGTGCTCAATTCGGCCTGTGAATGGGACCATTTGGCCTGAGCACCAGCCACAAGCCCCACACCAGCTTTGCAGAGCTTGAGCCACACCTCGAGAGAGCATGAGAGGTACGTATCTGATGACCGTCCATCCCACCCCGCTGAGGTGTGATGCGCCACTGTGTGGGGAAACTTGACGCCGCGAAGGCTTCCAAGATACGCAATACACGTCTCCAACTTCTTGGTGTACCACCACTCGTCGCAAGTCCGCTACCCCTTCGCGCCCGTGAGCTATCACCGAGCAAGAATTCTCTCTTACCCGGACCCCGACGCCGACCAAAAGCGTCCTTACCGATCCTATCCATCGCGCCCTTCGAGTCGTCTTCGTTATCGTTGTCGCAATCGCAGTCGCAGTCGCAGCTATGGCCGAACCAATCCCCGACAGCCTGCGACAGGCAGACATTACGAGATTTATCAATCGCGCAAACCAGCTGCGTCAATACAAACCCGTAGTGACCTACTGGTGTACGTTGATACGTCTCCATTAGTGTCGCATGGTCGACGGACGGCCTTTGATACTGACCGGGCATCTGCAGGCGAATACTGGGTGGTCAACCAAATCCTAGCCAAGGGCCTGCACAATGTCGACGACGAGAGTCTTTCTTACACAACAAATCTTATGGACCGACTTGAGCAGGTTCGTCATTCAATGATAGAGTCACCCTTGGGGCTATAGTTTGGAGACTGACAGTTGTTGCATCAGACCAAAACCGAGAACGCCCAAGAAGAGGCCATCACCGACGACACAGTTGGCCAAGCATACGTTGAGCAATTCGCTCAGGAAGCTTTCGACAGAGCAGAGAAGGTTATGCGCGCGAACCGGGTCACGAGGTACGCTGGTTTCAGATCCACTGCCCCCGTTCTGCCTCCTAACGTGCTCTGAACCTAGACAAACCGCCGACACATTTGATGCTGCTGCGACGTTCCTCCTCCTGGGCAACATTTGGGGCCCCGTGGACGAGGAGACACTCAAGAAGGTCAAGTTTGCAAAGTGGAACGCTGCTCGAATACTCAAGGCTATCAAGGAAGGGAAGGACCCCAACGATTCGAACCCAAAGCAGGATGAGCCCGCTGCCGAGGACGCTCTTCCTGCCTTGGATCCCAATGACCCCGACGTCCAAGGTCTGACCTCCCCAAAGCCTGCATCCGTAGAGGATGACCCGGAGACCGAATTCTACAAAAAGGCGCCGGCACCAGCAGAGACCTCACCGACCGTCGAGCCTAGTGGGCCTCAACCTGCCCGGTCTAGCGTGCTTGATCTCCCGTCAGTTCCATCAGCGAACGACCTCGACCCGCCGCTACCTCAGACGCAGGGCTACTTTGACCCTCCCGAACAATTCCCACCATCTCCTTTGAGCCACTCCGGCGTTAATGACACATCCACGACAGCAAACGCTCCGTCAGCCCATTCTCCTTATGCCGCATCCTCGACCGGCCCATCATTCAGCCCGGCAAACGCTGCGTCGCCGTGGCAGCCACCTCAGATACCCCCTTCTAATGCCACCAAATCACCTCCTCCTCCGGCGCCTCAACAGTTCAAGCCACCGCCGATTGTACCTCAGCCCAACGGCCCCGTGATTCCCGCCTCGCACAACTCATGGACGCCGAGTAGTGCGCCGTCGGATGACATGGATTTGCCCAAGGCACAGAAGCACGCCAAGTGGGCGATATCTGCGCTGAACTTTGAGGATGTGCCGACAGCAGTCAAGGAGCTGCGTAATGCACTGGCTGCCTTGGGTGCTCAGTAAAACCTCCAGCCGTGTTGTGAGTTGAAGTCTAGACTTTTTGGGACGTTAAAGAACATTCAAGAACGCCCCGTCGACGGGTCTCGGGGTACTCAGGCCAAGACGTGAAGCTGGGAAGTTGAATATTCGTGAATAGCATTGAATGCGCAGCCGTTATCTGCTTATATGCCCCTTAGGCGGCTCCACCATTCACCCGAATGATCTGCCCCGTCACCCATGATGATTCTCTTCCTGACAGGAATATCGCCACAGAGGCAATCTCCTCTGGTACGCCAATTCTGTTGTAGGGGCTGCTGGCTTTGATGTGCTTAAGCATCTCCTCGGTCTTACCCTTATAGAAGAGATCGGTTCCTGTAGGACCGGGGGCAATGGCATTGACGTTGACACCTTTTTTAGCAAGGTCCTTGGCCATAAACTTGGTCATTTGTTCGATACTGCCCTTTGTCGATGCGTAGAGTAGATAAGGCGGGGGAAGGCTACTTAAAGCGAGAACTGTCGTTGAGAGGAAGATGATGCGGCCGCCTTCGGACATGTGAGGCAGAGCTTTCTGTTCATAAAGTAAGTTTAAACGACACTGAGAATGCGCAAGATCAAGTACCTGGACCAAGAAGTAGGGTCCCTTGACGTTGATGTTGAACATTTGATCAAAGTCCTCCTCTGTCGTGTTCTCGACGGTGCGCATGTGCATGATGGCAGCATTGGGGATCAAGACGTCGATTTTGCCAAACTTGTCGATGGTGGCGTCCACGAGCTTCTGCAGCTCGTCCGTCTTGGACACGTCTGCGCGCACGGCAATGGCGCAGTCACTGCCAATGGTCTTGACAACTTCATCGGCGGCAGATGAGTCGCTGCTATAGTTGACAACAATCTTGGCACCCTGTGCGGCCGCATCCAGAGCAATGGCCTTGCCGATGCCTTTGGAACCTCCGGTGATCAGGATGATCTTATCTTGGAGAGACATTGTGAGGAAAGCAGAACTTTGGACTGCTTGTGCGCGAGGCTTTGACGGGACTCTGTGCGGTTGAACGGATGGACTGGCCTTTTGGAAGCGTCCAATTGATATGGCTATTGTGATGCTACGAGGTGAAGCGTAGGATATGGGCGGCCTGGACTTTTTATCTCTCCCGGTAGTCCATCTACGACGAAGCGCTCGTGGGCGCGAGAGCGAGGAAGCTCTGTGTCAACTCCGTCGAAGTGCGAAGAGGGAGTACGCAGCTTAGGTAGCTTTGCGGCTCTATCGGAGCTCATCGGAATGAGTTGGGCTGCCCTCCGATCCCAGGTACCTCGAGAAACATCTTCTTATCAGAAGATGAGGACTTATAGAGGAGCTAACGTACTAGGTGAATTGCCCTCAGAGGGTACGGATAAATAGGGGCGTGTTCTGAGCTCGTATGTAGATTGATGTACTGATACTGTTGATAAGGTAATATTCCCTATCTTGTCTTGGCAGCCCCACTGGAAATCCTGAGAGGCACCTCCGTAGGGCTGCCTTGTATTGGCCTTGGTGACGCATATCGAGGAAACGGCTCGAGGGACACTTTTGACAAAACGGACGATACCTATCCATACCTGTCGGCTACGGAGAAAAAGACCCCTGCAAAGCCGACAAGGAACAATCTGTCATTGGCCGACGAATGTGTGCAGGACATAAGCCTGCTTTCGGCACGCCGATTACCGAAGCCCCATGAGATCTCTCCCGAGCCATACTAGTTGATTATCAGGCCACAGCTTGGTAGATTTGCTCTTTACATGAGAATCAAATAAACATATTTCCGACTGGCAAAGCATGCATGGGTTCCGTGGCCTCCGCGAAGTCTGTGTCGGTGTCATGGGCTTACATTTCTTGGCAGCAAGAGGCGGCTGATGAACGCCATCGGGCCTCAGGCGCAGCTCTGTCACCTACTTCCCTTCCCCCACTCGCAAACAGCTCTATCCCGGAGCGGTGGGAGGGGTCCACGTACATGAGGGTTGAATTGAGTATTGTTGATGTCATCGTAGCTGTCGAAGCAGCGCCACCACACCCCAACCCCTCTTCCAGATCCGTCATAGTCTTGCAGAAAACCCAAGCTCGTCGGCGGCTGTCCTATGAGACATGCAAAGCCGACAGGAAGTGTGACTGCAGTCAGCAGTGCTTGTCAGCGATGCAGACGTTCAGCGGGCCTCTAGAGCTCTCCTGCTTGTTTCAAAATGAGGGGCCGGAAGGTCTGCAATTGACTTTGTCCGATCCATAAGGAAAGCGTAGATTCCAACGTTGCACCAGTCAGGTCGAGCTGTGACTTACAGATAGATTCTTGATACTTGGTCCTGCATGTGTATAAGTAGTGCCCATCACGCCGCCCTGCTCAATGTTTTCGTTCACTCCAGTCCCATCCAAAGTACAGTTCCTGCTATATCCTACAAATCCCCACATTCAAGAACACAATCTCAAAAGCTACAATGTCAGAACTTCCCAAAACATTCAAGGCGGCCATTATCGAGTCCAAAAGCGCGCCCCTCAAAATTGTCGACCAGGAACTGAAACAGCCAGGCCCCGGCCATGTCCTCGTCAAGGTTCTAGCATGCGGCGTATGCCACTCCGACGTAGGTATGGCAGAGGGTGGATTCGGTGACGTATTCCCACGGATTCCGGGTCATGAAATCATTGGGGATGTGGTGGCAGTCGGCGAAGGCGTGAGTCGTTTTTCGAGCGGAGATCGCGTTGGAGGTGCCTGGCACGGAGGTACGTCCCATGATGCCCATTGGTGTTGGAGTTAAATGTGAGGGTTCTAAACGCGAATGCAGGGCACGATGGGACATGTCGACAGTGCCAAAAAGGCTTCTTCCAGGCCTGTGACAACGAGACGATCAATGGTGTGTTCCGGGATGGTGGGTACGCCGAGTATGTGCTGCTCCGTGCCGAGTCGGCGGTGCGGGTGCCAAAGGATGTTGACCCGGCGGAAGCAGCACCGCTTCTCTGCGCCGGTGTCACCGTTTTCAACAGTATACGCAAGATGCAAATTGAGCAAGGCAATCTTGTCGCTATCCAGGGTCTCGGCGGCCTGGGCCATCTTGGCGTGCAGTACGCCAGCCGCATGGGCTACAAGGTCGTAGTCTTGAGTTCCGGGTCTACGAAGAAGGAATTTGCCATGAAGTTGGGCGCGCATGAGTACATCGACTCTAGTGCAACGGACCCCGTTAAGGAGCTCAAGAAACTTGGCGGTGCGGCATTGATCCTCGCAACGGCGCCGAACCCCAAGATCATCTCGCCGCTCACCGGTGGCCTGCAACCCGGCGGTAAGTTGTGCGTGCTGGCACCAGTTGGAGGATTGGAAGTCGACACGATCGACCTCATCATTGGAGGCAAGTCGGTTTGTGGGTGGCCTGCCGGACATCAGATGGATTCGGAAGAGGCCATCGACTTTGCGGCGACACACGGCATCAAGTGCATGATTGAGCGGTTCTCACTGGATGACGCTAAGAAGGCATCGGAACACATGATTGCGAACAAGGTGCGCTTCCGCAGTGTGTTGGTTATGAGTTGAGCTAGGCGAGTTAGTGGACACTTGAGCTGCAGACTGTAATTGGCGATGTTGCCGAAGATGACAATGCCACATAGATTATGACAGACGCTGTGGATTATTGCAAGCCGCCTCGTCTCTACTCACCTTCGCCAAGTGCACAAGTTCAAATGAGTGAGAATAAGAGTGAGACTGAGACAGACATACTCTCGCTGTGACACTCACTCCCTCACACAGGGCGATGAAGCCCCTGAGTGGACCCCCTGTTGCCGCCAGGCGCCGGCATCTTCCAGGTTCGTTCCGCGTTCCGGGCTTCTGTGGGTCACTTCCATCCATCCTTGCCTCCCTTTGGCGTCACGCCTTCGGCTTTCTTGACAGCGGACATCCGAAAATCACTATCATCCTCAACATCCGCATTCCAAATACGAGCCTGGCCTTGGGATACCTCATCTACGGAACTAGAACCGTTCATCTCACATAATGAAAAAAGAAGACTCTGCCCTGTTCTGGATCCCGGGCGTGTCGCTCGCAATTCCGCCCTGGCCGAATCTGCTCCATTCTAAAGTCATACTTCTTCACCCTGGCAATGCAAAGAGGTTTGGCACATTTGTCGAGTCCAAGACCTTACATGACCGTCAGGCGCGCATCCGTGTCAACCTTATAGTCCTCTTTCGGCTTTTGATACGATGTCAACATCTGGCCTTCGACCACGACAACTTTTGGGTCTTCATGCGCAATCACTGGGGCGTTGACAATGCCAGCGCTCAAATGATCGAGGAACTTGCACAGATTTACTCGGATCGTCGCCGCGTCTACCTAGAATGTCCAAAGATTATCAAGAAGCGCCATGATAACTTGACCAACCTCATCGACGCATGGAATTCCCGAGATCCTGACCCGCCCGCCTCTTCCCGTCCAGCAAACCAGGAAGTCGACAAAGAATGGAGTCACGTTGAGAAGTCATGGCTAGACCTGATGGAGCACGACCGGCAGTCAATTATTGACCCGTCAAAGCCCCCTGTGTTGGGGGCTTTCCCCGTAAAGAAGGGCACAGCTTCAGCCCTCCAAATCAGAGGTGGAAGCATCCGCGGGCCCGGCAAAGATCTCTTCTCAAGCACCTCAGCACCATCAGCAGACTGCCGGCGTAGAGATTCCTGCACCAGCAACCACATGATGGCCTCTACTCCCAACAAGGATCTCTTCTCACGCATCCCAATACCATCGCCTGACCGGCAATGTAGAGGTTCTTCCCGCAGCGACTCTATGATGCTGTCGACTCTAGGCGCTTCAGAGAGTCAGAAAGCTATTGACGACCCCACTCAAAGCCAAGGGCGGAAACGTAGGCTCAGCCAGGACTCACCCAACTGCGTCAAGCGTCAGTGTGTCCCGGGATCGCCGCCATGTTCCCCACGACGGGACTCGAAGCTCACTCTTCCTTCCAACGACCCCTCGAATCAAGTGCTGAATGATCATTATAAAAAAGGAACCTTCGTAAATGAGGGCGCAACAAAAACTGCGCCTGATACAAGTCAAATTTTGGCCAAAGAACAACAAGGGATCTATGACTCAGTCCCAAGAGATCAGAGCATTATTAGACACAAGAAGAAGGCACATCACAGTAATGAGCTCCTCATATTGTTTGAAACCAGAGTAGGACAAATGGACGAAACTATGCAGCTCCTGAAAGAGCAAACGATGCTCATTATGGAGTCTGGAGAGCTCTCAAGAGATATTCAGAAGGCACACGACCAGCTGAACATGCTTACAGCTTCAAAGTGCCAAGATGCGCTTGAAAGGCTGGACCTCCTGAACGGTCAAATTTCCGGCGTTGTTGCAGACGTGATGACATGCCGCAAGACAGGCCAAGTGATTCAACATCAACAACAAAAGCAACAAGAGCTCATCGAAAGCTTTGAAGGGGGCGTCAAGACTCTGAACCAAGAGCTAGAGGGAGTCAAAAACGGCCTTCTGTTGCACAAGAGTCCTCTCCAGAGCCGTGAGGCAGGCAGTCAAACAGACAAAGCACGACCAGAAGGGCGAAATGGGATGGAAATTCAACAGGGCAATATGATGGAAGCACGACTAGTCAAGTTGGAAGGCCGATTGGAAGAGCGGCTTGACATGTACCTACCGGCTCACCCAAGCTTCGAAGAGCGCCTCGAGAGGATGGAAATGGCCACCGCCAGCCAAGTACCGAATGCTGATTACCTAAACCGGCTCACAAAGATGGAGGAGGCCATTGCTATCAACACAACCTTGATTAACAACTGCAGAACACTCGTCGAAGTTAGCAAAACCTCCTTTGATCAGCATTTTGGAATGCTTCATAATCGCATCGCATTGGTGGAACATCGCCTCACGAACCACGTTGCCGAACAGGCCGAAACAAACAGAGAACAAGCTAAGAGAATGGATCGAATGGAGGCCGAGCTCCAACGGCACAGAGAAACAATATCCTCACAACAGCAACCAATTGCTGGCCGTCAACATGCAGCAGAGGGTGGCGGTTTCCAGCCCCAGTTGAACGCGCTCAAGAACTCTTTAGCTGTCGTGGCGCGGGGTCAAAGCATGGAAAATCCCGAAAGAATCTCAACAACACCATTAACGCCCATAAACCCCCAATCCCAGATCAACCAGAGCTCTCTGAACCGTCCTTCAAGATCAGTACAGAGCGGGGTGCCCGTTGGCCTACCGAAATCCCAACTTAACACGGCACCCAAGAAGGAGGAGACTTAAGCCGAAGGTATCATTAATACCATGGACTAAGAAGGCTTTCAAGTTAACAATCCCGAGAATCATTTTAACTACTGAATGTAATGGATATCGGGTAAAGATGCATTGGTTGACGAGAACCAGGGTCTTACTGCGAACATAAGGCTTGTCAATAAGCCAGTGTAAGCCACTCCACGAAATAGAGATAATTCGAAGTGTAACTTCGGAAGAACCACCAACCTCAGAGGACCTTGGGGGTCATCCATGCTCGTTCTAACCATGGACTACAGCAATAGTTCCCGACAAACTCCCTCTCCATATTGAGGCGGTTTTCAAGACCTTGCCCCCAAGAAAGCATTGTGCTCACCTTCAAGTGGTTTTCGCAGTCATTTCGCCAAAATATACCAAGATTAATAGTGTGGTATCGTCTCTCGGGTGTAGGTACTCAGCCGCCTTATCGACTCGGCCTGAGGCTGCCAGACCTCTCGAAATGACGAACCGCTGCAGCCGAAGTGACCAGTTTCCAATGTTGGCCTTAGTTGTCGCCAGCTTCGTTTTTGAGTGCCAACACTCCGATCGAATTAGGCATTGAAGTGCTGTCGGACCACGGAACGCAAATGAAGCCTAGTGAGGCTTTTTGCGTTGCCGAGCGGAGGGAGTCGCTGTATTGTTTGGGTTGGAGTCTCCCATGACAAATGAAACTGGTTTCAGCATCGACCTATGTAAATATTCGAGCATCATAGTAAGGGTGTGATGGTGTAGCTATGTAAGTAGAATTCAAACGAACTGAATGTTTGCATCCTGCATAACCTCCACTGTCTTTGATGTAGCAATAAGCCCCCGCTCCTGTTTTTCGGTTGTAAACTTCTGCACCTTGGACTTGTTTTTGCCCTCAACGTCCCCCGCAGGATGGGGCAAATAATAGAACATGACACTATGCCTCGTTTCCAAGTTGCTCCGAGGTATGCATGCTAGAGAAAAGTGCGCGAAGTAATGACAGATAGCGCGGACGTTTCTCCTCTCATGTGGCTGTTGCCCAACTGATACATCAGGCGTGTGCACGATAGAAGGACAGAACGCCTACGTATGAATTATGCTCAATCCATCTTTTATATATGCCATTTCCCATTTTCCAGTCATAAGGCGTTGGATATTAGGTTCGCCGTCCTTCACAATATGAATACAACATTTACAATCGATCTTCCCGCAAGGAAAAGGTTTGGACAACAACTATGTTGTCACGGTCGCTTCCACCCGACTCCTTTGAGGCTTCGAATGTTAGTTCAGTTTCGCTCTCATTGTCACGCCTCCCTGTCGACTCCCAGCCGCGAGCGCGCTTATTTGGGGACAATATCTGCTGCTGATTTCGGTCTTGCTCCCCACTGCTGTCCATTTCGTGACTCTCAGCATCGTCTTTGGACATGAAGGTAGTGAGACTGAAAGGGCCGCGCCTTTGACGGCCTGAGCTGCCGTTGCTGACATTCTTGATTTTGCCGCCCATGGCGGATGGGGCGCCGCGCTCGGAATCGTGGAGTTGGGAGGGGCCCATTGACGTGAAGCCGAGTCGGTATCCTACTAATCGGAAGAGTGGGCGGAGGGTTGCAAGGCTACCTGCCGTGATCGCCAGACCCTGTTCAGTGGTGGACCAGATTGCAATATCGACGGTTGCATCTGGAAGTGCGCGAGTCAGCCACCAACAACCTTAAATTGATCACGATGGAATAGAGTGGGACTATTACTTACAAAGGAAGTCTGGATTTTTGAAGTTCTTGACAAATGGCATGCGCACCACGACGGCAGCGCTGGCACTAGAGAGGGAGTAAGTTAGTCGCTCGACCGCATGCAGAGGAAAGTAGTGTAACCAACATGCAGGCCATAGCCATGATTGGTACAAGAGCCAGCTTGGTCTTGCGGTCCATCTTTAGCTTCCAAATGAGGACTATGGGTAGAATAGCAAAGGTAAAGTCGCAGATGACGCTGAAAGCGCTGTAGAGGTAGGTGAGAGCGATGATCACGTCCGCAGGAACGCATCGGCCGCTCTGGGTCGTGGTATTCCAAAAGTAGGAGATCGGATGGCATTGCGGAAGAGTGACGAAGAAGAAGACAACGCCGGTGCAGACTGTCATCATCATGACGGAGTAGATGATCCAGACATCGACTTTGCGGACCGTGATTCGGAGAAGGAAGTAGCCAATGGAGATTTTGGAGGCGATCATCGCCAAACAGTACCATAGATAACAGTACCACCAAAACTGTGGCTGGTCAATGAATGCCCTTTCATGTTTTCGCTGTCTCGCAACATTGACAGTTCTGTCGGAAGCTTACCATCATAGCGGTTGACCACTCATGGTCGGTGAGATTCACCTTGTGGCGACCCGTTCCGTAATGAACACCCGTAATCGCACATGACACGAAGAGGATGAAAGATGTCTGCGAGTCGATTATCTGGTTAGCTGAAATTCTCCGAGCCTCCGTGGCACAGATTGGCGCGAGAAGAAGAAGAAGTTTTCCATACGATCGCAGCGAGCATGCACCAGTCGTCGACTCCGAAGTTCTTGACGAGGAAGATGCGGACATAGCATCGGAGAGTCGTTGCCACAATGGCCGTTGTGACGAGCGTTATACCGACAGCCACCAGTTGCGGGCCGCGGTTTTCGATTTCCGCCATTGCGATCGGAACAAGACGACTTAATGTCTTCGATGCTGAGGGCAAAGGAAAAAGGGATCGAACGACGAGTCGTGTTGGTCAAGGGAGGGGCTGTGAGAGGAGCCGCAGATTCGGGACGACGTTCTACGGGTTCTCCATCCTGACGGGAACAAGAAAGAGATGGGAGGGACTTTGTTGAAGATATGCATTCCGGAACAATGTGGAAAATAAGCATAGAAATGCGCTACGGCGGGTGCGTGAGTGCAGCCTGGCCCTGTTGCTACCGTGCGGCGAGAGTGGGAGAGAAGGACGAGAGAGACTCTGGCACCCCTGATCGTCACACTCACATCTGCGCAGAACCTTGCAGAATGCAACATGGGCAGGCAACCCCGGAGAACTCCAGTTGCAGCTCTTGGAGAACCTATCCCATATTGGAGTGAGATCTTCGCATATTGGACTACGTTGAAAGCGGGCAAGAGGTGTCAACCCTAGTGTGAGCAAATGTCGGCAGATGGGGTGAACCACATCTCGGGTAATCCAGCCTCACACGCTATCGCCCGCGTTGGTGTTAGTCGGAAGGTTAGCGGCCGGTGGAATGGCCGTATCAAGCTACCGGCCGAAGAGTCCATTGTCTGGAATCCTTCCCCCGCATTAGTCCCGAAGAAATTGAAGACTCTTGAACCTCGGGGGGTTTCCTTCGCCATGAGCCCCGAGATGGTGGGAGAGATTTATTAGGGGCCCCTTCGTGGTAGGGTGACAATGGGCCGCTCCTCAAACACAACTCCGATGCCTCCCTGACCAGCTTCCCACGAGGTATGGCAGGGAACGAAATCCACCGTGATGAGAATTGGGATGAGTTGGGGGCCATCTCGATGACAGTGGCCTGCATTCGGAAAAGTTACGATGGCACTGAAATTGGCACGCATGGATGGATGCAATGCTGAACCTTGAGCTGCCATTTTGTTTTTGGAGGGCTAAATGGATGGATTCGGGTAAGAGGAACTTTTCTTACCTTTCTGTCCGTCTGTATCTGATCGGCAAATGTCTTTCCGGGTTGGGACTTGGCGATACAATATCCGTACTAACCAGGCTTTTTCAGTTCCGCACCGCAGGACAGACGGGCCGGGGAGGGAAACGGGAGATGCATTCTTAGGGTGTCTCGCGTGCACAATTACAGCCGTGTTGGTGCTCTGCACCTCTGAAGCTCTGCAGCTCATGCAGAAGCGAGCTCAATTCATAATCTCATCAACATGGCACCACTTTTTCCTCACTGGATCCTGATTTGCCGAACCACCCCTCAAAATTGTCGAACAGCGCCGCTCCGCCCGCCTAACACGAATGCCAGCCAAAAAGCGTTGACTGTCAACCAAAGCAGTCTGCAGAACAGCCGGCGACTGGATGCGAACATTGCCGGAGGAATGCGAGTTGGTCGTTGAGGCTTGACTCTGCCAATAGCCGGTGGATGGGAACGCAGAAGAACACAAGTGAAAAGTCCACAAGCTCTGCGGCTGGCGGGAATTATGGGACGTGTCACACCAATACTACGTAGAAGAGGAAGGAAAGTGTCAAACTCAATGATGCGGACTAGAGCAGATGCTATTCTATAATAGGGAACTGATTGTCTCAGACCATCTCCACTCGTATTACGGCGTCATCGGCTTCCCGTTTAGGGGAGGCCACCCGGACCAAGCCGGCCGGCCATTTGCGCTCCTGACAGCTATGGACGAGAGCGTAAGGCAGTTAACCATATGGCCGGGCTCTCTTTAGGGCGGTTCCTGTGGTGGCTATTGCTTCTGCCGCTTCTTCTTTTACTTCTTCATCATCTACCGTGTGGAATTGTGGCTTGCCATCGGGCTTGCCTCAAAGACAAGCATGGCAGTTCGCGACTGACTCTCTGATGCCTAGTGCAGGGTCTCTGAAGAACGTGTTTTCTTCATCTTAATCTTCACGGCCACGAGTACCTAGGTATGTCCAGCGTTGCCAAACAAATCCGTGCTGTTGCCATCGGTTCTCCATTTGCCAACGACCCGGTCGTTTCATTTGTCAACGCCAGGCAGCCCCTGGGACTGGCAGCTCGCAAGTGACCCGCAGCTCTTGATCGGATAAAGACCAGCAATTGCGTTAGATTTTGATCCTTGTTCCGCGAGAGGAGCCCCGGATGCGACGGATGAATGTCCGCTAGTCCCAATTAAAATCACGTCGCCCCAACGCACAGATATTTCGACATCACGGATCCGTGGGAACGCCTTTGTTGTGGGGGCTGCGAAGACCTGATCAGGTAGACGATCTGCTTCTATAAATGCTACCTTACATTCCGTAAGGCATAGGCGCACAAAACGCTGCCCAACGAACATTGTCGAGCAGAAAATCAGCTCGCAAATCTGAAGTCCCGCCTCTTGTTACCCTTGTCCGTGGCCGTATCCAATTATCGCCGGCGCTCTTTTGGTACCATAGTTCACGAAATTCGGTCGCACTAAGCACACAATTGGACAACGTTGTTCACACCGGCATTTCGTACTAACAACTGGCTGCCGCGGCCGCATCCCGGGCGACCGTCTCGTCGATGAATGTTGACGTTGAAATGGCATGCATTCAAATAGACATGGTAAAAGGCGCGGCAGAAGCTGTTCTTACACTAGGTGTGACGAAGTTTGGGTTTGACTAGCCAAATTGACATAAGAAAGAGTGAAGACCAGCAGGGTCTTCTGCAAAGAACAGGTGAGTCGAGCAAGAGTTACATCGGGCGGGGGAAATGGAAATGGCAACGGGACGATCACCAGAGCATATGTAACCCATTGATTTCCATCGGAGGATATCACTGCAAGCACAACAGGGTATAGTAACAGCCATAATTACACCACCCTGTTGAATAAGTGCCCGCTGGTTGGCATTTTCTGAGAGCCAAAACAAAGTAGCATCTCTTGAGTCTTGACTCTTAGGCATTGGTGTTCGCCGAGTGAACATGCAATTTGCACCGATGTTCTCGTACATTAATAGTAATTGCCGCAAAACAAGACACACCAAGTGATGTGTCATCGAACGTACCGAGTCCAAATTGTATCAGTGTTCCGAATTAGTACTAATCAGATGGGCCTAGGAGACCAGCAAGTTTGAGGGCCCATGATAAATTTGTAGAATCGGAGTCGTCTTAGCTCCGAACGTAATAGCCCGGCGGTTGTGTACATCGCCTCTTTGTAGGTTGTCTCGAAGATTGTGCCAACCATCATCTTCTCTCTCCTGGGAAAAACCCCGTGAGGCCAGGCTTCCCGATCAACCTGGATGGCACCGCGACTCACGCATGATACAAGAAAGCAGCAATGCCATGTCAGACTTGACATCCATTCCGAGAGGCATGTGATTCTGGCTGAGACATGGACTGGGATCATGAGATGGACTCTGTTGTGCCGACGTCCCCACCAAAGCCCATTCTGTTGGAGTTTGGATTTAGCGTGTGCATATTGCTAGAAGCGACGTGTTGAATAGCGTGCTGAATACTAAGCAGCTGGCAAAATCAAAACAGCGCGGACCATAAATATCTTACAGACTCCCACCAACAGAATTTGGTTACGATACTTCTTGTCTCCATGCCTGCTAGCCTTATCAACCTAATTTAACTTTCTATTACCTCATAATGGCCACTCTTAATGATTAAGCAAGTAGGTTGGTAATCGTCAAAGCCGAAACTTTCACCTTTGGACCACTATGCTGGACTGAGCAGACTTGAAGAGTGTACCCTCCACCCAGAAAAAATAATTCGCAGCATGGCTCCTGAAACCGGAGACGGAGAAAGTTGTCTAATGAGGAGATGAATTTGCCCGGCCAAGTTCGCACATGCCCGATGGCCAAAGACCGACGGCTAGTTTCGATATGAAAATATCACCCACGTTTATTGCTAAATTTTCTGCCAAGCATAAAATCAATGGCTGGTTCTGTGACTTAGAGAGCCAAGACATCATCTTTTGACGTCCTAAATCGACTCACGATGTGGGACGAACTTTGGCCATATGGAACCACTAGATCGATTCAACATCGTCGACAGGGACATCGCCAGTCACGTTCCACTACAAAACGTGTATAAAAGCCTCATGAGACCACCGTAGTACACCATCGAAATGGACCACAACCCTTCCATGCCAACCGGACTACAACACTACCGAATCTGAACCCACCTTCTACTCCGGATTGTCCATTATCTCCAACACGCAGCTCTCTTATAACACCGCCACCGCCTCTATCTTGGGTGCCTTCAGCAAAGGGGCCATTGATAGATGTGGCACTCGCAACGGTCTTTGCAGTGCAGAGCTTAGCTTTCGACGCTTCGACATTAGTAAGAACACACCGGTGTGCTACGATTCCATCGACTGCATCGAGTTAACAATGAATAAGCCATAGGCGGTCGGTTTTATTGCAATATTATTTGATGTCTTAAATATATTCTAACAAGTTGAAGTGTTATATCCTAGGTGCCCGAACAGTACGGACGCAAATGACTGCGAACCTGCGAAGCAGAAAACGCCTACATCAAGTTTCTTTAGAACATGAGTCAAATAGTATTGAACTCATACGCCTAACCAGGGTAGTGTTAGTAGAGAGTTAGACAATTACCAACGAAAGAGAACAAAAATACCAAATCATGCCACGCCACACCAGCATACTCGCATCGACTTTTGCCGTAGTGTATAAATCCTAGTTTTTGATAGTACGAGACAAGCCTGTCATATGTGAGAATAGAAATCCTCTCTGCTTGTGCCGTCTGTCTCATATGCTCGATATAATGCGTCATGAGTGTTTTGCCGTGACCTAACTTCTGAAAAGGGGGTGCAACGGCTAGGGAATGTAGAGTGATAGTTCTGCCTTTAGGTTGGTGCCCGACGTTGTATGTAGCGGTTGGTTCTGTCTTCCATGTAGGTGGGACGGACATATCTTCGTCTTGAACAACAGGAGACAACGACTTGGTGGAAATCGTGTGTGCGATAAGCTTGTCATTCTTCGTTGCGTTGGGTGGATTGAAGGCTGGTATGGCTCCTTGGTGGGTGGCTCCCTCCGAGTTGCTTCTGCTCTCACGGGCAAACAGGCCCAGGCAGATTTGAGGGCATACTGTCAGTCGGTATTCAATCTAGAAGAGTGATAGGATTAGAACTAATGGGGTAATGGACATCGCCTACAGACGACCAAGCCTAAACAGTGACGACCCAACCGAGAGAAAAAAACGATGCTTGGAGCTAATGAACGGACGAGGTCATTGATTTGAAGAGCCGTAAAGAAATTCAAAGTAAGATGACACGACGTGGCAGGCTCGAGTATGAGTGACGTTTACTAGATAGAGAACAGATTCGGATTCCACTTGCCTTTTCGCGGGTCGCTGCTTCGGCAGGCGGAAAAGCTGCAGTCTCTACCGTTACGCACTGATCAAGATCACTGACTGACAGTGGTCGCATGTAGAATTCCATGCTCGAGACGAAAAGTTGGGCAAAACGTTGAAGAGGTTTGCCTGAGGAGAGAGTTTCGCGGAGTTGGGAAGGTTGCGAGAACGGATCACGGGCTCCGGTTCGGCGAGCCACCTTAAAAGCACAGCCTTACGTAATGATCGCCTACTTTCTTTTCGTGCTGAACTCCAGAAAAAACGTCATCATGTGAAAGCGACACGCTGCCTACTACCGTTGACCTTCTAGAGCGAAACATTAGCTGTCTTGATTGGTTAGAAAAGAAAATAGTCTCATAAGGTTAGCTGACTGCGTGAGCTCGACTTCATATCATTCCAACGACTTATTGACCAATATAACTAGCGGAGGAAAAAATAACGTTCTAATTTGCCAATCAGGTTTGCCTCCCGTTATAGGTCGTCCTCAATAACATCACAAGCGTTTGAAGTCTATGATTCCTCTACAATAATTTCAAGGTGTTTAGGCGAGAGCAAGAAGAAGAATACCCGCACAGACTCTAGGGTGGGGGTTTACAATAATGTTTTAGATCTAGATTCAGAAAAGCTCAAGTTTTGATAATCTATACGGTAGTGCTGGTCGTAGTGAGCGGTTGATATGATTTGTAGCTGTCGTGCTCATATGATTTTACATCATGGGGTGCCCATGTCTTAAGCACTGAAGTACGGGAGTTGCGAGGAAGAGACAAGTTACCACAATAATTTGAGATTCTCTAATTCCTTTCGTCCGAGTCACTATTACACTGGGGTTCAAAGCGTGCGAAGATAACCTCGGAACTTTGGTAGAAGTTTCATTGGAGCACCATGGATCGGAAGGGTATCTTACCAAGGTAAATCAGATTTGAAACCCTTCCTCCCGAGCCATCTCCACAATTAGCCCGGAGGCCAACGCCCTGGCCTCCTGGTATAAGGACCTGAAGACGTATGTCGTCACAAGAGCGCTCAGATCTGCCGCTGCAAGAGCATCAATGAATGAGCCATTGCGGACCGGCAAGAACTCGAAATTGACACTTACCCCCGGCCAAACATAATAATGGCCCTTGAGTTCCGAAAGCAATCCCCTAGATCTATGCTAGTTCCAATATACGCACCATCGGTACGTCGGCATTGATAGGAGAAGTTGATGACGTCTCGTCCAGAAATACAGCTTCGACATGTGGATGCATATGATGCAAGTGCCGTGCCTGCGGTGGCGAGAGACATGAGGAGAAGACTTGGACGCATATCAACATATGATGGAGGACAATGTTCGATGAGCTTGAGTGATTCACTTGGACAGGATATGAACGCCAGACCTTTTATAATTTATGTCAACACGTACTGTGTATATTAGTAGTAGCACACAGTATATTAATCTGCGCCCGACCCAGCTTCGGTAGCTTTTGACCCGAGGCTTTGCCTCTATTAAATATGTGCTGCATAGCGGTATGAGCGTGTGGTCGTTTTAGTGGAACTCTGTTGGTGATATAATGGACTTTTGAGGCAACCGCTAAAATATTATGAGTGGATGAAGCGGTATGCAGAAAGTCTTGGAAAACGCTAGATAAGGATTGGGTTTTCAAGGATCGAGTTGAGAATTTAAGAAGCTAATTCCCGATATTAGCCGCTTTTCGCTAAACTACGCTGCTTCTTCTAAAATAAGATTGCGATATATATAGAGAATTTGGTCCGAGGGCTTATGTGTAATAATCTCGCCTTAATGCTATTGTCTCTATGTGATAGATGTGTGTTTTATTGGGATGAAGGATGTAGAGCAACTACGATGGCCCTCCCGTTTACGAGTTGGTATATAAAGTATTATTTATTAAATGATAATGATCTATCATAATGCAATCCAACCCCTCTTGATATTAAGTAAGCTCCCAGAAGGCACTGAAACATTTCTCTTGATGATTCGAATTAACTTAAATGCTACTATAAGGCTTGGAAATACTATCGAATTTGATGGCGTTGGTACGCTCGCCGTGGCGGTGATGAGAATGTCCGGGTATGTAGTTAGTGTAGTAAATGAAACGGTGTATATATAATTTTGGGTGGTGTAAATCATTTTGTATACAGGGGCAATATGTGCCCCTGTACCCTCCGAATTCCGCCCTGCGAATCCCCTTTTTTATTGTAAATTTTACGTAATATGGTATAAATTTTTAGTTACTATGCCGTTAAACTTAAGTGATGCCTGAGCATATTATAATAATATTTCTTGGTATTTTTCAAAGTGATGGATAATTGGATGAAGAGGCTGGTATCCTAGACTCGAGCGAAGTTTCTGGCCTACTAGAATAGGAGGGTTTAGTTTCGGAGGTTATAAATGATATCGAGTTTAAAGAGAGCAAATTCTCGATTGGAAAATAAACGATTAAGTTTACCCCGTTAGGATTTCGGAAGCTATAGGCCTGCGTGCCCTCTTTAGGAATTACGATCTGTAACGTCGAGTACGAGACCGAGAAGTTATGGAAGAGCTTTTGTTTTTACTAAGTCCCTATAACGGATAATGGAACGAGGAATTTGTGACGGAGTTGGTTATGGCGGGAGGGGGATTATGGGTGAGATCGGCACCTACGCGATAGATCATAATGTACGACCAGAACTAAGTTGATTCCGTTTGTAAATGTATTGGAAAATCTATCCGCTATGTGAGACTTTAGGTGTATTATACGATAAGTTTAACTCGGATTCTGAGTTACAGTATTATTATAGGCTTGACAGTATTTATGGTTTGGTAAGACCATTATTTGGTAAGAATTCAATTCCAATAACAAAGGTATTATCCTTGAGCCGTCTATCTTAAACCTTGGAAATGGCTCTATGTTACGAGCGATTATTTGGGTCGAAGAGCTCTGATAATCGGATTTTGAAGTGATGCCTTAGCCCGATCTCGGTTATCTCTTTTATTTCCTCTTCTGATAGCTGTAGGTCCAGGGCTTGGAAATAGTTCTGGATCCTTTTCGGCTTGGTAGTTGTCGAGATGGAGATGATATCTTGGTTTAAATGCTATCGGATGAGTACCGTATTCGGATCGACGTTGTACTTTGTAGTAATCTTGGCTAGTGGCTCGTCTAGCGGTCCGCCCTTTGCGTGAGTAAGAGGAGTAAGGCCGAAAAAGCTCTGGACGGCGATTCCCTGCTCCTGTAGCTAAGGGACGTACCTACCGGCTCTCTGTAGGTAGGGATGGAATTCGATTTGGTTTACGATTGGTTTGATCTCGGCGACCTCTAGGATGGCCTTAATGTGGGAGCGTAAGAAGCTCGAGATACTAATTGCTTTGGTTTTTCCGGATCGCTGCACCTTCTCTATCTCTTTCTAAGCGTCTTGGAGATTTGCCGAAGTTTTCGCGAAGTAAGGGCTGTGGATGAGGTACTTGTGATTTGTGTTAAACTCTGGGTTAATGTAGCAAACAGTCAGATTAGAAGCGAACTTATAGGTCTATATAATCTAGCTGCAGGTTCTTTAGGCTGGTTTTAATCGCGCGCGGGACGTTTTCGATCGTTTCTACGACTTTCGTCGTAATAAAGAGCTGGTCTCTGGGCATACCGCTCTCCTGTATCGTAACTCCTACCTCTTTCTCTGTTCTATATGCTTCTGCATAATCGAGATGACGATACCCGGTGGCTATGGCCGTCTTGACTATTTTTACGGCTTCGGGATTGAAAGGGCCGAATCGATTATCTTTGTACTATGCTGTGCCGGATCTAAAGCCGAGCTGTCTTATTGAATTAGATTAAGTCGTTTCTACTGCGATATCGTACGGGATGTAGAGGTTACTTATTACGGGTATCTGACTCCCGTCTTTTAGCGTCTTGGATGGAATGCTTGGACTTATGCTGGGTAGAGTCGAAAAGAAGTTTGATCGATGAGGTAATGTGAGAACTATGAGCTGTAATAGATGGTATAGTTGTCAGCTAGCAGATCGATAAATAAAAATAGACGAAGGGATCGCATTCTAAGGAATGCTGATTTACTTGTTAATATAATTGAACTATTTGAGTGCGTAAACTTATATATCGGCGGGGCTTGGGGTAGACTTGCTTTGGACTTCGAGAAGTATGACTTGCGAAATCGTAACGAGTAGGCGACCGGTGTTGCGAGGTAAGGGTGGGCGGCGGGGTTCTTGGAGACTTTGAAGACGGTTGTTGAGCCGTATTCTTTTATTTGACCTAATGGTGTGGGTCTTAATTTGTTTTTTTTGGGCGCCTGTATGCGTGTTATTCTTTTGGCTGGCAAACGCGTTCTAGATCTTAAGGGGCTGCTGGCTTTTGCAACGTGATTGACCGGGGCTGTAAGTGTTGTGTGATTAGATTTTTGGTTAAACGTTAGGCAGCTATATGTTGGATGTGTGATATGTTATAAAATTGCTGAATGATAACTTAGCTGATATTAACTTAAATTGATCGTACGTTCCGCTCCGCTGCTGTGACTCCTTACGCTGGTAAGGCTTTTTTGAGTCCCGAGCCTTACCTGGTATTTTGGATAATTGATTAAATTGGGTATTAATAGCAAAATGGATTTATATAAGTCCCCGCTGACGAAAGACGCTACGTAAAGCTGGCGGCTGCGTCGACGGGTAGACGCCTTAGCTTCCCCTTTATCGAGAGGTAGCGTTTGGCGAGTACTATTGTGGGCGTGTACCTGATGTAATGGAAGAGGTTTGCAAGTTGACTTTGATTTCGTTAGCAGTGCTATATTTCCTTTCTGTACCGATGCTAGATGAGTTAGTATTAGTATGAGCGTACGAAAGGGAGTCCTTTTCGTGCGCTAAAATTTGTTGCCTACTAAGGCTAATGAGATACTAACGATCGATAGCCCTATTACTATACTCCCCTATGTGCGGTCTAGGTTTGATGCGGCTGTAGCCTGACAGATGATCCCGCCGCTATAACTTGTATGGCCCTTTTTTTTGTTCTTAATGAGATGTTTGCCTTATTACGGCCTGCCGGCTTGACCGTAGCCTTTTATCGGCCCGAATTGATAACGGCCTTGATAAGGCACTTGTGTTGTCTCGGTATGGTATAT